AACACCCTAACACCCTAACACCCTAACACCCTAACACCCTAACACCTAACCCCTAACCCCACACCCTAACACCCTAACACCCTAACACCCTAACACCCTAACACCCTAACACCCTAACACCCTAACACCCTAACACCCTAACACCCTAACACCCTAACACCCTAACACCCTAACACCCTAACACCCTAACACCCTAACACCCTAACACCCTAACACCCTAACACCCTAACACCCTAACACCCTAACACCCTAACACCCTAACACCCTAACACCCTAACACCCTAACAACCCTAACACCCTAACACCCTAACACCCTAACACCCTAACACCCTAACACCCTAACACCCTAACACCCTAACACCCTAACACCCTACCTAACACCCTAACACCCTAACACCCTAACACCCTAACACCCTAACACCCTAACACCCTAACACCCTAACACCCTAACACCCTAACACCCTAACACCCTAACACCCTAACACCCTAACACCCTAACACCCTAACACCCTAACACCCTAACACCCTAACACCCTAACACCCTAACACCCTAACACCCTAACACCCTAACACCCTAACACCCTAACACCCTAACACCCTAACACCCTAACACCCTAACACCCTAACACCCTAACACCCTAACACCCTAACACCCTAACACCCTAACACCCTAACACCCTAACACCCTAACACCCTAACACCCTAACACCCTAACACCCTAACACCCTAACACCCTAACACCCTAACACCCTAACACCCTAACACCCTAACACCCTAACACCCTAACACCCTAACACCCTAACACCCTAACACCCTAACACCCTAACCCCTAACACCCTAACACCCTAACACCCTAACACCCTAACACCCTAACACCCTAACACCCTAACACCCTAACACCCTAACACCCTAACACCCTAACACCCTAACACCCTAACACCCTAACACCCTAACACCCTAACACCCTAACACCCTAACACCCTAACACCCTAACACCCTAACACCTAACACCCTAACACCCTAACACCCTAACACCCTAACACCCTAACACCCTAACACCCTAACACCCTAACACCCTAACACCCTAACACCCTAACACCCTAACACCCTAACACCCTAACACCCTAACACCCTAACACCCTAACACCCTAACACCCTAACACCCTAACACCCTAACACCCTAACACCCTAACACCCTAACACCCTAACACCCTAACACCCTAACACCCTAACACCCTAACACCCTAACACCCTAACACCCTAACACCCTAACACCCTAACACCCTAACACCCTAACACCCTAACACCCTAACACCCTAACACCCTAACACCCTAACACCCTAACACCCTAACACCCTAACACCCTAACACCCTAACACCCTAACCCTAACACCCTAACACCTAACACCCTAACACCCTAACACCCTAACACCCTAACACCCTAACACCCTAACACCCTAACACCCTAACACCCTAACACCCTAACACCCTAACACCCTAACACCCTAACACCCTAACACCCTAACACCCTAACACCCTAACACCCTAACACCCTAACACCCTAACACCCTAACACCCTAACACCCTAACACCCTAACACCCTAACACCCTAACACCCTAACACCCTAACACCCTAACACCCTAACACCCTAACACCCTAACACCCTAACACCCTAACACCTAACACCTAACACCCTAACACCCTAACACCCTAACACCCTAACACCCTAACACCCTAACACCCTAACACCCTAACACCCTAACACTAAAATCTATAGATACTGAAAAAATATGTCTATGATTTCTGTATAAATGAAAAATCCTTCACAGACATTGCAAATTGTGTTTGTATCTTTATGAGCCCAGCCTTAACGAGTCCTGCTGTTTTATTCTTAAGAAACTCTTTCAGATAGGCTCAGGCGGCTTTTTTTAAATCATATAAAATAAAGCATTTTACCTTTTACTGAAGCATATTATTCGCATTCTAACTTTGCTAGACTTCTTTAACTGGCGGGATTATTAAATATATCGATTAGTCAAGCTCAAATTTATTTTACCACATAAAAATGCTATTATAAAAATTAATCTAAAGCTAGTTTATTTTCATAGCATGCTTATTTTGAGGGTTAATTAAATAAAATAAACAATTTTGATTGATAATTAGATTCAATTTAAATACAAAAATCTAAAATAATTTGAATAAAGATTGAATAAAAAGTATTTTTTCCAATAAATTCATTCCTTATTATAAAGATAATTATAAAATCTCAGATATTTATTACAATGGAGATCGTATCAAAAGAGACAAACAAAGTAATGCTTTTAAAGCTACCTGATTATCTTTATCAAACATTTCTATCTCCCTCCTAAGTAATAAGCAAGATTGATGTAAAAATCTGACAAAGTACTTTTTTATATAATTTGTAAAAAAGATTAATTAAATAATATTAATTCAGCTAAAAAAATAAATTAATCTAAAAAGAAGGGGTTAAGCAACTCTGACTTGGCGGCAAGCATAAAATTCGATCCGAAGACTTATCAACTCGAAATCGATCTTCCAAAATCAGTCGAAAGCTCTTCATATGGAGTCTTAACTTTTAAATCAAAAATAGAGCCAATAGATGAAGCTGATTTACATGTCTTTACAGTTGACCAGCAAAGAAAAGCTACATTAAAATCCCAAGTAGCTTACAAAGGGAATCTACTGCCTGAAAGGAATGATCATTATATTAAATTAATCCAAAAGCAAAGCGAGCAAGTTAGCGACTTCAGCATCACAACTGCAGAGCCAAGGAGAGACGACAATAAAATCCAGCCAAGAATTTTTAGCTTGCATGAAGATCACAAGTATTTTGTGATGGCAAATCCAGAACAGGCAAGAGAATCTAGTATCAGAAAGATGCATAACTTCACCCCCTTATAGGAGAATTAATTTTTTATTTATTTATTTTTTTCTTAATAAAATAATTAATAAATAAAAACATCAATTGAAAACAATTTTAAGCTATTTTATAAAGAATTAATCAATTTAGTCTGAAAACTGTTTAAATAATATTCTGACTGCAAATTAGGTTAAAATTAATACTATAAAATTAGTTTTTTTAAAAATTTTGTTCTCATTTAAAATGTGGCTACCCAAAAATGAAAATTTTGCCGATATTTTGTTCCAATTTAAAAGGGAGTAAAGAAAAAAGAGTTAGGGAAGATCCAGAAAAAGTTAAAGCAATGCTTTTTGATTTATTTTCAACGCAAAGATTTTGGAAATTAAAAACTTTGGCTGAGCATACTAGTCAGCCTGAATCGTATTTAGCTGACATACTTAGGGAAATCGGGGAAAAAGGACCTCCTGGGCAGTATAAAAGCCAGTGGCAGCTGAAAAGTGAATTTAGAGGGGCAGATGAAGGTGAAGAGGGCGGGCCAACTAAAAAACCAAAAATAGTTTAAGTTAAAGCTAGCATAATTGCTCATCTGAAAATTTAGAAGTATAGTCTAATTAAAAATAACTTATCTCCAGTTATATAAAATAAGCTATTAAGATTGCAATAATAATTGGAATCGCCACGATAATTATGCCCATATTTGCTTTTCGTTGAGTTGGCTGGACTATTGGAATATCTCTTGGGTTCATTTGTGCAATTATTTCAAGTTCTTCCCCATTCCCTGGATCTGTACCAAAAAGATATTTAAGTCTTTCTTGAGAATCTGCAATGCTTTCGTCAGAACAAATCATATCAGTTACGGGAATTTCATTTTTTAAATTGAAGTAAATCCTTCTTGGCAGAGTGTATTCAAAAGGCTCTGCAATTTTTTTGCTTACTCCCCCTAAATGAGCTAACAAAAAAATTATAAGGATTATTATAATGAATTAAATTTAAACAGTTTATTTTAAAACATAAAATTTACAATTAAATTAATTTTTGCTATCCAATTGGGGATATTTTTGAACTTCGAGAAAAAAAATATATTACACAATTTTATAAAATAAATTTTCTGAACTAAAAAATTAGCTTCCTTTCGTAGAATAAAATTCTTTTGAGGAGGGAGCTAGATCTTTATTAGGCCATGAAGTTTTTTCACTCAACAGATCGTATCTTATTCTCATGCTACTAATTAAATCCTCTTTGATTCATTCTGCAACTCTCGGGGTAATTTTGGAGTTTTCTTGGCAAAGGGCAAAGCATTCTAGAAGTCCGCTTAGTCTGACCGCTTTAGTTATATCTCTTACATTTCCATATTTTAACGACTTTGAGAAAATTTCACAGCTTTCCCCATTGGTTTTGACTGTAAAAGTTTGAGCCAATTTGGTTCAATTCGTTATTAGATCTTTGATATCATTCAATGGATTTTCAGTAAGTTCTTTTTCAGCATAAAATCTTACTTTTGCCCTAACTGTTCTTAAAATTGGTAGTTCAGCTATCTCTATCTTCATAACATTACTTTTGAAATTTTTGATATCAATTAATTTGCAGATCCTTTCTTCAGAATATATTTGTAAGTGCAAATGAATAAGCTGATCTGACTTCGAATATTCATCATTCCTAAGAGCTGCAAGCAAATTATTAACTTCTTTTACTGCAGGGCTTACTAATTTTGTGTTTAAAAATTCTTTGTCTTCAGAAACAGTAAAAAATCCAATAATCGAAATTCCTCCAGGGAGCAGCCGTGAAACCTGCCTTGCATGCTCCAAAATTCAATCTTTGTATTTCCCTTCTTCTGATTCTATATTAGAGTTTAACAGAGGAACAATAGGCAATGAATAATCGACTTTTATTTCTGGAGTTTCTACAAGCTGATATCCATAGGTGTTTTCTCCATCAATCAGCCCAATAATAACAAAAGCAATTATTTTTCCTAATAAAATAATCTTTAATTTTAAATATTATTTATATAAAAAATTTGCTTTTTTTGGTGATTAATTATATCTCCAATAATAAGTCCAGTGAAATTTTCATCTGAGTTTTGGAATAGCTGATATATAGGGTTCAGGCAAAACCTCATCATATTAATGGAATTATTATTTAAGATTGCCAATATTCAAAGTAATTGCTCTCTTTTTGATTAATTTTTGGGGACTGTCTCCCATGCCGTCGTCATCGCTAATCATGGCCATCTCGTCTCCAGCTTCTATTAGCCCTGACATTTCTTTGATAAATCCGTCCACGTTATTTTCAATGACTTCCAGCTTGTCTCTTAAATTTTGGTTTTCTCTTTCCAGCTCTCTAAGGACAAGCTCATTTTTAGATTTCTCTATTTTCTGCTCCGGGACTGCAGCCTTTAGCTCAGTGATGGCTTCCTTATACTTTTTTTCCCTTGCCAATTGTGAGTTTATTTGCTTTTCCAGCTCGCACTGCTTGCTTATCAGCTGAGAAACCATTCTATTCATCTGTGCAAGCTTAGCTTGATGTGCTTCTTCTTGCCGAATTTTATTGGTTTCCAGTTTTAATAGTTGGGATTTCGCTTTTGATTTCAAAGCCCAGTCAAAAAATGCTTTCCTCTTTATAAAAATCCTAGAGTTTCGGTATTGGTTTATCAGCAAAACAATTTTATTTTTGATTTTCCCTTTAATTTCATTTTTCTTTAGTTTTTCTGCTGCATATGCACTATTGGCCCTTATTTTCCACTTCATAAACCCTCCAAGCAAGGTACCTTTCTTGGCTTTTTTAAGCGTCCTTGAGATCTGCACAATTAAAGACTGCAGCATATGACCGGCAAAAGTTTGGGTGTTCCTTTTGAATTCTTCTTGTTTTGCTTTATTTAGCTTAGTTTTAGGAGTTGTAGACAGCGCAAAAGGCGAAGACTGAAAGGTCTCTACTGGGGTTGCTGGCTTCTGCTCTTTACTTGGCGAAGAAGAGCCTGCCATAAATAATTCGTCGTCAATGAACATCGGGCTTTCAGACATTTCTTTGAATTTATATTAAGAAACTATTTATTCCAATTTAATCTCTATTGAAAGTCAAGACTCGTCCTTGAGGAATCGGGGTTTTGGCCACTTTTCTGTCAGTAGAAGGCTCACTGCGCGTTTTGAATAATTGAGGACTTAGCATGTTTATCGGCTCTGTCGAAATTGACGTAATATTTAGCTCCAAATTTTGATTATTGCAGTCCTCCAGCTTTTCTTTGGTTTCAAAGACTTTTGGTTTCAAATTTAGTGACGATTTTTTAAGTAAAACCTTTTCTCTTGTTAGTTTTTTTGACGTTTTCCCAATCTCTTTGCTTGCACACTCAATATCTCTTTTCTCGACCTGCAGCTTTTGCCGTTCCTGCTTTAATTTTGCAAAATCATGGCTTAACTGCGCCTTCAGCTTCATAAGGTCTTCTTTTTCGTGCTCAATCTGCTCTTTTTCGTGCATTACTTCTATTTCTTCCATCTGCAGGCTCTGCTCTCTTCGTTTCAAGCTTTCCCTGCACCTCTGGAGTTCTTCTTTGGCTTTTCTTAATTTCGTACTTTCTTTCTTGGCCCTTTCAAACAGATTTTTTAAATGCTCTTCTTTGTCCCGCAGCTTGGAGTTTTCAGTGGCTAGGTCTTTTCGGATTTTCTCAGTGCTTTCTTCGTTATTGGCGAAGCACTGGGATTTGTGCTTCCTGGCACTGGGAAATTGAATATGCAGCAAATCTTTGTTTGCTTCTAAATCCACTTGTGAAGAAGTATCAACTTCGCTTTTTAGACTCTCATAGGAATTTAAAGCAAAATCGCCATCATAGGCTTCCTCGATGCTGTCCCACATCTGTTCCATCGTGTCACTTTTTATTTAAATGGAATTAAAATTAAAGAAAAATTGGGATAATTCGGAAGTAATTTTTAATATGGACGAAGTAAACAAAAATTCGAAACCTGGAAACACTTCAAAAGTAAAGAGCCCTGAAACTAAAGATGCTGGGCTTGAAAAACATATGAACAGCAAGCTTTTTCAAAGATTTCTCAAAAAAGAAGGGGTCAAATTACAAGACCCGTCATTGCGAGCAGTCACAAAAACAGATGAGAGGCCTATAAAACCTGCGAATAAGACTAATCCTGCCCCAAAAGTAGAGGAAAACCTTCAAAAATCAATTGAAGACGATCCTCCAAATTTTACATATCAGGACAAGTTCAGAGATCCAGATCCAAAATTGAAATCTCCAGAGCCACCTATTATGGAAGAGGACGAAGAAGAGCATTATTCAGACAAGCCAAGCCCACGATATGATCGGTATCCTCCACCACTAGAGCCTTTCGATAACTATGAAAAAGAGGAAGACCCGTACGACAAGATGTTTGAGCACCCTATCTTTTCCCCAAAAGAGAAGCCAGGAGAGCTTAAAAAGATCCCTGGGAATAAGTATTTCTCTAGAGAGCAGTCTTCTGAAGAACTGTCTCCTTATGCTTCACAGAATTTTGAAAAAAATGAATATCAGGGAAGAGATCAGCAAAGAAATCTTACTTCGGGGTCTGGGAGATATCAAAGAGATGAGGACGAAATTGACTTCAGCCCAGAAGAGCACATTGCAGATGGCACTGGGAAGTTTACAAACCCTGACTATGAGCTTAAAGGATACTCAGAACACCTGAATCCTGGAGAAAGCTATGCTTACTATGATGAGCCCTCAATCCGAAAACAAAACACCAAGTCTGCAAATATCCCTCCTACAAATATTCCTCCTGCACAGGTCCCTCAGCTTCCTCAAGTCATGCCTCAATACCCAATGCCCCCTCACCCTTATATGGGATATTTTCCTATGTATTACAACCCAGGGATGCCTGGCCCTGATTTTAAACCTTATGAGTCTGGACCTGAGACTCGGCGAAAAGACGAAACCGAGAAGCTTAAAAGTGACTACGAAGAATTGCTCAGTAAAAAAGATGAAGAAATCAAAAAACTGAACCGGCATTTGGAAAATGCAAGGCTGGACTATGATGAGCTAGAAGAAAGAATGAACTCAGGTGGAGACTTAGAAAGGAGATTTACCAACATGAAGGTAGAAAGAGACATGCTCGACAGAAAACTAAGGACTGCTGAAGAAGAAAATGATAATTTAAGACATCAGCTAGACAATGCAAAAGAGGATCTTGAAGTCTTTAGAAGTCAAAATGAAGACGCAGAAAGGAATATCAAGAACAAGACACAAGACCTTGAAAGAGAGCTGAGGGCGTCTAAAGATACAATTGACGACCTAGACAGGCAGCTCATTAAAGAAAAAGAAAAAAATATCAACATGACCAGGAAGCTAGCCAAGAAAAAAGACAAACTTTATCAACTGGAAAATGATTTAAAAAGAAGTGAGGCGACAATTCAGAGATTGGAAAGAGACTTGGAGTCTGCAAGAGACCAAGCAACTTATGACGCTCGGCAACAAAGACGGGAGATTGAATCCCTTCGTAGACAGGTGGATTCTTTGTCAAAAGAGCTTGAGAACGCTGATGCTGATACAAGAAGAGAGGTAAGGAGCTCTAAGGTTTCAAGGAGTGCTAGAAATGAGATAACAAGGTATGCAAAAGAAGAAAAACCACTAAATGAGGACTGGTATAAAGAAGAAAAGCCGGCAAAGTGGGATGAAAAACCACTGTCTGACCAATGATATAAAGAAGAAAAACCAGCCAAACGTGAAGAGCAGAAGCTGTCTGAAGCTTGGTACAGAGACGAGAAGCCAGCAAGGAGGGATTTTAGAGAAGATAGGCCTAAAAGTCCACTTAATAGCTATGATGATGCCCAGCCACCTCCAAATCAGTCAAAAAAGATTTCCGAGCAAGTAAAGGCCAGAATTGGGGCTACTGTTTCTACATCTGTCAGCAGTGCTTTATCATGGGAAACCAACCAAACAGCCCCTCCTCCACCTGTAAAAACCAAAAATGTGAGAGACCCAAACAAAGAGCAGACTTTTAGAAACGAAGACTCCATTCAAAACTTAGAAGACAAGCTACTAAACTTGCAAATAGACAAAAAGAAGCTGGAAGAAGAGTTCTCAAAGCTTCCTGAGCACGCAAAGAAGATTTCAATCATAAGGCGAAGAGAAGAAGTTGAGCAGGAGCTGAATCTCCTAAACTCAAACATCGTCACAATTAAAAATAAAATAAGGCAGCTGCAGTACCCATAACAATAATTTAATATCCCTTTATGCTGTTCATGTCTAAATGATAAATTATAGCCCAAGCACTGATATAGATTGGACTGTTCCTGAGTTGGCTGAGCTACAAATGAAAATTGATTTAAGAAAACCCAGTTCAGCCAGCACAGGAACACCCAAGCTCAGACTATAATAAACATTACACATGGAAACTTGGAGAGAAAAATTTGAGAACCGCATTACAACAATCATCCTCTCTACCCTTGCTGTCGAACTTCTACTGCTCGTCGTAATGATCGCTCTTATTTATAACGAAATGTCAGCGAAATATATTTTTTATGTTTTTTCAATCGTGGTCTTGATAGCGAGCACAATCTATTTTGCTTGGCATTCCTTAATAAAAGAAAACGCATTCGAGCTGATTGCCTTTTTAATCATGTCCTCGATACTCAATTTCCACGGGATCTATATGGCGGTTCTTCATGGAAAACCTTTGCTGTTCACAGCTATTTCATCGCTGATTTTATCAGTCTGCCAGCTGTTTTATTATTTTACCTTTTATTTCGCGTATCGTAAATTTGGATGAAGGATTGTAAACGCAATTAAGAACACTGACGCCAAAGTGATAACGGCTTTTAAGGTATATGAAACTTTTATATCGGTAATCAAGCTGGATTTTTTATTATACACACTCACTGTAGCCACTTTTATTTATTATATAGCAGTGAATTGGAATAGCTTTATTTTAGGAGGGATGGTGATTTCCTTAATTTTTTATGCTTTTATGATTTCTTATTCAATTTTAGGAGTTTTTGGTGTAAAAGTTATGTAGGTGACAAAAGAAAATAGATGTCTTCTATTCTCGTTTTTAGGGCTCTTGCCGATTCTAGCAGGTGTGAAGCTGTTTTTATTAGTAGCAATAGCAGCAGCTCCTGGGAAAAATATTGACCGTTTTATTTTAAGCCAAGCAATTGTGATTGCTATTGTTGATTTAATAATCGCCTGTACGATGGAAGTCCTCGGAGTTATTTGCTCTCAATCCTTTGGGTTGGGGCTTGGCGCGATTCTTACTCCCTCCCCTTTAAATTGAAGCAAAGCATCGGCAAATTTTTAATATAAAATTAGTTTGACCAAATAAAAAAATTAACCCTCCTCTAAATTGGAAAAAAAATTTTTGTTCAAATCTAATCTAAAGGGGGGTTAGAAGAAATAGTGAGGTCTTGAAAACTTTTATATAATCGCATCAGGAGTATACAACTTTATTTATTAAATTAAATTCGATTATGTATATTTATATTATCTTGCTGAAATAAGCGAGCTACTTACGTCGACGTTTGACGAATTCTCAATGCAGCTATATTTTGCTGACTCTCCCACTTTAAATTGGACATTGAAATTTGGAAAAAACACTGTTTTCAATAGGAAAAGTTTATTGATGAAAGTAATAACTTTTATAAAAATATTTTTGAACTAATTTAATGGACTAACAGCAAGCAGAATGCTATTTAAACAGTTTTCACACTGATCGGCTAATTTTTTATTTAATTGCTCATTTTATATTTCTTAAAAACTATAAAAATTTATTTGAAAAAGATGAAATTGTGTTATAAAACTAATTTCGACCTAATTTATTGAAAAAGTGAAGTCGTATGGTATTTAAATAATGTCCGCACTGAATCAATTAATTTTTTCAATTATTTCTTTATAAAAATAAATTAAAATTCAACAATTTATATTTTTTTTTCAGATTCAGATTTTAAAATTTTTAAAAATATTTTAAAAAAAATTTTAAAAAAAAATTTAAATATTTAACCCCAATTAAATTGGGGTAGAATTTTTTTTCTCTAATTTGAAGGGGGAGTGAGGCCTCTATGCCTGCCTCTAATGGTGATTTTACTGAAAGTTGAAATCTGAATAGCTTTGTTATATAGTCTCCTTTTATACTGCTTTCTAAAAATGATGGTAAATATTTTGCCTGATATATAATCCCTATAACCCAAATCGTAATCCATCCGATTCCAATCAGATATTGCGCCAATAGATTATTTATATTACTTCCCCTGTTTGAGCAGAACGCGCAGTGTAAGCTCATAATTAAGTTAAGTAAAAATCATTTTGAGATTGATACAATCCTCAGCTTATTCTATTAGCTTGAAATAATTTACATTCTCGAAAATAAATTTTATATATTAATAAGAAATTTTTTTAATGAAACCACTCATTGACAGAAAAAATCTGCAGCATGGCTTTTGGTCTTGAATTTTTCTCTTTTCCATTTTCATCATCAAAAATTTTCTCTTTAAATCCCAGTTATTAATTTTCCGATCAAAAAATGCCAAGGAAAAGCTCTCAGAAAAAAGCCCCGTGAAAACACATATTGCCAAAAATCTGCCTGCTAAAAGAGGCAGTTAGCAAAACCACAGCAAATTCAAAGCCAGATACAAGAAAATAAAAAAGCAATAAACCACAGTGATGCTCTTTGATAGTTATAGGACTGTGAAAATAAGGAAACGAAAATAAAAATAGCTATGAAGTTTATACAGCTGACATGAAAAATCTCCTCTGAGGACTGATAAACAATCGTTTTAAGTGAGATCAGCAGAATTTGAAAAATAGTCTTATAAAATGCATGAATAGGCTGCTGCCAAAAGTGAAAAGTTGAGTAGACTGTCTCATCATCTCATATAAGCCTATAGTATAGAAAACATGGCAAATAAACAAAGAGGGCAACTGACGAAATTGCTACATAGTATACATGCTTATCTTGCCAACAAAATACATAGCAGTCCTGACTGTGAAAGCTCTCTTTAAAGCTGTCTTCAGTGCTATCTGTACACTGAAATGTCAGGAATAAAAATAGAGTGATGGGAGTAAATAAAAATTCTCCTATAATAGGAAATAAGCACTTTCAGATTTCACTTGATATTGTTGCTGATATAATTTTGGAATCACTGCCTACGCTAAATATCCTTTGCAAGCTCAAAAAGAATCAAACAAATGATAAAGCAGCTGCCATTTCAATTTCTTCCCAAATATTCCAATCTCAGTCTCTAAAATCAAGAATTGCTAGCTTGGCTAACTGTGAAACCTGAGGCAAAATTTCAGAGAAACCAGGGCCTAAAGCCATATATTGCAGAGATTCTACTGCAATGAGGGTATCGGATAAAATGTCAAGCCAGTTCTCTTTTTCTTTAGCTTCAAGCATTGGGAATTGCTTTGATAAGATCGACTCATAATTTTTATATAAATAATATATGGTAATGCCAAAAGGAATGATAGCTATAAATAGCATTATTAAATAACCATATATAAAAGATTGGGTTTCACTTGCTTTAAAGGGGCAAGATCAGCCAGTTCTAATCATGTCACTTGGGATCTTGCCATCTACTAGCCATGATAAGCTTTCTAAAGTTTGATAAAGAACTGGTAGCCCTCCCATTAAGAGTAAGCAAAAATTATTTTATTTAAATATACCTACTTCTAACGTTATAATATTTTTAAATATAAATACGATAACGGCTAAGCAGTAAGAATGATTTTTATTAATTGCAATTAGGTATATTTTATTAATAACTGAATAAAAAGATATCTAGTTAAATCTATTAAAAATTTACTCAGCTTACATCCATAAGCATAAATTTTATAATTTTCTCAAAATTTGGATTTTTCAAAATCTGAAAAAATAAGAGCGATAAGAGTAAGCTTGGAGTATAGATCCCACATAATACCGTTTCTCACTTATTTTCCTTTTGAATTAAATTATAAACCCCAACTGCGATAGTTGAAGCGTCATTTCCATAAGAAGCAACCTTGATATTCCCTGAGCATCCAGTAAATTTGACTTTTCTGGCCCATTCTTCAATCGTTTGTGTATTCAAACTGATTCCATTTGTTATCATTTGATCAAAAGTATAAGCTCCTAAATAGACTGCATCATAGAATAAGCACATATAATCATCTGCATAGCCATGAGCAGCCATAAATTTCTCTCTTATTTTTTTTCCAAATTCTTTGTAATATGACAAAAATGTAACATGGACCAAACCTTCCATGATTTCGCTGCGCTTTTGGTATAAATCTTTGTTTATAAATTTTGGGTCTAGCTCTGAGCTGTTTAGCGAAATGTCTCCAATAATGAGGTATAGGTGTTTTCCCTATATAGCCCGATAAGGGCTGTGGGTTATCCGTGGAATCCCTCTGCTGGTTTGACCAACAGAGGGATTTTACAGCTTTTATCGGGCCATATAGAGAAAACCCCTATAGATGTCTCCTTTTCTCATACCTAAGTCATAAAAGTTCTCAATGACAGAGTAGAGTTCTGGCTCTGCCACTTCGAGAACCACAAATCTGGTTTGCAATTGGACGATTTCTTTGACTATTTCTAAGCCAGTTCCATCATATCCAATAGGGATAATTTGCTTGTGATTCAGGATTTCAATATTATAGTATTTTGCATGCATGATAAACTGTTTTTTGAAGTCTATAGTCCATGAGCTATTTGAATGCAAGAACGAGCATTTAGAAATCCCAAGAAAGCTGAGAAATAAAGCAACTGTGGCACCATTGTATATGCTAGGATACGTGAGCCTGAAATATTGAGGGTAGTAGACAATATCACTTAGGGCGGAAGAGGATTGAACTCCTAAAATTGGAGTCGAAATATTTAGGTCTTTGAATACTCAGAATGTCCCTTGGGCCATTTCTGAAGTAGCTGGGGCAATGTGAAAATAGCCTATATCATAAGAATGTGCTTTAAAACAATTATAGGCGTAATCATAATCAAAGAAAGAAGCCCCACAGTCTGAAATATTAAATGCTGATATCTCAAAATTACTCAAAATATTTGACTCCGTGTTAATTTCATTTACTGCGAAAACAGATCCAAACTGCGATAAAGCATTTTCAAAATATAAAGAACCATCAGGATTAGAAATCCCTCCCTCAAAACTCATTGGGAGCTTTATTCTAGAATTGTCAGGGATTGCTGATGAATCCCCAGGGAAAGTGACATCAGCTCAAATATCAATTTTATTATCAATCACTGATCCAACAAGATTTGTTTGATTATTTTTAATATTGAACACTCACAGCATAGTTGTCCAAATAATGTTTCTTTTTTCATAATTATTAAAGGTGTATCCTGAATATACCCCTTGAGTCCTATCAATATTTGCCATCATTAGAAAAAACGAGGTAGCTATACTCACAGGCTCATATTATTGATCATGAAATTTTAGGCAAAATTTTTTAAAAATACCGAAAAATTCTGCTAAATTCCGCCGAGGAAATGTCACTATCAAAAGTGAACGATTATTGGATCTACACCATATTCACAAGACGGCCTGCATGATCTTCCATGCTATGAGCGATGTAATTATTAAGCTCACTAATTAGAATTGATCCATCCAAATAAGCAGTTCAAGCGCTTTGATGGAGAAAAATGAAGGCATAACCTTTTGTATGCATATCAGCCTCAACAATGGCTCTCTGTATTAGGAGAGTAGTCTCACAGTTAGTTGCGATGATAATAACTCTAACTCCTAAAGGCTTAACTTGTTTAGATATAATAAGATATATTGTTTCGTAAAGGGGTGGAATTTAAATAAATTCAAGATTAAACTGGCCACAAGCGTGCAAGCCCACTAGCCATTGCTTTGTCTCAGCTTCAAGTATAGAAGCCTCCATAACTCTTAGAATTCAAATGAGGAAAATGGAAGACTGTCATTGTGAATTCCAACCTGAATCATCCGTCCAAGGATTAGCTCGATAGGGCAGAGCCACAATCTGTAGAGTCTCAATGGTCGCGACAGGGAAGACCATGTGGTAGGAAAAACTGTCTCGTCAATCCTACAGTGACAGGAAAGCCTTCGGGTCAAGCAAAATATTCCCCTCTTGGGTAAGGCATTTCCAGGCCTGAATATCTATTTCGAAAAGGGAGATAGTCCTATTTTCAGCTTTTATGGGATGATTCTGACCTGACCTGCTCCATAGAAGTGTGCCTCGAAGTCCAATTTCCGTCAGCGTTACCATTTTATTTCTGGGGTGGAATTAGGAATCGTAGTTTGAAAAGCAATATCGACATCTGCATTGCTTTGAAAATCATATGATATTAATTCAGGGCTGTAAATAGCAGTTGCTCTTTTTCAGTCAAAGTATTTAATTAAAGATACTATAGAGTCTCTAAATTGTGAAAATGAGTACGCAGAAAAATATATATTGTCTCTAAGACTCTTCGGGGGTGAGGTTAATTAAAGTACACTGTACTTTTTTAAACCCCCTCCGAAAACCTACAAAAATGACTGTGTACTTTAAAAATGGTCGTTTAGTGTGAAAAAAGTACAAACGGGTACTTTTCGATTTTTTAAAAACAGGGGGGGTGAAAAAAGTAAACGGTGAAAAAAAACAGCCAAAACAGAGGAAAAAAAGTACATATAAAAATCAATATTCTATCAAGACTAAGTAAATTTAAGCAAAGAAAGGCCAAGGTTAAATTGCATAATAAGCAGATTATATTGCATTATAATAAATGCTAAACAATATTGCTGGAAAGAATGCAAGAGCTGCATGATAAACAATAAAAAATATTTGGCTCTCAAAATAAGAGGGAAAAAAGTACGCTGCAAAATATAAAATGATTAAAGTGACGTAGAATAATCTAATATAAAAGACTAATAATAAACACAGGAAATTCTCTTAGAAAGGTCAACTTAATTTGTTAAATAAAAGACCAAAAGTTACAAAGAAATATGAGAAAAGTGATTATGGAGAAAATTTTAAAAAATGGATGAAAAAAGTACATGTTTTTTTCATATGTGCAAAAAGAGTGAAAAAAGTACTCATAAAATTTTTAACAGTGCAAATTTTAGATGAAAAAAGTACAAAGGGAAAAAAAAACAGAGGAAAAAAGTACATTGACTTTTTATATGAAAATACTAATTTTTTAAATATGTTTACCTTAAAAATGAGAAGAACGCATCAATTTAATTTTGCTGCATATATTAATTCTCACTCCACCCCCTTTAAATTGGAGCAAATATATGTAAAATTTCCCCCTTTTTTGATAAATTAGCTCCTTCAATTGGAACAAAATTTAATTTTATAATAAAAAATTATATATACTTTTTATCTAAAAAAGTTTTGATATAAGTTAAATGCTTCTTCTTAACTAAAATAAAAATTTAGTTATATCTTGCTCTTGTTTAAAGAAGAGAGTATAAAGAGCATCTTATTTAAATAAATTTATTATCCTTAATTGCTAAATTTTTTATTTAAATAGTTTTGATATAAATTCAATAGGAATTCTTTATAAAATATAAAAATTTACTTATTTCTTGCTTTATTTTAAAAGTATAGAGTATAAATAGCATCTTATATAAACAAAATTAGCACTTTGATCGATAAATTTTCTAAAATATTTTTTTAATTTTTTTTTTATTAATAAAAATAATAATTTTGATGCCAATTAATAGTGGCGTATTAACTAATAATGCAAATTTAGTTATATATTGCTTTGTTTTAAAGGAAAAAGAGTAAATAGCATTTTTATTAAACAAATTTATTAATCTATTTCGATAAATTTTTGAAATTTTGTTTTTATAAAAAATTTTATATTGATATTTTTTTCTAGATAGTTAAAATATGGCGTCTTCGTTTAGGTCTGGCCTCACGGCCATATAGCCTTCGACTCATATTTTAATTATATCCGACAAGGTTTTTCTAGCCTTGAAATGGACAGCAATGCTAGCAACTAATTCTGCAGGAGCATAGAACCTAGCCCAAGTCCAAATTCGAGACTGGTTTTTTACCTCTAAGGAAAGGAGGGTTAAGATTTGGAAAGGGCAAGCCCATCAGAGTCTACAGTAATAGCTAGACAATTGGGCAACTGCCTAGCGTGAGACTGGGCGTTACGTTCCAGGATCTGGACTTTACCCTTTTGCCGACAGGCTACCAGAAAATTCCATTTTTTGGAATTTAGGAATGCCAACTTGTATTCCCTCAGCCTCAGGAGGCATCACAAACCCGTAGTCTGCCCACTCAACACTGGAGTCTTTTACAAGAGACAAGGAGGAGGCATCAGTACTCCCGCTTTATGTGGGAGTGATGTCGCAAAGCGGATGAATCCCAAAAGGGATCATTGTGATTGCGTTAAAATTAAAGGCACGAGCCCGTCTGTTTAAGTTAAGTTGAGTGATATTTTTTTCTAACAAAAAAACATTTTTTGTTCCAATTTAAAGGGGGTGGAGTGAGAATTAATATATGCAGCAAAATTAAATCGATGCGTTCTTCTCATTTTAAGGTAAACATATTTAAAAAATTAGTATTTTCATATAAAAAGTCAATGTACTTTTTTCCTCTGTTTTTTTTTTCCCTTTGTACTTTTTTTCATCTAAAATTTGCACTGTTAAAATTTTATGAGTACTTTTTTCACTCTTTTTGCACATATGAAAAAAACATGTACTTTTTTCATCCATTTTTTAAAATTTTCTCCATAATCACTTTTCTTATATTTCTTTGTAACTTTTGGTCTTTTATTTAACAAATTAAGTTGACCTTTCTAAGGGAATTTCCTGTGTTTATTATTAGTCTTTTATATTAGATTATTCTACGTCACTTTAATCATTTTATATTTTGCAGCGTACTTTTTTCCTCTTATTTTGAGAGCCAAATATTTTTTTATTGTTTATCATGCAGCTCTTGCATTCTTTCCAGCAATATTGTTTAGTATTTATTATAATGCAATATAATCTGCTTATTATGCAATTTAACCTTGGCCTTTCTTTGCTTAAATTTACTTAGTCTTGATAGAATATTGATTTTTATATGTACTTTTTTCCTCTGTTTTGGCTGTTTTTTTTCACCGTTTACTTTTTCACCCCCCTGTTTTTAAAAAATCGAAAAGTACCGTTTGTACTTTTTTCACACTAAACGACCATTTTTAAAGTACACAGTCATTTTTGTAGGTTTTCGGAGGGGGGTTTAAAAAAGTACAGTGTACTTTAATTAACCTCACCCACTCTTCGGATCATAGCCATATACAAGCTGGATAAATCCTCCGATAATAGCATATCTGTTTAATTGTGCAGTGATGCTTAATGAAAAAGTGCAATCGTAGAGAAGTTCAAAGTCTATAGATGATCCAAGATTTTCAATATCTTGTGCCTGCTCTATTTCAATGGGAATATAAAAAATATCATAATTGGAATTGCATTTGGGAAAATTAAGGTTTGGGCAATTATAAGAGGATAGAATGAATTCTTTAAACTTGCTTGGGGTGAATCGGCTGTAAAGAATAGGAACATTGATAAATTGGCTTGAAGCAAGTGCAAGCCACAGAATAAGTGAATTTATCATGAGAAATTATAACTCCATTCAAAGACTTTTTTTTATAGTTAACTCACAAATGACTGTTTATAAAAATTTAGAGGAAATAATTTGAAAAAATAAAATAGAAAAAGTTGCATATAAAACTTAAGATGGCTCAAAAATAATTATAAGACAAAATAACTACTATACACAAGATTGATCACTGCTTTTCATATCTTCTTTTTGTATTGGTTCTACGTATTGATATTTAACTGATTTATCGATTCCAGCTTCAGAAGGTGTTCTCCTAGACAATTGGAATCTGAACAACCTGAGGATGTCTTGGCCTTTCGGGCGAATTAAAAGTGAAGGTAAATATTTTTTCTGAAACCATATTCCAGCTGCTAAAGAGAAAACTCATCCAACCCCTAAAAGACATTCCGCAAGAATTAAATTCAGCTGAGAGATTTCACGGCAAGTTCAAAATCAGAGGCAATCAGTCAAGCAAATAGAGTATCACATTGATGCTCGATGATAATTATAGGGCCGCTTTATAAACCATGAAGCAAGCGTAAATAATAAGATTATGGTAAAGCAACATGCATTAACATTAACATTAGATTAATAACGCTTAAAGTCCCTTACGAAGTTGCCGTTCCCAGAGCTATCGCTCACCTTTCGGCGCATCGGGCCCACTGCCTCTGGGTCGACCAGCTTTGTTGCTCCAGGGTGCGTCTAGGAAAAACGCTACCGGCTTCGACAGCTCATGAGTGAGCTATTTGCTTGAGTACATGGGTTGCCTTTCCGAAAATCCATAAAAAATAGATTTTCTGGTCAGCTGTCGGCAAAAAGGAAAAGCACGGGCCTGGGACGTAACGCCCAGTTTCACGCTAGTGAGTTGCCCGATTGGTCCTAACGCACTTGGCTGAGCTTCCCCTTTCCAATTTCCGTGTCTCCCTTCCCCATGAGGAAAAACCACCTCTGAAAGTAGACTTGGGCTAGGCTCTGAACACAACCAGAATTGCTTACCTAGCATTGCTGTCCATTTCTGAAATGTAAACCTTCAGATATAATTAAAATATGAGTCGAGTATGCATGGCCCGGAGGCCATGCCCGGACGAAGACGCCATATTTTAATTATGGTACAGCAACATGCATTATAGCTTATTTGAGACGCAGGAAATAGAATGACCCTTAATACAATCAAGAGAATCTGCCAAAAACTCTTCATGACTGAGTGAAATGGCTGCTCTCTGATATGAAACACTAGATCTTCAGTTTCATCTTGCCACATAGGCCGAGAGTATAAACTAGCTGGTAAATAGGATAGAAGAACTATGGAAGAGATGATCACGTATTTCATATGCATCCCTTGCCAGCAAAATACAGTGCAGTCTTGATCATGATAGCTGTCCTTGAACTCATTCCCAATACTATTCGTGCACTGGAAAGTAATAAGCAAAAAATTGACGATTGGTATAAACAAAAGGTCTCCAATAATCGGCAAACAATATTTTCCAAGCTCGTCCATTGCAGTAAGTAATGAAATCTTTCACTTCTCTCCAATATGAAAAACTCTCTGAATAAGTAAAATGATTCAAAAGGCTGCGATGATATCAATTAGCTTTATTTGATCTCATATAGATCAATCACTATCCTTGGTCGGGCCCATGATATCAAGCATGGCAAACTTAGTGAATTTAGAAAACTCAGACATAAATCCAGTGAAATCTGGCCCTATTGCCATATACTGCAGGCTTTCTATTATCATTTCAATATAAATTCATATGTCAATAAGAGTCTCTTCTTGAGCTTTTTCAAGCATAGGGAATTTTCTTGTAAATATGGAACCAGAATACTTTACTGCCAAAAAGACTCCCATTAGTAGAGGAATTGCTCCGATCCCTGTCAATAGCAAATATCCATATAAAAATGACTTGCTTTGATTCGATCTAAATGGACACTCGTGATCTTCCCCAATAATAGCATTAGGCAGAACTCCTTCATTTTCGTAGAACCATGAAATAGAATGAACTTGCTCATAAAATTTCGCACCATCAGGATTGTAGATCCCACATAGTCTCATTGTTCATGTAGAATTTACTTGCACTAGGTTGTAAATACCAAATCTTATTGTTGATCTGTCATTTCCATACTTATTGATCTGAATTTTCCCGGTACATCCTGTAAATTTTATTCATCGTATTGCCTTTGCAATTGTAGTGCTGTTTAAATTGATTCCTTGCGAAATTAAGGAACCCAAAGCACGAGCTCCTAAATAAGTTGCATCGTAATATAAGCACATTATATCAGGCGCAAGCCCATAGGTGCTCATGAAATCTTTTTTAAGCTTTTCTCCAATAGAGCCGTAATAAGTTAGGACCCCAAAATACAGCAGCCCATCCATCAATTCTTTACGCTTTTTATATGCCTCATGTCCAATCTCAGCTTTGTTCAGATTGGCAACGTCAATTACTAAATCTCCAATAAATAAATATAAGTCTCCTTTTCTAACTCCTGCATCATAGAAAGTTTCAATCACACTAAGCACATCAGGGGAAGTGACTTCCATTACAAGGTATCTTGACTTCAAATATATGATTTCTTCAATAAATGATGTATCAGTCCCATTATATCCACTAGGAACTAGTCTATTTTCGTTTAATATTTCAATGCGGTATTGCGCACACTGCTTTTCGAACTGTGTTTTAAAATCAGTACCTCAAGTAGAGTTTGTGCATAAAAGAGAGACTTTTTTAATTCCGAATGAGTTGAGTATTATAGCAGCAATTAGTCCAGTGATTATATTTGAATATGAAACTCGAGCATACTGAGGATAATAAGCAGAATCACTTAAGGATGCTGTTGTCTGAATTCCTAAAACAGGGATTGATAACTCCCCCCCCCCCCTCCGTGAGCGAACAAAACCATTAGAAAAATCGCCATTTTTTTGACCAAAAACCCACCCTCCGTGAGTGAACAAAAATTTTTTTAATACAAAAAATTTTAATGGAAAAAAATTTTGATATATAAGTGATAATTAGTATAATGAAATCTAGAGCTAATTCTGTTTAATTTTAAACAAATTGCGTTTTAAAACATAAATTTTGCAAATTAAATTAATATTATTGCTTCCCAATTTTTGCAAATTAGGATTTTTTTAAATTTCGAAAAAAATATTTTTTATAAAATTTATATATAAATTTTTTTTTTAAAAAAAAAAATTAACCCCCCTCCGTGAGTGAACAAAATTTTTTTGTTCGCTCACGGAGGGGGGGGGGAGTAAGTTAAAACTGCGGAAAATTTGGATTGTGCCTTGAGCTATTACAGTCTCTAAGCCAGATAAATGAAAATAGCCAATATCTTTTAAGTGTGCTTTGAGACAGTCATAGCAATATAGCGCTTTCCCGAGGATGGCGCGGAATGGCGCCATCCTCGGGAAAGTCAACTAAGCATCCACACGGGAACTGGGAGTTCCACGTGTGGATGCCATTTTTGACATGTGGGATCCAAACTTCCACATGTCAAAATGGCATCCCCACGTGGAACTCCCAGTTCCCGTGTGGATGCCTTCCTGGCTTTCCCGAGGATGGCGCCATTCCGCGCCATCCTCGGGAAAGCGCTATAGTCATATTCGAAGATAGATGCACCACAATCTGATATATTAAAAATTGAGAGCTCAAAGTTAGCCAATATATCAGACTTATCATTGATATCATATGCAGCATACATAGCTCCAGTTAATGCTAATGCATTTTCTACATAATACGTTCCATCTGGATTTGATGCTCCTCCATAAGCACTAATAGAAATATTTATTTTTTCATTATCAGGAGCAGTGATTGAATTTCCTGGAAAAATAAAAGGCGAGCTAACTTCTATGATATTTCCGTTAATAGACCCGCAAAGAACATTACTATGTTTTTGGATATTATACAGATATGATGTAGAGTTTATTTCGGCAGCAGTCTTCATGTAATCATTGAGTATATAAGATGAAAAAGATCCATGAATTTGGCTGCTACTCATGAAAAATACCAAATAAAGTGAAAATGAGTCTACGAGATACTCGAGATAATCTTCTTCACTTTTAGGGATGTATTCATCATCTGCAATCAAAATTGATCCTTCTAAATATGCTGCTCATACACTATGGTGGAGAAAAATAAATGCGTAATCTGCTTTATTCATGTCTGTTTCAACAATTGCTTTTTGAATCAGCACTGCTGTTTCTTGATTTGTAGCGATGACGATGACCTTGGTCCCAAGAGGCTTGATTTGATGTGCGAAAATAAGACGAATCGCCTCATAAGAAATTAATGATGGGACAATCGATTGTAAGGCAATCTCAATTTCATCATTTACCCGAAAATCCATACTTTGGAATTCCTGACCTAAAATGACCACCACTTTCTGTCATCCATGCGAGTCAATAAATGATAAAGCTGTGTCTCTTAAAGAAATGTAAGAAGACTCAGAATAATAAACAAAATCATGGGTGGTGTTTGGGCTGTAGCCATACACGAGATTAACAAATTCATATGACCTCGCATAATCGCTAATAATAGACGTCACGCTAAGTGAAAAAGTGCCATCAAAAGAGAAAGAAAAGTCAAGCTCTGATATCAAGATTTCAATGTCAAGAGGGCTATTAACTTCATATAAAACATAATATACGCCTGAATTTTTGCATTTCATAGAGTTGATTTTGGGGCAATTATAGCTTCTTGAGAATGATTCTACTACTGAGTTTGGAGTGAATTTACTGTACAGTATAGGAATAGTAATATATTGGCTTGCCACAAAATAGAATAAGGCAGAAATGAGAAATTTCATGCAAAATTTATTTTTAAGACAATAAAAAAATTTAAATGCTATTTTAAGTTAAAGCTAATTTCCACATTAGCATCTTCAGTGCCAAAAATTTGAAGAAGTTATTTCAATCTCCACAGGGACTTGCATGGCTATATTTTTTGAATACTTCCAGAATGCTTCGGTCATTGATACTAGTAGAGATAGATATAATAGTATTGATATATAACTCGAACAGAGACAAAAACTGGTCAGCGAAGTTTAATTTCTCAAATTTTGGCTATAATGCAGCATGCTTGCAACTCTAAACTGACAGAAAAGCATACTGAATAGCACTTAGATATCGGTGGTAATTAAAATTCAGCCTAAACTGTAATAAAACGCTTAAAAAATTATACGAGCAAAAATTTTACATTACTAAATTAATAGCATTAAATTTGAATTTCAGAGATTTGAGAAATTATTATAAAACTTAATCAGCTTTATTAAATGGCTCAAGATGAATTCACTGAGCAGAGCAGGAATGCTGATAAATATTATGATGCATTGCCAACGCAAATTCAGAATATTTTCATTGAAAATATATAATTCCATTTCTATAAGTAAATGTGCAAAAAAAAGGATTATTTTTTATATTTTCTGTGAAATGCATAGCTTATAAAAGAAGAAAATTCTATAGGAAATATAAACAAAATTATAAAAATAATAGAATAGGGCAACTACTCTAAATAAGAATAATCGCTGCTTTTCAGATCTTCTTTTTGAACTCCTTCTACATATTTGTATTTTACTGAATTATCAATTCCAGCTTGAGATGGAGTTCTCCGGGATAATTGAAATTTAAACAATTTGTGAATATCTTGGCCTTTTGGGCGAACTAAAAGTGATGGGAGATATTTCTTCTGGAGACAAATTCCAGCTACCACAGAGAATACTCAGCCAAACGCTAAAAGACACTGAGCAGCAGTTATATCTAGCTGAGAAAAGATTTGGCATATTCAAAGTCAGAGGCAGTCTGTCAAGCAAATCAAGTATCACATTGATGCACGATGATAATTATAAGGCTTTTTAATAAATCATAAGCCTGCAAATAAGGATATTATTACAAAACAGCATATGTTGTAGCTTATTTCTGATGCCGGCAATAAAATAATATGCAATTCAATCAAGAGAATCTGTCAAAAACTCTTTATAACTGAGTGAAATGGCTGCTCTCTAATATGAAATACTAAATCTTCAGTTTCATCTTTTCACATAGGGCGAAAGTATAAGCTAGCTGGCAAATATAATAATAGAATGATAGAAGAACTGACCGCATATTTAAGATGCGTCTCTCGCCAACAAAAAACATTGCAGTCTTGATTATGATAGCTGTCCTTAAGCTCATCCCCAATGCTGTTTGTGCACTGGAAAGTCATAAGCAAAAAATTAACAAAAGGTATAAATAAAAGGTCTCCAATGGTAGGCAGGCAGTATTTTTCTAGCTCATCTATTGCAGAAATTGATAAAATCTTACACTTCTCTCGAATATTGAAAATTCTTTGGATTAGTAAAATTACCCATATCGCGGCTATTATATATATAAGCAATATCTGATCTCAAAAATCTTTTGTTGAGCCTCTGATATCAAAAATAGAAAACTTAATAAATTCGGAGAAATCAGGCAACAGCCCAGTAAAATCTGGTCCGATTGCTATATACTGTAAGCCTTCTATTATCATCGAGATATAAATTCATGTATCGAGAAGGGTTTCTTCTTGTTCTGAGTCAAGCATAGGAAAATCTCTCATAAATATAAAATTAAAATACTTTATTGCTAAAAAGGTTCCAAAAATTAGTGGAAATGTTCCAATTCCAGCCAACAGCAAATAGCCATATAGAAACGATTTGCTTTCTCTCTGCTTGAATGGACAGTTAAAATCTGCCCCAACAATATCACTTGGCAAAATTCCATTATTTTCATAGAACCATGAAAAAGAATAAATAATTTGATATATAGCAACATTATAAGGGTCATAAATCCCACATAATCTCATTGTTCATGAAGAATTTACTTGGACTAAGTTATAAATGCCAAATACTATGGAGGATCTATCATTTCCATATTTATCGATTTGGACCTTCCCGGAACACCCTGTGAACTTGATATTTCTTATTGTTTTTGAAATCATTGAACTATTTAGATTAATTCCTAATGAAATTAAGGTATCCAAAGCATTAGCTCCTAAATAAGTCGCGTCATAATATAAGCACATTATGTCTGAAGCAGCTCCATAGGTTTGAAATAGCTTGGTCTTCAGTCTTTCTCCAACAGAGCCATAATAGGTAAGGACTTCGAAATATAACAGTCCATTCATTAGTTCTTTTCGCTTTATATATACCTCTGTTCCAATTTCAGTCTCATTTAGATGTGAAAAATCAATTACTAAATCTGCAAGATATAAATATAGATCTCCTTTTCTAACTCCTACATCATAAAAAGCTTCAATTACACTGAGATAGTCAGGAGAGATAACTTCCATCACAAGATACCTTGACTTCACGTCTATGATTTCTTGGATAAATGATTTATCAATTCCGTTGTAGCCAAGAGGAACCAGCCTTTTTAGGTTTAGAATTTTCATGTTGAATTGTTTGCTCTGGCTTTCGAACTGCTCTTTGAAATCTGTGCCTCATGTAGCATTTGTGCATAAAAGTGAGACTTTTGTAATGCCTAAGGAGTATAGCATCCAAGCAATATATGACCCAGAAACTGTATTAGGATAGGAAACTCGTGCGTACTGAGGGTAATAGGTTAGATTACTCATAGAAGCTGCTGTTTGGATACCTAAAACAGGGGTTGATAAATTTAAGCTTCGAAAAATTTCTATTGTACCTTGAGTTATTACAGTCTTCAAATCAGTCAGATGAAAATAGCCAATATTTTCTGACTGGGCTTTCAAACAGTCATAGCAATAGTCATACTCGAAGATAGATGCTCCACAATTTGAAATATTCAGGATCGAAAGCTCAAAATTCGATAGTATTTCATGTTTTTCATTAATATCATATACAGCATATATAGCTCCCGTTAATGATAATGCATTTTCTACATAATAAGTGCCATCTGGATTTGACGCTCCTCCATAAGCACTAATAGGGATTTTTATTTTTGTATTATCTGGAGCAGTCATTGAATTTCCAGGAAAAATAAATGGCAAATTCACTTGCACGCTGTTTCCGTTCATATACCCACAAAGAACTTTTTTACTGTTTTTAATGTTGTACAGATAAGACTTACTCCCCCCCCCCCCTCCGTGAGCGAACAAAAAAATTTTGTTCACTCACGGAGGGGGGTTAATTTTTTTTTTAAAAAAATTTATATATAAATTTTATAAAAAATATATTTTTTCGAAATTTAAAAAAATCCTAATTTGCAAAAATTGGGAAGCAAATATTAATTTAATTTGCAAAATTTATGTTTTTTTAAAAAACGCAATTTTTTTAAAATTAAACAGAATTAGCTCTAGATTTCATTATACTAATTATCACTTATATATCAAAATTTTTTTCCATTAAAATTTTTTGTATTAAAAAAATTTTTGTTCACTCACGGAGGGTGGGTTTTTGGTCAAAAAATGGCGATTTTTTCTAATGGTTTTGTTCGCTCACGAGGGGGGGGGGGGGGGAGTTAGAGTTTTTCTTTACAACATTATTCATATAATTATTGATTGCACAGCCTGAAAAAGCTCCTTGAATTTTGTTAACATACATCAAAGATTTTATTAAAAGGGAAAAGCTATCTATAAGATATTCCAAATAGTTTTCTTCACTGCTAGCGACATAATTATCGTCTGAGATTAATATTGATCCTTCTAAATATGCAGTCCAAACGCTATGGTTTATAAATATAAAAGCATAGTCAGCTTTATTCATTTCCGCCTCAACAATTGCTCTTTGCACTAGAATTGTTGTGTTTTCATTTGTAGCAATAATAATGATTTTGACCCCAAGTGGTTTGATTTGTTTCGCAAAAATCAGGAGGATTGCGTCATAAGAAATTAAATTCGGGACTATGCATTGTAAGGATATGTATATTTCATTATTTACTTGAAAATCCATACCTTGGAATTCCTGGCCTAAAAGAGCAACAGCTTTCTGTCATCCGCTGGACTTAATAAACGATAAGGCGGTGTCTCTGATAGAAATATAAGAAGGTTCAGAGTAGTGAACAAAATTTTGGCTTTTTTCTGGATTGTAACCATACACAAGATGAACGAATTCATATGATTTCGCATAATCGCTAATAAGAGATGCCATACTTAGCGAAAATGTACCATCAAAAGCAAAGGCAAAGTCTAAAGCCGCGATCAATGCTTCTATATCAGCATGACTATTTACTTCATATAAAACATAATATACACCTGATTCTGCAGTACATTTCTGAGAGCTGATTTCAAGGCAATTATAATTTTTTGAAAATGCGTTTCTTATTAGTTCTGGGGTAAATTTACTATACAGGATTGGAACAGTAGTGTATTGGCTTGCCACTAAACAAAATAAAACAGACATCAGATAAGTCATATAGCTATTAATTATTTAGCAGAAATAAAATAAACAATTAGGCAATTTTTTGATTAAAAATCTTATTTACTTGAAAAATTAGGATTAATTTTTATGTTAATATATTGAATGCAATCAAATTGTAAACAGCATGATTATTTTCTCTTACATTGAGTGCTTTCTCTAAATTAGAAACGAAAATATTGTGGCTTGCAAAAAATAAAGTTGCTATCTAAAGCCAATCGAGAGCAAAGCTGGCTAGACAGACCATGCATTAATTTTGCTTTGAATTTTACTAACTTGGCTTTTGTTGATTGCTGTAATCGTAAATGACAATATAAAAAACTGGGCAGCATTCCTTAACAAATTATGGATAATTTTTAGTGCTTGGAGCTTGTTTTAATTAGACTGGAAAGAAAACATATTAAAGCATAACTTGCATTTAAGAGAATTGAGATTTTAAAAATGATAAACTGGCTTTGAGAATTAAATTTATAGAAAAGGAAGATAATATTCGCCTGAACAATTGCAAATAGCGCAAACTCAAATATTTTTTGTTAAAAATTTAAAATAAAGGACTAACCAGAACAGAATGCACATTTATAATCGAGTAATAGCTACTATTCATAGCGGCGATCCTGCTTTTATATCTATGTTTTCATATTTACTGACTTACCAACTCCAGCTTGACAGATTGAGAGGGATTTCTTCTAGTTAATTGAAATCTGAATAGCTCGTGAATGTCTTGGCTTGTGGAAGACTAAAAGGGACAAAAAAAATTGTTTAAAGCCCAAATTTAGCTGCTAGTGAAAATAATTATCCAAACCCTTAAGAAAGCCAGAATAATATCCAGTTTAGCAAAGATTTGACAAATTCAAACCAGGGGTAGTCATTAGTTAAATTGAATACCATTGCGATTATTATATGATTTCTTCTAAATCTGCATACTACTCCCCTCCGTGAGCGAGCAAAACATTGGAAAAAATCCTATTTTTTGCACAAAAACCACCTTTTTAAACATTAAAATTAATAGAATTATCTTCATTATAGTAATGCCACATCATTTCCACAAAATTTTTAATTAAATATATTTTTAAGTGCTTTTTCTCGCTCACAGAAAGGTAGGGAAGTTAGAGAGATATATAATAAAAAAAATTAAAATTACAAAAATGATAAACAGACTATTCTAAATAAGAGTGGTCGCTACTTTTCAGATCTTCTTTGTGAATTCCTTCCACATATTTATATTTCACCGATTTATCGATACCAGCTTGTGAGGGAGTTCTTCGGGATAATTCAAATCTAAATAACTTACGAATGTCTTGGCCTTTTGGACGAACTAGAAGAGATGGCAGATATTTTTTCTGAAATCAAATTCCAACTGCCACGAAAAATACTCATCCACCTCCTAAAAGACACTGAGCAAGAATTATATTTAGCTGAGAAAAGAGATTGCAAATCCAAAGTCAGAGGCAATTAGTCAGGCAGATGGAATATCACATTGACGCTCGGTGATAATTATAAGGCTTTTTAATAAACGAGCCAAATACAAATAAGGATATTATGACAAAGCAGCATATGTTATAGCTTAATTCTGATTCAGGTAAAAGAACAATGCGCAAAACAATTAGAAGCAACTGCCAAAAACTCTTTATAACTAACTTTTCATACAAAAACAAATCTTACTCCCCACGGAGGGGGGTTTAATTCTTTTTAAAAAAATTTATATATAAATTTTTATAGAAAAAAAAATTTTCAAAATTTTAAAAAATCCTAATTTGCAAAAATTGAAAAGCAAATATTAATTTAATTATAAAAATTTATGTTTTTAAAACGCAATTTGTTTAAAATTAAACAGAATTAGCTCTAAATTTCATTATACTAATTATCACTTATATATCAAAATTTTTTTTTCCATAAAAAATTTTTTCTATTAAAAAAATTTTTGTTCACTCAGGGGGTGGATCTTTGGGCAAAAAAATAGGGATTTTTCCAATGGTTTTTGTTCACTCACGGAGAGTGGAGTTAGATTTTTTTATAAAATTTAAGGATTTAAAGATTTAAAAAAAATCTATATACATAAATTTGCATAGAAAAACAATATGATACCTATTTAAAAGAATGAAAACATTTCAGCTTTTATATAATAATAGGATAAATAACAGTCATAGTAGGATGAAAATTCTCTGCATAAAATTAAGCTTTGAATATTAAATTCGATATGGAGTGAGTGAAATGGCTGTTCTCTGAAATGAAACACGAGATCTTCAGTTTCGTCTTGCCACATAGGACGAAAGTACAAGCTAGTTGGCAAATATAGCAATAAAATGATAGAAGAAACGATCACATATTCTAGATGATTCCCTTGTCAGCAGAAAACAGAACAGTCTTGGTCATGATAGCTGTCCTTAAACTCATCCCCAATGCTGTGAGTACATTGAAAAGTCATAAGCAGAAAATTCACAATTGGTATAAATAAAAGGTCTCCAATAATTGGCAAACAATATTTTCCTAGCTCATCCATTGCTGTAAGCAATAAAATCTTGCACTTCTCTTCAACATGTAAAAGTCTTTGGACAAGTAAAATAATTCAAAAAACAGCTATAATATCCATAAGCTCGATCTGATCCCAAATATTTCAATGGCTTTCTTTTGTTGAGCCTCTGATATCAAGCATCGAAAACTTTCTCCCCTCTGAAATTTTGAGGGGGATTTTTAAAAATTTGTAATTTTTTTCAAAATTTAAAATATCCCAATTGATAAAGTAAAAATTAATTTAATTTGTAAAATTTATGTTTTAAAATGCAAGGTGTTTTAAATTAAACAAAATTAGTTAGAGATTTCATTATACTAGCTATAGCTTATATATCAAAATATTTTTTTCATATAAAAATTTTGTTCGCTCAAAAAGAGTGGTTTTTACCTAAAAAATTAGGGATTAAACAATAGTTTTGCTCGTTCATGGAGGGAGTTAGTTAAATTAGAAAGTTCAAGTAAGAACCCATTGAAGTCTGGCCCGATCGCTATATATTGCACACCTTCTATTATCATAGCAATATAAATTCATGTATCGATAAGTGTTTCTTCTTGCACTGAGTCAAGCATAGGAAATTCTCTGGTAAATATATAATTAAAATACTTTATTCCCAAAAAGGCTCCTAAAAGAAGTGGAAGTGTCCCAATTCCAGCCAACAGCAAATAGCCATCCAGAAATGGCTTGCTTTCGCTCGGCTTGAACGGGCATTCAAGATCTGCTCCAACAATATCGCTTGGTAGGACTCCTTTATTTTCATCGAACCACGACATAGAGTGAACAGTTTGATAAAAATTCACAGCATCCGGGTCATAAATGCCACACAGCCTCATTGTTCATGTAGAATTTATTTGAACTAAATTATAGATGCCAAATACTACGGTTGATCTGTCATTTGCATTTTTATCGATCTGGATTTTCCCAGTGCACCCTGTGAACTTGATATTTCTTATTGCTTTAGAAATCATTGTGCTGTTAAGATTGATTCCTAATGAAATTAAAGTATTGCCTAGGACGGCTTTCTGCTCATCCTGGGCTAGGATTTTTTAACAGACTCCGCGAGTTGACAAATGGCGTGGAGCTTTGCAATTTTTTTGGTTCCATACTAACTCACTATTTACAAGTTATATATAGAAAATTCCTAGCCAAGGATGAACTAAAAGCTGTCCTGGACTATATCCAACCCATGAGCTCCTAGATAAGCAGCATCATAATATAAGCACATTATATCAGGAGCCATCCCATAGGTGCTCAGTAACTCAGTTTTCAGTCTTTCTCCAACGGAGCCATAATAAGTTAGGCTTCCAAAATATAACAGTCCATCCATTAGTTCTTTTCGCTTTAAAAATGCCTTATGTCCAACCTCAGTCTCATTTAGGTATCCAACATCAATAACTAAGTCTGCAAGAAATAAATACAGATCTCCTTTTCTGACTCCTGCGTCGTAAAAAGCTTCAATCACATACAGATCGTCAGGAGCGGTGACTTCCATTACGAGATACCTTGACTTCACGTCTATGATTTCTTGGATAAATGATTTATCAGTTCCGTTGTATCCATAAGGAACTAGCCTTTTTTCGTTTAAAATTTCAATGTTATATTGCTTACTCTGGCTTTCGAACTGCTCTTTGAAATCTGTGCCTCACGTAGCATTTGTGCATAAAAGCGAAACTTTTCTAATACCAAAAGAGTATAAAATGATGGCGATAATTGACCCAGAAATTGTGTTAGGATAGGAAACTCGTGCGTATTGGGGATAATAGATTTGATTGCTCATAGAAGCTGTTGTCTGGATTCCTATTACAGGAGTTGATAAGTTTAAGCTGCGAAAAATTTCTATTGTACCTTGCGTTATTATGGTTTGCAAGCCGGTTAGATGAAAATAGCCAATATTTTCTAAGTGTGATTGCAAACAGTCATAACAGTATTTATACTCGAAGATTGATGCCCCACAATCTGAAATATTAAAAATTGAGAGCTCAAAATTGGATAATATTTCTGATTTACTGTTAATGTCATATACAGCATGCATAGCTCCAGTTAAAGCTAATGCATTTTCAGTATAGTAAGTGCCATCTGGATTTGACACTCCTCCATATGCACTAATAGAAATTGTTATTTTTGTGTTATCCGGAGCAGCTATGGAGCCTCCAGGGAAAATAAAAGGTGAGTCCACTTGCACCTCATTACCATTCATATACCCACAAATAACTTTTTGGCTGTTTTGAATGTTATACAAATAGGACTTGGAGTATCCTTCAATAACGGTTTTCATATAATTATTGACTGTGTAGGCTGAATAAGCTCCTTGAATTTCACTAGCTTCCATCAAATATCTTATAAAATTAGAAAAGTTGTCAATAAGATACTCCAGATAATCTTCTTCACTGCTAGCGACATAATCATCGTCTGAGATTAATATTGATCCTTCTAGATATGCAGCCCAGATACTATGATTTATGAAGATAAATGCATAGTCTGCTTTATTCATGTCTGCCTCAATAATTGCTTTTTGCACTAAAACTGTCGTGTCCTCGCTTGCGGCAATAATGATAATCCTTACCCCAAGCGGCTTGATTTGCTTCGCCAAAATAAGGAGAATTGCATCGTAAGAAATTAATGTTGGGACTATGACTTGGAAAGCTATATCAATTTCATTATTTACTTGAAAATCCATGCCTTGGAATTCCTGACCTAAAAGAACAACAGCTTTTTGCCATCCACGCGATTTAATAAATGATAAAGCGGTGTCTCTGATAGAAACATAAGAAGGCTCAGAGTAGTAAACAAAATCTTGAATAGTTTCTGGGTCATAACTATACACAAAATGCACAAATTCATATGATTTCGCATAATCGCTAATAAGAGAAGTAATACTTAGAGAAAAAGTGCCATCAAAAACGAAAGTAAAGTCCAATGCTGATATCAAAGATTCTATGTCAAAATAGCTATTAACTTCATATAAAACATAATATACGTTTGAATCTGCAGCACATTTCTGAGATTTGATTTCAAGACAACTATAATTTTTTGAAAAAGCATTCCTTATTGATTCTGGGGTGAACTTACTGTATAAAATAGGAATAATAGTATGTTGGCTTGCCGTTAAAAAAATCAAAACAGATATCAGAAAATTCATGCAGCTAATAATAATTATTATTCCAACTTTGAGCGAGAAAACCTATTGAGAAATATTTTTATACATAATTATCATTTATATTATCAAGCTAGTTATATTACATTTTATAAGTTTCAAAATTGTTTTTTGACCAAAATTAATTAAATTAAAGTTTTTGCAACTTTTTTTTGCCTCCTTACGCTTTCGGATAGTGTGGCCCATAAAAGGAGGGAATTCTAGCTCTATTTTAGAAGAATTGTCTGCTTTGAGGATAACGCTGGCATTGAGACCCAAGGGTCCCAACCATTCGAAAGACTTTTCCTCATTCGCCATCACATGAGGAGCAGTTACACTAGGAAAAAGAAGCACATCCTATAGAGCTGTAAGGGAAAAGGCTGTAGCTCAATCCGCCTGGATAAGTAATACTTGGTCATTGAGTCGCCACAAGCTCCTTCCCAAAGACTAGCCATACCATGCAGCCGCTCAAAGCAAGTTAATTGCTAAAGTTAACAAGGTTTTTATAAAACAATTCTAACATAAAAAAGGTTTTTCGCTCTCCAAGAGGAATTAGTATAAATAAAATTAATAATAGACGATAGAAAGATATCAAAAATCTATTTGATCGAAGTTAAATCAATTTCCACATTAGCATCTGAAAAGTTGCATTATTCTTACTTACGCTGAGAATTTTTTTGGAGATTCTGAGCGTAATAATTAGGGAATTTTTATTTTCAAAGATCCTAATGCATGATGATATACTTATCTGCTGATATATAAGCCGAATAGAGAGAACAAATAGCTGATCAAAACGAGTATAATTGCGCGTGAACTAATAAAATAAAAGAAAATTATAAAAAGAAGAATATTGAACAAGAAATGACAAAGATTTTCAATATATTGGGTTACTTCATATCAAAGAAAACTTGAATTTATTATTAGAGAATTGAGATATGCATTAATACAATAAGACTCGGCAAGCATTATAAACAGTCAATGGTTGATTATCTGCATAGAAAAGAAATGCTGATAAGTTTGCCTTAAATTCACAAACATTTATCGCTGATGCATATCGCTGATGCATATCGTTAAATTAAAAAAATTATTTAAGATTACTATTATAATAAATGAAAATAGAATAGATAATATAAAATTAAGAAGTGTAAAAAAGGATAAATATTTAAGCGAGTAATTGCTATTTTAACTCTCGCAAATATAATATCCTCAATGCTTGTAACTAAAAAGGCTTCAAAAAGAAGTGGAATTATTCCGATCGCAGCCGATATAAATATCCATGCAGAAACTATTTGCATAAATATGCATCTGTGATCTTTGGCAACAAAAACACTTGGCAAATTGCTTTGCTTTTGCAATACCATTAGATAAGTTATTTCTTTATTATCCAGATTATAAATTACACAGAGTCTTATTTTTCATATAGCTCTATAGATTTCGATAGAGAGCCACTAAGATAGACTGTTGAAGATTCTTCTCATTTATTGAGAAAATAAAGAGCCAGAAGCAAACTTCTGTGAAATGGTGCTGCATGGCCTTCAATTTAAAAATTAATGGATCGCGGATAATGCAAATTCTCAACACTAATGGTTTAATTTTATTAGCTTCAAGAATTATTAAGCTTAAATATTTGAAGTTTCAGAAAAATAATTTTAATTGCTGAATTTAAATAAATAAAGATATAATAGCATATAAATAAAAAATCTAAACTTAATTTCGATACAAATTCATGAAATTAAATGGCAATCTTTTATTTAAATATAGCACAAGCCTCATTTTAGATCTCTGAGGACAGGTGCTTTTAGATAAAAAATTTAAATTTTAAATTATGGAAAAATCTAAAAAGTCAATTTTCAAATTAACAAATAGGATACATATAATGGCATTTTTAAATTGATATTTGACTTTTTGGAATTTTTTGGAATTTCAAAATAATTTTTTCTTTGAAGGGCATTTCCTTAAAAATCTATCGGGGAGAACGCGCTATATTATTTTGTAAATAGTAGTGAGTTTTCTCAAAGGTTTGATGCCGTAAAAGAAATAAAGTTAGAAGGCTATCATAAATAAGCTCATGTCTGAATTATATAATTATTTAGAAAATTATTAATTAAATTTAAATTATATACCATATAGGGTTTTTACCTTGTGCAGCCATATAATTATTTTTAAAAAAATTTCCTTACTCTTAAATCTGAAGGAGTTATTAGTGTCTGCCTATTTATTTGACTCTGGAGTAGGTTTGAATTACAGAATAGGAATAACAATGTTTGGCTTGCCATAAAATAAATAGAGCTAAATTTAGAATATTCATATTATAGCAATTATTTTAAAAAATAAAAAAATCTTCAAATTAAAATTTATCGACTTGAAGAATAAGAGTTAATTTCTATATCAACATCTTCAATGCCAGCCAAATTGTAACCAGTGTGCTTAACTATTCCTGCTTCTACTGGAGACTTGTTAGATAATTGGAACCTAAATAATTTGAGAATGTCTTGGCCTTTACTCCTCGCTTTTCATAGAGGTAATATTTTTGCTTGCTCATAGAAGGCTTTATAAAAATTGACTTGCAAGAAATCAAAATTAAAAATTTATGCCATAGAATAAAGCTGTCTAATAATTAATAATTCCATAGCATTAAGTACTCATACATAAAATTATTTATATAAAATTTTTAAGGGATTTCTCATAAGTTGAAATTTTTTAATGGCTTTCATCAGCCGTCAATGATGGAAAGTTAGGCCCTACTAGCAGAGATGGCAAATAGAGCTGCTGATATATAAGACCAATAGAGAGTAAAATTGCTCACTCCTCCTTTAAATTGGAACCAAAAATTTTTTTCAAATTTAAAAGGGAAAATTTTTATAAAATTTTTTATGGAAAAAAATTATATAAAAATTTCAAAAATTTATCGAATTAGATTAATAAATTTGTTTAATAAAATGTTATTTATTCTTTATCCTTTAAAAAAAAGCAAGATATATCTAAAATTTTCATTATTAGCTAATACACCACTATTAATTGGTATCAAAACTATTTGCACAAAAATTCTTAATAAAAAAACAATTTTAAAAATTTATCGATTAAAATGCTAATTTTGTTTAAATAAGATGCTATTTATACTCTATTCTTTAAAATAAAGCAAAAAATAAGTAATTTTTGAATTTTTGTAAAAAATTCGCATTGAATTTATATCAAAATTATTTAAATAAAAAATATTATTTTACCTAAAAAATTTTTTTAAAAATTTAGCAATTAAGAATAGTTAATTTATTTAAATAAGATGCTTTTTTATAATCTCTTCTTTTAAAAAAGAGCAAGATATAACTAAATTTTTAATTTTAGTTAACTTATATCAAAACATTTTAGATAAAAATTATGATTATAAAAACGAATTTTGTTCCAATTTAAAGGGGCGAGTCAGCCAAATCCAAGCACTAATTGAGCAGCTAACTTGCTAATTTTAGCTATACAGCAACAAATTCATAATCATAAACTGAGCGAAATAAATACTACATATCACAAAGATGCTCGGTGATAATTATAAGGAAGCCTAATCATAGAAAAAACAATTATAAAGATTAGCACAGCAATCCCGCAGCCAATAAACATATATTCTGAAGCAGGGTAGACTGCAGTGTAAAGTATCATTAAAATTAGCTGGCAAAAACTCTTATTTACTGTATGTATAGGCTGTTCTCGAAAATTAAATAAGTTATGCTAATTGTTATAGCACCACTATCCTGACTATCTCACGTAAACCCATCTATCGTAAGGGGTAGCTCCCTAGGCTAATAGTCACCTATTTCAGATGCCCCATTAATCCCAATAAGCAAAGAAAAGTGGGAGGCAAAACCTGTCTAGCCCAATCAGCGGGACAGGGGAAACCTTCGGAAAAACAAAACATCCCTTTTCGACAGACATCCCCAAGCCGAAGGCTATTTCAAAAAGTACAGAGTAACTATTTTTAGCTTAATCGGGACTGGCCCTACCTGCTCCATAGGAGTGTGCCTCCAAGTCCATCTTCTGTAGACGCCACCATTTTATTTCTATGAAAATTAAATAAGGCTTGCTCAAGATGATCTTGCCAAGTTGGTCGATGATATATGCTAGCAGGCAAATATAAAAAAATCGCGACTGAAGACAAACCCACAAAAATTGTATGTTTACCCTGCCAACAAGAAGTCCAGCAGTCTTGATGATGAAAACTGTCTTGGAAGCCATCTCCAGTGCTGCTTATGCACTGAAAAGTAAGCCACAAGAACAAGTTCATAGGCAAAAACAAGGCATCTCCAATATAAGGCAGAAAATACTCGCTCATTTCGTTTATGATTCTAACCCCCCCTCCTTGAGTAAACAAAACAGTTTGAAAAATCCTATTTTGGGTGACAAAACACCCTACGTGAGCAAGCAAAATTTTTATAAAACAAAATTTTGATTTATAAGTGAGAATTATTATAATAAAGTCTCTAGATGATTCTGTTTAATTTAAAAAGCATGCATTTTAAAACATAAATCTTACAAATTCAATTAATATCTGCTTTAAAATTATTTTGAATTGGGATTTTTTTAAAATTTTGAAAAAAAATTTTCTATCAAATTTAAAAATAATTTTTTAAAAATTAATATCCATGAGTGAACAAAACTTTATTTTTTCGATTAAAGATTGGGATAAGGAAAAATATCTTTGATGTCTTTCCCCACTCAAAAGTCCTCAGCATTAGTAAGATAAATCAAATTAGCGATATGAACTCAATCATTCCTATTTGGTTTCAAATTGTTCAATGGGCGTTTTTATTCCATCCTCGGACATCAAGCATAGAGATCCTTGTAAGCACTGACAATTTTGGGAAAAAGGTTGTAAAATCTGGACCAACTGCCATGTACTGCAAGGACTCTACTACCATGATGAGATAAGCACAAGCGTCCAAAATCGTTTCTTTTTTAACTGAAATCAGCAACGGAAATTCGCGTCTAATCAAAAAATCATAGCAGATAGCTACAAAAGCGATGAGAAACAGCAGAGGAGCAATTTCTATAGTAGCTATAATTATATATCCAAATATAAAAGGAGAAGCAGCATCTTCTTTAAAAGGACAGTCAAGATCAGCACCAATTATGTCGCTGGGGACTTTTCCATCACTTTTAACTCATGAAATCGTAGAATCAAGCTTCAGCATGACTTCAAGATTCGGGTTATAAATCCCACGATATTTCATAGTCCAAGTAGAATTTATTTGCAGTAAGTTATAAATCCCAAGCCTAATTGTCAGTCTATCATTTCCATATCTGCTTATTTTGACTAAGCCTGAGCAGCCATCAAAAGTGACACTCCTTGATAGGTCTTCTATGGTTGAGCTGTTCAAGTTTGTGCCTTGGCTTAACAAAGCATCAATTGTATGGGCTCCGAGATAGACGGCATCGTAAAACAGACACATGTAGTCGTAGGCAAGCCCATACTTTTCTAGTAAAGATGCCTTAACTCTTTTCCCTATATCTCCATAAAATGCTAAAAAACTGATATAGATGAGACCGTCCATGATCTCTATTCTCTTTGCATAAGATTCAGCTCCGATCTGTTTTTCGTCCATGTCATAGATACTAACTGTGTGGTTAAGCACAAATCATAGCCGCCTACCTACGATTAGTTTATCTGCAGATTCCATGCTAAGCTTTATTTATTGGTAAATAAGACGCTTATCTACTAATTTCGATAGATAAAAGATAGAATAAAGCTCAATTTTTAGTGGCATCTGAATCTTAACTTTATTTTAAATAGTTTATTGAATCAACCTCCCTCATTGCACCTGTAGTCGGTGGGCTCATAAGGAAAAACTGGAGGATGACGTTCAGGAATTATACCTGCCCAAGTTTTAATTGGTTTTGTGGAGCATAAAGTCGGGGTGGGAGAGCATATGCTCACATGTAGGTCAAGTTTTTACTCCATGGGGATATTGGTCGAAAACTTGCTTTTCAAATTTCTGGAAGGGCAAATATCGATTATACGCGGCATGATAACCCAACGTCTATAGCTCTTAGGTGGCGAATCTAAGTCCTCGGCCGTGAGGAGCAGCATCGCGGAAAGCCCAGGCATAATCAGTGGAGCATATGCGGAGGTGAGTAGCAGCCTGAGGACCAGTAGCGGACTTCTCTCTATAAGTAATTTAAGTTTACTCTGCCTCTTAAGTTTGAGCATCCAATGGATCAGGGGTTGAGATCTATGCTTGGCCAACTGCGCCATCTCCCACTATAAGAAAGATATCTCCTTTCCTCATTCCCAAGTCATAAAGTGCTTCTATTACATAAAACACATCTGGCTGGTTCAGCTCAAGCACCACATATCTGCTTTTTGTGTCAATAATTTCTTGGATTATTGCTTTATCTGCTCCTACGTATCCAGGATTAAGCGCCCGATTTTTATTTAAAATCTCGATCCCATAAGATTTAGCTTGGCTTACAAATTGGACATTATAATCGTTTCCTCAAGTTGAGTTTGAATACAGCAGAGAACATTTTGAAACTCCTAATACGGACAGCAATAAAGCTGCAGCAGATCCTGTATATGAATTTGGAAAGGAAACCCTGGCGTACTGAGGATAGTAATTAAGATTGCTCATTGCGCTTGATGTTTGTGTCCCAAAAAGGGGCGTTGAAATATTGGCTGCTTGGAAAACTTGGACAGTCCCTTTAGCGATAGAAGTTTGCAGTCCTGGGATATGAAAATATCCTAACCCTCAATCTCTTTAAGAGCGAGAAAAATGCCAATTTTAGGAAAAATAGCTTTTGAGGGCAAGTAAATATTTTCTAATTGAAAGTAAAAATATTTTTATATAAAATTAATAATTGATAAAAAAGAGATCTCTAGCTATTTAAACATGATAATAAAAATTTTTTTTTCTTTTCCAAATTTGGATTTTTGAAAGTAAAAATTTCATTTGAATTTCTATCAAAAAAATTTACTAAATTCCATTAAAGAGTGAACAAAAAATCTTGATTGCTCTTAAAAGTGGAGTAAGTCTTCTGTGTGATTTTTAAAGCAGTTATAAGAAAAATTATAATCGAAATAATAGCTCCCGCAGTCAGAAATGTTATAAGCCGCCATATCAAAATTCTCCAAAAGCCCGTCCATAGAATTAAGTTCGTTTACAGCAAGAACAGACCCCATTTGATTAATAGCATTTCTGGGATACACGAAGCCATTTGAGTTCGAAACGCCTCCATTGATGCTGAAAGGAATTTTAAACTTCTCATTGTCTGGAGCTTCTCAGCTTCCTCCTGGAAATAATAAAGGTGTATTTATATTAACCACATTTTTCGAAATAGTTCCCACCTTTGGTCTCGTTCCGTCCTGCAGCACATTATAAATCGAAAAATCAGCAGACCATGTGAGACCAATTTCTACGTATTTATTGAAATAATAAGCTGAATAGGACCCTTGATATTGATTATCACTCGTCATAGATACTAATAAAGAAGTAGTCCATTGGATAATTGTATTCAAATAATCAATTATCCCAGTATTAGAAATAGACTTCCCTTCAACTAAAATTGCTCCTTCTAGGTTTGCAGCCCAAGCACTCTGCTGAACAAAAATGTAGGCATAGCCGCGTTTATACATTTCAGCCTCAATTAATGCTTTTTGTATAGAAGCGGAAATAATTAAATATGGCATTTCAGCCCTGGGCATGGCCTCCCGGCCATGCAGCCTTGAGCATATATTTAATTATATCCGGCAAGGTTTTGCTAGTCTAGAAATAGAAACTTGCTAGTTAAGCAATCCCAGTAGTGTTTGGGTCCTAGCCTTAGTCAGCTATCAGAGCTGAATTTTACCTCGATGAGAAGGGAAACTTGGAGTTGGAAAGGGGAAGCCTAGTAAAGCTTATTAGGTATATCAGGAAAATCACTAGCGTAAAACCAGGTGTTACGCCCTGAGCTACAAGCTTTCACTTTTGCCGAGAGTGGCCAGAAGTTCCAATTTTAGAGCTTTATGCAGGCAACCTAGTCTGGCATACATAAAACACAGTGGCCCATGCCATTCTCCTCTTCGTTTGATGCGAACCTCAAGCGGAGAGGATTTAACCCCCTGATGGTGGGTGGCAGGCCGAAAAGAAGCAAGTTGGAGATAAGTACCTTATCGGGTATCATAGGGAGCTTCTCAATAATCATCACTAACTAACTAACTAACTAACGTTTGTATAGAAACGGAAACGCTTTCATTTGTCATTATCAGCATCAGCTTTACGCCTAAAGGTTTTATTTCTTTTGTGATCATCAGCAAGATCGATTCATACGATGCAGCTGCTGACACGACATACTGCTGCACGATTTTTATGTCCTTGCTGGCTGTAAAGTTAACTCCAATGAATTCTGTACTCAAAACTGCGACGGCTTTTTGCATTCCGTAATACTTCGCAAGTGAAATAACTGCTTCTCTATACTTATCAAAAGGAAAATCTGAATAATAAATATTTTTTGTGGGATTATCAGGGGAGTACGCATAGACAAATTGAATAAAACCGTAAAATCGTGCGTATTCGCTGATTAGAGTGGTCATGCTTAATGAGTAAGTTCCGTCGAGAACAAACGTAAAGTCAGAATCTTCAAAAAAATTTTGAAAATCAGCTAGATCGTTCACCTCATATAGAATATAAAATACAGGAGAGTTAGGCTGGCATCCAGGGGCATTCGCATAAGGACAATTATAGTAAGTTTTAAAAAAAGCAACTATCTCTTTAGGGGTAAATTGACTGTACATTATTGGGATCGTGACGAATTGGCTTGCGACTTTAAAAAAAACACATATCAAGATGAGGAGAATGGCCATTTGTAATCTTTAATTTTTTACGCCTGAGATTAATGAATGATTTATTAATAATCAGATATATAATACAATTAAGCTAGTGTTTGAAGAGACGCGTTTTTGAGTTCTTACTCCCCCCCTCCGCGAGTGAACAAAAAAATTTTGTTAACTCACGGAGGGGATTAATTTTTTTTTTTAAAAAAATTTATATATAAAATTTTATAAAAAATTGTTTTTTCGAAATTTAAAAAAATCCTAGTTCGCAAAAATTGGAAAGCAAATATTAATTCAATTTGCAAAATTTATGTTTTAAAAAGCAATTTTTGTTTAAAATTAAACAGAATTAGCTCTATATTTCATTATACTAATTATCATTTATATATTAAAACTTTTTTCCATAAAAAATTTTTCTATTAAAAATTTTTTTTGTTCACTCACGGAGGGTGGGTTTTTGGGCAAAAAATAGGGATTTTTTCTAATGGTTTTGTTCACTCACGGAGGGGGGGGAGTTAGAAAATTTACATTAGAAATGAGGCTGGCTTAAGAATTTTGATGAAGAGATATTCAATATAGTTATATAGAAAACATAAAAAAATTGTGTTGTAATCTCTTGCCGATTTGAGCACGCCACGTAAAGAATTTAATTTTATGTGGATATTTCAAATATAGAGACTTGGCATGTAAAATTCTATTTCGCATGTCTTAATTCTTTCATAAAAATGATAATAGATATCGCATCATTGCACGAGTGCTGGAGATGTTGCTATTTAGCTATTGCTTAAGAATGCTCATCGAGCTAATCCGAAAATTATAAATATGAAGTGCTAATAGTCTATGGTTTAAAAATGAATTCTAGCTGTGTCAAAAATTCTTAAAATGCCAGCTCGGAAAGCACTGCGGATGTATTCTTAATTAAATATCAGAAAAAGAGATTTAAGCAAGAAAAAATATTAAGAAACCATAATAATTGATCTTAATGATTTGAGATTTTTATTAATGTAAGTGTAGTAAAATTACACCTTCTTTCTTATGAATCGAGAGTATAATAATTTTTTGATGAGAATTTCAAGTAAATCTTTGCTAATTCGAGGAATAAATTTTATATTTCTCCTCTTCGTGTGATGGATTTCTTTGAGGGAACTGATTAAGTGGCATTTCTCTTTTATTAATACTTCAATCTCAAGAATTAGCACCAGGGCACTTGTATTTTTTAAATTGTTAAATCGCTAAATGATTCAACGAAATATTAAGTGTGAGAAATTATCATTCATATTTCTCTAAGATTACAGCTAAGGCTATTTAATTATTTATTAATAAAATTGACATATGGAAATTTTTAAGATTTCGCAGTTTTGAATTTTTTTGTATTTAAAAATTATTAATCGAAAATATCAATAAATTATTTAATTTAAGACTATAAATCAAATTGAAACAATTTATCAATTTTTAATTATTTATAAAGTTTGCAGGAATAAACAATTAGGAGAGAATTTTATATCATATAAACACATGAGATAAGCTATAATAATAGCATTGATTTATTAAAGACTAAATTATTAATAAAATGTGTTAGCTTCTATCCATCCCTTCTCTCCCGTTCCTCTAAGCCTAGCTTTTTCTCTTCTCAAAAGAAACTTTCTTGATTCATCATAGATAATAAGTAAGATAAATGAAGGAATTGCAGGAAATCCCCAATGCAAATACGGCAACGGCCTTCCTCCTAGTGCAGAATTAATTCCAGGGACATAGCAAAGTATCACCGCAAGAGCAGTTTCCAAAACCATACTCCAATTTAATATCCAATTATGCAAGCCCTGATCAATAAGACTCTGCTCTCTAGTCCTTACAATGTGCAAATTTGCCCACTGTGTCACAACAATTGCTACAAAAAATGCACATTGCGCATAATGCAGCGCCTCGCTTGTATAGGGCTTTCCCTTGAATAGCCCGATAACGGGATGAAGCCAGCCCGTTATCGGGCTATTCAAGGGAAAGCCCTATATAACAAATATGATGGTCTGTGACTGGTGAGGTCAGCTCTTTATATTTGCAGTCAGACCACGCATCATCTGAATAATTATAAAACCATATGCGGAGATCATAATCCCCGTCCCCATCTGTCAAATAATCAACAGTTTTGTGCTCATACTCCTTAACCCCTATATGGGTATTCCCTTTATATTCTGATTTTGGATTATATACATCATCTTCTGCAGGCTTAGTCCCTGAATCTGCATTGGCAAAAAACCAAAGTGTGGCTGGCTCAAAGCCAAAATCATATAAAACTCCAAAATAAGCCAAAAATCCTCCAAGCGCTTCAATCATTCCTGTCTGCATATAAGCGAAGAATAAAAGCTGATAACTCATAAGGTGGTCCACCTGGGCGTTTCTGGGCTTTCTTTTCATAATATCAAGCTCAGGATCTTCATAGGCAAGAGAAACAGCAGGGACCATATCAGTCCCTAAATCAATCGCAAGCATTAATATTGTGGTAAGAGGGAGAGGGATCTGGAACGTCACAAAAGCCAAAAATGGCAGAATCTCAGGAATATTTGACGCTAAAACATAAGCAATTGTACGCTTTAAGTTGTCAAAAATGACACGTCCTTGCATGACTCCATTGATTATTGATGCAAAATTATCATCAAGTAGCAGCATATCTGCTGCATCTTTTGCGATATCACTGCCAACTATTCCCATTGCGATGCCAATATCAGCTTTTTTAATGGCAGGACTGTCATTAACCCCATCTCCAGTGACAGCTACAACATGGTTCAGTTTTTGGTTTGCGTCAACAATCATGTATTTTTGTGCTGGGGAGGTTCTTGCGAATACAATTTCTTTTTTCTGCAGCCATTTTGTCAATCTTTGTTTCCTGAAAGGGAGCTCTGAGTCTTCTGTGTGAGCTTTTGTAAGCATATCACCGTGGATTACAATTGCGTCACTTTGCTTCATGGCCCTATTTCAGGATATCCCTTCATCGACTAAATCGTTGACTGTTTTTGGGACTGTTATGATATTTACTTGTCGAGCAATAGCAGCAGCTGTCAAAGGCTGGTCTCCTGTCACCATGATTACTTTGATTCCTGCATCTTTGGCACACATAACAGCTTCTTTTACACCTTTTTTGGGAGGGTCCATTAGGGCTGTGAGACCAATGAATGTTAAATTAGTCAGCGGGAAATTCGGGCAGTCTTTATGATTTGGGTCAAAGACGTAATCGGCAGGGAAATCATTTTTAGAAAGCCAAGTAAAAGCAAATCCAAGGACTCTTTGGCCTTTACTTCCGAAATATTTATTGGCTGCATGGAAGTTTTCAGTTGCTTCTTCATCAATAAGCTGATGGCCATGGGGCGTAAGGATTTCTGAGCATCTCCCCCATAACTGCTCTGGCGCTCCTTTCATGAATAAAATGCAGTCGTTCTCATGCTTTTGAGTTGCCCAACTTACAGGTCCGTGTATAGTCACAGCATATTTGTTGGCTGAGTTAAAAGGAATTTCAGCCCTCACCCCTTTTCTAGTTAAGACTGGGGAGTTTTTTCTATAGTCAGCAATTTCAGAAATAGGATTAAAAAACTTAATCAACGCGATTTCAGAGGCATCTCCTCCAATTGTGGGCGTTTCCTCAATTGATTTCTGCTTAAGCAGTTCTTTATAGCTTGTTTTTATTCTAAAAATCATAGAATCTCTAACTCAACCCCTCTTCATAGCGAACAAAACAATTAGCAAAATCCCTATCTTTTGCCCCAAAAACCCACCCTCCGTGAATAAAAAATTATTATGGGAAAAATTTTTGATATATAAGTGAAAACTAGTATCATGAAATCTCGAGCTAATTCTGCTTAATTTTAAATAAATTGCGTTTTGAAACACAAATTTTACAAATTTAATTAATATTTGTCGAGGGATTTTTTTGAATACTGAAAAGAAAAAAAAAAATTTCTTTAAAATTTATATATAATTTTTTTTTAAAAAATTTAATTAACCCTTCCTTCGTGAATAAGATTTTTTAGTCGCTCGCAGAGCGGGTGAGTAAAAGAAAACCCGTGATCGTCATGAAGCAAAACTGATGGAGGCTCGTAAGTGAATTGAGCTCGATTGTTTAAAACTGCGCATCTTAAAAGCATCCAAAATGTAGAATCTCCTAAATCGTATCCAAGCTGTTCTCCTTCTTCTCTTTCTTCATAGTTTATTACGTCTCTTACCTTATTATCGTACCACATGCTTACCACTTTCATCTTGTTTTCTGTCAAAGTCCCAGTTTTGTCAGAGCATACACATGTGGTCGACCCAAGGGTTTCAACAGCTTCTAGGTTTTTTACTAGGACATTTTTGTCAGCCATCCTTTTAGAAGTCAGAGAAAGGGCAACTGTCACCTCAGCTAAAAGGCCTTCAGGGACATTAGCTACAATGATTCCGATAGCATTTACAATATTTATTAGTAAAGGATATTGAAAAGCAAAGCCTAGGAAAAAGAAAGTGATGCCGAGACAGATAGCGACACAACTGATGATTTTTACAAAAAACTGGAGCTCCTTGTTAAGCGGAGTCTGCTCACTTGTAGTTGTGATGGCTAGGCCTGCGATTTTCCCCATAACTGTACCATCGCCAGTAAAAATTACAATCCCTTTTCCTTCTCCAGAGCTACATAAAGTTCCAAAGAACGCCAAGTTTTCAGTTTCAAGGGGGTTTGCCTCATTGGTGCACTCTACAGTCCTTAATTGAGGCTCACTTTCCCCTGTCAAAGAAGAATTGTCTACCTTCATGTAATTAGATTCTAGTATCCTAATATCAGCTGGAATTTTAGCCCCCTGCTTAATTACAACAATATCGCCAGGCACAAGTTTGACTGATTCAATTTCTTTTTTCTGTCCTTCTCTAATAACCATACATTTTGGAGGAATCAGATTTTTGAAGCCAGCCATAATTGCTTCTGACTTAGCCTGCTGAAAATAGCTGAAGCAGCCAGTCAATAAAACGGTAACGACAAGAGAAGTGCCTAGATAGAAATTGGAAGGATCTTCTGGGCTCATACCATAGGCTACATAACATAATCCTGCACCTGCCCACAAGAGGAGAGAAAAAAGGCCAGTCAGTTGCTTTATAAATTTGCAGTACCAAGGCAGCCCTTTCTTTTCAGAGAGCTTATTTTCTCCAAAGACCTTTAATTTGGCACGGGCTGATGACTCATTAAGGCCAGAATCATAGTCTGTTTCAAGCTTTCCAGCAAGTTCTCTCAATGGAATTTTATGCTCGACCATTTCTCTGACTCCCCCCCCTTTAAATTGGAACAAAATATCGGTAAAATTTCCACTTTTTTGGTAAATTAACCCCCCTTTAAATTGGAACAAAATTTAATTTTTATAATAAAAAATTATATATAATTTTTATCTAAAAGTTTTGATATAAGTTAAATGTTTCTTCTTAATTAAAATTAAAAATTTATTTATATCTTGCTCTTTTTTTAAAGAAAAAAGTATAAAGAGCATCTTATTTAAATAAATTGATTATCCTTAATTGGTAAATTTTTAAAAAAAAATTAATTTTTTTTTTTTTAAAAAATTTTCAAAAAATTTTTGTTTTTTTTGATAAAAATGATATTTTTTATTTGGATAGTTTTGATATAAAATTCAATAGGAATTCTTTATAAAATTTCAAAATTTACTTATTTCTTGCTTTATTTTAAAGAATAGAGTATAAATAACATCTTATTTAAACAAAATTAGCACTTTGATCGATAAATTTTCCAAAATTTTTTTTTTTTTAATTTTTTTTATCAATAAAAATAAAAATTTTTGTGTAAATAATTTTGATACCAATTAATAGTGGCGTATTAACTAATAATGAAAATTTAGTTATATCTTGCTTTGTTTTAAAGGATAAAGAGTAAATAGCGTTTTATTAAACAAATTTATTGATCTAATTCGATAAGTTTTTGAAATTTTTTGTTTTTTATTTTTTTATTTTTATATTTTCTATAAAAAATTTATATTGATATTTTTTTTTAAAAAAAAAAATTAACCCCCCTTTAAATTGGAACAAAATTTTTAGTTCCAATTTAAAGGGGGGGGGAGTGAAAGCTTCAGAATTTTTGATGGCGGCGTCAGTTTTGGAGCTTGAGGTCTCTTTTGAAAGTCTTACTTCTGGAGCTGTTTGACTTAAAAGCTTCTCCTTATAAGGTGATGTGCTTGGTCTGAATGCTTTAGACATAAATCTCTAATAAATTGTAAAGCATCATGTTTTGGGATAAATCTTTAAATTTCCGGTAAAAAATGACTGGCTATTTATTGTTATGATAAGGAGATTTAACCATTTTTAATGCAAGAATTAAAAAGGATTAATTTTCATTGCTAAGGTAGGATGAGCCATGAGCAAGAGTTTCTATAGATAAACTTTCACGACCCAATAACCTTTTATTCATAATTATCAATTTTCCAATTTTTTTTATTTTTTGCAATTGCTATATTTTAGGCTATAAAACACTATTCATGTTCCACAAAAAGAAATCCTTAAATAGCTTTTGAATAAGCAATGCATATATAAAAAAATATAAAATTATTATAAAAGATTTTAATTAGCTTATAGTTTTCGAATTTTGTAGGTAAGCTATATTGAATTTTTGCTCCCCTTATTAGAATGAACAAAACATACTAAAAGCTCTAATGACTCTGTAAATTCTATTGGAAGAGCTAGAAAATGTCTTATATACCAATTCAAGCCTAAAATATCGAACCCTAAAATTCCATTTTAATAAAAATTTAATTTCCGTAATTTTAAAATAAAAGAATTAAAATAATTTATTTGCTTCAAAATTTGTAACAGATTTAATGCTCAATTTTTATCTAAAAATAATCAAGACTTTAGCCTAATTTTATAAAATTATAATACAAAATTCTTTTTACCTAAAAATATTTAACTCTAATCTTGCATTGATAACAAACCTTTATAATGTTAATAATCATCCTTTCCATTATCGCTCTGTCGTCCTGCGCATATGGAGGAAGCATCGATCCAGATCTTTCAAATCCAATCCAACTTCTTTGAAACAATGCAGGCGACACTACAAGATACATTTTTAATTTCCAGCTTACAACTCAAATTCTTTCTGATGCCACATTGACAATTGATTTCCCTTCTCAATACGCAGCGAATTTAGGAATAACCAGCTGTTCAGCTTTCGAAATTTCCAACAGTTCTCCTACCACGCTCGCTTGTTCAGTTTCAAACCGAAGGGTTACTTTCCAATTCGGCAAAATTACAGCTGGCCAAAAATCAATAAAATTGCTTGGAGTTCAAAATCCAGCTACCTCCCAAGGCACAGGAGTGTTCGGGATCCGAACTTGAAAGAGTGCAACAATAATAGACGAGAACGCCCTGTACCCTCCTCTTGGAATTGCTACAGCTCCTAGTGCTCTTACAGTCTCATTAATCTACGAAGGAGCATTGTTAGCTAACTACTCTCCTTTATATAAATTCGTAATCACTGTAACTTCAGCGTTCCCTGCTGGGTCCTGACTGAGGATTTTGCTGCCATCTACTTATACATTTGGGGAAAACCCAACTTGCTATGTGGAGAATTGGAAGACGTGAGTGAATTGTTCACAATTCGAAGATACCTCACATTTATATTTCTCGTCCTTAGAACAAGAACTGGAATCAGGAAAATATAATATTAGTGTCTATGAAATTTATAACCCTGCTGTCACAGGAAACCCTGGGACAATCACTTTAGAAATTTTACAAGAAAATACTTTTACTGTCTTATCAAGGAATTCAGCAATTGCAACTCCAACAATTCTGGCTGGGACAATAAGCAAAGTTACCATTTCAGCGACCCCCCTGATACAAAACTCTCCAGCCAACTATACTTTTATTTTTCTGCCTTATAATACGATTCCTCAAGGAGGGTCTATACAGATTCAGTTTCCTTCCACTTATAATGGGATTATTTCAGGAACCTGCTTTGCAGTTTCTGGGCTAATGCCAGTCTCAGGATCTCAACTAGTTTCCTGTTCGTCTACCACATCGATAGTAACCTTTGCCGGCTTTCAAGCAGTTTCCCATCAATATTTGACACTTTTTGTAGCAGCTAGCAATCCAAGCAGCTCGGGAAACACTCCACAATTCAGTATTTTTACATATGATAGCAATGGGATACTTATTGACCAAAACTTAAAAGCAGGTTATGTGACTATTTCGACAGTGCAATACCCTGAAGGTTTCGACATTGACATGTTTTATGCAAAATCTGATAACCCTATAGGAAGCTACGGCCCAATTGACATTTTTCTGCACCCCAGAAACTACGTCCCTTGCACAGTCCCACCTTCTACTTATTTAGACATTTCTATTGACCTGCCCGGCTCATTGATTTTGCAAAGTGGCTCGCTTTATTGCACATTTGGCTCAGATCAAGTGCCAGCCTCAAGCTGTGTTTATACATCAGGGTCACCAAATGTAATTACCATTAGAACACCAACCAGCACAGCTGTAGACTGCTGCCCTCTTTCAATTAAAATTACTACAGTCGGCGCAGTTCCTGGAGGCTTTATGATCCCTTCTAATTCCTATGGAAACCAAATTTTTACTGCCAAAGTTTACGATTCCTCAGGGACACAGCTTGAAGAAGCCCAATTTATCTTCCAAACCCGTCCATCCACTTTTTCGTCCTATACTTTAGATTACCTTCACCATACAAGAGATGCGTGGAACGTCATAAGATTGACCTTTACAAATACTGTGGATATCCCTTCTAATGGTATGCTAGAATTTGAGTTCGTGACTGCAGGACATAGCTTCCCAAGAGACTTGGGCTGGGGACTGGAGTCTTTTGTAACCCATCAGTTTTCGTGCATTTATCAGTCTAATTGGCCGGATTCTCCATCAGGGAGTATGTATTGCGACTTAACGACTGGGACAACGGTGACTTCTGCTTTTGTAAGATTGCAAGGGTTTACTTCAACAGTAACTGCAGGAACAAGCCGTTGGGTTACTCTGTCTAATGTGAGAAATGCTTTATATGCAGGATTTGTGCCAACTGTGATAGTCCGGACAAAGGATTCAAACGGAATTGTGCTTCAAGAGCAGACTACTAATTTGCCGGCACTTGTAGAGTTGCCGACTGCTTCTACATCAGGGACTGTTACTACAAGTTCTACTACATTAGATGACTCCGACGTCGAAATGGACTTCAGTTTGCCTATGTCAGCAACAATTTCTAATAGTGGGGAAGTGTACTTTGTCTTCCCATATGGCTACAAGTGGAATTATCCGAATCCTCAAGGAGGATCTATTGGGACTTGCTCTTCTTCTACCTTGTATGGTGGGACAAGCAGATATAAGAAATTTACTCAATGGCAAGCAGCTGGGATGCTATATACCCAGGTGTCAGGAGACAGTGCTTCTTCTCCTTTTAACACTTGCTTTCTAGCTGACCATCAGTCTTTATGGATCCAGACACCTACGATTACAGCTTATGTAGTCGCTAACAAAGTGGTGCAGGATTATTATTTGATTTCTCATCCTTCTATTACCCATACAGCCTCTGCAAGCTTTACTGGAGCAATGGAACAGACAGGACAATACGACAAAAACACCAAAAACTTGTGGGTGTTTACTTTTACTACAAGCCAACGCATAACTCCAGGCGGAAGCGTCCAGGCAACCCTCCCAATTACTTATTTTTCAAGCATAAGCACCACTTGCTATAAAGTCGTAAATAGTGGAGTCACTTGTAAAGGGCAGCCAAATTGGTCTTCAAGTTACCATAGAATTTTGATTTCAAATGTAGCCTCCTCCAGCACTCTTTCTCCTTCAGTCACTTTTGAAATTTGGATCTATGCGACTACTAGTGGTACTACTGGGATTGCCGATGTAGATCTCTATTCTGAAGATGAGGACACAAATTCTAATAAGAAAATCGAAGACTTAGTCGTGTCGCTTACGATAGATGACTATGAACCACCTGCGTATATAACGATGGATTCCTTAACTTCAAATCTTATAGAAGCTTATGGGTCAACTGCTTTGTATGATGAGTATGGCACAATTTTATTGATATTCCAGCCTAATAATATTTTCCCTGAAGCTACAACTTTGTATGATACTCTTGTTACTATCACATTTCCATATGATGGAACGACCCAGTTTTTCCCTAAAAACTCTGCAGGGCTGATTCAGTGCAGAATGCAAAAATATCCACCGTTTATGCAGTATGGGTATTTTGGAAGGCTATGTGAATGGACAGCTGGGCCACCTGACGTAGTAACTTTTTATGTCCCCAAAGAACTCCGAGTAGACCCTGCCTTAGGGCAATTTCAAATAGAACTCTCCACAATTGGTGTTGTCCCTCCTATAGAAAATGGCTTTTTATATCCCCAGCCTTGGGGCTACTATAGATTCATAATAAACCTAGACAAAAATTCTGGCGCCAACATAGAGCAAGCTGAGCCACTTCTCTATTTATCAGGAAACCGTCCAACTGTACTATATACCACTTCAGAGCACAAAGGTGCAGGACTCTGGAACGTCATGATGTTTAACTTCAAAGCGACCACCTCAATTCCCCCTTCAAATGACCCTACAACCCCTGGTTATATTTTTATAAAGTTCCCATTTGACTACTTTTCAACAGGGAAAGGGTGGAAATCAGATCTTGGGATGAATATGGCAGACGGCTCAAAAATTTCTTGCTTACAAGACTCTACTCTCCATACAGCTCCAGCTATGGATTGCTATTTAATGTATGGTTATGCGACTTATGTAACCATAAAAGTTACTTTTACGTCAACTGTGAATGCTGGAGACTATATAAATTTGTACTTTGCATCAATAGAAAACCCGTCGGCAAATTTGTATGATTTTGCGATTGAAATAAGCAGCCAATATGAAGATTTATCAGCGTATGAGGACCCACAGTGGGTGATGCTAGACAGAAAAGTCAATAGGTATGTGGAGACTTCATGGACGATTTCTCCTTCTACAGGACAAAATTTCCCCAGCTTTGACATATACTCAACTGTTGTCGATCCAGTACAGTTTGTCCCAGGAGACTCGCTGACAGTCGAATTCTCTATATTCAATTCTCAAAACATTGCAAGCGGCGAATATATATAATTAAAATATGGCGTCTTAGTCTGGGCATGGCCTCTCGGCCATGAAGCCTCGACTCATATTTTAATTATATCCGGCAAGGTTTTACCATTTCAGAGATGGACAGCAATGCTAGGTAAGCAATTCTGGTTGTGTGCAGAGCCTAGCCCAAGTCTACTCTCAGAGGTTGCTTTTTCCTCATGGGGAAGGAGGGCATGGAAGTTGAAAGGGGAGGCTCAGCAAAGTCCTTAGGATCAATCGGGCAACTCCCTAGCGTGAAACTGGGCGTTACGTCCCAGGCTACGCTCTTTTCCTTTTTGCCGACAGCCGACCAGAAAATCCAGTTTTAATGGATTTTCGGAAAAGCAACCCATGAAGGCAAGCAAGTAGCTCACTCATGAGCCGTCGAAGCCGGTGATATTTGCCCTAGCCGCACCCTGGTGATCAAAGCGGGTTGGCCCAGTAACCTCTGGGCCCGATGCGGCGAAAGGCGAGGGGTAGACCTGGGGAAAAAGTCTCTACCCCGTAAAGGACGTTAAGCGATATAAATTTTATGTAATGTAATGCAAGCGGCGAATATATTTGGCTAAAAATTCCTGACGAGTTTACAGTCCCTACCACTTTAGCGACTCTGGAGATTATTAAAGGAAGCCAAGGAGGATCTACAGACTCTTCCTGCATACCTGCTACACCTTACTATGTGTGGCCAGAAAACAGATTCATTTCAATGAAAAATTGCCACGGCCCACTAACAGTGCGCACTTTTAATAGGCCGTCTCCAGCTGCGCAAGACACTCCTAATAGAATTAGAGTTTCCTTATTAACATTGCCAAATTGGCCAACAGCTGACGGAGAGTTCACAGTTTACCATTTAGTAGACAGAAAAGCGCAGCTAGCCCGCCTATCCACTTTTCCTTGAAGCTATATGATCCCAACAGGTACTTGCACAGTAAATTATATTGGAACTACTGTATATGGCGACTATGGGGCAACTGAAGACTATAATTTCCAATTTAGCTGTGATGACGCCATTCCTGTTGGAGGAGACATTGTGATCACTTTTCCTTCAGTTTTTAATACTAATTCAGCGTCCATAAGCGCCTCTGGATGCACTTTTGGAGGTGGCTCAGCAGTGACTACAGCTGGAGGGGCTAGCTGTACATTGGTAAGAGGAATAGAGCTACACATAAATGGGTTTACGACAGCTGTTTCTGCAAATTCACTTATTGATGTGACAGTTAGCGTCCAAAACCCTACTCAAGGGTCCTATTCGAGCCCTTACAAAGCTTACCAATATACGATTGCGACATATGATAGCACTACTACAACTCCAGGAAGTTTTAATGTAATTGATTTAGTGACTTCTGCTGACTATGCGTGGCTGACTGTATCCTCTCCCAGGTCTATCAGACCTCCAGTGATCTCCACAGACACCAATCTAATTTTATACTACTTGCAAGATCCTCTTATTGACCCAGGCCTCGGCCCAATTACATTCACCATTACGACTCCTACCCAAATAACCCAAAAGACTGGCTACATGACCATTTCTACCACAAAAACCATATCTTTGCTAAATAATGCCCAAATCCGCTGTGTCTGGATAACAGGAACTACAGAGCTTCTAGCAGACCAATGCACCTTTACCTCTGGATCCCCAAACACAATAAAGATGTATGCTCCTACATATAATAATATTCCGGTTGCTACTAAATACACGATATACATCACTACAGTTTTTTCTGATGGAGGCTTAGAAGGAATCAGCTTTGGTAGTGGGCTGGTCAAATACCCCTTCTTTGTAGATGTCCATGCAGCAGGTGGATCTTCTACATCTGGATCAATGGGTTATTTAGAACAAGTCGCTGTCCCTTTCCCTTACTTGGACGTTATTTCTGACTGCTGGACACAAAACGAATACACTAGACTCCGAGTTATTTTCCAGGTTTCTTCTTCTACATCTATAGCTGCTAGCTCTTCTAGTACCAGAATTGTAATTGAACTACCTACTAATAGTGGACTTTTCCCAACTGACTTAGGCCTTGGAATAATTAAAATATGGCGTCTCCACCTAGCATGGCCTCCCGGCCATGCAGCTTCCGAGCACATATTTTAATTATATCCGGCAATGTTTTACTAACCCTAAAATGGACAGCAATGCTAGGTAAGCAATTCTGGCAGAGTACAGAGCCTAGCCCTCAGTCCAAATTCCGGATGAGGTTTTAACTCGAAGGGAAGGAGGTATTCAGGTTTGGAAAGGGCACGCCCAGCAAGATCTACAGGGAACACCTAGACCAATCGGGCAACTGCCTAGCGTGAAACTGGGAATTATGCCCCAGGACTTGAAATTTTCCTTTTTGCCGAGAGGTTACCAGAAATTCCATTTTTTGGAATTTTTGAGTGGCCAACTTCGTACACTCAAGCATCCGCAGAAGTCCATAGCCCGCCCACTCAACACTCAAGCCGCAAGGAGAGGAGTAGATGTCCAGGTGAAATCTCACTTCAGAATACACATGCCACCAGGAGCTGAAGAAGAGGAGGAAAGGCAGTGTCAGAGCTGAGCTTGGCCAGCGAATCATTGTCCCAACTCGAACAAGGTGAATCCGAAGACGGCGCAAAGCAGGTGAACCCCAGCGTTGGGGTCCTTTGTGACTGCGTAATCAAAAACAGCAGACGCCTTCTAATTTCTAAGTTAACTAAAGACTTAGGCCTTGGAATTAGCGAGAACGGAAAAGTTCCATGTGAAAGTCAGCAAAGCACAAGCGGGACTTTGACCTGCTACTTCTTCCCTGGGACGACAACTCCGGCTACTCCTGACAAAATCGTAGTTTCTGGATATAGTAGTATGAGCTCGTCTACCAGCTATTATCAGCTTGACTTCCCTAAAATCTATAACCCATCCACTGGAGGCGACGATAAAATAGTAGACGTCGTGGTTTATGCTTTAGATATAAGCTCTGGATGGCCAGGAACTTTCATATATTGGAGGACTATAAAAAATGTGTCAAGAATCAAGACAAATACATTAACATTAACATTAGATTAATAATGCTTAACGTCCCTTTTGGAGTTGACCGTTCCCAGGTCTACCCCTCGCCTTTCGCCGCATCGGGTTCAGAGGTTGCTAGGCCAACCCGCTTTGATCACCAGGGTGCGGCTAGGGCAAATATCACCGGCTTCGACGGCTCATGAGTGAGCTACTTGCTTGCTAACATGGGTTTGCTTTTCCGGAAATCCATAAAAAATGGATTTTCTGGTCGGCTGTCGGAAAAAAGGAAAAACACGTAGCCTGGGACGTAACGCCCAGTTTCACGCTAGGGAGTTGCCTGATTGGTCCTAAGGACTTTGCTGGGCTTCCCCTTTCCAACTTCCATGCCCTCCTTCCCATGAGGAAAAAACCACCTCTGAGAGTAGACTTGGGCTAGGCTCTGTACACAACCAAAATTGCTTATCTAGCATTGCTGTCTATCTCTAAATAGCAAAACCTTGCCGGATATAATTAAAATATGAATCGAGGCTGCATGGCCGGGAGGCCATGCCCAGACGAAAACGCCATATTTTAATTATGAATGAAGGCAAATACTGTGAGCACACTGACTTCTACTAATCAGGTTACAGTGTCAGGAACTACAGCTGGGAGCACAGGCGACTATACTTTTCCTGTAGATGTGACCTTGATAGCTAATGACTATTTTGTGATAGAATTGCCTAGCCTTGTGTCTATGAGTTCTTCGACCCCAACCTGCGAGTCCGACTCAGGAGCGGCCTTAACCTGCTATTATTACAAAGATACAAATACAGTCTTCGTAACGGCGACAGGAGCGCATACTTCAATTACGATTTACTCGATTAACAACCCTCCGTATGCACTTATTACAGCTCAATATCTTCAATTTTATGCTGAGTGGTGGAGCGAGTTCGAGAAAAAGACGAGAATTACTTATCCTGTTCTAAACGAGTCTTTTGGAACTCCAGGAGGCACAATAACAGTCACTGTTCCAGATAAGCCAAGCAATAAGTACTATAAAAGTGATGTTACAGAGTACAGAATTGATATATCAGTAGGCTATCCTATTCCTGTTGGAGGCTGCATTGCTTTTGATTTTCCTTCAGAGTATCCTAATCTTCCTGAGAGCACCTGCCAGCACTATCACCAAGGCACAATTTCGATGCTGACTGGGACTGTAACTTGTTCAGTTTCCAGCCTCAGAGTAGTCCTTACAGGGTTTAACGCAGTTTCGATCAGCACAGTAGTCTCCATAAAAGTGCTAGTGGAGCACCCATCAAGTGCTTTGACGACCTCAAGTGGGATTGTGTATAGCTCTTACAGCTCCAACTCTCCAATTGCTGCAAATCTCCTCGAATCTGTGACATCCTCCACTTTTACTATTACAAACACCCTTGCGCCTTCTTATTACTCTTTTCCACGCCAAATGATGGAATCTGTAGTTATAGAGGCTGGCAAATATGGCCCTATAAGGATGTCTCTATCAGGCTTAGGCACAATTATAGCCAATACAGGTTTTTTAAAAATAACTCTGTCAAGTTCGTTCGGAAGTATAGCTACTGGCAGTCAACTTGTATGCTTATGGAATAGCAGAATGAGCAGATGCTCCGTTTCAGGGTCAGTTTTCACTGTGTATGCTCCTGAAAACGCTAACTGGTCAACTTATCCATTTCTATTGACTCTTACCACCACAAATGCGGACTCTATTGACCAAGTAGGAATTCAGCACCCAAGCACAGCTGGTGAATATGGTATCCAAGTCAGCGCTGACTGTAACGGCGATGGTTCATTAATTAAAGAAGCAATTGACTATGTCCACGTCTTTCCCACCTCGCATTTGTCAACATTTTCGGTGAATCCTTCACACTATACAGCAAGTGCTATCAATTTATTCAAAATAACTATAACTCCAACTAATAGTATCCCTCAAGGCGGCTATGTAAGAGTCTATTTTCCAACTGCAGATTACTGGGGAAATACACTATTTGCGGATGATCTTGGAACTGGACTGTCAGATGGTGAGTATATTTCTTGTCAAGAATTTCCTTCTGATCCGAATTTAGTTCCAGTATCAGGCCAGACCATTAAATGCAAACTTTACCTTGGAAGTTCAAGCATTGCTAAGCCAGCATATGTAGAAATGACTAATTTCCAAGCTGTCAGTGGAGTTTTCACATTTGTAATTTTTGGTGTCGAGAATCCTCCAAACACATATGCAGATGCAATAAATGTTGGGTTCATAGCTCTGACTCTAGACGCAAGCTATGCCGATTTAGACTACTTAGATCTAACCTGGGTGTATACAGTCCTTGATGCAATTTCTTCAGACCCTGGAACTCCTTCTTCACCTAATGATAAGCCTTATGCAACTTCAGGCCAAGATGTGCTTGGGAGCACTGTGGAGATAAATATTCCTATGATGGACAATGTGGTAGCTATATCATCAGGAACGACTTATCTTATTGGAGTGCCTTCTGTAATTCCTCTGACAGGTGTTAGTATATCAGACTGCTATGTGTACGAAACCATTGGAATTATTGAGTACTACTCTCCTCCATCTGGATCTGCAGGCAGCTACCCTCTGTTAACCTTTACAACAACAGTAAAAATAAATAAAAACTGGTCAAGCCCAGTCCTCAGCTGTATTCAAATACTAAACAAAGTATGCCAGAGGGAAGACGATTATAATGGAATGGCCAGTTTAAATACACATGCCCTGACAATAGGAACTGTGACATTTTCTACAATAAAGAATCAAGATTTGATAGGCACGCTTTCTATAACCACAGGAGTAATAATACCTGTTAATGGTCTTATTATGGTAACTTATCCTACTGACTATACTATTGAAGGCAGCGATTGCGAAATTTCAGGACTTTCTACTATGACAAACTTCAAATGTACAGTCTCTGGACAGTCTGCAAGTATACAGGTCTATGAGTCTATTGCCAGCGGGACTACTTTGACTATTAAGGCATACCTTTTATCATTGGCAGAAGATAGCAGCAGCATGACAATAAGCACTTATTATGATTCAGCCGGGACAAGTATGCTGGAGACTGGCACGAGCACTCCTACAGCGATATCTTCTACTACGCCATGGCCTAACGCTTTCCAAGCCCCGCCCCAGTCAGTCACACTAACTTCTGCTTCAATTAACAAGTACGCTCAGATCAGGTTTAAGCTAAAAACTAGCCTGACAATTTCCTATTCTAGCTCAAAATATATCCAAGTCACTTTGGCTACAGGATTCCAAGGCAAAAGCTCCAACGCCAATCTTTACTGTACTGTTGACAATAACCGAGTTCCATGTTCAGAAACCACCGCAAATAAAGTCTACCAAATTTTTGCGTCCAGCACATATAGTATTTCCTCCAATGTGTGGCACGAAATCATCATATACACAAATGGAGCTGACGGTGATGCCAATGGGCTTCAGCTGTCTTCAAGCTTTTTCACTGAGTCTATAACTGTGATATCATATGACGGCTCCAGCTCTGAGACTGAAACAAGGCAGCTTTCAGTGCCTTCAGCAATTTTTCCCCAATTGACTATTACTTATTTGCATACGACAGTTGACCAGTTTAATGTATTTTCGTTTTCTTTTGTGACGAGCGTCGCTGTTGATGGGCCAAATGGAGATACCTTTACTGTAGAGTTCCCAATGGAAGATTATAACCAAAATACGCTATTTAGATATGACTTAGGGACTGGAAGGATTTCAGGGGACACTTTTTTCTGTGACAATTTGTCGTTGACTGCTTCTCCAAAGATTTATTGCTATTTTACTCAAGGAGACACGACTTATAACAAGCCAGCCAAAGTGACCATTTCAGGGTTCAGCTATAGGAAATTTCCCGATTATGGCGCTCAATGTGCCATCATCGGGCAACGTGTTTTAAGGATCCAAACTGGAAATAGGTTCCACGTGTGGAGCCCTTTTTGGCACGGAGAATCCTCACTTTCATGTGCCAAAAAGGGCTCCACACGTGGACCCATTTCCAGTGTGGACCCTGAACTTTAGTTGCCCGATGATGGCGCTCAATGCGCCATCATCGGGCAACTTGTATATGTTAATACAGGGACTACCGTCACATTTGACATCCCGAAAGTAAAAAATCCTCAAACTTCTGGAGTATCAGTAAATGTGTCTCTAAGAGTTGCATCAGTTAAGAGCACAGGTGTAATAATGGAAGAAAGAACAGTCGATTATCTGTTATTAGTCACCTCAAACACAGTCTCTTCTTCATGCTCTCTTACTCAGCCTATCCTTGGATCTTATCTGACCTATACCACAACAACGACCACTATGCAATTTTACTGCTGTGCAGCCCAAGATCTACCTTCAGCCACAGGAAATTACTATATTCTAGAAATTCCATTAAAATACCCATTCCCCTCTTCTACATCTCTAAATGCAGGAGGCGATTTTACAACAATCGTAAAGAAATACGCATCAGTAGGCTGGATGCTTTTAAAGTCTACTTCAACTGCTAATTGTAAGACAAACAGTATATCGTCTACTTTTGACCCAGTCAAGAACCCAACCTCCACTGTTTCTGCTAACACCTTAACATTTAAAGGCTACGCAATTTATCAGAGCCAAATGACTGATTTAGTTACTTATGGGTCCATTTCTACAGCAATAACAGTGGCTTCTACAACTCCTTTGTCCTGCACAATGACATCTTCATCAATTTCAATGCAAGAGTACAATATAGACGCAGTCAACCTGATTGACGTAACTTTTACATGTACTGGGACTGATATCCCAGTAGGAGGCTATTTATACCTTGAAGTGCTATCTGGAGGCAGCAGCGTGACCACTGACCCTTATTATTTTACGATCTACAAAGGCTTGGGAACTGTCTGACACTATACTTTAAGCGGGTCTAAGTACACAATTAAAGACTGGACATCAGCCATCACTTCAGGGACTCAAATGCGATTTTTAATCCCAGTCAAAAATCCCAGCTCAACAGGCGCTACAATCACTATAACAGCTTCTGCATATGATAATAATAACAACCAAATGGGCTCATATACTGCCACAACCCCAGCCTTAACAAATGCAGGATACTCTTCTGTTTATTCTTTACAAAGCCATTATTTGCAATTTAACAGTCTCAACTCATGACTGAGCACCGAAATGACGCTTTATTTAAATCTCCCTCACTCTCTCACAACAACATATTCTTATGTAACGATCGATTTTACCGGCGGAATTCAGGCTCAGTCTACTAATAGAGATGATAGGTATGGATATTTTGATGGATCTCAATGCGAGCAAAGCTATAGCGGCTGAGGAGTTTACAACAATTATTATTGTTATGAAGCCAAATGGACAACGAGTACTAAGCTTCAATATACACTTGTTAATACATTCACCGTTTCATCTGGTGTCCACAAATTTAATTTTGCTGGCTCTTGGTGAACTTACTTGGAGCTTGAATCTTCCAACTCAGGGGTACACTTAATAAAGGTGACTGTTACATCGTCTGTTACTGAATACTACACCTTTTTGTACAGAACACCCACGAGTAAAGAGAACACAAGCTCTGACTGGTATGGACTGATCGTGAATTATGAAAATGCTCAACACGAGAGTAAAACCACAAGCAACTATGTGCACTATCTACTTATTGAGTATCCAGTTGCTTTTGGGTCACTGAATGGGTTTTCGAGTGACCTCGGTTTTGGGGTTACTGATGGTTATCAGATCCCTGGATTGGTTGTATACAGCTCACTGGCGCTAAGGGACTGCATACTAAGACAGTCTGTCTTCGACAACAGGGCTGGAATTCTGTGCAGGTCTCCATCAACGAACAATAACCCAGATCTATATATTCTTTTAATTAAGAGTCCTGCTAGCGCGGTTACAGTCTTATATAGCATTATGGCTTTATATCAAGATGATACTTCAAGATATACTTGGCATTCAATGGCTGTGTCCAGTCAGGCTTTTCAAAGTGGCTCAGTGACTACAACTACTGGAACGATTGCTATTACCAACCCAGCAGCCCAAAGCACAGCTACATGAGACTTCACAAATATGATTAACACAGGCAATCTTGGCTCTTCAGGCTATAATATGCTGATACAACTTACCAACTATCAGAGCGCCTACCAACTGGGCACATACTCAATAGTAAACTCAATCAATACTGCTTATTTTCTTTATTCTGGCTATATCCTTGCACAAGTAAACGGTGCAGACACCCCCCAAATCCAATTCAGCAATCCTTTATTTTCTCGTTCTGATTTTGCAGTTAAGGCTTGGACATTTGGAAGCAGTAATACTCTAAATACAATAAAAACAACGAGCACACTGACAATTACCACTGGGACTTTGTCTTCAAAATCTATTATAGCAGGCTCGACCCTTATAGCTGGCTATACCTCCAGTTTGACTTTAAAATTCACCTATGCAGATATAGTCCCAGCTGGTGGACAAATCCAAATTGTTTTCCCTACGACATACTTTTCAGCGATAGACTGTTCAATATGTACGTCAGACTACACAGACCAAGACGCAAGTAACCAGGTTACTTATACAGTTACCACAGGGTCAGATATTATTTTGACGATAACTAAATTCCAGAAGATCACTGCCGGCACTTATAACATTTATGGTGTCCATGCAACCTTTTCCTCAGCAGGGATTGCAGGTATTGATATAAATACTTATTATGACACGTCTACATCTTATCCTATTGATGAGGACACTGTATCCTTGACAATCAGCGCAGCTCCGACTGTTAATCCTGTGATATCTTTGTATCCTAGGCTGTCATTTATGACTGGGTTTATTAATCCGACAGCAGGGTCGTATTCAGACTTAGTTCTTTATTTTAACCCTACTGTAGATGTAGACCCATCTACCACTGGGACTGTCAAGCTAACAATGCCGAGCTCTTCTCATTGGTTTAATACTGATGGAGTCAGCAGCCTTTACTGCCTTGTGAATGGAGACTTAACTACAATTACAACTACCAGCACATATTATACAATAACACCTAACTCAGCCCTCAGTGCAGGAACCCTTTATACTATCATTATTTCTGCAAGAAATGGCAAATATGATGGATTATCTACAGCTACTACGACTTCTTCAAATCTGATAACTCTAGAAGGATACACAGGCGCTACTCTTACCCAACAAGCTACTTACTATATAAAAGTGAGCCCTATTTTCACTGAGTTATATATAAACCCATACGTAAAAGGGTCAGGCTCAGATACCCTTTATCAATTAAATATTAAAACAGCTACAACAGTGACTGGCTCAAATAATGGAGCTTTTGTGGTGGAGTGGCCAGTCTACTCGCTGTCTTCTGCTATGGCAATTTTCTCAAGCACTGTGGGGAGTACTCAGGTTTCTGGGACGTATTTCCCTTGTGAACTGTTCTCGACAGGAAGCAGTAAATATATCCCTATGACTGGAATTACTTGTATGCTGATTAAAGGATATACGATTTCTTCACAAAGGACTTCACCGACTAAAATTGTTGTACTGCTAGGGACCAATACAATAAGCTCAGGGACTTCAATAGTAATAGGGTTCCCAGGAGTGACTGTTCCAACAACTTCTAGAGGTCCAGATTTATATATATACAGCAGAGAGATTTCTAGTGGCTCTGAGGTGGTTAAGGATTATTTGAATTACAAATATGTCAGCTTTGCTCACTCTCTTAATAGCCCCACTTCAATTACTAGCTCTTCTTGAGTGAGTAAGCAGAGCCATTGGAAATACTTCCTCCTTTATCTATCAAAAATTTTCTTAATACACATATAATATTTAGTATTATTATTTAAAAATTTCAAGCTAAATCGATTGAATTTTAACAACTTTGTATTTAAAATGCTTTAATTTTAAATAAATTTTAAATGTTTAAATTTATCAAGCCGAATTTTTTAAATTTTAAATATTAATACCTCTCATAGGTTTTAAGTAAACTTCGACCACTTGAGGAGAAGGGAAGCAAGAATTTCCAATCTAGCTTTAGCAACTCAGTTCTCATGTCAACAGCTGTCTCATTTTCTATCAGTTTGCAGCCCGTAGCCGCAATTTCTACCTCAGACTACCTAGTTTTCACCTATGACCCTACCATGATATCAGTCACCACAGGATCAGCAGCCTTGTCATCACCTTCCTATTCGGCACTTTTTTACTACACTACAGTCGGATGAATTGTAATTCAGCCTTCCTCTGCAATAGGAACTGGCTCAGCGACCACATTTACCTTTGCAGGGATGAATAATCCAAGCTACATTTCTGGATCTTCAAAAGACTATATTTCTGCTAGACAATGGGACAGCTTTTCGAACAGTTTTACTCCAGGGACATGGGACTACACCTATGAGTTTTCAGGGTCTACTCCAAGTCCTCTCTATACTTTAGGCACAGTGACTCCTAGCTCATTAGGGTCTTCATTTGGCTGCCTTACCTGTGCTAGCTCAGGGACAAGTGTTCTTTCCAGCCAATATATCATGTATAAGCTTACATTCCAATACAGCTTAAACCTCCCTTCAGGGGCTATATTTGAGCTTATTTTCCCTAAGTCTACAAATGAGTACCAAAGCATCGCTTATAATTGTGAAGCCTCATCCTCTGGATTTTCTACCCCAAATTCTGTTTACTGCTCTGCATACTCAACCCAAACTCTCAGGATTTATTCATTTGGGACTTACACAAAAAATACAAACGTTGTAGTCTATATCAAGGCCTTGAATCCGCCCATAGCTTTTTCGCCGACTTCTGGGTTTACTATAAATGTGTATTATGACTCTTCAGGGACTTATAACATAGGCACAGACAGCACTAATAAATTTACAGTGACAGGCTTAAGCTCAGTTCCAGTCGGGACAATGAAAATTTATATACCATTTTCAAGTGAGTATATATCAGCTAGAACGACGTCAAATGCACCGCTTATCTTTATATTCAAAACAAGTGCCACAATAACAAAAAATTCAGGCACTGTGGCCGTAACAGTATCTTCAGGGACTTTTGCCCAAGCTTCAGGAGGCACATTGATATGTTATTTCATTGATCCGACCAATAGTAACCTGAAATACATTGCAAAATCCTGCACTTATTCATCTGATGTATATACCATTACAGCACCAATCTACACCAATATAGCGAGTGGCCAGAATTGGATAGTCAGCATATCAACGTATGGAGCTACAAGCAATGGCCTTACGTATCCATCGGCTGGAGCAACTTTTATCAATGTGGATTTAAATAGTGTGGAGATGTTTGACTATAATTATTATGTGGTTCCTTCAGCATTGACGATCGCAAAAGTCATTTCTTATTGTAGGACGACGAGTTTTTCTAATGTTTTTCAAGTCTATGTCAATGCTGGGACTATTGGTACATTCTCGTCTGGGATGAGAATTGAGGCTGAGTTTGATGTGGCTCAGTTTGCAAGTGATTTGGGGACAGGGATTAGTGATGGAAATGCAATGGATTGTATGAGTGATATGGCAATGGAAACTTCTACTACACTGCAGTGCTCTTTGCATTATGGGAACTCTGGGTCTTATCCTTATCGCCCTCTGATGACTAAAGCAAGAGAACATAACCAAGACACTAATTCTGGCAAATATTATTTATCCTTACTCTCCATTAATAAAAAGTCCTATGATTATTTTTCCATAACTATTAATTTTTTTTCAATGTTTGCTATCAGCAAACAAAATATTTTTCTCTGCAATTCAAAGAATTAGCAAACGTGATAAATCCAAGCAGTAGTGGTCAAAATGTTGCTATAAGAGTCAAATACTTCGACATCTCAAGTGGCTCAGAAGTCTTCACTGGTGACGAAATGATATATTTTGTACTTGGCTCAGTCTCAAACTCCTACACAACTGACAACGAAAACTCTTACATCAACTCTATGAACACCAAAGCAGTTGCAGCTACAAGTGTGACCTTCAGCGCGGTTACAAATGTAGGATACTACGCATTAATCTCTTCAAGCTACGTTTTCTGGAGATTCCCATACGGAATCAGCACTTCTACAACAGAGACTCAAAGTCCTTCAGGAAATTCCCAGACAATTGATGGGATTTTAGGTACCTCTGTGGCTGGAGACGGTCTCCTAGTCTCATCTCCTCCTTCTTCAGCTTCCTATACAGGTACTATTACATGGAATTTCGCTAACTTTGTGAATCCTCCCTATATCCCGGCTTCCTACCCAATCCTGACAGCAGATATAGTAGTCCAAGGCTTTTATGTAGTCAAAGTTGTTTTTGATCAAAACCTAGCAAACCATGTAGCAGCTACAGTAACTGTAAGCCACATTTGGGCTGGGGATGCTACAAATTATGGCTATTTAGGAGGAAGGATTGATATGGACATTTTGTTTACTATGTCAAGCTCACTTTCAAGCAGTTTTACAATAGAAATCACCTTTCCGTCTACCTGGACTACAGACGACCACTGCACATTTTTAGGGACTTTGCAGTCTCCAATGAATAAAGACTGGATCGAGTGCAACCAGGTCAGCACCAATGGATTTCTTATAACAAATATAAACGCTTATACCAAAAATGATAATGTAAATATCAATGGCTGGGTAACTTTGCCAAACGCAGTAGGACCTCATACAGTGACTGTAACTTTTTACTATACTTATCCTACACAGATTATTGCGACTGGCACTGGGACTTATACATTGAACAATGTGGCTTATCATAGTCAATTTTCAATGGGAAGATTTATATATAACGCTGCTGATATTTTTGTGCCTGCAAATGGAGTTTCACCATTTTATCTGTCTGTTCCTGTGCCTTCCACATTGACGATGAACGCTGGGTATGTAAATATTGATTATCCTGCATCAAGTTGGACGACTACGCTGCCTTTAGTATGTGTTTGGGAAGGAACTAGCATATGGCAAGCAAGCACATGCAGCATTTCTGGGAATACTGTAACTATTGTAGCACCTGAATATAATGATATTACTGCAGGCACCTGGAAAATCACTGTCAATACTTTCCAAGGGATCGACTACAACGGCATCACTTTTCCTCCTACAACTGAGGTGTGGACTTTATCTACAAGCTATTCTGATGACGGCATAGCAGGCCCTAACACTATTTCTAGCACGATTTATATAAAAGTTCCACTAGAGCAGTTTGCAACTGATTATGTGTTCACATTTAGTAATATCAAAAATACCCACATTTTATTAGAAGTGGATTTTTCCTGCACTAATTCATATACTAAAGGTGTCCCTCAGCCTACTGGAAGATCCTATCTTATAGTAAGATACCCAACCAAGGTCAACGGAAATACTATTTTGCAAGACGATTTCGGAAGAGGCTTTAGTGATAAAAAGCAAATCCCTTGTTTCCCTCTGACCTCTTTTACAGCTGAAGACTGCTATCTAATATGGGGAAGTGGTAGCTCCTCAGTAGATGGAAAACTCTATATAAATAACTACACCCCTGCGTTATCTACAAGCTCACAGTCCTTTTATATCCCATGGCTAGTCAATCCAGCTACCCAAGACAGAATATTGCAATTAACAATAGAACTCTGGGAATTAAATTCAGCATTAAAATATGAGCTAATGGAATATAAAGAAATCAAATACATTTACGCTGTCCTAAGCACTACGATTTCTACCACAAATCCAGGAACTTTAACTTACCATAACACAAATATAAATCAGCAAGGAGACATAGACTTTACTTTTGTGTTGCCTAATAGTCTGACAGGGACAGCTGATGAAGCTGTGGTATGGACACTGACTGAGACAATGCCTACTTGGAGCTCTAGTATGTGCCCCAGCTCTCAGACGTGTGAAGACATTCTGTCAGAACATTTAATATTTATGAGACATCCGTCAGGGTCTGGGACTATTAATAATGGCGACATTATTACTCTGCAAAATGTAATGAATCCAGAAGACCCTTATATGACTCAAACCTGGACAATTTGGATCTATAAAGGCTATACCATCCAAAAGAAAATCATTTATAACGCCAATATTCCATTTACCTATCCTACCCCGAGCGATTTTAACTACGTTACGTGAAGGTTTGCAGACTATAACGTTCCGAATCCTCTGACAAGCCGATATGACCAATATACATTGAGGTTTAGGATTTCCCATACGATATACTCTGGGTATACAATTGAATTTGTGTTCCCTACCAGTCCTGCCTCTTCTGGAACTAGCTTTGTGGTTGACCATGACTGCGACTGAATCCATGGACTCTCAGGCAGTGGCTTAAGATGTGCAGCAATAAGCTCCTCAACTATTCAGTGCACTGGGTTTAATACGTATTTTCCTGATTACCCAGCTATTGTGATGACCTGTATGGCTACCAATCCTCCAGTATCTGGCACTTCTAATGATTTTGAGCTGTACGTTTATGATGCCTCATCGACCCTCGTGTACTCAGACGTCGCAATACAAACCTTTGTGATAACTTCAGCCCCAACTTTATTAAACAAGTATAGTGTAGGCGGCCCTTGGAGAACTAGAGAGCCTGCTTGTGAGAATACTAACTATGCAGATATTACCATATATTTCACAGGCCAGAGGACTGATATTACTTACTCCCCTCTGTGGCGAACAAAAAATTATGTTCGCTCGCGAATGGGGTTAATTTCTTTAAAAAATATTTAAATTTTATGTTAAATTTTTTTTCAAAATTAAAAAAAATCCCAATTTGAAATAATTTTAAAAATAAATATTAATTTAATTTGTAAAATTATATTTTAAAATGTCATTTAATTAAAATTAAACAGAATTAGCTGTGATTTATTTATCGAATTATCACTATATCTCAAATATTTTTTTTTAAAAAAATGTTTGTTCGCTCACGGGGGCTTTTTCCAATGGTTTTGTCTTACTCACGGAGGGAAAGTTATCAATTTAAGGACAGATTCAGCTTTTATTTGCCGACTGGTGTAAGTCTGGCTACTCTCCCGTCACCTGACGGTGCTATTGAGTGTACATTTAATGACATGGCCAACCAGACACCTGGCGAGTATTGTACACTTACTGGGAGTAGAATTGATGTAGGGATTACTGACCAGCAAGGACTTGTGGCAGGAACTAATTATGTGATTCATGTATATACAAGAGATGCGACAGCAGGGCTAGGGTATAATGGATTTGTGCTGCCGACTTTTCCTGAGTGGGAAAGCTGATATGTCCAGGCTTCAACTGGTAGCAGTGGTGAGTCTTCCAAAGTGGTGGTTGAAGACTGTCCTGTTCCTTTTACTTCTTTATCTCTAACACCTTATTCTTATATAATATTAAAATAGCAATAATGTCGCTCGTTCTCTCGTGTGACAGTTATCCATGTATATCTGGGATAGTTTTGGAGTTGGCCAAGCAATATCTGGCGACCTTATGCGAGGATCTTAAGCACATAACCACAGCTTTGTCATCTGATCTAATCGGTAGTAATCATAACTTCTTTTTGCCAGTAGCACCCAAGCTAGAGCAACGAAATGGAGTGGGGTGAATTACCTGCTCTGCTAATACTTTGGCTTGCCCCAAATTGCAAAAGCGGTGTAATTATCGGGATGCAAATTAAACGACTTTATGGCAGTCCTCCATTAAAGCGCCCCTTAGATGGGGCGATCTTACAAGGATTAAGAGGCAGTTGGCATAATAAAGGGAAGGACTTAGTTGAAAATGGCGGTGCTCAGTTATGGTCTGCAGATCCAGCAGGGCAGCCACTACAGAAGCCAGCGATTTTGCCTGGTCTGAGTGGCGCCAGATGTGGAAGTTCACCTAACTAGCTTGGGCAATCACCCAGCTTCTAACGAAGCTTACGAATGTCACTCGTGGGAGTGGGAACCTTAAACATACCACGTAATGCAATGTAATTCTTATACAGTTCAAAAGTGAAATATTTATGACCTGACTTTTCAGCCCAGCAGAAATGTCCCTGTTGGTGGAGGAATTGCAATAGAATTCACCACCTATAACGAAATTGATCAAGTTTTCGACTTAGATTTAGGCCTTAATATGGCCCCACTAGTTCCTAGTCAAGATTTCAGCTGTATAGTAGAAAGTGGGTTTGGCAGCCCATCTCCAGGGACTATTAAATGCACAGTTTACAAGTCAAGCACAGTTTCCTATACAACTCCAGTACTCGTCACAATAACGGGGCATACCACAGCAATTTCTTCAAGCTCTTCTCATTCAATCAGGCTTGCAAAGCTCTGGAATCCAATCCAGTCAACGTCTCCCATCCTCAATGAATCTCTCAGGGTCCATTTCAAGATTTATTCCTTTAATATAAACACAAACTCGTTTACAACTGACAGGGCTAAGTACAATTTGCAGACTCTTTTAAGTGTTTATGACCCATGGGGTTCATCTAAATTGACAAATCCTTCTCCGACTATTATAGATCCAGAGCCTCAGCCAACTACTACAGTAACAAATACGTATTCAGTGTTCACAAGCTCATTACAAACACAAATTGACTTAGGTGTTACCTTAGACACGTCTACAGGCTTCGTGATTTATGAGTTTGATAATGCCTTTATTCTCCCCACGACGGGATCTACTAGTGTCAAATGTAACGGGTCTACGTCTTTATGTGAAGTCTATAAAGAAGCTCAATGAATTGCGTGGAGGACGAATCAGTCCCCAAGTTCTTCGTTTTCTATTAGTTTTCTGGATGCTGGCACGAATACTTTTAAGACGCCTAATTATTATGCGACAAGCTATACTTTGTCAGCTTATATAATAGAAGCTGGACATTGGGAAGAGGAGCATTACTTTACCAATATGGACTCTTTTGCAGCTGGGACTTTAGGTGTTTCTTTTTCGCATAGACTTTCGAGCTACCATCGGCTTACTTATGATGTTTGGACTATTACAATTACGCCATCATTAGGCTCTACTATTGTTAAAAGGATTGATATCTATTTCCCAAGCGAGTTCAGCTGGATTGACGCTACATGCAAAACTACTGGATTGACTCAGATTTCGACAAACTCAAACCCTATCAGCTGCATTTCTGACTGCTCACAAGAGACCTGCACAAATCATATAACCATTACTAATTATGATCCACTATCAGCTGTCAATACTATTTCGGTTATTATTGGTGCAATGAATCCTAAGAACGCGGTTACAACCTCCAATTTTAACATTTACTATTACGCCTCAACTACTGATACAACCCAAATCATAGAAAAATACTCAGGAAACTCTTTGACAATTGACAGTATCATCTACCCATACGATTTCTGGGTTGAGTTGCCTACTTTGAGTATTTATGACAGAGGAATCCAACAAGGAGCTTATGGAGAAATATGGATAAGAACCAGAAGCAGAGTGACGCTCCCTGCTAATACTGGGTGGTATAAGGTTGTATTGCCTAACAACTTTGACATTGCTGCAGCAGCTACTCCAAAATGCACTATTGTACATACTGATGTACCATTCCAGAACTGGCCTGACAGATCCTCTGACTATTATAACCACATTGTGGTGCCAAATTGTATTTATAGCAATGGCGTGCTCAACATTATGTTCCCTGGGACCATTTTACGTCAATTTTATGGGGTTAAACCTGGGATTTGCACATACCTAGTCCTTACAACTTACCCATCTCCTGTCTCAGGACAGTCTGGCTTCCGTGCTCCTTTACTTTCAGGATGCTCTCAGTTCCAATTTTACGCTATGGACGGTGCAACAGTCCTTGAAGAATCCATTACAAATCTCTGTATTAATGGAAACACTCCTACAAACCTGCAGATTTACCCAAGCACTATTGACACTGACACAAATTCCATTTACATGTTCTCCTTCACCACAAGTTCCTATGTCCCCAACTCTTATTTCTACTATTCTGGCACATACCCAGGCCCTCAGTCTGCTATACAAATTTCTTTTGAAAGCTACGAAAGTTTCCAATTTGACTTAGCTGGGCAGTATGACTCTTATATGCAGGTATTCTGCCAACAAATAACAGGGATTTCTCCACCTTCTGGTGAATATTTATCCTGCAAGCTTACTTTGGGCTCAACGACGTCTTCTCCTACATTTACGCATTATCCAGCAATAATTACTATTACAAACTTTAATAGTATTCCTCTAGGCACCCAAGTATCATTCCATTTGCCTGTTATAAGAAATCCAAACACAGACGGTTGGGTCCCACAGATTACGGTAGGAATATACCAAGTGGATTATTTAGGCTTGAAGTCTTGGATAGAAGCCGAACAAACAATAGACCTTACAGCAGTGACAGCATCAACAGCCTTATCTGTTGTAAGTGTATGCACAGCTCCTACAACGGATTGTTGGGTTACTAATAAAGCAGTCAAGTCAAAAACTACGCTTAACTTGTATTTCAAAGCACAATCAATTACTCTGAATGGAGGGTCTATGATTGTGATACAGTTCCCTAGCCAGTATGAAGATATTCCTATTAGTGGAGTTAGTGCATATATACAGAGAAACCCTGTGAGCAGTACCACAACTGATACTTTTATAATACAAGGGCTCACAGTGGTGACTTATCCACTAGCCAAAATGGTAGCTTTGACAACTCCTTCAGGAAGCGCTATCTATGTAAATCAGGACTGCACGATTTCTCTATTGAACTTTATAAACCCATCATATATAGACTCTTGCTCTAACTGCAAGATAAACTATTACTCCATTTCTCCAGCACAAAAAATAGTAGACCAATACCAAACAGATGACATTTATAATATTTTTGGATTCACAACGGTCGCTTTTTCATTAAGTCCTATCTCTTTATCCTCAGTCTTTGCAAACTCAGCGGATGTGACTCAGACCTACACATTTTCCCCTCTTTCCACTTTGCCATCAGGTTCACAGACCAAGATTGTGATGCCAACAACTTTTCCAGACGTTTCAGCTTTAACCCCAGTGCCAACTTGTTCTCTTAATATAACTGCGACTTGTGCGGTTTCCTCATATTCAGTTATAATAACAGGATACTCAGACATTTCTGCAGGCACTAAAGTCCAGCTTAAGCTTTCTGGAACCTTAAACCCTACTTCAGCTTTATTAACGACACAGTCTCCAAGTGGCTTTTATATACAGTCCCAAAATTCTAATGGTAAGCAAATAGCCTATTCTGAGTTCCCAGTTCTTCGTATCAATGGTCCAAATCCTGTCACTAGAATCCAAGTAAAAATAATCACGACCTTCCCTAACTCTAAAGCCTTATCAGCTTATACATTTAGCATAAACTCAATGCAAGGAATTCCTAAAGGCTCTGATATCGTCATAACTTTCCCTTCAGAATACTCTTCTCTTCCTACAAATGAGCGCTGCTTTGTGTCAGGGAAATTGATATCATATACATCCTGCTCAATAAGTGGGCTGACAATGACAATTTCTACGAATGAGGATATAGCAAGATATGAGAGTTTAAATATAACGATTCCTGGAGTACTGAACCCTACAATAACGACCGCAGACAGCAATGGAGGGCAATATACCTCAGCTTTTACAGTCAATACTTACTTTGCGGGACAGCTTATTGATGAAATCGACCCAAGTGACAGTGATGCAAAGGTTTATATTAAAGCAGCCCCAGGAAGCTTGATAATTACTCAGACTGAGCTTATGCCTCAGTCTGAAGGGGAGATGGCTTTATATTCCTTCTGGGTAACCAATCCTGTCTATATTTCCAATAATGATGACATTTCGATGATTTTCCAGTTTCCTATAGAATACAGCTACCAATTGACGTCTTCTTATATTGACTTATTCTGCTATAGTTCTCCTGACTACGAATCTTGTAACTTAAATTTCCCTCGTATGATAGAATTCCGCACCCTTTCTCCTTATACAGTCCAGCTGGCCATGCTTTTCAAGATTTTCGCTATCACAAATCCAGTCCAGGGCACTACAAATCCAATAGGTATTTATCTATACAACAATAAAGAAAAAACTTTAATTGGCTACAATAATACTATAACTTTTGTAACAAAGGCAATTCCTTCTATTCTCAGTATGTATTCAGTAGAGTCCTCATCATTGATTACCCATACTTATGCAAACTATAAGTTTAACTTTACTATTACTGATAAAGGCATCGACGACGATGGAGGAATTTATGTGGATTGGCCTGGAAATTACTATAAGCTGTTTTATGAGCCGAATTATACTTGTAGCTATATATACCCAACTGACCAAATTTTGACGTCCCCGACTTGTCTATTTTTGCTACCCACTGGGTATCGTAGAACTGCAGTTTCTATAGCTACCCCAATTCCTACCAATTATGGAGATATGAGTGTTGAGTTTAATAATGTCCCTACATTACAGCAGGAAGGCTTATCAGGCAGCTTTATTATGAGGATTTTTGATGATGACATATATGCAGTTACGGCGAGATCTTATCCAAACCTTACCCCTTACTCTAATTTATATTTCCAAAATATAGGCTACAGGATTTTTGTGAATACTACAGTCGTTTATGTCTATAAAGGAAGCTACTCCTACCCTATAAAGCTTACCTTAGAAAAGCCTTGCCAAACAGGACTACAAGTTATCCCGAATATTGTGGAAGGAACTGTTGGTGTCGACCCGAAAATACTGTATTTCCAATATGAGTACACAAAAACGCTGACTTTTAGGGTTTATGCCCCTATGACTGCAAATACTACGACCTATACCTTGCACTTCGAGAAAAATGAGACGTCAACTGACCCAGCGCTAAGAGAATATAAGCCTATGATAGATATCCCTGTCATAGTTTTAGAGCCTATTAACAATATAGGGGTCTATACAGAAGATATTTCTCATATCCCTCTTTCAGGTACAAGCTTGCCTGTAAGAATGTGGCTGGATAAGCCAGCATATGATGAGCTAAACGTAACTTTATCGACATCTACTCCAGAGCAGCCAGATTATGTATTTTTCAACCCAAGCGTCATTACCTTCAAAAATGGAAAACAAGCTGACTATTTTACAGTGACTTTGGTAGAAGGTGCTATAAGTGGCTATATAAAGTTTACCTTATCTGGAAATGCTTCTGCCAGCTATAAGCTGATTAGGCAGTCTATCACTTTCCAAACTCTTCCTTTAGATGTCTCTAGCCCTGTCATAAAATCAGCTAGATTATATTCTATTGCAAGGACTTCAGCTTCTGTTTATATCCAGTCTTCTAAGGTTGGCCTAGTCCATTATATCTATACAGCTGCAGGGACATCTCCTCCTATTATGCAAATGCTTGTAAATGGTGATACTATGTGGTGTGATGCTTTACAGGTATATGGAAAGGTTTGGACAGACACAGATAAAGGAGTAGCGATAATCCCAATGACAGGCCTTACTGATAACACTGCTTATACGTTGTATTACACTGTGCAGTCGAGGTCAAATCATACCACAGTCAATGTAGAAACTTATAATTTTAAGACCTTGCCTACACATTTGCCTGCGAAATTCAGGATTTATGTAACTGCGCTGTCATCAGTAGAAGAAGTCAACGTTGGGGTTGCGAAAGCTTTAGCATTCCCATTGGCAAATGTCCTGGCGACAGGAATTGATCCAGCATTAGGCATTACGAGAAGAATGCTGCTGCAAAACAAGCAGCTGTACTATGAGTTTACGCTGTTTGTAAACAGAGACTCTTCAATGGATAAGCCAATTACGTATGTCAATAATCTTGATAATAATATAGACAGACTTACAAAGTACGTCCCCAGTTTCAATACTTCTTCAACTGTTTCTGCGCACTCAAGTGAGTATTCTTATCTTAATGCTCAGTTTACTAGCTCTCTGCTTGGCTAGTTGAAGGCAATTAAATATTTTTAAAAAAATCAATATAAAAATGTTATTTAGATTTAAAAAATCTAAATTTGTAAATATATGTAATGAAAAAGCTAATTTAAATTTATTTTTACTCCCCCCCCCCCTCCGTGAGCGAACAAAAAAATTTTGTTCGCTCACGGAGGGGGGTTAATTTTTTTTTTTTAAAAAAAATTTATATATATAATTTTATAAAAAAATATTTTTTTCGAAATTTAAAAAAATCCTAATTTGCAAAAATTGGGAAGCAAATATTAATTTAATTTGCAAAATTTATGTTTTAAAACGCAATTTGTTTAAAATTAAACAGAATTAGCTCTAGATTTCATTATACTAATTATCACTTATATATCAAAATTTTTTTCCATTAAAATTTTTTCTATTAAAAAAATTTTTGTTCACTCACGGAGGGTGGGTTTTTGGTCAAAAAATGGCGATTTTTCTAATGGTTTTGTTCGCTCACGGGAGGGGGGGGGGGGGGGGGAGTTAGATAAAAATTTAATCGATTGAGATCATAGTCATTATTTATTTCTAAAAAAAATTATTAAAATAGAGCTTTTTCTAATGATTTTGCTCACTAGCCCAAGGAAACGAGGAGTAATGAAATTACTGTGGTTTCAGACGCTAATGGCACACTTAATGCATCTACAATACTAAATGTGGCAGGAACTGTTTATGGAGTTTTATTGGGATCAGATAAAAAAGCGCCAAGTAGTGTCCAGATACGAAATGGGCTGGATGCTCATAATGTAAAGGTAAAAGAAGGAAGATATTCTTATATGAATGTTGAGTATGGCCAAACGGCTTATTTGAACTTTACCGGGCTTATAAATCATGCTGAAATGGTTTTGTATTTAACAGCTGAAAATGCATTGCCTGGAAATCCCGATTTGATGGAAGATGAATTTACGATAGCTAAATCGGTTGTAGTTGGGAGTGCATTGGACACGACTTATGTTTATATCTTCAAATATCTGAATTCAGCCGCTTTTATATCAATTTCAATGATATTAGTCTTAATAATCTAAGCTTTTATTCTAAAATTGCATTTTAAATCATTGTAAATTATGAAAAAATGTTGAATAACATAATATAAATAAATCAATTTAAGTATGATAATAAAACTTTTTATAATGTTTTATATAAAATAATATTTTTGAAAATAGCTTCTTAATTGCCTTAATTACTAAATTTTAATTGTCTTTTAGATATTGTTATTCTATATTACTTTTAATTCTCTCACTCCGCAGATTTTTAAATGCAGAAGTTTTAAAGTGAAATAAACAGCTAATTATATAATTTAATTAAATTTGCTAAAAATTTATTAAAAGATTACATATAATTTTTTCTCCATGAAAGGAATAAGCAGGAACTTTTCATAATAGAACTTAATTATAGGAAAATTTTAATTATTAACTCTCAATCATCTCCTTGATGGGCACTCTAACCAATAGAATTTATAATATCTTGCAATAAACTTACTGTAATTTTTTTTATCTAAGGCAGATTATCTAATAAATTTACTATTTTCGGGATTTTCTTCATCCTTTTCGTTTTTATCACTTTTAATATAAGCATATTCAGCATGCCTGCCAATTCCAGCATCTTCAATCCTGGTTGATGACAATTGAAATCGAAACAAATTAAAAATATTTTTGTCTTTTTCTGATATCAAAAGGCATGGAAGATACTTTTTTTGGAAAAATATGCCAAATAATCCGAGTATTGCTCATCCTGCTAGCAGAATTATAAGCGCAGCAGCTTTACTTCATTTTGATATACCACAGCAAATTCAAAATAAGAGGCTGCACGTCAAAAAAATACTATATCACATTGAAGCCCTATCATAATTAAATGGCTTTTTGTATGTTGAAATCATAGCATATGCAAAAAACAGGGCAATGCATAGCCCTATATAAGCATATTCAGAAGCTGGGTAAACAACTGTATATAGAATAATATCAATGTGTTTATAGCTTCACCTCACGGAGGGGGGGGGGTCAGGAGGATAAAACGACATAGTAGATATGCTTATCTTTCCAACAAAATGTTGAACAGTCTTGGTTATGAAAACTTTCGGTAAAACTATCTCCAATGCTACTAGTGCATTGAAAACTTTGAAATAAATTCAAGCAGACAGGTAAAAATAGTGAATCGCCAAGAAAAGGCAATAAATACATATTAAAGTCATTTATTCCTATGGTTATACAATTCTTAGAATTTTCTCCAATTTTATATACCAAAATGCTTATTAAAATTGGGATAATTTGTTTATAAATAGTAGAAATTTATTTTTTTTATTTAACATAAAAAGAATATTTTTTTCAAAAAATCAGAAAAAATCACGCAAAAGAAATCCCTTCAAAAAATAGTAATTGATTTCAGAATGTAAAATGGCCATTACTCAAGCCAGTTATATCAAGAACCACAAATTTAGTTAAATCCGACAGCTGAGGGAAAAAACTATTTGTCTCATCTCCTGTATACATATATTGTAAACACTCAATAAGCACAATAATATATGAAAAAGAGTCAAGAAAATTTTCTTTTTCAACATCCATAAGCTTTTGTATAGAAAAATTAAAAACAAAGTCCGAAAATTTAATAACAAAGCCAGTCCCAATTATTATTGGGATAACTTCAATTGCTATCAAAATAAAGTAGCCTTTTATGAAAGATTGAACTTGCCTTTCCTTGAAAGGGCATTTTTGGTCTTCTCCTATAATATCGCTAGGGATATGACCTTCAGTAGACTGCCAAAAAGATTGTTTAATTTGAAGCACAATCAGTTGGCTTGGGTCATAGAGTCCACAAAGGCTCATTTTTCAGGTCGAGTTAGCTTGAATTAAATTATAAATCCCTAAAACTGTTGTCAGTCTGTCATTCCCATCTTGGGCGATTTGGACTACTCCTGAGCAGCCTGTGAATTTTACATCTCTCATAGCTTTTTGAGTTTTTGAGCTTTCTAAGTTTATTCCTCGATTAATTAAAGAGTTTATAGCATAAATTCCAAGATATGCCGCATCATAAAATAGGCACATATTATCATATGCAAATCCAAAACGAGATAAAAAATTATTTTTGATATTTAATCCTATTTGATTCTGAAATGCTAAAGAACTGACATAGATGAGCCCATTCATGATTTCTTTTCGTTTTTTATATAAATCTGCATTAACCCTCTTTTCATCCAAATCGGATATGCTTAGCATTCCATCTCCTGCAATAAGAAAAATATCAGTCTCTCTCATTCCCAAATCATAAAATGCTTCAATTACATACAAAATATCTGGCTGCTGAATTTCTAAAACGATATATCTGCTTTTAAGATCAATAATTTCCTGAATCATTATATTGTTTGTGCCGTTAAATCCTAAAGGAACAACTCTGATTTTATTTAAAATTGTTAGGCCATATGAGTTAGTCTGATTGATGAACTGAGAATTGAAATCTCTTCCTCATTGTGAGTCTGAATATAATAGTGAGCACTTAGATATTCCAAAGATACTCAAAACTAAGGCTACTGCAGAAGATGTAATTGAATTTGGATAAGAAACTCTTAAATATTGAGGATAATATTTATGAATACTCATTTTAATTGATGTTTCGGCGCCTAGAACTGGTATCGATACATTTATTGATTGAAAAAAATCGACAGTTTCTTCAGTAATCTTTGTATCTGCTTTTGGTAGATGAAAATACCCTAAATCTGCTGTATGATTTAAAAAACAGCTATATACTGAATTATTATCAAAATCACAAGTGATATTGTTCATTATAATATGAAAATTTGGCAATAAAACTGCTTCACTTTTAATTGTTTCTACTGCAAAACTAGCACCATATTGGTTCACACTATTTTCTCCATTTATACTTATAGGAATTTTAATTTTTTCGTTATTCGGGGCTTCATAAGTCTTTCCTGGAAACATCAATTTATCATGGGCTGAATTGAATTTACAACAATGTTGTAAATTACAGTAAATTTTGCTCCTATAAAAAAGTGACTGTAAAAATTTTTTTTTTCAAATTTGCATGAAAAAAACAACATTGGAAGAAAAAAAAAAATTTTAAAAACATACATGAAAAAACAACACATCATAAATTTTTTGCTCATTTTTCCATGAAAAAAACAGCATTCAACAAAAAGTATGAAATCGTTAATTTATAATATTGAAAAGAGAAATCGCTAAATAAAATTGAGGATAAATACTAGATAACTTATTAATTATTAGTCTATATAATAAAGATCAAATGAGTTAAGAAAATATATATTGTACCCCAATCAGAGCTTGATTTTGCTATTTAAAATGTTTATGCTCCAAAAAATTGCATGAAAAAACCCGGAATTTTTTTTTTAATTTATGTGATGTGTATGCAATAGAGCATTCAAAATAATGTTTAATAACTGTTTATATACTCTTCTAACAATTATATCTTTTTTCTTTTAAAAATGAAAAAGAGCATTATTCCTAACAAATAATATAAGTAATGTTTAAAATAAAAAATTAATCGCCTCAAAAAATTTGCATGAAAAAACCCGAACTTAATTTTAAAAACACAAAAAATTGCATGAAAAAAACAACATATGGTTTTTTTGAATGGATTTTTTTTTTTCTTAAAAAAATTGCATGAAAAACAACAATTAATTTCTAAAGAAATATAATGAATTTTTTAATAAAAAAAGGGAATTGAGGTTTAGCAGCTTTGATATAATAAATATTTGTTTCTAAACAATTTTAACACGATTTCTAGCATATCTGTAAATATATTACATACTTTATCTCTCTCATCTATGGCAAATACATTTTTAAAGCGAATTACTAGATAAAATATGCCTAATTTAGCTATATTATCTTCACTTTAAACATAAATCTAGCATAAATTGCTATAAAAAAACTGGTATATCGCAAAGAAATTAATGGTGGTTTAATATTTCAATATCATTACATAATCTATCACTGATAATTTTAAATCAATGTGTTTAGGTCGTTTATAATACTTATTTATTTATTTATTAAAACTTTAAATATCTATTTAAAATTTATAATAAATATATAAGTCAAACTGATATTGATCGTCCTTTGAATGCCCTTAGTTTTTTGATAATCTATCGACAATTTCGCCCATTTTTCTTGTCAAAAATGATTTGACAAGTCAACTCAAGTTTGCCTGAAATGCAAAATAAATTTAGCTAATCTAAAACATTTGAAATCGATAAAAATCGATTGAGAAGTGATAAATTAACCCTATGGGAAGCTATAAGGTGGATACAGTATATGTTGCAATTATATTGTTTTCAAATACATTGTATATTAGCGTCGATAGAAATTGAAGTATATTAGTTCATATGCGGTTCCAATGTTATTTATCATGCAATCTCTAAATATAAAGCTTTTATCTTTGATCAATTTTAGAAAAATTAATTTATAAATAAATAAATAAATAAATAAATAAATAAATAAATAAATAAATAAATAATAAATAAATAAATAAATAAATAAATAAATAAATAAAATAAAATAAAAATTAATAAAATAAAAAATAAATCAATGATACAAACAATTATTGATCTCTCTTGTGATTTACCCCTTTTTATAGCAATTTATGCTAGATTTATGTTTAAAGTGAAGATAATATAGCTAAATTAGGCATATTTATCTAGTAATTCGCTTTAAAAAATGTATTTGCCATAGATGAGAGATAAAGTATGTAATATATTTACAGATATGTTAGAAATCGCGTTTAAAAATTGTTTAGAAACAAATATATTATTATTATCAAAGCTGCTAAACCTCAATTCCCTTTTTTTATTAAAAAATTCATTATATTTCTTTAGAAATTAATTGTTGTTTTTCATGCAATTTTTAAGAAAAAAAAATCCATCATGGGTTTTTTCATGCAATTATTGGCTCTTCAAAAAACCATATGTTGTTTTTTTCATGCAATTTTTTGTTTTTAAAATTAAGTTTCGGATTTTTTCATGCAAATTTTTGAGGCGATTAATTTTTTATTTTAAACATTACTTATATTATTTGTTAGGAATAATGCTCTTTTCATTTTAAAAGAAAAAGATATAATTGTTAGAAGAGTATATAACAGTTATTAAACATTATTTTGAATGCTCTATTGCATACACATCACATAAATTAAAAAAAAATTCCGGGTTTTTTCATGCAATTTTTTGGAGCATAAACATTTTAAATAGCAAAATCAAGCTCTGATTGGGGTACAATATATTTTCTTAACTCATTTGATCTTTATTATATAGACTAATAATTAATAAGTTATCTAGTATTTATCCTCAATTTTATTTAGCGATTTCTCTTTTCAATATTATAAATTAACGATTTCATACTTTTTGTTGAATGCTGTTTTTTTCATGGAAAAATGAGCAAAAAATTTATGATGCTGTTTTTTCATGTATGTTTTTAAAAATTTTTTTTCTTCCAATGTTGTTTTTTCATGCAAATTTGAAAAAAAAATTTTTACAGTCACTTTTATAGGAGCAAAATTTACTGTAATTTACAACATTGTTATAAATTCATGTCAACCCATTTATCATACAGTTGCAACCCTTTTCCATTTATTAGTCCTACTGCTGCCAAACTCCCATCGCTCTGTATATTTCAAATACTGCATGCAATTGTATCAATAGTAAAAATTTTCTGCACATATTTATTCAATGCATAAGCTGAATACGACCCTTGTATATTATTATCTGCAACAATTTGATATAGGAGCAAAGATGTATTATAAATTAATTTTTCAATAAAATCATGAAGTCCAGTGCTATGATAGGATCTTGCCTCAAATAAAATTGAGCCTTTTAAATAAGCACTTCAGGCTGCTTCCTGCAAATAAATATAAGTATATCCTTCTTTGTCCATATCAGCTTCTACTAAGGCTTGCTGAATTAAATAAGAAATCGCTGCATTTGTTTGAAAGAAAAGCCATTTAACGCCAAATGGCTTGATTTCTCTTGAAATTAATGAAAAAATGTATTCGTAAGGGACTGATTCAGGAATTGTGTATTGGGCTACAATTTCTATTCCTTTGTCATTAGTAAAATCCATCCCAATAAAATCACTTGTAATAATAGCGATTACTTTTGTGATTCCATAGATTTTGGCAAAATTTATTGCAAAATCGCGGTATTGACTAAATGAATAGTCGGTATAGAAAACATAAGGTAAAGAATTTTCTGGTGTATTGCCATAAATGAAGTGTATGAACCCATATTCTATTGCGTATTGGCTTACTAATGAAGACATGCTAAGAGACCAAGTTGAGTCATATACAAATAAATAGTCAGAATTTGAAAAAGCTTGCTCTATATCTGAAACACCATTGATTTCAATAGCTTGATATTGATAAGGCCTAGATAAGTCGCAGCCTGCTAAATTGTTTAATGAGCAATCCAAAGTCTTTACAAAATAGTCAATAATTCAGGTATCAGTGTTTTGACTATATAAAATAGGAATTGTAAAAATCTGACTCTTAACAGAGTATAGGAGCAGGCAAAAAAAAATAATCATTCAAAAGGAATAATAAATTATTAAATTAATTGCCAAAATTGTATTCAAAGAAAAGCTAAGCATAATTTTGAGTAAAATTTTAAAGAATTTGAAACAAAAGTATTTAGACATGCTAGAAATAATTTGGTGAAATTTATTAATCGTTTTAGAAAAAAATCGAATAATTATAATAATAGCAAATAAAATAATAGAAAATTTTGAATATAAAGGATTGAATTATTAAGAATTAAAATTAATTTCTAATACATCAATTGAATTCTTTAAAAACATAATTATTGATTATTTTATATCAAATATAGCCTATTGGATCTTTTTGGTCACAAGTTAAATAGCTTAGTAGCATAGCCAGTCTCCTATTACAGCAGTCTTCTATCTGAAAAATAGGGGACTGGCTGCTGCCAGTAAGCCAGTTTTATGGTGTATAAGCCTGATTATGCTTCCCAAATACTCCTTATTACCATTACTTGACTCATAAAATGAACATTTGAATTTAAAATATTATCATCTGGGATATTCCACCTTGATTGGTTGGGTTTGTTTATGATTTATTTCTTGCAAAAATATATTTTGCTGATTTTAAAATTCTTGCATCCTGAATATACAAGATATGCTTTGATCTTGTAAAAGCCACATTAACCATTTTTCGTCTGATATAAAATTATAAGGGCTTGTTGCTACCGAAGAATAAATAATTGCATCTTTATCGTGGCCCTGAAATCCATTAACTGTATGGATAGAGTTTTTTTATTTATTTGGATCTTCTTGAGGAAAATATTTTTTAATTTCTTGTTATTGAGCTTTATAAGGTGTTATAATTCCGATTTCGGCATCTTGATTCATATTCTGAAGTTTCTGCACTACGACTTTGATCAGTCGGATTTCTTGGAAGTTTAATCGGCTGTATCCATGTAATAATTGTGAAGAATTGCTAAAATTTAAACAATCGATAAATGCTCTGACGTTTTCATCTATTCATTAAGTTATTATAGAGAAGCTTTCATAAAACTTAAAAAAAACGTTTCACATCACTTTTTCGCATCAGCCCCTTGCTCGTCAATCTGATTCAAAAGTGTAAGGCTTAAGATATACTAATTGACCAAGAATAGCTCACTATGGAGCCATTCTTGGTCTGCCAGAAAAAAATTTTGACAAAAAGATCCTAATCTGCCATTACCACTGAGTTTTGGTGTTTCCAAATTTTTTGGGCAAGCCAAATGCAATAAAAAAAATTGTTCTTTTGCGATGATGCATTTGGCTTGTCAAAAAAATTTTGGAAGCACCAAAACTCAGTGGTAAATGGCAGATTAGGATCTTTTCTGCCATTACCACTGAGTTTTGATGTTGTCGAATTTTTTTGACAAGCCAAATGCATCATCGCAAAAAAAACAATTTGTTTTATTGCATTTGGCTTGCCCCAAAAAATTTGGAAACACCAAAACTCAGTGGTAATGGCAGATTAGGATCTTTTGTCAAAATTTTTTCTGGCAGACCAAGAATGGCTCCTTAGTGGGCTATTCTTGGTCAATTAGTATACTTCATCCAGTGCAAGATCTACAGGCATTTCTTCTTCAGTTTCGTGGGGTGCAATATAGTGACTAATAATTCTAGACAAGAAGCGGCATTAAATATGATAAGAGTGCTAGAAAAGACAAATTCCATAAAATTGAGAGAGTAATCCCTATTAATAAAGAAGATTTTATCGGTATCTGCATAATCATTTGTAGCGATAGCTGCCTTTATTGTTATGTTATGTTCGTATATACGTAAAAATGGTGAAGACAGACAGTCCGATATCCTGACCCCTATTTATTCAACACCAGCAGGCAACCGCCCGAAGTGGAGAAGAAAGGAAAAAGAGGCCAGTAATCCTTATGCATGTTAGACTAGGCTTTTCTTAGGCCCTAGGAGCTAATCCTGGGATTTTTAAATTTTACCCCCGAGACCATCATTGGAAGGGCAGAGAACCAGTAAAAACCACGAGCAAACGATAAATCCCTCGAGCAAGGTTCAAGAGGTAGCATTTGCCTAGCGAAAACTGGGAGTTAAACCCAGGTGGTAGGTCCACGGGCTCCAGGAGTTATGGAAGTTTAGATCGGTTGTGCGAATCCCTTGCCTACGGCAGCGAGATGGGTGCCTTCTGGAGTCCTTCGGGGGAGATAAATATCTAGGGGTAAAAATCCCCCGGCTCTGTCTAAGATGAACTGCTTACTTAATCTAATCTAATGTTGTGTTCGGTCCATTTTTATAAGAGGCTTTGTGGAGTTAAATTATCTTGGTAAGTAAAATATTAAGTGGAAATAGCAATGCGTAGATGGAATTAAAGTTTGAAAAGCAATTAAGGGTGGAGAATAAAAAGCATAAATTTAAGTAACTTGCAAAGTGAAAATAAAGCAATATCTAACAGCTCTGAATCATCTTAATGAGGCATAAAAGTGGCCTAGCGGACCTGCCTGTCTCTTAACATCTGTATCCAGACAAAAGTCTAGGGATATTGCGGAAGGGAGAACAGCGTTCAGTATGTGATCAGGCCGGGGTTTTGCTTGGTCTGGTAGAGCGCAATGTCAGGCTGATGGACAGCAGGCTCACGTCCAGGCCAAGATTTACTCCAAGGAGGATGGCACTTGTAAGATGGAAAGGGATCGCCCAGCAAAGCGCAACGGTGCTTATTGGTCAATCAGGCATTTTCCCAGCGTTAAACCAAGAGTTTGCGCCCTGGGCGATAAGTTTCATCTAGGCCTACAACCTAAGCTTTTATTCTAAAATCACATTTTAAATAAATTACTTTTTGGCTAAATACAATTTTTCTGAACAATTTAAATTCTTAAACTATCGATTGTTTTAAATTATTTATCAAATATTACTTCTGAGTACTGTCATAATTGCATAAAGCTCGAATTATATTCACTGTAAAACTCCATATTACAGTGATTTTGCTCTTCAAGCTGAATGTTTGATTTGAAAATATCCTCATCTGGGATATCACAGCCTGGGTGATTGGAATTACTTTGTGATAAATTTGTAGCAAAAATATATTTTGCTGACTTTGCAATTCCTGCATCTTCAGGATTAATTGAAAACAGCTGAAATCTAAACAATTGATAAATACTATGACCTTTTTCAGTTTCCAATAGTGAAGGCAAATATAATTTTTGATAAATAGCACCAAGCGCAACGAATAGAGCCCATCCTAGGACAAGAACAACTAACGCAGAAACATCATCAAGTTTCGCTAATGCGCAACAAATTCAAAGCATTAGACTGCAAAACAAAAATATTATATACCACAACGAAGCTCTATCGTAGTTTAAAGGCCGTCTTAATATAGAAACTATTATATAAGCCGATAATACTCCAATACCCAGCCCAAGGAAAATATTTTCAGATGCAGGCTGAACTATAGTGGAAAGCCCAATTAAAATAATTTGTGTAAAAGTTTTTACTGCACAATGAAAAGGCTGATCTTTAAAATGAAATGGTAGATCATCTTTTCATGTAAATCTAAGATATAAACTTGCTGGAGTAAATAAGAAAATGCCTATTGCAGAAAAAATGACGTAATATATATGATCGCCTTGCCAACAAAATGTGGAGCAGTATTGATTATGGAAACTATCCGTAAAATCATTGCCAATGCTACTTGTGCACTGAAAAGTTTCAAATAAATATAGAAGAACAGGCAAAAATAATATATCCCCAAGTGGAGGCAAAATATATCGATTGAAGGCATTAATGGTTTCTAATATTAAGTTTTGAGATCTATTACCTATTTTGGATTTTTTTCACAATAATAAAATACATCATGCAAAAGCTAAGGCTGTATAAAGCTGAATTTGGTTCCAAAATGTGAATAAGCCTGGTTTAAAAATCCCTCTTATATCTAGGATTGTTAATTTCGTAGCTTTTGACCACCTTGGAAAAAATTCTTCAAAACTTGGCCCTATTTGCATATATTGTAAACTTTCTATTAAGAAAATTAAATAAGAAATAATATCAAGGAAATTTTCCTTTTGTATTGTAATCAGTTTTGGGTATTTTCTTTTGAAAATAAATTTATAATATTTTACTGCAAAAGCAATTATAATAATCATACATATTAAAATGGCGATGGCGAGCCAGCCCTTTTTTTCAACACATGTAGCCAACGTCCCACAGGGAGGCGGGGGATCTCGTGAAAATTAATTTCACGCTTTGCATGTGTATCTGGCTAGGTTTTTCCTTGGTCAGCAGAGCGCAAAGTCGAATTTGGTCGACCACAGCTCATTCTGGGCCAGGGGGTTTCACCTCAGGGGAATGGTGTTCAAGGTTGGAAAGGAGAAGCTCAGCAGTACCAAGTATTCCATTGGTCCATTGGTACTCTCTAACGCGAAACTTGGCCGACATTATACCTAAAAATAATTTTTTTTCGAATTTTCGGAATGGACAACTCTGTTGACGTACTTCACGATGGCGCAACTCATCCAACTACGAAGTAGCGAATGCTCATCCTCGTCCGGTAAGAGCAGCACTTTGAAGGCCGTGAGATGATAGGTAGAGAGCAGCTAAGTGAAGCATTTATGGGTGGAGGTAGTCCTTCAGGAATTACGGTGAACTTCTCAATGTTTAAGTTAATGCTAATGTTAATGTAATTATAATAATCATTGGAATTATTTCAACAATAATCATTACGAAATAGCCATAGAGAAATGACTGCACAAGAATGTCTCTGAATGGGCATTCCTGATCATCTCCTATTATGTCACTTGGAGCCCCACCATCTGTTTTTCAAGATATGGATTGCTTAATTTGAAGTACGATAAGTTGACTTGGATCATAAAGTCCGCAAAGATTCATTGTCCAGGTTGAATTAACTTCTATTAAGTTATAAATCCCTAAAACTATCGTAAGTCTATCATTGTTTTCTTGACTAATTCTTACAACTCCAGAACAACCTGTAAAAGCTACTTGTCTCATGGATTCTTGAATAGTAGAACTATTCACGTTAACGCCTCAATTTATTAGTGCATCTATCGTATATAAACCGAGATAGGCTGCGTCATAAAATAAGCACATATAATCATTTATATAATCATACTTAGATAAGATCTCACTTTTTAGATCAAACCCATTTTGACTTTGAAAGGCCAAGAAGCTAATATAAATAAGCCCGCTCATAATTTCTTTTCTTTTATTATAAGATTTGCTGCCAATTATGCTTTCATCTAAATCAGAAACACTTATCATCCCATCTCCTATAATTAAATAAATATCGCCTTCTCGCATTCCTAAATCATAAAATGCTTCAATTATGTACAAAATATCAGGCCAACGCACTTCTAAAATGACATATCTGGTTTTGAGATCAATAATTTCCTGGATCATTTGTTTATCATTCCCATTAAACCCGATAGGAATATTTCTGTTTTTGTTTAAAATTTTTATGCCATAAGAATCAGTCTGGTTTATGAACTGGTCTCGAAAATCCCTTCCCCATTGTGAGTCTGAATGTAATAAAGAGCATTTTGAAATTCCGAAAACACTTAAAATCAAGGCAGCAGCTGAAGCTGTGCGTGAGTTTGGATAAGAAACTCTTGAATATTGAGGATAATAATCAAGACTGCTAAGTATTGTTGATGTTTGGACGCCTATAACTGGTGTTGAAATATTATTTTCTTGAAAAATTTGCATTGTCTTCAAAGTTGGTGTAGTTTCTAATCTTGGGATGTGAAAATAACCTAAATCTTCTATATGATCCAATAAGCAATTAAGTGATGAATTATTTCCTTCATATTCACAATCTGTGATATTATAATCCACAATATCAAAATTAGCAAGTAATTCTCCTTTGGCTTTAATTTCATTTATAGCTAAAGTATCCTGAATATGATCCATGGACTGGATTATCAGCTAGCAAGCCACCAACAATTACTGATCCTCAATATACCAGGTTATCAATATAGTTAAAAATATCAGTGCTGTGAAACCATTTCCCTTCTAATAGCATTGATCCTTCTATATAAGCCGATCAAGCCGCTTCTTGCATATAAATATACAAATAGTCTTCTTTATTCATATCGGCCTCAACCAATGCTTTCTGGATTAATTTCGAAATTTCTGGATTTGTTTTGAAATAAAACAATTTAACGCCGAATAGTTTAAGTTTTTTTGAAAATAATCAAATAATATACTCGTAAGTAGCTGCTTGAGATATTATTAACTGGGCTACTATTTCAACTCCTTCATTATTCGAAAAATCCATTTCAGAAAATTCGCTACTGATAATCGCGATTGCTTTTTCAATTTTATAAGTTTTTGCAATAGATAAAGCTGCATTAACATAAGATTTATAAGAATAATCTGTGTAAAACACATATGGCAAAGTTTTTTCAGAGGCATAGCCTATAATAAGCTGAAGAAATCCTAATTTTCTTGCGTATTCGTTTATTAGTGTTGTCAGCCCGAGTGAAGCACACCCATCATACATGACAATAGTGTCTGAGCCCATAAAAATGCTGTCTAGGTCGGATGAGTCTGATACCTCATAAACCTTGAACCGAAATTGGGAGGCAATTTTACATCTTTCATCATTTAAATCTGAACAGTCCAAAGTACTCTTAAAATAATTGACCATAAAAGGTGAAGTGTATTGGCTGTAAAGAACAGGGACAATAGTAAATTGGCTAGCAGCTATCCCAATAATTACAAAAAATTTGATCATTCCAGCTAATATTAGATATTAAAATGTAACAAAACAGCTAATGCTGACATCGAATTTTAGGAGTTTATCATATATAGAGCATTTTTAATTTTTATTAAATATAGCAGAGCATACTGTACAGTACACTTAAAGCTTAGATAAAAAATATTAATCTATATAAATTAAGCAATTAAGAAAGCCTTTTATATTTAAATTATATAAAGGCGATCTGTTCATATTTATTTAATTATTATAGTTGATTATAAAATTCTATTAAGCAAACTTCTAAAAAAACTCTTTCTCCTCTCCCAAATATTAGCGATATAGGGTGTGCACTCTTTAGTGTGCTCAATGTATCGTTATTTTGTCTATTCCTAAATTTATAATGGAATAATTATCCAAGTTTAATATTTTTATAAAAAGTTAAAAGTATTCTTCATCTTGATTAATTATAAAAAAATTAAATTATTTTAATTTTAATTTTAATTCAATGTTTATTTACAAATTCGAGCTTTCTGTAAAAGAAATAATAATTATATTAATCATACCCATATGGAGTTCTATTCATATTATTCATATAGATTTTTTTATCGGACTTAGTAAGTTTATAATTAAATCACTATCTAGCAGCTGTGAATCTTTTTAATCACGAGACTAATTAATAGTGACATAAAATTTCTAAATATTTAATCAAGGATGCTTTTGATGCATTTTATCTCAGATCTAGCCTTGATTATAAATTAATAGAATATTTTATAGAAAAGAAAAGATAATCTATTTTAAGGTTTGGCGAGGATATTGTTTTTAGATGTGATGACGGATCATTTAAGGAGATTATTATGCATATTCTGTCTACATTAAATTATTAATAGTCTCATAAAATAATAAAATAAATGTTCTCTGAGTTTGCTTTGATTTCCTAATAGAAGAAAATTGGCTAAAGTTGCTTGATTCGACTTTGCATCTGATTATTTTTTAATTTTTTAAAAGCATCAGGGTTTGCATTTTGGGGATCATAAAAATCAACATGCAAGATTTTATTATGATGATCGTCGAAAACAAATTCAATCTAATTTCTTTTCTATAAGAATTCTTCTACTTTTGAATATTATATGAGTATTAAGCATGGCCAAGCGGTTTATTTGAACTTTTTTGGGCTTATAAATTATGCTGAATGCATTTAACAGCTGAAAATGCATTGCCTGGAAATCCTGATTTTATTGGAAGATGAATTTACGATAGCCCAATCGGTTGTGGTTAGGAGTGCATTGGATATGAATTAGGTTTATGTCTTCAAATATCTCAATTCAGTGGCTTTTATATCAATTTCAATGATATTAGTCTTAATAATTTATGCATTTTAAATTCTTTAACTATCGATTATTTAAATTATTTTTCAAATATTACTTTTGAGTGGTGCCATAATTGAAAGAGCTTGAATTATTTTCACTGTATAACTCCGCATTGCTGTTACATTGCTCCTCAAGCTGAATATTTGATTTGAAAATATTCTCATCTGGGATATTCAAACCTGCATGATTGGAATTACTTTGTGATAAATTTGCAGAAAAAATATATTTTACTGATTTTGCAATTCCTGCATCTTCAGGTTTAATTGAAAACAGCTGAAATCTAAATAATTGATAAATACTATTACCTTTTTCAGTTTCCAATAGTGAAGGCAAATATAATTTTTGATAAATAGCACCAAGCGCGACTAATAAAGTCCATCCTAGAACAAGAACAATTAACGCAGAGTTCTCATCGAGTCTCGCTAATGCGTAACAAATTCAAAGCATTAGACTGCAAAACAAAAATATTATATATCACATCGAAGCTCTATCATAGTTTAAAGGCCGTCTCAAAATAGAAACTATTATATAAGCCGATAATACTCCAATACCCAGCCCAAGGAAAATATCTTCTGATGCAGGCTGAACTATAGTGGAAAGCCCAACTAAAATCATTTCTGTAAGCGTTCTTACTGCACAATGAAAAGGCTGATCTTTAATATGAAATGGTAGATCATCTTTTCATGTAAATCTAAGATATAAACTTGCTGGAGTAAATAAGAAAATGCCTATTGCAGAAAAAATGACATAATATATATGATCGCCTTGCCAGCAAAATGTGGAGCAGTATTGATTATGGAAACTATCCGTAAAATCATTGCCAATGCTACTTGTGCATTGAAAAGTTTCAAATAAATATATTAGAACAGGCAAAAATAATAAATCCCCAAGTGGAGGCAAAATATATCGATTGAAGGCATTAATGGTTTCTAATATTAAGTTTTGAGATCTATTGCCTATATTGGATTTTTTTCATAATAATAAAATGCATCATGCAAAGGCTAAGGCTATATAGAGCTGAATTTGGTTCCAAAATGTGAATAAGCCTGGTTTAAAAATCCCTCTTATATCAAGCATTGTTAATTTAATAGCTTTTGATAACTTCGGAAGCAATTTTTCAAAACTTGGCCCTACTTGCATGTATTGCAAACTTTCTATTAAGAAAATTAAATAAGAAATAGTGTCAAGTAAATTTTCTTTTTGCATTGTAGCAAATTTTAGGTATTTTATTTTTAAAATAAATCCATAATATTTTACTGCGAAAACAATTACAATAATCATTGGAATTATTTCAACGATAATCAATATGAAATATCCATAGAGAAATGACTGCACAAGAATATCTCTGAATGGACATTCTTGATCATCTCCTATTATGTCACTTGGAACCCCACCATCTGTTTTTCAAGATATGGATTGCTTAATTTGAAGCACGATAAGCTGACTTGGATCATAAAGTCCGCAAAGATTCATTGTCCAGGTTGAATTAACTTCTATTAAGTTATAAATCCCTAAAACGATCGTAAGTCTATCATTGCTTTCTTGACTAACTCTTGCAACTCCAGAACAGCCTGTAAAAGCTACTTGTCTCATAGATTCTTGAATAGTAGAACTATTCACGTTAACGCCTCAATTTATTAATGCATCTATCTTATATAAACCGAGATAGGCTGCGTCATAAAATAAGCACATATAATCATTTATATAATCATATTTAGATAAAATCTCGCTTTTTAGATCAAACCCAATTTGGTTTTGAAAGGATAAGAAGCTAATATAAATAAGCCCGCTCATAATTTCTTTTCTTTTTTTATAAGATTTGCTACCAATTATGTTTTCATCTAAATCAGAAACACTTATCATCCTATCGCCTACAACTAAATAAATATCGCCTTCTCGCATTCCTAAATCATAAAATGCTTCCATTATATGCAAAATATCAGGTCAACGCACTTCTAAAATGACATATCTGGTTTTGAGATCAATAATTTCCTGGATCATTTTTTTATTATTCCCATTAAACCCGATAGGAATATTTCTGTTTTTGTTTAAAATTTTTATGCCATAAGAATCAGTCTGGTTTATGAACTGGTCTCGAAAATCCCTTCCCCATTGTGAATCTGAATGAATAAAGAGCATTTGGAAATTCTGAAAACACTTAAAATCAAGGCAGCGGCTGAAGCTGTGCGTGAGTTTGGATAAGAAACTCTTGCATATTGAGGATAATACTCAAGACTGCTAAGTATTGTTGATGTTTGGACGCCTATAACTGGTGTTGAAATATCATTTTCTTGAAAAATTTGCATTGTCTTTAAAGTTGGTGCAGTTTCTAATCTTGGGATGTGAAAATAGCCTAAATCAGCTATATGATCCAATAAGCAACTAAGTGATGAATTATTTTCTACATTTTCCATTATGGACCTGCAGAAAAAGAAAACAGTCGTGCTCAAAGCTGCCCATGATGCGGAGATCCAGCTCTTGGGATTAAGCGAACACGGGACGTTTTATGGATTTGCATCTCCGAACCAAATGTTGCCAGAAATTAACGAATCACTCTTTCTACAGAATTCTCTTAAGATATATTTATCCAAATACAACACCAAGGAGGATCGTGACGAGAAAAGAGAGCTTTATATAGCGTTCATAGTAGCATTAGAGATGAGTACAAGACCAGAGACGTTATGAGATGCAGGCAGCTTCCATCAGGTGATGCAATTGCGGTCTTCACTAATGAGAAGATGAGGAAGCAGCTACTCGAGCAGGGAAGGATAGTGATCCAGCAAGGAAACCAAAAGGTAAATGTGCCGGTTGGGCCAGTTGGAAGAGAAGGGGAAATCAATTATGCCAGATATCTAATACAGGTGACTTTACCAGCGGAAGTAGGCATAGAAGCTGTAACAGAAGCATTGACTAACAAATGCAAAATTGTGGAGATTATTGTCGATAACACCATAAGGAATATGAGCACTTGATATGCAGTTCAATTTAGCCCAGAATCCAAATACAAGATCTACGGAGGATTCCGGAGGTTGGGAGATGCAATCGATTTGCCAGAAGAGATCATCATAAGAGGGAAGAGAATCTACCTTAACCATGCAGTATCACTATACTGTGAGACATGCGGACAAATTGGCCAAAACAGCGAAGGGCAAATAAAGATAGAACAAAGGAGGCAAGAAAGGATAAAAATTGATTGTATCAAGAGGAAGAAGAAGGAGGAAGAAAAGAAAAAGTGCGTGGCAACTGCTGCGGATACTTTAGCCCTTAGAATGAAATTAGAAGAGGATAAGCATAATAACTCTACATATGATAAGCTTTGAAGAGAAGAAAAAGGAAAATCAGGAAATACAGGTAAAGGAGGACACTTATGGGCCTAGAAAAAGAACACCGATTGAGTCAGGGATGGATGTCCTGGCGACGAAGAGAGCCAGAAGAGCGGAAAATAAGGTGATAACGATCGCCCATGTCAATGCGCATGGAATCAAGCAGAAGAAACAACAAATAAAGCAGTTTTTAGAGGACACAAATGCAGAAATACTAGGAGCCAGCGAAACTCACTGCTCTGAAACAGATTTACTACCATCGATAGACGGATATAGTTGGCTACACAATCCAGGGTCAGAAAGAAGTTCTGGGGTAGGAATACTGTTTAAAAAGAGGCTAGTTACAGGAGAAACAAAACTGTTTATGAAAGGGAGAATTGTAGGGATATCAATAGCAAATCTCACAGTGATAGAAGCATACTCTCCTGTTGAGGGAGATGGAGAGACATTGGAGCAATTCTATGAAGGTATTAATGAAGCACTGGCATGAGGAAGGGAAAGGAAAGAACAGTTGATAATAATAGGGGATTTGAATGCCCATGTAGAAGGCTGATGATCAGAAAAGACTAACGAGAACGGGTACAGAGTAAAAAGACTCTGCAAAGAATGAGGGTTAGAATTGCTAAAATTGGACGAGCCCACGCATCTGCACTCCAGTGGATCGACGTTTTGTCTAGACTACTGCGCTGCTGACTGAGGCGTAATCGGGAGAGTTATAGACTTCGGATGCAGCAAAAACAACCCAATAGGATCAGACCACCTGCCTATAACCCTTAAATTATGAGAAAGATGAGAAAAAGAAAGAATGCAATTTGTCCGAAAACTCAGGATAGACAGACTGCGAAGCCCAGTGTACCTTAAAGTTTTCCAGGATGATGTAAACTATGATTTGAAGAGGCTAGATTAGAATATTGCTTGCATGAAAATAAAAAGATAAGATGTGTTTTTTTGGACATAAGCAAAGCGTTTGATTCAATGAGACATAGAGATCTGTATGAAACCATGATGAAAAGAGATATATCATCAGATACACTACTCATGCTGAAGGCGATGTATAAGGAGTGCAGTAGCAAAATCATTATGGATGAGCACCTTTCTAAACCTATTCGAATATGCAAAGGAGTCAGACAAGGTGGAAGCTCTTCTCCTATATGTTTTAACTTCGTCCCAAATGAGCTAGCCTGAAGGATCAACGAAATAAATATAGGAATTAGCATAGGAGATGCACAACAGAAAGATTAGGAATACTCCTTTACGCGGACGATATAGTTTTGATAGCACATAGTAGAAAAGATCTACAGACCCTATGCAATGCATGCGAACAATGAGCTGAAAGTTATTCTCTTAGGATCAACTACGAAAAATCAGTAGCAGTGGACTACTCCAAAAAAGCTAAAGAGTTGAAGATTATGATTGGGGGGAAGCTGCTGAAGCAAGAAGCTGAGTTTAAATATCTTGGTAAAATGATAGGCACAAAGAAGTGTCAACGGAGCGACTCAAAAAGGACACTTGAAAAAGCATATGCGGCATGCAGATCCACTAAAGCTATACTATCCATGATGAGGAATAGTAAAATTTCAAAAAAAGCAGTCATAGCCCAAGCGTGCATAGACACAGTAGCACTATACTCTAAAGAATGCAATTAAGTAGGATGGAAGGCAGCTGAGATGCTAAAAGCAGAAAAAGCCAGAATGGCGATAGCAAGATACATACTTAAGGTCCACAAGGGATTGCAAGAGAGACTTCTATGCTGGACTTAGGATGGCTAAGCCTGGAACACCTGACAAAAAAGCGCACACTGATGTTCAAGAAAAAGATGCTAGACTCCAAAGATTCACTGACAATGAAGCTCCGAGAGATCAACGAGATATGCAATCTGCCTTGAGAGAATAGATGCAAAGAATTCATGAAAGAACTGGGGCTTGAACTATACAATGACCGCATTATCGAACGGACTGGATTAAAAGATTGAAAAGAGCTAATAGATAGGGCAGCCAGCGAGAGCAATTTAAGAGGAGCAATGAGACGACTTAAGGAGGAAACATATAGGACAACGGAGATATACAGTTGAGCAAGGAGAGGCACAAAGCAGACATATATGTCTACATATTTAATGGTAAATTCAGATATGCACTCTGCGATTGGAACCATTTTCAGGCTCAGGGCTGGATTTAATAATTGCAAGGGTAATGCGTTTATAAGGCATCTAACTGACAACCCAGCATGTTGTGAGTGTGAAATCACTGAAACGGAAGAGCACATGTTTGGCAATATCCTCGATATGGTAAAATGAGAGAAAAACTAAAAAGGAAACTGGAAATTGGAGAAAGAGAGCTGGCAAATATTGGGCTATTGGGCGTTTTGCTATACAGCGAAGAATTTGAAGCAGTTATCAGGCACTGAAGAAATACTGGAGATAACGGAAAGATAGAAGAAATAGAGAGGGCGATAAAGACGTACCATGTGGAAATACTGAAGGATAGGGCGATTAGTTACCTGGAGGAAAGAGAGAAGAGGGAGGGCAAAAATGGGATGAGACAAACTAAGATTACGGATTGAATGAAACATGGTCTATAAGGACTGTTAGGCGACGATAGTTGCTAGATATAATAGATAGATAGATGAATTATTTGCTTCATATTCACAATCTGTGATATTATAATCCACAATATCAAAATTAGCAAGTAATTCTCCTTTGGCTTTAATTTCATTTATAGCTAAAGTAAACCCTATTTGGTCTATCACATTGAGATCATCATTTGCATGTCTTGCCCCATTTATGCTTATTGGAATTTTAAATTTTTTCAGAATTTGGAGGAGATAGGTTTCCTCCAGGGAATACAACATTTGGGTAAATTGTTGTTCCACTGCCATTTATTACTCCAACTTGTTTTACACTCCCATTTTGGATATTGTAAATTGAAAATCCCAATATTTCAGGCGTAAATATAGCAGCTAAAAGGGTATTTAATACATATCCTGAATATGATCCATGGACTGGATTATCAGCCAACAAACCATAAACAATCACTGATCCTCAATATACCAGGTTATCAATATAATTAAAAATATCAGTGCTATGAAACCATTTCCCTTCTAATAGCATTGATCCTTCTATATAAGCTGATCAAGCCGCTTCTTGCATATAAATATACAAATAGTCTTCTTTATTCATATCGGCTTCAACCAATGCTTTCTGGATTAATTTCGAAATTTCTGGATTTGTTTTGAAATAAAACAATTTAGCACCTAATTGTTTGAGTTTTTTTGAAAATAATCAAATAATATACTCATAAGTGGCTGCTTGAGATATTATTAACTGTGCTACTATTTCAATTCCTTCATTATTCGAAAAATCCATTTCAGAAAATTCACTACTGATGATAACGATTGCTTTTTCAATTTTATAAGTTTTTGCAATAGATAAAGCTGCATTAACATAAGATTTATAAGAATAATCTGTGTAAAACACATATGGCAAAGTTTTTTCAGAGGCATAGCCTATAATAAGCTGAAGAAATCCTAATTTTCTTGCGTATTCGTTTATTAGCGTTGTCAGCCCAAGCGAGGCACACCCATCATACATGATAATTGTATCTGAGCCCATAAAAATGCTTTCTAAGTCGGATGAATCTGATACCTCATAAACCTTGAACCGAAATTGGGAGGCAATTTTACATCTTTCATCATTTAAATCTGAACAGTCAGTAGTACTCTTAAAATAATTGATCAGAAAAGGTGACGTATATTGGCTGTATAAAACAGGGACAATAGTAAATTGGCTAGCAGCAATCCCAAGAAATACAAAAAGTTTGAACATTCCTAGCTAATATTAGATATTAAAATGTAAAAATAAAACTAATAATGGCATCGAATTTTAGTAGTTTTATCAGAAAAGCAATTTTAAATTTTATTAAATAATTTGCAAAGGCGACTTCAAAGCGTTTCTTTTACTTGAATTGATCCAAGTGCTTCTTAAACAAATTATTACTGTTTCGTATATTTAATTTAGTTTGTTTAATAAAACCTATTGCCAAAAATATTTATAAATTCTTTTTGAGTAGTTCAATACGGTCTCGGCCTAATACATCGTTAATAAAATTGATATCTTTTTCAGAAAGTCTCCATCCTTTCTCAGTGAAAAGGCCTTGATATTCTTGCTCTAAATCATAAGCACTATTAAAGTCCTGCAAAGCTGCTCCTTCTTGTCCGAGATTATTATATGCTCTAGCTCGGCTGCAGAAATACAAAGGATTGCTGGGTTTAAGTCTGATAGCCTCACCATAGCATTGTATTGCTTCTTGATATCTCTCTAAAGCATAAAGAGTATTGCCTTTATCATTATAAATTTTAGCTTTATATGAATTTTCTTTGATCGCCTCATCATATCATTGTATTGCTTCTTGATATCTCTGTAACGCATAAAAAGTATTGCCTTTATCATAATAAAACTTGTAATAATATGGATTGATTTTGATTGCTTCGTCATAGTTTTCTAGTGCTTCTGGATATCTTCCTAATTCATTTAAAGCATATCCTTTCTTCCAGTACGAATCAGCATTGTTTGGATTGAGTTTGATTTCTTCATCATAGCACTCGATAGCTTCTAGATATCTTTTTAGCTTACAAAGAGAGTTGCCTTTATGAGAGTAATAGTTAATATTGTTTGGATCTAGTAAAATTGCTTCGTTATAGCATTCAATTGCTTCTTGATATCTTTTTAAATCATAAAAAACATGGCCTTTATTAATGTAAGATAGATCTAGTCTGAATTTTTTGTCATCAAAATCGATTTGTCTTATATTTTTTTCTATAGTAAATAGATCTATGTCTTCTAGATTGCATCAATCCATATAATAAGAATAGAGCTTAGAATTCTCTCCATTGTATTTTATTGCTTCAATCTTTTTGCCTACTCTTCTAAGTGAGTAATTCCAACCATAGCAAGCGACATCAATAATTATTTTTTGGTCTAAATTAAAATAATAATATGTTCCTTTCGATAAATCAGAAGTTGTTGAGATGCATATAAATCCTTTGCTATATGAGCAATACACTTGATGAGGATCATGATTGATTGTTGAATGTCCTATTCGTCTCCAATTCAAGCAACTTTCAATATCGCTTTCATAGATTGATCCATTGCTGCCTTCAATCAAATATAGTCTCTCTGCATTTATCAGGATCTTACTTTTATATATTTCAAAATCATAAGGAATTGTCGAAAAAGAGTCAATATCAATTGAGTATAACAAAAGATTTCTATTATAATATCCAGAAATCAAAATATTTCCATTGAATATTATACTATGGCAATAATAATCACCGTTTGGCATTAGAGCTAATTGAATCCATCGATTTCAATTCAAATCGAATCTATTAGATAAAGTTAAATAGTTTTGATTGTACCCTCCAAAGCAATAGATGCTGTTATTGAAATAGATACATGATGAGACCATGCAAGGGGTTCCAGATGGCAGCACTTCGAATTCACCATTCACATCAATCAGCACTGTAATCCCAGAAATTTGACTATTACCATAACAGAATAGCTTGCCATTTGGAAGATTAGTTATACAAGTTGTTGCGTCTAGTGGTTCTGGAGTCTGCAAGGTTTTGGCTTCTTCTTGGGTTTCAGTTTCAGTGTTATATATAATTAAATTGCCTCTTTTGTTTCAATCTTTTGCAATATTATAAAGAGATGTCTTTTGCTGATAAGCATTAACGTAATCTTGGTAAGCTTGCATTAATGGTGGATCATAAAAACTAGAATTGGTCTGAATTGCTGAACAAGTTGCTCTGAAATCTATCTCTAACTCTGGATTGTTTGGTCTACTCAAAATCTTAGCTGTTTTATTTCTTAAGGTATCTATAATGTTTAAAGAGTTTTCTGCTTCTATGGGTTTACTGTTGAGATCATTAGAAACAGTACTTATTTGAGTATTAAGCAAGCTCGCCTCATTTTCTAAGCTTTTTTTTATTGACTTGTTTACTTTTTCAGACCCTTTGTTCTCATTTATTATCAAAGAAATCGAATCTTTAACGTTTGCTAACTCTATATTTGTTGGCTCACTAGTTTTATTATGCATTTCAGGAGTATTTCGCATATTTCTTATTTCTAGATATGCCCCGCATATTTCTGTAAAGAAAGATCTATTTAGGCTTTCTAACTTTTGATTGAATATATAAAACAGCTTCGCACCTTTGTATCAATCTCTGCTGGTGATGGTCATCAATTTTACTTTCTCAATAGCTTCTAGAGGGTGAAAACTCAATAATCCTAAAATTGGATCTTGTTCTGACTTTAATAATTTTGAAGCTTGGGAAATCTTTGCAAAGAAATTATTTATTTCATCTGAGTAGCAATCCAACTTGCTTGTGAAATCTCCTAAATCTTCCTCTAAATGGGGAAGATGCTGGCTAAAGGAATCTATAATTTTTCTTCTCAAATCACTGTATTTTGAATTTTCTATTGTAAGGAATTCAAGAATCGCTTCTTTTGTCCCTTCACAAGGATGCATAAAAATTGATTCAAGATTGTGAGCTGTATTAGGCAAGTTTACATGCTCCACAACGTGCACTTCACAAGATAAAGTCTCAGGAGGAGAGCATTTGCATGCATACTCGACTTCATTCATACACCCTGACTTGAAACATTTCTTGGCCATCATATAGTAATTATCAGATAGCTGATTTATAAGAAAATGAATTCTAAGAATTACGATCTAAAAGTAGCTAGCTATATTATTAATGGGCTCAAGCAATAATAATTTTGCTCCAACTTGATTTGACTTCATGCTGGCTAATTCCAAAAACTGAATGCTTACTTTAAATTGTCTTGTTCAGAAGAACACATTTATAGTGATTTCGTAAAATTGATTTATGGATTTAATTTGAGATAATTCACTAAGATAGAATTATTTAATTGAAGATATCTTCCTCTAACTACTAAAAATATAGGGTTTTAAATTAATTTTTGGGTTTGAATAATTATTAGAATTTAAGTTTAGCAATTCCAGTAATTCTGCACTAATTGATAGGAATGGAATCCTAAAGAGCTATCAATTCCTTTTTAAAATTTCAATAAAAGTATATTTTTGATAAATTGCTCTAATAATTGCTAATAGTACTCAGTCAATTATAAGATAATCTAATTCGCGCAATTTATTTGACTTTGTAAATCCGAAATCACTGCCATTCACAGCAAGTAAAAAAATTATATATTGCCTGGAAGCCTGGCCATAAGTTAATAGCCTTTATACTATATGCATTATTGTTAGCATGAGATAGTTTATAAGATAAATGATTGCTTTTGAAAAAGTTTTTCATATTAATAAGAAAATGCTATATAGAACAGAAGTTTATTAAAAGGCCATTATCAAAAAACTCTCTATTTTAATATTAATAAATACCACTATAAAACTATAGAAATTATATGGTTTGGTTCTCATTTAAGTTATCAAGAAAGTCAAATTTCAAGCAGTTTGCGTCTATAACTTGGCTTATCGCTGGGTATATGTCATTGGAAATGCTATTTTCTGATCAATTTGAATAATTTTCATTGGTTTCATCTTCATTAGTAAGGTGTATGCTTAATTCTGAATTTTCTTTATTTTCTCTATCTTTTTCCTCACTATCTAATTCTTTTTCTTTATCAATAAATTGGACTCTTTTTTTATTTTTTTCATACAATTCCTCTGATTTTCCTAATACTTCTTCAAAATTTCCATATCATTTTCATTCGTCAGGTTTTACTAAATATTTATATTCTGATTCACTATTTTCTGATACGTTTATTTTGTTCTCTATAATTTCTTCTTCTTTTTGGTATAGATCTTGTTTTGAATATGGATATTTAAATAAATTACTAATCTCAGGATCTTCTATTCTGCTTGAAGTTAATTGAAATCTAAACAATTGGTAAATATCTATGCCTTTTTCAGAAATTAAAAGAGATGGCAGTCGCATTTTTTGATAAGAAATTCCAAATATGATAAGCAACGCCCACCCTACAACTAGCACAGTCAACGCAGTAATATTATCACCTTTTGAGATTCCACAGCAAATTCAAAATAAAAGACTAAAAGACAAAAAAATGATATATCACATTGAAGCCCTTTCATAATTAAATGACTTTTTATATATAGAGATTACTACATATATAAAAAATAGCCCAATGCATAGCCCAATAAAAATAATCTCTGAAACTGGCAAAACAATAGTGTGCAGGATGATAAAAGCCATTTGTATATAGCTTTTGAGGACAAAGTGAAAGGGCTGTTCTTGAAAATGAAAAGATAAGTCATTTTTCCATAAAGGCCGATTGTAAATACTTGTAGGCATGTAAAGGCAAATTGCTATAGAAGAAATAACGACATAGTAAATATGCTCACCCTGCCAGCAAAAAGTTGAACAAATTCTGTCATGAAAGCTATCGTAAAAACTATCCCCAATGCTACTTGTGCATTGAAAAGTTTGAAATAAGTTTAAGCAAATAGGCAGAAACAGCGAATCTCCAATAAAAGGTAAAAAATATAAATTAAATTCGTTTATCCCTATAATAAAATTGCTTTTCGAGTTTTCTCCTATTTTTCTTTTTTTCCATAAAAATAAAATAAATCATAAAATTGCAATGATTTCGAAAAATTGAATTTGGTTTCAAAAATTAAAATAATTGTTTTTATTTCAGCCAGTTATATTAAAAGTCACTAATTTTGTAATATCTGTTAGTTCAGGCAGAAAATTATTGATATTTTGTCCTGTGTGCATATATTGAAAACACTCAATAAGCATAAGAATATAAGAAAGAGAGTCAAAGAAATTTTCTTTTTCTACTGTAACAAGTTTTTCAAAAGAAGAATTCATAATAAAATGGTAAAATTTAAGCACAAAAATAGTCCCAATAATTATAGGAATTATTTCGATAGCTATTAAAATGATGTAGCCATCTAAAAATGACCGAACTTGTCTTTCCTTAAATGGACAATTTTGGTCCTCTCCTATGATTTCACTCGGAATCTTAAAAGAGTTTGAATAAACCTGCAGAAGATGCAGCACAATAAGTTGACTTGGATCATAAAGTCCTCGAAGAACTAATTTTCATTCATAATTAATTTGCAATAAAGTATATAGGGTTTCCGCTAGATAGCCCTCACAGGGCTGTGGATTCTGAACAGAATCCACAGCCCTGTAAGGGCTATCTACGGGAAACCCCTATACATCCCCAGGACCGTTGAAAGCCTACTATTTCCATCCTGTGAAACTTGAACTATTCCTGAGCAGCCTGTGAATTTTACATCTCTTATAGAATGCTGCATTGATGAGCTATTTACATTGATTCCTCTAGTTATCAAAGAGTTTATTGCATAAATCCCAAGATAAGTCGCATCGTAAAATAAACACATATTATCATATGCAAAACCATATTGGGATAAAAAATTATTTTTAATGCCAAGCCCAATCTGGTTTTGGAAAGTTAGATAGCTAAAATAAAACAGATTACTCATAATTTCTTTTCTTTTTTTATAAGAATCTGCGTTTATTCTTTTTTCGTCCAAATCAGAAGCACTTAAAGTCCCATCACCAGCAATCAAAAAAATATCGCCATCTCTCATTCCTAAGTCATAAAATGCTTCAATTACATACAAAATATCTGGTCGCTGAATTTCTAAAATCACAAATCTCGTTTTTAAGTCAACAATTTCTTGTATAGCTCTTTTATCAGTCCCATTAAAGCCTAATGGAACTTCCCTGATTTTATTCAAAATTTGTATTCCATATGACTCTGTTTGATTTTTAAATTGTTCACTGAATTCTCTACCTCATATTGAATCTGAATATAATAAAGAGCATTTATATGCGCTAAAAATACTTAAAAGTAAAGCAGCTGCTGAAGATGTAATTGAATTTGGATAGGAAACTCTTGTATATTGAGGGTAATAGTCAAGACTATTCATTATTGTTGACGTTTCTACTCCGATAATAGGGGTTGTAATATTGAGTGATTTGAAAATTTCTATTGTAGATAAGATTAAGATTTATATGGCCATAAGCGGGATCCACTGTCGGACCAAGAAAGATGGTATTCGCTGATAGGGACAGGAAAAGCAAACTTTTCCTCTTTGCAAGGTTTCCCCAAAACTAAGTTCTTCTTCGAAAAGAGCCCATCAGAGACCATTTCCGTAAACATAACCATTTTATTTCTCTTATAGTTGATAAGGATACTGATGTATCTGCCGGTGGTATATGAAAATAGCCTAAATCTTCTGTGCAATTTTTAAAGCAGTCATAAGCCGAATTATCTCTAAAAAAACAGTCAGTGATATTATTAAAGGATATATTAAAATTTGGCAATAATTTTCCCTCATTTTTTATTGTTTCTAACGCAAAAGTCGCTCCTAATTGATTCACAGCATTAATTCTTGTAGAATTCATTCCGTTTATACTTATATAAGTTAAATTGTTTAAACTGGCCTTAAGCCGGCGACCTACAAACCTTTACGTGTATTGACTCAAAAGAAGCAGTTTAAATAAGAAAAATAAAAGGCAATCATTTTGAATTTCCGACCGATTCCTCGATGGTCGAATCGAGCAGGACCTTGTGGTAAGCCAAACCTGCCTAGCCCATTTTTAGGAGTAGGAAAATCTTCGGGGGAGAAATAAAAAATACCCTGCTTCGGAGGGCTCCCATTGATAACTTTCTTCACGAAGAGGATCTTTCGCCACCCATCTGCTCCATCGGAGTTCAATTTCCGTTAACATCACCATTTTAATTCTTATTACTTATAGGAATTTTTCTTTTTTCATTATTTGGGAGTTCATATGTTTCTCCAGGAAACATTATTGGAGCTAAAATTTGTATACCTCCTCCGTTTACTGCCCCAACTGAAGTCAATTTTCTCTCGCCTTGGACATTTCAAATTGTGAATCCTACATTATCAAAGGTAAAATCCCGCTGCGCAAAAGTATTTAAAGTATATGCTGAGTAAGATCCTTGAATATCATTATTTGATATTATCTCATATAGAAGAAAAGGGGTTAAAAAAATAGTTGTTTCAGTATAATCGTAAAAATCATAGCTATGAAATATGCTTGCTTCTAATAAAATTGAGCCTTTTAGATAAGCACTTCAGGCAGCTTCTTGCATATAAATATATATCTTTTATATGAAGAAAATATATTAATTTGTAATATTTCTAATACAAATAAGGATTTTACTGTTACTTTTATTTGTTAAAGTTATTTAAATTGTATATGTGTATCCTTCTTTGTCCATGTCAGCTTGAACTAATGCTTCTTGGATTAATTTAGAAGTCTTTGAATTTGTTTGGAAGAAAAATCATTTTATGCCTGAAGGCTTGATTTCTTTTGATATAAGGGAAAAAATGTATTCATAAGGAGCTGATTTAGGAATTTTGTATTGGGCGACTATTTCGACCCCTTTATCATTATTGAAATCCATTTCGATGAAATCACAAGTAATTATAGCAATTGCTTTTTTAATTCCATAAATTTTGGCAAAATCGATTGCTACTTCTCTATATACACTAAAGCGATAATCTGAATAAATTACGTAGGGTAAAGCATTTTCTGGCGCATTTCCATAAACAAAATGTATAAATCCATATTCCATTGCATATTTACTTACCAACGCGTTCATACTTAGAGAAAAAGTTGCATCAAAAAGAAATAAATAATCTGAATTTGTAAAAATTGTCTCTAAGTCATAAGCATTAAATATCTCTATGGCTTCATACTGATATGGCAAATTTAAGTCGCAGCCAGCCCTACTATTTATTGAGCAGTCTATAGTATTCGCTAAAATATTAGCCAGAAGAGGATCAGTATATCTGCTATACAAAATTGGTATTGCAAACATTTGGCTTGCAACGGAGTCTAGAAAAAGCAAAAAATAGGTTATCATCTGTCAGCAGTATTTAATAAATTTTAATAATTATCTATAAGGATAGTTTCATTAAGCCTACTCTTATATTTTAAGACACAAAATATTTTAGATTTATTGGAAAATTATTATTATGATAAGAAATGCTAAGGATTCTTTTGAGAGCCCTAGCATATGAAAATAGAAAATATGCAAATTCAGAATTATTATTTTTTTTATTTCTTTATAAAAATATTTTTCAGTAAAATAAAAAAACTAGAAATTGCATGAAATGAATAGTCTGATCCAGCCCCAAAGCCTAAAATTTTATAGCTTTAATCATACTCAGTTGCAGCTGAAGATTTTTAAGCTTGCTGATCCAGTTGCAATAGTTGTGTCCTAGATATAGTCAGGTCTGTTACTTCTAACTATTTGGTTTAAAAAGCCTTATTTGGTCTTAAAACCTAGCTTTAATATATACTTAATTAAGTATAAAAGTGAGGGAAGACACTGGCTAAAGGAATCTATAATTTTCTTCTCAACTCACTATATTTTGAATTTTCTATTGTAAGGAATTCAAGAATCGCTTCTTTTGTCCCTTCACAAGGATGCATAAAAATTGATACAAAATTGTGAACTGTATTAGGCAAGTTTACATGCTCCACAGCGTGCACTTTACAAGATAAAGTCTCAAGAGAAGAGCATTTGCATGCATACTCAACTTCATTCAAACACCCTGACTCAAAGCATTTCTTGATCACCATATAATAATCAGATAACTGATTTATGAGCATTTGCATTCTAAGAATTAAGATCTAAAAGTAGCTAGTTATATCATTATAGAGTTTTTTATAGCTGCTGAAAACACATTGCCTGGAAATCCTGATTTGATGGAAGATGAATTTACGATAGCTCTATCGATTTATTTAAATTATTTTTCAAATATTACTTTTGAGTGCTGTTACAATTGCATAAGCTTGAATTATATTCACTGTATAACTCAACATTGCTGTTACTTTGCTCCTCAAGCTGTCCATTTGATTTTAAAGCATCATCATCTGGGATATTCAAACCTGGGCGATTGGAGTTACTTTGTGATAGATTTGCAGAAAAAATATATTTTGCTGACTTTTTAATTCCTGCATCTTCAGGATTAATTGAAAGCAGCTGAAATCTAAACAATTGATAAATACTCTTACCTTTTTCAGTTTCCAATAGTGAAGGCAAATATAATTTTTGATAAATCGCACCAAACACAAGTAATAGAGCCCATCCTAGAATGAGAACAATTAATGCAGAAAACTCATCAATTTTCGCTATTGCGCAACAGATTCAAAGCATTAGACTGCAAAATAATAATATTATATACCACAACGAAGCTCTATCGTAGTTTAAAGGCCGTCTTAATATAGAAACAATTATATAAGCCGATAATACCCCAATACCCAATCAAATGAAAATATCTTCAGATGCAGGCTGAACTATAGTGGAAAGCCCAACTAAAATTATTTGTATAAAAGTTTTTGAAAAGGCTGATCTTGAAAATGAAATGGCAGATCATCTTTAGCGAACAAAAATATATAAATTTTTTATGAAAATAATGTTTTTTTTTGTTTGTTTGTTTTTATTATTATAACGAAATCTGTAAGTACACTTCTTCTATTTTTTTATCTAAGTAAAGTTCTAGAAAGACTCTCTTTCTCGTCTCCCAATTATTAGCAATATAGGGTGGGCACTCTTTAGTGTGCTCACGCTATAGTATTTTTGTCTATTGCTAAATTGATTATAGAATAATTTTCCAAGTTTTAATATTTTATAAAAAATTTAAAAATATTCTTCTTAATTAATTTCAAAAATTAAGGGATTTTAATTTTAATTCATATTCAATGTTTGCTTAAAAACTCGAGCTTTCTATAAAAGAAATAATAATTATTTTAATAATACCCATGAATTCTTTGCAAATCAATTATATCTGAGTTTCTACTAACTAATAAGCTATTGAGTCTTTACTATTTATATTTTCAAGCACACACTTGATGGAGTTTTATTTCGGCATTAAATCATTTATTTTTATATCAAAAAACTAATTTTTTCTTACATTTTTTAAAACCCTATAGTTTATGTGATTTTTTTTTATTTATCATGCAAAGTGAGACTAGGGTTTTTTTTGAAAATTGGAGCCTTTCCAATAATCTGCTCGCTATTGAGGGGATGTCAAAAAACTTCCTAGATAATATAATGATGTAAAAATTAATTTAAATAAAGATGTTCATTGATTTTTAAGAAATGCTAATTGCTTTTAAAGAGACACAGCTTAAACTTGATTAAAATCGAAGTCAACTTCAATTTTGAGATCGCTTCTTTGAAGATTATCAGTCAAAATTTACACTGCTTCAGCCTGCATTGCAACCGTATATCGTCTATCCATTCGTTGGTATATTTGCACCTGAGTTTTAAGTATCTAAAAATGTGCTTTTTTCCCAACACAGTTGTGAGCGAATGAGCAAAGTCCAATAACATGTTTGGAAGGCTGATGCTTGACTGATACTTTAGCACAATTAGCAGCCAGGGTCTCGCTTACGTTATGTGCAGGAGCCGGCACAAGCTAAAAAAACTTATAAGGCAGGTTGCCAAAGTCGCGCTCTCGTTATAAAGAAAGTCCCAATTTGGACACCTATCGCATATGTGGCTGATATCGAGTTTTTAGCACAATTATGATCTGCGATACAAATGGAGTGGAAACACATTCATAATTATTAAGAGGTATAGTACATGCGCAAAATTGGCAATAATACACCGGTACTCTATTTGAGTCAGAATCGCAGGTAGAGCTATACTTTCCACTACAATAGACGCAAAACCACATTGATGCTAAGCATGAGCCGTCATAAAGCATCAATCATCATCACTATAGTTCTAGTTGAATTGAGTTCCATCATCTAATGTTATCGTATTAAAGTCTGCATTGCTTATAGCAGTCTTTTGCAAGCAAAAGTTCATAGAAATTCCCCTTAATTTCTTTTCCAAAATAGAGTTGTCCACCAAGCATTAAAAAGTAAACAGCTGAGGCACCTGAATTTTTGAAATTTTGGTATTGACAGGTATAAGAACCTCTAATGTGACTGTGCCTCCTTCATTTTTTAAAATGAAATATTATTAAAACCCACTTGTCTGTATTAAAGTAACAGTAAAGGTGAAGTCTTTGCTGAAGTAGTTGTAATAAGCCTGAATCGAAAGAGTTGGCTGAAAGTTTACCAAAAATCTAAATGCGTAATCATTAAGACTATTAAGTAATAGATGATTATCTATTTTGAATCTCCAAGATTGGTTATTCAGTCTTACTGGCTTACATCCTATCAGGCTATCCATATTTGAAGCAGGATCTGTGCTTAGCTGAGGTTCACCGTGATTTCATAAGTTGTAGATTTAATAGCCTGTGCTAATATCTTTATCCTTTCTACTTAATGGAATAAAATCTCACTTAACAAATGATAAGGATGAAGAGAATATTTAGTATTTTTGAATAGACCTTATAGTTTGCTTTTATAAATAGACACTAAGCTAATTTGCATATTAAATTCTGCCAAATAGGCTTAATGGTTGCTAAACTCATTATAATATTCAGCTCCAAGCTCCACTTTAAAATTTGAATTAAAATGTCTTGTTGACATTACCAAGTCCTTAAAAAGTCAGGCTTGGCCTAAATTTAAACTAACTTTTTGTCTTTAATGCGTTTCTAAAAAATTTTGGATATTAAAATCGCTAAAATTTTGAATAAGTGCAACTCTGAATACATTTCATATCAGTTATGCAATTTCTAATAAAGATAATGGTTTCTTAAGATTAATTTAATCTTAACCTTTTACTAACTAATACGCCAAGCCTAACACTCTAATTTTCCTTCTACATTCAAAAATGCACATACCAGTTTTATTAAATGCCTAAAAATCGATATGTAATAGCGTCATAAGGTAACAATCCTTTTTAATCTGGGTATTAATGATTTCTGCTGATATAATATAGATGATGTTCTAAAGCCATAAATTGCTCAAATCTTATATTTAGAATATTGAACTCTAATTAAATACAATTGAAACAAGGATTCTGTTGGTAAAAAATAATAGACAATGTTTTAAGTAATTTTTGAAGCTTAAAATAGAATGTATATTTATGGAAAGTCAAAGCATCATGCAATTTTATTAAAGAACTATTTATAAAACAAAGGATTAAGTAAATGCATAAATTTTGTTAATTTAAATCTCATAAAATTATATTATCTCTATTATTTCTCTTTAATTTGCTTTCGGTTATAATAGCACATATTCATTTTGCTGACTAATTTATATGATTCATACGCAGAAATTATTTATTATAGTTACTAATTTAATGCTTATCAAAATTTGCATTCTTTTTGGACTTGCTATAAGTCAATTTACAATTGTGCCAATTATATACAGCAAAAATACATCTCCTTTACTGGTTGCATATTTCAAGAGCTTAGAATGCTCATCTGAAAACAAAGGTGGCTGCAAATTAAATTTACCATTCCGGTTCACTCTATATGAGATTAGTGATCTATCAGATATTGAAAAAATCTTTGAATACTCAGAATTTCTGCTTATTTATGATGCAGTTTCATCATTAGGGATGTCATCACTAATAAACACGTATGCAAGAAGTTTAGGATTCCTTCAAGTCATTATTGGCTACCCTTTAGGCATAACACTGCAGCATGCGTTTTATTCCGATTATCAGCTAAGTGAGTATGCAAACGCAGCATTATACATAGCTAAGTCTTATAATATAAAAAAGGCTATAGCACTTATTAGCAGTGAATTTGCTGAAATGAATTTTAAGAACAATAAAGGCATAGAAATAGTCGGACAGTTTATACTCCCTCAAACCGCGACTTTTGATTATATTTTTTGACTAATTTCAAAAAAAATAAAGCCATTAGGTGTTAAATGATTTTTCTTTAAAACAAACAAAGCGATTTCTTTATTAATTCAACAAGCCTTAATTAAAGCTGATATGAACAAAATTGGCTTTACGTACGTGTATATACAAGAAGCAGCTTGAGGAGCTCATTTAGAAGGGTCGATTCTATTAGAGTCAAAATGATTTCACAGCACTGGTATGTTTAATTATGTTGATAATATTATGCATTTTGGCTCTGTAGTCATTTATAGTACCATAATGAATAATCAAAACCAAGGATCATATTCAGGATGAATTGTTGATAGTCTTATAAAGGTGTTCAGCAACCCTGCAACATTGGGGTATACTATTTGAAATGTCCAAAATGGAAATGTTAAAGCAGTCGGAATAATAAATCAAAAAGGAGTCCAAATATCGTCGCCTATATTATTTCCTGGAGGAATTTATGACATACCAAATAATAACAAAATAAAGATACCTATAAGTATCAGCGGAATCGCCTATAAAGATAATGAAATTAATTGGATAAGCCAATTAGGAATTATATTAGCTATAGATAGAATAAGAGCAGAAGGGAAATTATTACAAAATTTTGATATTCAGGTTAATAATACAACCGATTGCAGCTATATTGATGATAATTCAACTTATAAATGCTTATCAGAACACTTAGATGACTTAGGATGCTTTCATATTCCCAGGTTAGAAACATCGGCAGTCCTTGAAACAATAAAAGTTTTTAAAGAGAATAATATTTCGACACCAATTATAGGAGTACAAACATCGACCATAATGAGTAACTCTGAGTATTATCCACAATATGCAAGAGTTTCATATCCAAATTCACGCACAGCATCAGCAGCTGCGCTTATTTTAAGTGTTTTTGGTATTTCTAAATGCTCTTTATTATATTCAGATTCTCAATGAGGCGAAGACTTCAGTAGAGAATTCAAAAATCAGACTGATTATTATGGAATAAAAATTTTAAACAAAAACAGAATAGTTCCACTAGGATTTAAAAGCAGGGATAAAAAAATAATACAAGAAATTATTGATCTTAAAACTAGATATGTAATTCTGGAAGTGCAATGGCCTGATATTTTATATGTAGTCGAAGCGTTTTATGATTTAGGTATGCGAGAGGGCGATATTTATTTGCTTGTTGGTGATGGAATGATAAGTGTATCTGATTTGGATGAAAAGTTAATTGGAAGTATTTCATACACAAAAAGGAAAGAAATTATGAGCGGGCTTATCTATATAAGCTTCTTAATTCTTCATTATATAATAGCAAAATTAGTATTAAAAAAATTTTTTTTTATTTAATCAAAAGTGAATTTTTGTATTTTATATAACTATAAATAGGGATGGAATAAGGTAAATAAAATTATTGAAGATATTATTTTATAGCACAAAACAGCTTTAGTTCATATTGGGCCATCAACTTTCCCTCTAACTCATGTTGTTAGCTTGGAATCAAAGCTGCTAAACCATCATGAGTTGGAGGGAAAGCTGATAGCCGAGGAGATCTTGGGCTATTATGATTGTTTTTAATTTAAATAATGAGAGAGTTAGCATTCGAAAACCAATTAGGCCTTGAACTGAAAAATAAAATAGAATTAGAGCACGGTTTCATCTATGACTATATGTGCTTATTTTATGATGCTGTGCATGTCGGAATTCATACAATCGATGCGTTAATAAATTGAGGAATTAATTATGATAGTTCTGCAATTCAAAAGTCAGTTAGGGAAGTAGTTTTTACAGGATGCTCAGGAGTAATTAGGCTTAACAAAGATGGAAATGATAAACTTACAGCTATTTTAGGGATTTATAACTTATTACAGGATAATTCTACCTGAATAATGAATCTTTCTGGGATTTATGATCCAAGTCAACTTATTGTGCTTCAAATAAGGCATCCTCTTTCATGAAATGAAAATGGTGATGTTCCCAGTGATATAATAGGAGATGACCAGAAATGTCCATTTAGAAATATTTTAGTTCAGTCATTTCTTTCTGGATATTTTATATTGATAATAATAGAAATCATCCCGATAATAATTGGGACTATTTTCGCAATAAAATTTTACAATAGTATATTTTTGAAACAATATTCAAATCTAATTACAGTAAAAAAGGAAAATTTATTTGATATTATTTCTTATTTGATCATTTTGATTGAATGTTTACAATATATGCAAGTTGGGCCTGATTTCCAAAGCTTTTTTCCTAGCTCTTTAAAGAAAAAAATTAACGTTAAAATTTTTTTAATTTTTCAAGCTTTATTTATAAAAAAAAATTTTAAAAATAAGCCAAAATGAATAATTTCTTATAAAAATGGGGGAAAAATTCAAAGATAGTTATAAAAACGAAGAGAGCTTTGTAAGTTAAATAATGTTACTAGGTTTACAACTCTTGATATAAGAGGGTTCTTTCAAAAAGGATCAATAACATTTTGAAATTTGATTGAGTTTTATGAAGCTTTAGCATTTGCATGATTTTTATTATTTTTTTGGAAATTATTAAAATTAGGAAAAAAATCGGATAATTTTTTTTTAATGACTATAAATGAGCAGAGGTCTCGCGAGAATAATTTTTGGCAAAATTTCTGGGTAAACATTCATACGAGAAAAAATGCCATGATCAAAATATCTCATATACCCCAGGATGCGTTGTAGATTACCCTGGGCTATTTCGTGAATCGCCATCAAAGGAGTTGGTGGCAACTTTTGGAGTCAACCAGCTTCAAAAGTTGACAAATGCCAACTTGTGGAGTAGGTATGGCAGCTTTTGATGCCATACCAACTTCACTTATGATAGTTCAGAACGATCTATAATGCGTCCTGGGCTATACACTATAAATGAGCTTACTCGCCCTCCTTTTAAATTGAAAAAAAAAAATCCTTGTTACAATTTAAGAGGAGTTAATTTTTTATATTAAATTTTTCTCTATAAAAAAAATTGTTTAAAATTAAAAAAAAGCTAATCGATTCAGTATGGAATTGTTTAAATAGCATTTTGCCTGCACATTTTATATTAAATTAGATCAAGCTAATTTTATAAAATTCGTCGTTTCACCTATAAAGATTTTCCTATTGAAAAATAATTGTTCTAATATAAGAGTTAAAAATTTACCTATATTTTGTCCCAATTTAAAAGGGGGGAGTTAGCATCTATTTTTTGCCAATTGTGGGTGAAATATTGTTTTTACCTCTCAACTTGTATTTATTTGAAACTTTTCAATGCACCAGTAGCATTGGAGATAGCTTTAAAGATAGTTTCAATAATCAAGACTGCTCAACATTTTGCTGGCAAGGAGAGCATATGTATTATGTGATTATTTCTTGATTAGCCATTATTGTTTATAGCTTGAGCCTTCATTTAGATTATCAGATAAATATTTTTCAAAAGACAATTTTTGCAATACTGCCAACCTTATTTTTCTTTTTGAAAATTTCAAAAACTCTTATATTCTCAGATACTAAAAGCTGCTATTTATTTAAAAACTTACCTTTAGAATCTAAACTATATCTCAAGCCATACATGCCTACAAGTGTATATTTTAGATTTACATGGAAAAATGAGCTGCCATTTCATTTTCAGGAACAGCCTTTTCATTGTTTTTTAAAAAGCATTGTGCAAATATCTTTGGTTGCTCTGGTTACAATATTAAATCCAGCCTCTGAAAATATTTTTTTAGGATCATGCATTGGTTCATTACTGCTATACTTAATAGTTTCAATAATAAAAAAGCCATTAACTTATGGCAGGGCTTCTCTATGATACATAATTTTTATTGCTTGCAGTCTTTGGTTATGATGCTGCTGCGGATTAGCAAAGATAAATAAAATGCTTGGAATAATTGCTCTCATAATTGGCTGAATATTATTAGCAATAATTGGAGCAATTTATCAAAAATATAAGTTACCTGCTTTATTGAAATCTGAAAAAGGTATAGATATTATTAAGCTCTTTAGGTTCCAGTTTCTATCAATTAGTCCTGAAACAGCTGGAATTGCTAAGACTTCTTCGATTAAATATCTTTATGATAATGAATTATCTCAAATTAAACATATAAAAAACAATGTTCAGAAACCAATAAATAGTATTTTCTCAGAAGAAGACAATCTAAGATCAAGTATTCAGTTTTTAAATATCAGTCATGAATATTTAGAAGGCGAAGTTAACTCGAGTTGGTGCGGAAATGATATAACTCGTAAATAATTTTTTATTTATTTAGCATCAATAATTTAGAATATCTATTAATTCCAATTTAAATTAATTACTACTATTTAATGTGTCGTTTTTTCCATAGCACAGAAACTTTTCAACTTCAGCTCGGAGAATCATGGGTATTACTTGCCACCTTTTTATTTCGTGAAGAAAATATAAAACTTCTGTATCTAGAAAGCCTCATGAAATTCGTTGAGATTTCTGGTCACCTTATGACTTATAGAAGTTTAGGATACCTCACTGATAAAAATGGCGAGGTAGGAATGGACTCGATATCACGAGTTAGAATTTAAAGAATCGACTCTGCTTATAACATCGCGGAAGTATGTTAAATACTAATTAGCTTAATTGTTGAAGCTAAAGTAAGCAAAAGGTTATTTACGAATTATAATAATATTATCGCACTAACTTGAGTTAACTTGGAGCTCCATATTGTTATGGCTGATTCCAAAAACTGAATGCTTAGCTTAAATTGTCTTCTTCAGATGAAATTTTTTTTGGTGGTATTGGAAAATTGCTTTTATAGGTTTAATTTGAGATTATTCATTATGAGAGAATAATTTTAATTGAAGAAATCTTACTCTAAATTACTGAAAAGTATAAGATTCGAAGGTAATTTTGGGTGTTCAAGGTGAATTATTATTAGAATGTAAGGCTAGCAGTTCAGCATAGGAATTGAAGCATAAATAGGTAACAATCCTTTTTTCAATAAAAGCAGACAAGCTATTTTTTGATAAATTGCTCGCATAATTTCTTATACACTCAGTTAATTATGAGATAAGCTAATCCGTGCAATTTATTTAAATTTCAAATCCAAAATCACAGCCATTGATAGCAAGTAATCAAATTATATATCACAGGTAAGCCTGGCCATAAATTAATAGCCTTTTATACTATATGCATTATTGCTAATAGGAGATAATTATAGATAAATGATCGCCTTTGAAAAAAAGTTATTCATATTAATGACAAAATGCATATAGAGTAGAAGTTATTAAAGGCTTTATCAAAAAATACTATATTAAAATTAATATAAATACCCCTATAAAACTATAAAAATTATATAGTTTTCTCATTTCAGTATCTATTATCAAGAAATTCAAATTTCAAACAGGTTGTGTCTATAACTTGGCTTATCGCTGGGTATATGCCTTTGGAAATGCTGCTTTCTGATCAATTTGAATTATTTTCATTGGCTTCGTCCTCATTAGTAAGATGTATACTTAATTCTGAATTTTCTTTATTTTCTCCATCTATTTCCTCTTTATTTAATTCTTTTTCTTTATCAATAAATTGGATGCTTTCTTTATTTTTTTCATATGATTCCTCTAATTTTACTTGTATTTCCTCAGAATTTCCATATCATTTTCATTCGTCAGATTTTGCTAATTGTTTATTTTCTGATTCACTATTTTCTGATACGTTTATTTTGTTAACTATAATCTCTTCTTCTTTTTGGCATAGATCTTGTTTTGAATATGCATATTTAAATAAATTAGTAATCCCAGAATCTTCTATTCTGCTTGATGTTAATTGAAATCTAAACAAATGGTAAATATCTATGCCTCTTTCAGAAATTAAAAGAGATGGAAGTCGCATTTTTTGATAAAAAATTCCTTAATATTAATTAGTTAATTTTAACTCAAACCCTGGTTTTCACCTCAGTTTGCTCTCTCGTGACTCGCTCTGGCTTCCCTCCAGCACCTGTTCTGCCCCAAGGATGGTTCTTTATATCAGAAGTGGAAAAGATAAAGGCAAAAAATACAAAGGGTGTGAGGACAGACGGATTCCGTCATTTTCTTCTCATATGCAGAAGTCAACATATAAAAGCCTAAATAAAAATATGATAAGAAAAAAAGAATTTGATGAGCGAATTATCCTTTAGGCCATTTTATTACTATATGGTAAAAATTCCAAATATGATAAGCAATGTCCACCCTACAACTAGCACAGCCAACGCAGCAATTTTATCACCTTTTGAGATTCCACAACAAATTCAAAACAAAAGACTAAAAGACAAAAAAATGATATATCACATTGAAGCCCTTTCATAATTAAATGGCTTCTTATATATAGTGATTACTACATATATAAAAAATAACCCAATGCATAACCCAATAAAAATAATCTCTGAAGCTGGCAAAACGATAGTGTGAAGGATGATAAAAACCATTTGTATATAGCTTTTGAGAACAAAGTGAAAGGGCTGCTCTTGAAAATGAAAAGATAAGTCATTTTTCCACAAAGGCCGACAGTAAATACTTGTAGGCATGTAAAGGCAAATTGCTATAGAAGAAATAACAACATAGTAAATATGCTCTCCCTGCCAGCAAAAAGTTGAACAAATTCTGTCATGAAAGCTATTGTAAAAACTATCCCCAATGCTGCTTGTGCATTGAAAAGTTTGAAATAAATTCAAACAAATAGGCAGAAACAGCGAATCTCCAATAAAAGGTAAAAAATATAAATTAGATTCGTTTACCCCTAAAATAAAGCAGCTTTTCGAGTTTTCTCCTATTTTTCTTTTTTTCCATAAAAATAAAATAAATCAGACAATTGCGATTATTTCGAAAAATTGTGCTTGGTTTCAAAAATTAAAATAATTTTTTTTATTCCAGCCGGTTATATTAAAAATCACTAATTTTGTAATATCTGTTAATTCGGGTAGAAAATTATTGATATCCTTTCCTGTGTGCATATATTGAAAACACTCAATAAGCATAAGAACATAAGAAAGAGAGTCAAGGAAATTTTCTTTTTCTACTGTAATAAGTTTTTCAATAGAAGAATTCATAATAAAATTGTATTACCATACCTGAAAATTTAATTATTTATAATAATTAAAAAGCATAAAAGAATAATTTAGCCTAATAAAGCATAAAATTTAATCACAAAAATAGTCCCAATAATTATAGGAATAATTTCAACAACTATTAAAATGATATAGCCATTTAAAAATGATCGAACTTGTCTTTCCTTAAATGGGCATTTTTGGTCATCTCCTATGATTTCACTTGGAACCTTAATAGAATTTGAAAAACTCTGCTTAAGCTGTAGCACAATAAGTTGGCTTGGATCATAAAGTCCTTGAAGATTTAATTTTCATTCATAATTTACTTGCGATAAAGCATACATTCCCAGGACTGTTGTAAGTCTACTATTTCCGTCTTGTGTAATTTGAACTAATCCTGAGCAGCCTGTGAATTTTATATCTCTTATAGTTTGTTGTATTGATGAGCTATCTACATTGATTCCTCTAGTTATCAAAGAGTTTATTGCATAAATCCCAAGATAAGTCGCATCGTAAAATAAACACATATTATCATATGCAAAACCATATTGGGATAAAAAATTATTTTTAATGCCAAGCCCAATCTGGTTTTGGAAAGTTGGGTAGGTAAAATAAAGCAGTCTACTCATAATTTCTTTTCTTTTTATATAAGAATCTGTGCCTATTCTTTTTTCGTCCAAGTCAGAAACACTTATAGAACCATCACCAATAATCAAATTAAGATCGCCCTCCCTCATTCCTAAGTCATAAAATGCTTCAATTACATACAAAATATCTGGTCACTGGATTTCTAAAATCACAAATCTCGTTTTTAAGTCAACAATTTCTTGTATTGCTCTTTTATCAGTCCCATTAAAGCCTAATGGAACTGCCCTTATTTTATTCAAAATTTGTATTCCATATGACTCTGTTTGATTTTCAAATTGTTCGCTGAATTCTTTCCCTCATATTGAATCTGAATATAACAAAGAGCATTTAGATATGCTAAAAATACTTAAAATTAAAGCAGCAGCTGAAGATGTAATTGAATTTGGATAGGAGACTCTTGTATATTGAGGATAATAGTCAAGACTATTCATTATTGTTGATGTTTCTACTCCTATAATTGGGGTGGTAATATTGAGGGATTGGAAAGTTTCTATTGTGGATAAGGATACTGAAGAATCTGCCGGTGGAATATGAAAATAGCCTAGATCTTCTGTGTAATTTTTAAAGCAATCATAAGTCGAATTATCACTAAAAAAACAATCAGTGATATTATTAAACGATATATTAAAATTTGGCAATAATTTTCCCTCATTTTTTATTGTTTCTAAGGCAAAAGTTGCACCTAATTGATTCACAGCATTAATTCTTTCAGAATTCATCCCATTTATACTTATAGGAATTTTTATTTTTTCGTTATTCGGGACTTTAAAGGTTTCTCCAGGAAACATTATTGGTGCAAAAATTTGTATACCTCCTCCGTGGACTGTCCCAACTGGAGTCAAGGTTCCTTCGCTTTGGATATTTCAAACTGTGTATCCTATTCTGTCCAAGGTAAATGTCTCCTGTGCAAAAGTATTTAAAGCATATGCTGAGTAAGATCCTTGGTTATCGTTATTTGCTATCATCTCATATAGAAGAACAGAGGTTCAATATATAATTTTTTCAATATAATCGTAAAAATTATAGCTATGGTATCATTTTGCTTCTAGTAAAATTGAGCCTTTTAGATAAGCACTTCAAGTAGCTTCTTGCATATAAATATATGTGTATCCTTCTTTGTCCATATCAGCTTGAACTAATGCTTCTTGGATTAATTTAGAAGTCTTTGAATTTGTTTCGAAGAAAAATCATTTAATGCCTAAAGGCTTGATTTCTTTTGATATAAGGGAAAATATGTATTCGTAAGGAGCTGATTCAGGAATTGTGTATTGAGCGACAATTTCGACCCCTTTATCATTATTAAAATCCATTTCGATAAAATCACTAGTAATAATAGCAATTGCTTTTTTAATTCCATAAATTTTGGCAAAATCAATTGCTAAATCTCTATATACACTAAAACGAAAATCTGAATAAATTACGTAGGGTAAAGCGTTTTCTGGTGCATTTCCATAAATAAAATGTATAAATCCATATTCCATTGCATATTGACTTACCAACGTGTACATGCTTACTCCCCTCTGTGGGCGAACCAAAAAAATCTTGCTCGCTTGGGGAGTTAATTTTTTTTTTAAGAATTTTTTTTTTTCGAATTTTAAAAAAATCCTAATTCGCAAAAAATTGGAAAGCAAATATTAATTAATTTATAAAAATTTATGTTTTAAAACGCAATTTTTTGAAAAATTAAACAGAAGTAGCTCGAGATTTCATTATAATAATTATCACTTATATATCAAAAAATTTTTGTTCACTAACGGAGAGTGGGTTTTTTGGGTGAAAAATAGGGATTTTTCCAATGGTTTTGCTCACTCGCGGAAGGGGGGAGTTAGAGAAAAAGTTCCATCAAAAACAAATAAATAATCTGAATTTGCAAAAGTTATCTCTAAGTCATAAACATCAAATATCTCTACAGCTTCATACTGATATGGCAAATTTAAGTTGCAGCCTACCCTACTATTTATTGAGCAGTCTAAAGTATTCACAAAATAATCAACCAGCAAAGGATCAGTATATCTGCTATATAGATTAGATTAGATTAGATTATGCCGTTCGCTTTCGCAAGGGCCGGGGATTTGCACCCCTACACGCTCATCATCACTGAGGGATCCCGGCGGACACCCTTCCCCACCGCCGCAGCAGGCGAGGCTTCGCGCACCAGTCTTGACTTCCATGGCTTCTGGAGCCTTAGGGCCAACCACCTGGGTCGAAACTCCCAGTTTCTCGTTGGACAAATACCATCTTCATGGTCTGAGGGTCATATTGCCCAGCAGACGTCACCGGCCTTGTCCTTTCCAATGGTTGTACCGGAGGAAAAAAAATAAGTCCAGGGATAAGCTCCCTGGCCCCGAGGAAAACCCAGCCCGACTATACATAAAGGATTACCGCCCCCCTTTCCACCTAAATCTCCGACACTGGGCCGTTGCCTGCTGGTGTTGAAGAAATAGGGTCGAGAGGTCGGGTGGTCTGTCGTCACCATTTTTTTTATGTATATATCTGCTATATAAAATTGGTATTGTAAAAATTTGGCTTGAGGTGAAGCCCAGAAAAAACCAAAAATAGGTTATCATCTATCAATAATATTTAATAAATTTAATTAATTATCTATAAGGATAGTTTTATTATGCTTTCTCTTATATTTTAAAATGTAAAATATTTATAGCTTTTATTGAAAATTATTATTAAAAAGAAAATAATAAGAATTCTTTTGAGAGCTCTAGCCTATGGAAATAAAAAATAGTTTTTGCTGGCAAAATTGATAATTTATCATTTTTGCACTTTAGTAAAGTTGCCTATAATAGGCAAGCATCTCAAAATTAGAAAATATGCAAATTAAGAATTAAAATTTTTATAACTTTTTTCAATAAAAATATTTTTCAATAAAATAAAATTCTAGAAATAACAACTTATAATCTAATCAAGCTTAAAGCCTAAAATTTTATAAATTTAATCATGCTTAGTTGCAGCTGTAAATTTTAAGCCTACTGATCCAGTTGCAGTTATTATCTCTAACAGTAGCTAGGTCTATTACTTCTAACTATTGTTGTAAAAAACTATTTGGTCTTAAAACTTAATATGTTAAATATTGATTTTTACAAATTAGAAGTAAAGTTTCTTAGCACTATAAGTATAAGAGAGTTTTATGATTTAAGTTCTTTATCATAGAAAGCTTAAATGATTACAGTCTAAAGAAAATATTCTCAATAAAAAACAAGTTCAGTTAAAGTATACATTTATTATTTTATAATATAAAAATATATTCTTTTATTATCTCCAATTTTAAATCATATTGCTCTGTTCGACTGCAAAAACTTATATAAGCTAATATTTCACAGAAATACAAGCCTGCTTTATGATTAAATATATTTCTGAAGGCTCCAATATTTATCGAAAAAATTATTAATAGAAAATCAATACTTCTAAAGCCTACCAGGAATACTTATATTAAGTCTCGATTTCGAAGAGCTGAGCACTTGATTTAACGTTATCCTCTTCTGGTATATAACTTTTACTCCCCCCCCATCCTTGATCGAACGATTGACTGTAAAAATTCCTAAAAATTGGGGAAATTAACCCCCATCCTTGATCGAACGATTTTCATATCATGCAAATTTTTATATATATAAAAATATATAGCTATCAAAAGCTTGGAAAGATGTACCTAATGAAGTTGTTTTCAGAGCTTTGAGACGACAGAAAGCTGCGGAATCAACCATCTGAAGTGATTTAATCATCAATCTAGGCTTAAAAACTCAATAATCTAAAAAATAGAGATTCTTTAAAATTTAAAAAAAAAAATTTTAATTCAATAAGGAGCAAATTAAAATTTATGCAGTTTAAAAGGGTAACTAATAAATCAAAATATTAAAAATTGGTATTCTTATGAAATTAATTCAATTTTTTTGCTGTAAAAATAATTATTAAATACTCTTAAACACTCTTATTTAAAAGTAAATAAAAAAAAATATATATATATTTTTTATTTTATATATAAATTTTTTTTTCCCAAAAACATTTTTTTTAACCCCCATCCTTGATCGAACGATGGCGAGTCGTTCGATCAAGGATGGGGGGAGTTAGTGGATTTTAATAATTGCAGAGTTTTTGCTTCACTGGATTGTGGAGCATCATTTTCTATGTAAACATATCTAAGCGGCTTCGTCTTAATAATGCCTGCCATTTCTGGGCTACTTGATGAGAGTTGAAACCTAAAAAGTCCAACAATATTTATAGCTTTTTCTGCTTCTAATAGACAAGGGAGTCTCAGTTTTTGATAAACAGCTCCAAACATAGTTAATATAATTAGTCCAATAGCCAGTAAAATTAAAGCTGTGAGTTTATCATCAAGCTTTGATATTGCGCAGCAGCACCAAAATAGTAAAGCCGAAGCTATGAAAATTATATATCATAATGAAGCTCTATCATAATTCAATGGTTTAGTTATTGCTGAAATAATTAAATATATCAGCAGCAAACCAATGCATAGCCCTGAGAAAGCATTTTTAGAAGCAGGGCTTACTATTGTAGCAAAAATTATAAAAATAATTTGTACAGTGCTTTTTAGAGCTAGATGAAAAGGATGCTCTTGAAAGTGAAACGGTAAATCACTTTTTCAGGTAAATCTATAATATAAACTTGTAGGGATATAGGGAATTATCTAGAATGGACCTGCAAGAGCAGACATTTGAGACGGAAACTCTCCAATTGGTTGGACTAGCTCTCAGGTTGATCAAACCTACTGGAGAGAGGGTCATCTACAAACCCTGCAGATAGTTTTACCAATCTGAATTAGTCCAACCAACTGAAGAGTTTACATCTCCAACCGCCTACCTTTGAAAGGTCATTCTCGGGAATTCCCTATATATACAGATAATGCGAGTGAAGAAATAATTACATAATTGATATGATCTCCTTGCCAGCAAAATGTTGAGCAGTAATGGTCATTGAAGCTGTCTTTAAAATTATCTCCAATACTACTAGTGCACTGGAAAGTTTGAAATAAATACAAATTGATGGGTAAAAAGAGAATTTCTCCTATGATAGGCATAATATACAAGCTAAATTCATTGACTGTAGACAATATAAAATTTTTCTGATTGTTTAAATTTTTTATTAAAAATAGTAAAATTCAAGCAAATACTAACGCTTCATAAAGCTGCACTTGATTTCAAAAAGTGAATAACCCATTTTTAAAAATTCCTCTTATATCAAAAAATACTAATTTGGTACCATTTGATCACCTAGGGAAAAAATCTTTAAAATCCGGACACATTTGAGTGTATTGTAAATTTTCTATTAAAAACATGAAATACGAAAAAATATCAAGAACATTTTCCTTTTGAGCGGTAATGAGTTTTGGGTATTTTTGTTTAAAAATTATATTATAAAACTTCATGGCAAAAAAAGTTCCAAAAATTATTGGAATAATTTCGATTATTATCAAAATAATATACCCATAGCGAAAAGATTGCACAAGAATGTCTCTGAATGGGCATTCTTGGCCATCTCCTATTATATCACTAGGAACTCCACCGTTATCACTTCAAGAAATTGATTGTTTAATTTGAAGCACAATAAGCTGGCTTGGATCATACTCTCCACAAAGATTCATAGTCCAGGTTGAATTAATTTCTATTAAGTTATAAATCCCTAAAATTGTTGTAATCCTATCATTGCCTTCTTGGCTAATTCGTACAACACCAGAGCATCCAGTAAAAGCAATTTCTCTGACTGTATCTTGGATTGAAGAGCTATTTAAATTAACTCCTCAGTTCATTAATGTATTTATGGCTTTTAGACCAAGATATGCTGCATCATAATATAAGCACATATAATCATTTATGTAACCGTATTTAGATAAAAATTCGCTTTTTAAATTAAATCCAAATTGATTTTGGAACGATATGAAACTTATGTAGATAAGCCCACTCATAATTTCTTTTCTTTTGGTATAAGAATTTTTTCCAATTAATTTTTCATTCAAATCAGAAGTACTTATCATTCCATCGCCGACAATTAAATAGATGTCGCCTTTTCTCATTCCTAAGTCATAAAATGCTTCAATTATATAAAATATGTCTGGTTTGTGTACTTCAAGGATAACAAATCTGGTTTTTAGGTCAATGATTTCTTGGATTATTTTTGTGTCACTTCCGTTAAATCCTAAGGGAACTACTCTCTTTTTATTTAAAATTGATATTTCATAGGAGTCGCTCTGGTTTTCGAATTCCTTGTTAAAATCTTCTCCTCACTGTGAGTCTGTATATAGCACAGAACATTTAATCCACCCGTAAATTTGAGCAAACAAATTTTACCAAATCTAAAGGGGGATTTTGTGATAAATATGAATATAAAATTGATTTTAAAAATAAATATCTCTTAAAAATGGATATATTTTTTTTAAGAATTTATATAGTAATTTTAATCAATTCAGACCACCAAATGTTTTTAATAGGATTTTAATTACACTTATCCATCAAAGCAGGTCTATTTATATAGAAATTAATATCTTCACTATAAAATTAAATACTTTACCCTACAAAACTAAAATTTTGCCAAAATTTTGTTTCTAATTAAAGGGGATTTAGAAATCCCAAAAACACTTAAAATTAAAGCAGCAGCTGATGCTGTGCGTGAATTTGGATATGAGACTCTCGCATACTGAGGATAATACTCCAAACTACTCATTATAGTTGACGTTTCTACTCCTAAAACTGGAGTCAATATACTATTTTCTTTAAAAAACTTCATCGTATCAAGCACCAATTGGCTTTCAGTCGCAGAAATATAGAAATACCCTAAATCATCTATATAAGTAAAATTTTCATTAAATTCAAAACCAGTGACATTGTTAACTACAATTTCAAAATTTGATAAAAAAACATTCTCTGCCTTTATTGTATTAATTGCCAAATCAGCTCCTACTTGATTCACTGTATTTAATCCATCATTATCATAACTTGCTCCATTAATGCTTATCGGAATTTTAATTTTTTCAGAATTCGGATGGTCATATGTTCCTCCAGGAAATACCAAATCTGAATAAAGCTGAAACCCAGCCCCATTAATAATCCCAGCTTTTTTTACAGTTCCATTTTTGACATTTCAGACTGTAAACCCCATAACTTCAGGTTTTAGTACATTGGCTAACAGCGTATTTAATATGTATCCTGAAAAGGATCCTTGAGCTCTGTTATTCGTGAATAAGCTGTATACATTATTTGCGGCAAAATGAATGAGGTTATATACGTAGTTCTTAAAATCAGTACTGTGTCAAGTTTTAGCTTCTAGTAATATAGAACCTTCTAAATAGGCACCTCATGCTGCTTCTTGTATATAGATGTATGTATAGCCTTCTTTATTCATGTCAGCCTCAATTAATGCTTGTTGAATTAATTTAGAGATTTCTGGGTTTGTTTTTAAAAAAAATCATTTAATTCCTGACTTCCCGCAATTGGTGAGAGAGAAAATTGGTATTTTCATGCAAGAACTTTTTTTATATAAAATTAATGATTATCTTGCAATTGAAAAACAAAAATTCATAATTATTCAGGTTTTCCTTCCTTTTATTTAATTTTTTAGAAAGCAGAATAATTTTATTTAATATAATTATAGTTAGTGACACTGACTATACCATATTTTTTCTACAATTCCTTGTTTAAATTTATTTAGCTTTCATAAGAGAAATATATTTAAAATAAAAAAAATTAGCATGCTATATAATGGCATGTCAACTCTTTTTTTTCATTTCACTTATGAAAGCAAAATGAAATTTTACCAATACATTATATAAAAATTAACCTTCTTCCATTTCAGGGAAATAATGGGCTACTTAAAGGAGTAAAGGTTTTATTTGTTTGGAAATTAATCAAAATATATAATCATAAGTGGCTGCTTGGGGTATAAATATTTGACTAACAATTTCAATTCCTTCATCATTGTATAATTAATATGATAGTGGCGACCCGATTTCTCCTTGCTGACGGCGCATCACTGTGGCTGCAAAAGTAACTTTATAGGCTAAACCAAGCTTTAGGCCTTTTATTCTAATCTATGCTAGTTGGATGATGACTTTTGTGGGGTGGTGATTTTGAGTGTCAGCTATGATGGCTCCATGATCAATTATTAATTATTCGGATGATTTTAGATTATAGTTCTCTTCATACTAGTTCGGAGGGCATGGCTCTTAACAGAAGTTATAAGTATGGAGCTATATTACCTCAATAGCACTCGATGACGAACTTACAGAGGAGCTGAGAGACTCGTTGGGCATTAAAGCACTAGCCCTGATCCTAGAGGAGACCGTATATATACGCTTAGTTATATAGAAAAGCTCCCTCTCGGGATCCGAAGATCCTTATTTCCTTCTTTTAATGCTCCACTCGTTTACCAGATGTCGGCCTGCATACACTACCTGTTAGTAGGAAAGTTTGGATCACCACACTATATACGTCAACAGAATTGCCCACCATTGAAAAATCAAAAGGGGTTGAATTTTCTTGTCACTCTCTGTTAATAAAGGAAATTCATAGATCAGGGCGCTACTCCTAGTTTTACTCAGGGGAATAGTCCCGATTGGACAAGACGATTTCAGTGAAACCCCTTTCCAACTTCCGGATCATCTCCCTTTTAAGGTAAAGCTTGACTTTGAAGTAAAGACTGCGGTCGGCCAGCTCGACATCGCGCTTCACCAAGCCAAAGAAAAACTTAGCCGGATACACACATCGAATGCCAACATCCCTTCCCCAAGGTTCCCGCATCCTTTCGGATGTCGGCTGCAGAACTTAAGATGATGTGCTGATTAACTGCTCCATTTTAATATATGCTCCTAGAGGAGATACTGCTCCAAACAGTGGCGAATTTCTGTGTGACAAGTAGGGTAGCGTTGTGTATAAAACCTGGAAATCTTTAAAACTCTTAATTTAATTTCATCATTATTAAAATCCATCTCAACAAAATCACTGGTAATAATAGCAATTGCTTTATCAATGCTATAATGTTTTGCAATAGATAATGCAGCTTTTGCATAGGAATCTAAAGAAAAATACGAATAAAACGCATATGATAAAGCATTTTCAGGAGGATATCCTATTATACATTGAAGAAATCCTATTTTTCTAGCATACTCATTTATTATTGCAGATGTCCCTAATGAAGCCGTCGCATCTAAAATAATCACCACATCTGAATTTATAAAAATTGCGTCTAAATCAGAATAATTTGAGATTTTATAGACCACGAAAATAAAATGTGAATCCGCCTTGCAGCCTGTATAATTTGCACTTGGGCAGTCAAAAGCGCTCTTGAAATAGTCAACCAGTAAAGGGGAAGTACTTTCGCTATACAAAATTGGAACAGTCGACATTTGTCCAGCAGCGATTCCAATGAGTACTCATAATATCATTGAAATTATAATTATAATTATCAATTTAATGAAAATTTTGATGGAAAATTTTTTAACTGAATTTTAGATAAGCTACATTTAAGCCATGGACGATTTTTGGTCTTTTTTTTAAATAATTAATTTGTTGAGAAATCCGAACATAAATATTTTTCACATTGAGGAATTAATCACAAATTAAAATAAAGATTGTGAAGACGATGCTGTGCAAAAGCATCATAATGAATAAATAGCATTGAAAAATTATTTTTCTGCTTTATTTCTTAAATAATTACTAATTATCATAAGACATAAAATATAGTTTGACTAATAAAATTCTCTCCAGATTTATGTAGATATGAGACTAAAGCTTTTATTGTTTATACCAGCTATTATATTGGATTTCTGCTTTGAAAATTCGCCTTAAATAGTGATATTTTTAGTTCTTTTTATATTCTCTTTCCTCACTTCAATTCTCATTGCCGATGACTAAGGTATGATAATTAGGACCTTCAGGAAGTTTTAGCTGCCTATGCTTGTTCAATACTTCCACACTTTATCCATATCAAAGCCTAGCCTCATTTTCAATTATCTAGATTACTCTACACTTCGTGCATACCTGCATGTCCTTCATTCATAAGGTATCAATTCAAGTAACTCACCCAAAAAGCCATCAAAATAGCTTTATTATTTTTTAAAAATTTTTTTTTTTAAATATTTTTGTGTGTTCTAAAGCATTCATCATAATTGATAATATAAATGAAAAAAATTATAATTTATTAGTTACCATTTTTGTAAAAAAGAAATAACAATCTTTCATAAATAAATGGGGAGGAATAAGTCTGCTTATCACTTCTTAATGATTAATATACTGATTAAGCCTTCTAAATTGTAGCAGAGATTTTATGAGAGCAGATTATAATTTAATTAGCTTGAATATATGGAGCATCACTATCGTTTTAATTATTTAACTTAAAAAATAGAGTCTAATTTTCTAGAGCAGGTTTCTCACACTAAAAACTGTGAGCTCTTGCTTCCCTGTCATAGCTAGGATAATTCCCTGGGTGAAGCTAAGCCTCATAAATTAAAATTGCCTAAAATAAGAAGTTTGTTAGATAGGGCACAAATTCATAAGCTATTTCTTAATTATGCCTATATAGAGCATCAACTTTTATCACAAAAAAAAAGTAAAAATTTATATAAAACCTTTAACTAATGATAATTATGACACTTCAAAAAAGATAATAAAGATTATAATTAACATAAAAAGTTAATTATAAAGCATACACTTTTGGTAAATAATAAAATATCGTTATCAAAATCTATTTTTTATTTTATTAAATAAAAATTATGTTTTATCATCTGTTTCTTCAAAAATATACTAACAATAAAACAATTTTAATACTTAAATGATAAATAAAAAGGCCTAATACAATATATATAAGTTTTATGTAAATCAAGCATAATCCATTCAATGAATCTTTATTATTGGATTAATCAATTTTAATACTGACATATTATAACTTATGAAATTTTTTGGCTATGGGGCTGTCTCTACAGCTAGAATCTATCTCCTGGCATTTTTATTAGCAATATCAAAGGACTTATTCCTTGATTTTATGTAATTCCCTTCTGATAAAATAATCTCTTGAATCTCAAATTTGATAGATTTTTTATTTCTTTGGGTGAAGAGTCATTATAAATATATCTAATCGACTGAATTTAGTAATTCCTGCAACTTCAGAAGTGATTGACACAGCTAAAACCTAAAAAGCCTATGAATATCTATACTTTTTCAGAGTTCAATAAACAAAGAGTTTCAATTTTTGGTAAATAGCTCTAAATATTTCTAATAATATTCATCAAATTATTAGCATAACTAAGCAGCTATTTTGTTTGCTTGTGATAGAAAACAATAGCATCAAAGTATTACAACTTAAATCCTCAAACTTGACGAAATGGGGAAAATTGAAATTGACATTGTCAGAATCGCAGCAGAACTTAAAGATGAATTTAAAGCAAACTCGGAGGTGATCTCAAAGCTGAAAGACTACGTTAAGAGCAATCTGAAGGAGAAGTATGGAGAGAAGATTAGGCTGTGGCGTGATAAGGGAATGAATCTAATTATGTATGTCGACAAGAAGGAGGAAAATCAAATACTCATGGATAGAGCTTTGTATATAAACAACAGAGTGTATGTGAGGCTAAGACCAGTGGTTGAAAAAGGTAGCATTGATCCTAGATACTACAGAATTAAAATTAATTTGGACTACAGATTATCGGCAGAACTGGCGATCATAGAACTAGAAAAGAAATGAAGGATATGGGAAGTGGAAATTGAGGCAGATTTTGGAGTAGGCAATGGAACCATTGTAGCTTATGTATGATTTGATTCAATGGAGGAAATATATGCTCTGGGAAGTACCCTAGAAATAATGCGGACACGGTGCCACATCTCGCACCGATGGAGCTACACTTGCAATGTGTGCAAGGGACGTGGGCACTTCGAAAAGGATTGTCAGGATGTGGAAGATATGAGACAGATCAAGGAAAGAATAGATAGAGAATCAGGCGCGATAGAGAGGCAAAGATTCACAAACACCCAAGTGTATTACTGTCAAACATTAATAAAGCCTGACATCATCATTACGAGTATTGATTGTACAAGACAAGCTATGACTATGCAATATCAGAGAGGGGTGATAGCATCAGGTGAGAAGACTAAACTCGAAATAGCAGAAAATGAGAGTAAAGAGGAAGCATTTATGAGATTGCTGAGAGAATTAGAGGTATATAAGTTTGCCATATGCAATGTAGAAGTTGAAGAACTAAAAAAAAACTACCTATCAGGCAAATCCTATACGCAAACTCAGTGAGTCAATTTCTGGGAGCCTGCAAGAGAGACGAATATATTAAAAATTGCGTCAAATTCAAAAATCAAAGAACTGATCTATCGATCAAATTAAAAAACTTGAGATTTGATGGGATTGATACAAAATTAATAGATATTGAGCGAGATTCATGGAGATATGAAAAAATGAAGTCAACTACTAAATGAAGGAAGAACAAAGTAAGAGAAGTGGATGCAGCTGTCAAAAATTTACAAAGAAATTGTGAAAATTAAAAGTATAAGGCGTTTAATGCGCGATAAAAGCTAATTTATTATTATTATTATATATCACAATGAAGCATTGTCATAATTCAGCGGCTTTTCATTATTGAGATTATTAAATATAATAAAGCAAGCCAATGAATAATCCTGAAAAAAAAATTCAAAAGCAGAATTTATTATCGTGAACAGTGAAATCAATAGAATTTGTACGGTGCTTTTTAAGATAAGGCGGAAAGGAAGTGAAATGGGAATTTTTTTTTCAGGTAAATCGAAAATATAGATTTGTATAGATATAGAGATATTTTGATGAAATAAGGAATAAGTTATATGCTCTCCTACCAGCAAAATAATTCTTAGTAAAATTATATCCATAAAAATTGCTCACAATTTTATTAGCTTTCTAGATCATGGATTATCTGATTGCCAGAATAATCTAATGATATTGATTTATGAGAGGAATTTTGCATGCTAAATATTAATTACTAACTCCCCCCCTCCGAGAGTGAACAAAATAATTTTATTCACTCACGGAGGGAGGTTAATTTTTTTTTTTTTAATATAAATTTTATAAAAAATACTTTTTTTCGAAATTTAAAAAAATCCTAATTCGCAAAAATTGGGAAAGCAAATATTAATTTAATTTATAAAATTTATGTTTTAAAAAGCAATTCGTTTAAAATTAAACAGAATTGGCTCTAAATTTCATTATACTAATTATCATTAATATATCAAAATTTTTTTACATAAAAAATTTTTCTATTAAAAAAATTTTTGTTCACTCATGGAGGGTGGGTTTTTGGGCAAAAAATAGGGATTTTTCTAATGGTTTTGTTCACTCACGGAGGGGGCGGGGTAAACATAAAATATATATTTAAAGAAATTTTTTTAAATGAAAAGGAATTATTATGTGTTTATTTAAATTAATATAAAATTATTTTTGGGCTATTTTATTGCTGCATCAACTGGAATTAAATTCTCCAAGATGCTCAATCCCCCCTTTAAATTGGATCAAAAAATTATATTACAATTTAAAGGGGCTAATATTTTTAAAAACATTTTAAAAACTAAAACAATATAAATCGAACCCAATATTTTTGGATTTTAGTTTATCTTCATGAAGAATTAATTAAAGAAACTATCGAATCAGTGTGAACATAATATTCTAATTACACTTTAATTAAATTAGGTCAAATAAAAATTTGAATTTTGCCTATAATATTTTCCTATAAAAAAATTATTCTAAAATAAAGGTGTCTGAAGTACAAAATTTATTTATTTTTTTCCAATTTAAAAGGAGATTCAGCGTTTTCATTATTAATATCAAAAAGCTGGATGCTTGATTTCAGGTTGTCTTCTTCTGACAAAAAGCTCCGAGGTGATTTTGACATTGATGGGCTCTTTATTTCTTTGCCATGCGGAGACTCATCAGCATAAATATACTTAAAAGGCTCTATCTTAGAGATTCCAGCAGCTTCAGGAGTGATTGCTAACAGCTGAAACCTAAAGAGTTTGTAAATATTTATACCTCTTTCTGACTCTAATAAACAAGGGAGCTTTAATTTTTGATAAATAGCCCCGAGCATCGCTAATACAATTCATCCTATTACTAGTGTAATTAATGCAGCTTCTTTATTAGTTTTTGCCAATGCGCAGCAGCATCATAATATTAAGCTAAAAGCTATAAAAATTGTATATCACAATGATGCTCTGTCATAAGTCAATGGCTTTTTTATTATTGAGATTATTACATAAAGCAGCAGCAAACCTATACATAGTCCTAAAGAAACGTTTTCAGAAGCTGGGCTAACTATTGTGACCAATGCAATTAAAATAATTTGTACAGCGCTTTTTAAAGCAATGTGAAAAGGTTGCTCTTGGAAGTGGAATGAGAAATCATTTTTTCAGGTAAATCGAAAATATAAACTTGTAGGGAGATATACAGATATTGCTAGAGCAGAAATTATCACATAAGTAATATGTTCTCCTTGCCAGCAAAATGTTGAGCAGTCTTGATTATTAAAACTGTCTTTAAAATTGTCTCCAATGCTACTTGTGCATTGAAAAGTTTGAAATAAATACAAATTGATAGGCAAAAAGAGAATTTCTCCTATGATAGGCATAATGTAAAAATTTAGCTCATTAACGGCCGTTAATATAAAATGATCAGAATCTTTTCCTATTTTAAATATTTTTCATAAGAATAGCAAAAATCATAAATATCCTAAAGTCTCATAAAATATGATCTGATTTCAAAAAGTAAATATGCCTTTTTTAAAATATCCTCTCACATATAGTGTTGTGATTTTAGTCGCGTCGGATCATTTAGGGAAAAAAGCTGTGAAATCAGGCCCTATTTGCATATATTGTAAGCTCTCTATCATAAAAGTTATGTAAGAAAGAATATCAAGAAAATTTTCTTTCTGTGCAGTGGTAAGTTTTGGGTATTTTTGCTTAAAAATGAAATTGTAAAATTTTATTGCAAAAAGGGTTCCAATTATCATTGGAATCAGCTCAATTATTATCAAAATAAAATATCCATAGAGAAATGACTGCACAAGAATATCTCTGAATGGACATTCTTGATCATCTCCTATTATATCACTCGGGACATCTCCATTTGAATTCCATGATATTGGCTGCCTGATTTGGAGTACAATAAGCTGGCCTGGATCATAAAGTCCACAAAGGTTCATAGTCCACGTTGAGTTGACTTGTATTAAGTTATAAATTCCTAAAACTGTATTGAGCCTATCATTTCCTTCTTGACTAACTCTTACAACTCCAGAGCACCCTGTAAAAGCAACTTCTCTAATAGTTTCTTCTATAGTAGAACTATTTACATTAGCTCCTCAATTTATTAGTGCATCTATCGTATATAAGCCGAGATAGGCTGCATCATAAAATAAGCACATATAGTCATATACAGCTCCATATTTTGATGATATCTTGCTTTTCAAGTTAAATCCAAGTTGGTTTTCGAATGCTACAAAACTGATATAAATAAGTCCGCTCATCATTTCTTTTCTTTTATTATATGATTTGCTGCCGATTAGTTTTTCATCTAAATCTGATTTACTTATCATTCCGTCACCGACAATTAAATAAATATCACCTTCTCGCATTCCTAAGTCATAGAATGCTTCAATTACATATAAAATATCAGGCCATTGGACTTCTAAAACTACATATCTTGTTTTAAGATCAATTATTTCTTGGATTATTTTTTTATTGCTGCCTGGTCAAGCACAGATGCCAACCCCCCCACCCCATGCATGGATCCCATCCCCACCCCCTAGTATATATGGATCACACCCCCACCCCTATGTTAATAGATCCCACCCCCACCCCCTCCCCCCTCCCCCTCCACCCCCTCTATCATATAGGTAAACATATAAATATCAAATCTTACAAATAAGACATACAAGAAAATTTTAGTTAATTCATAAATAGATTCATAAATAAATATTAATGATCATAAGTATATTTAGCATAGACTGATATAGCCAATATATTAGTAATACATTTAAAATAAAATAATTGCAAAAAACTTGTTACATAGAAAGGAATCAATAAATGACTCAAAAAATATTTTGATATCTCTTATAAAGTCTTTTATCCCCCCCCATTTAATAACGAACACATTTTTAGTTCGTTATTAAATGGGTCTAACTTATAAAATTTTGGGAAAAAAATATATAAAAATTATATTAAATATCTATGATTTTTTTATATAAAAATTTCAATAAAGGATTAATAATAATGATGACAACATAAAGATAAAGCGCCTTAATTCATGCGAAAAATAACTATATTGCTAACTCCCCCCTCCGTGAGCGAATAAAAACCATTAGAAAAGTCCCTCACTCTTCGTGAGCAAACAAAAAATTTTTTTAATAGAAAAATTTTTTACGGAAAAAAGTTTGATATATAAGCGATAATTATTATAATGAAATCTCTGACTAATTCTTTTTAATTTTAAACAAATTGCGTTTTAAAACATAAATTTTTATAAATTCAATTAATATTTGCTTTCCAATTTTTGCGAATTAGGATTTTTTTAAATTTCGTAAAAATAATATTTCTATAAATTTATAAATAAATTTAAAAAAAAAAAAATCTCCTTCGTGAGCAAACGATATTTTTTGTTTACTTACGGAGGGGGAGTAAAACACCATCTTAAGATTAACCCACTATTTTCTCTTATTTATTATTCTTTGCTCAATTATGCTTGTCTTTATCTTACTCTAACTACTTAAAATTAATAAACTGTAAAGACTAAATTAGCTTATATAAATTGTATAGTAAATTTTGTTCCTTATTAAATGGGGCCTAAGGAAAATTTTTAGGAAAAAAAAATGACGGTTTTGTTCGTTATTTAAATGCGGGGGGGAGCCTGCATTCTTTGGAATTTTTTGACCTTTATATGATTTAAAACACGAAGTATGTGCTTGAAGGTTCATTGAAAATATGCTTCCTCGCTAGCACACTGTATCCGATTTTGTTTTTCATCCCTATGACTTTGAATTTTTTATGCTGTGAGCAATTAATATGTTTTAATTGCCTTTAATACAGTTTACATTATATAGGGGGGGTGGGGGTGGGGGGGTAGCATCTATTAATGGAATGGGGGTGTGGGTGGGATCCATAGATGCAAGGGGGGTGGGGGGGTGATCCATGCATACTATCTGAGGGGGGGGATGTGATGTACACATCCAAACTGGGGGGTAAGGGGGGGTGGGTATGGGGGGTTGGCATCTGTGCTTTGACCAGCTGCCCTTAAATCCAGGCGAAACTGCTTTATTTTTGTTTAAAATATGTATTCCATATGAATCAGTCTGGTTTTGAAATTCAGAATAATAATCTTCTCCTCATTGAGAATCTGAGTATAATAAAGAGCATTTAGATATCCCAAAAACACTTAAAATAAGAGCAGCTGCTGAAGCTGTGCGTGAGTTTGGATAGGAAACTCTTGAATATTGAGGATAATATTTAGAAGTACTCAGTATAGTTGATGTTTGGACTCCTAGAACAGGTGTTAAAATATTATTTTTTTGAAAAACTTCCATTGTTGCAAGGACTGTAGATGTCTCTAGTCTGGGAATATGAAAATATCCTAAGTCATCCAAATGATCTGAAAAGCATTTAAAAGTTGAATTATTATCAGTAAAACTGCAATCTGTTATATTATTCACAACTATATCAAAATTTGGCAATAAATCTCCTTCTGTTATAATTGTTTCTGTCGCTAAATTTACTCCTATTTGATTCATCATGTTCAACCCATCATTTATATAATTCTCATAGGTCACTCCACTTATACTTATAGGGATTTCAATATTATTATTATTTGGCGCCTCATAAGTTTTTCCTGGAAACATGACAGGCAATTGAATTTGCAGTCCATTTCCATTTATTACCCCGACTGCTTGCACCTTCCCACCTTGAATATTTCAAATAGTGTAGCCCATTACCTCCGGCTTAAGAACTTGTGCTACCAAGTCATTCAAGATATATCCCGAAAATGATCCTTGAATTGGATTATTTGCTATCAAGTTATAAACCACTATTGAGCCATAATATACAAGGTTATTAATATAACTGAAGGTATCTGTGCTATGGAACCACTTTCCTTCTAATAATATCGACCCTTCTAAGTATGCTCCCCAAGCAGCTTCCTGAATATAAACATATGTGTAGCCTTTCTTATTCATATCAGCTTCTACTAAAGCCTCCTGGATTTTTTCTGAAATTTCTTTATTAGTTTTGAAAAAAAATCATTTAATTCCCATAGGCTTGATTTTTTTAGAAATTAACCAAGAAATATATTCATAACTAGCTGTTTGAGGTAAAACAAATTGCCCAACTATTTCTATCCCTTGATCATTATCAAAACTCATATCAGAAAATTCGCTGCTTATGAGCACTATTACTTTTTTTATATTATAAGTTTTAGCAATACTTAATGCTGTACTTGTATAAGAGCTAAAAGAGTAATCAGAATAATAAGCACTTGATAAGGAGATATCCACAGGATAGCCAACAATAAAGTGGATAAACCCTAACTCCCCCCCTCCGTGAGTGAACAAAAAAATTTTGTTCACTCATGAAGGGGGGTTAATTTTTTTTTTAAATTTATATATAAAATTGATGGAAAATTTTTTTTTTCGAAATTTTAAAAAATCCTAATTTGTAAAAATTGGGAAGCAAATATTAATTTAATTTATAAAATTTATGTTTTAAAACGCAATTTGTTTAAAATTAAACAGAATTAGCTCGAGATTTCATTATACTAATTATCATTTATATATCAATTTTTATCTCATAAAAAAAATTCTATTAAAAAAATTTTTTTCACTAACGAAGGGTGGGCTTTTGGGCAAAAAATAAGGATTTTTCCAAGTTTTTGTTCACTCACGGAGGGGGGGAGTAAGGTTCTTGCATAAGTGTTTATCATTGATGAAATTGCCAGTGATGAAACTGTGTCATAAACAATAAAGTATTCTGGATTTTCGAATACAGTTTCAATGTCAGACAAGTCAGTGATTTTATAAAGGATGAACCGAAATGGAGAGTCTAAGTTGCAGCCTGGCTCAGTTCCTGTTGAACAATCTAAAGTTGTTTTGAAATACATTAGCAGCAGTGGAGAAGTATAGTCACTGTACAAAATCGGAATAATAGAAAATTGACCCAGAGCAAATCTGATAAGTATGCAAATTTGGATCAACATTAAATTAATATGATGGCAAAAGCTGATAAAGAAATTCACTAGATAAAATATTTTTAATTATATATACATATCCGTTTTTATAGCTCGAGAGAAGGGATAACTTTTCAATTAATTTTTTCATCTTCGAAAATTTATAAAAATTGATTAAATAAGAAATAGAAAAATTGGATTTGAGAATTGAGCAAGCTAGTTTGTAATAAAATTAATAATTTTAATGGTTAAATCTGGAATGCTGATATATAATTTATCTAAATATTTTTCAATAAATTTCTACTCCCCCCCCCCTCCGTGAGTGAGTGAGTGAGCAAAAAAAATTTGTTCACTCACGGAGGGGGTTAATTTTTTTTTTTAAAAAAATCCTAATTCGCAAAATTTGAAAGCCAAAATTAATTTAATTTATTAAATTTATGTTTTAAATAGAAATTCGTTTAAAATTAAATAGAATTAGCTTTAGATTTCATTATACTAATTATCATTTATATATCAAAATTTTTTTCCATAAAAAATTTTTCTATTAAAAAAATTTTTGTTCACTCACAGAGGGGGGGGAGTTAGGAAGAAATAAGGGATTTTGGCTAAAAAAATTCATGAATTTATAAAAGTTAAGGAAAAGATTCTATGTGCTTTAATAAGTTTACTTCAGGTAAAAGCTTTATAAATAAAAATAATTTAAGCTGGCTGGCTTCGTGGCTTAATAGAGCGTTTATTCATTCTATTCGATTTTATTGCTAGGTCAAGGCTAGCGTAATTGAAAACTGCGCTCAGCTTTAAGAATTATAAGCTTACAATTTAGAAGATTAATAAAACTTTTTAGAGATAAAATTATTGATAAATCTTATGCTTATTTTTAAAATCCAATATTAAAAACATCAGCTGCTTTAGCCTCTTTCGACCTCTAGCAAGTTTTTTTTTTTAAAAAATTTATTAATATTAAATCTAATTATTTTTTAAATTTAAACAACCAGAATTTGGCAATATTTAAAAATAAATTCTAATTAATTTATAAATTGATGATTTAAAAGATACATGCTTCTTTGATTCTATATAATTAGCTAGGGATCTTGTTTTTGCAATTATTAATTATTATATTAAACATTTTATAAGATATCATAATATTGCAATTTTTTGCTTACTTTTAAATGATTAATTAAAATTTTTAAACTTCAAAGGAGGAGTAAGAATTTAGAGATTTAAATTGATATAATCTTTAGATTAATTTAAATGCAATGCATTTAATTGAAATACTTCGTTAAATTGATGAGAAACATCAATTCTTCTCCTTTATTTTCTTTTATATTTTTAACTTCAACATAGAGGCTATAAAAATTCACTTGCCTTAAACTAGATGTACTTCTAGATCCATAAACTTAAAATTTATAAAGATATTAGCTACAGGTAAGACAATACGCAAATTATTAATAAAGACAACTATTTTTTACGGTTAATTTTTGATAATAAAAACATTCACATTTAATTCTATTTTGATATATTTAAGGGAAAAAATTATAATTTCTATAAATCTATCTTATTTTGGCTTTTTATGCTTGATATTTTTATTAAAAATTCAATTAATTATGAAGTTACTTCTTATTAACTCCTCCCTCTTTAAATTGGTACAAAATATAGGTAGAAATTTTTATTTTTGGGGACCCATTAAATTTAAACAAATGTTTTTTTAATAGGAAAATTTTTATGTGAAAATACTAATTTTTATTTAAAATTTGTTTAGCCTAATTAATGGAAAATAGCAATTAGAATATTATTTAAAAAGTTTTCACACTGAATCGTATAATTCAAATTCAAAAACAAAATGAAACCTCTTTAAATTGCAACAGAATTTTAAAGGATGGAATAAGTATTTTACACAAATAAATCTCTAAATAATCAAAGCAGGTTTTCATAAAATCATAATAATCAGTTTTGTTTTTGTCTCTTTGCACTATTGTCTGTAGTGAAGCACCTTTATAGCAAAATTTTAACTTTCTCTCAATGACTGTTAAAAATTCCAAAGGACTTTTTTGAAAAGTAAGGCTTGCTTTATGCATTTCATTTGCAAATTCCTCAAAAATATCTGGTAATTTTATATGAGGTATAGCTCTAGGTAAATCTTTACCTTCGATAAATTCATATTTTATTTCTTGATTTTCGTCCAAAAAAATCACATGATCAGCCTGAAAAATTTCTTTAAGATACTCTCTCGAAGAAATTATTGCAAAAATTTTTTTTTCTTTATAATAATTTTTCCGTTTTAATTGTAAAACAATTGTTTTATGAGTTTTTATTTCATCAGGACTTTTAAACAAATTGGAATCTTCATCAAGCTGATTTGTTGATGAGCCTCCTTGGCAATAATAAAAAATTTCTATAGGGCTTGCAGGATTTCCTTTACTATAAATTTGATTTAAACCTTTTGCATATTTTTTATAAGTGCTGATATTGCTAAATATTTCTTTCGGTAAATTCAGTAAATTTTCTTTTGAATACCCAGCATAATAAAATGTCATTTTTAGAAATACCTGATTTTTTCTTGAATCCCAAACAAAAGTCCCAAAATTTATATATGAATTTGTCAGCGAAAGAAACTCTATTATTGCTTTATAATCGGTACTTAAGAATGTGACGATACGCTGGTTTATTGCAAAAAATAACCTTGCTTCAATTATTTCTGCTTTAGTTTCAAAAATTAAAGGAAAAGTTGATCATGCTTCTAAGCCACCATGATCATCGCAAACACTGATAAGAAACACAAATCCATCTCTTTTATTTTCTTTAATATTTTTAAATTCAAGCATTGAAACCCCTTTTTTGAGTATCTCATGGGCTTCTTTTTGCTTGATTTTATTCTGATCTCAGAAATTTCTAAAAAGTAGTGGCTTGTTTATATTTTTTAAAATCTGTATATTTTCATATAAAATATCAACTCCTTCTTTTATTGTTTTTCAGCAGTATTTTATAACCTCTATATCGTAATAATAATAAAAATGCATAAAACGAGAAACTAATAAAATATTCCAATTTTCATAGGACTTTGAAGGATGATCTGATTCTAACTCCTCAGGTGATAATATTGGTAAAATTTTATTTTGCTTATCTATGGTAAATTAATTTTAAAAATTTTTTTTGGCATTTTAAAAATCATTCACTCTTGAGAGCTATTAAAATATATGCAAGAGATTATAACTTTTAAAGGAAAAAGTCATAAATTTTATAGAAATAGCTATATCCAATATAATGTCGCTAAAAATAAAAAAATTACCAATACCTTCCTCGATTTCATATGTGGATTGTGATTAAAATATAATTTTATAAATTATTATTTTGAAAAATTCGGATTAATTTTTCACATAATTTTTTTATAAAAATAGCTCTCCTTCAAATGGATACAGTTTTTTTTGTTTCAAGCAAAAGGGAGGAGTAAGGTTGGAGGTGCATAATGAAGGCTGAATTTAAGAAATGATGAATTGATTTGGTTTATCTGAGGACTGATTGTGTTAATAAGTGAATTTAGCTTTATCATCGTCGATTTTATTGAAATGTATATGAAGCTTGGAGTGATTGTGACAAAGACATGGATTGAATTATCTTTGAAAATCAAAAATAAATGTGATGCAGAGCTTTGATTAATGAAAGCAGGTAGAATTTTAATTTTTTTATCTGTAGGAGTGAATTTTATGTCATGCGATTTAAAAAAATTTTGTAATACAGTGCTTATGTGTTCAATATTATTTGGGGGATAAGTTGATAAGGGCTGGTTTTTCTTAGTCTTCCTAAAGCTTTAGCTTGCTCCTGAGAGTATTTTTTATATTAAAATTTTGTTTTGAATACGAAAATAAAGACTCATTTAATATAAAGTTGTGTTTAAATTTAAGAGAATCAGCTCTCTAAATGGTAGTGGAAATGGCCCGAGCCAAAAGGAGGCTCGGGCTATATAAAAAATTATTTTGCTTTACTACAGAGGAGGTTAGGAAAATTCCTATTATCAGTTTTGATTAGTTTTTGAGGGCTCAAAATCGGAGATCCTGGGAAATAGATAAGGTTTGAAGGTTCTTGCATCGATTTCTATAAAAAGATTTCTATACTTGTAAAATGGAAAAGAAATATATGAATTTCTTCAAGATTAATTTTAATTATTAAACAGCAATAAGTGACCCTACCAATTGCCAAATTACCTTGGCTCGAGGAAAGATGGGCTCTTATGCACCATAGCGAGAATAGTGCTTGGCCCAACTAAACTTCACCCTCTTCAATTTTTGTTAAGATTCCCATAATCTAGGATTAACCTCCTAGTTTAGAGCTACTCTCTATCGGATGTACCTATAAATTCGATAGACAAAATTTATGTCAGAGGTAAATCTATCTAGCCCATTTGGTAGAGGCAGTAAAACCTTCAGGAGATAAATAAAACTTCCCATTTTGGCTAGACATCCATAAGCCCAAAAGCCCGGTTGAAAAGTGGCATAGGAGCTCATATTAATAGGCTTTACCTACTCCATAGGGATGCGTTTCTGAGACCAATTCTATCACCATTTTATTTCTCGATCTTCTTCAAAGAATAATTATAAAAACTAATTAGATTAAATATAATCTGATTTTTTTTATATGCAATTGCTAAAAGTGCTAATATTTTGTTATGCTTTCTCATAAATTTCTATCAAAATCCCAAATATTTATAAAATGTTAATAATAATTATTTTCACTTATAAATTTTCTAATAATAATCATTACTAAAAAGCAATCTATTATAATCCGAAATAATAATTCACTAAGCCTGTAAAATCTCATTTCGCACTTGCTTTATAAAAAGGTTGTATAAAATTAATATGCCAAACAATTTCAGAATAATAACTTTCAGCTCGAGCTGTGTTGGAAAACATATAAAATGGTCTAAAAAGCTTTACATTTGGAAGGTCCAAATAGGTTTCGAAGCTCATACTCTTCAATTTTTTGAAAGCAAATTTTCAGGCCGCAGACGAGCTTTTTTAAATGAAAAATTATATCTTTTCGCAAGAAAAACTCGGCAGCTTGGACAATACCCTTTAAGGATAAGAAGCCATATGATTTTAATATATGAGAAAAAAGACCACAGTTTTGATTTGAAATTTTTTAGTGACTATTTTAAAGCATTAAAAATATCCTTGCCTATCTATTTTCCTATATATTTTTTCTAAAATAGAACTTTATTTATAAAATTAATTGTTTTTATTAATTTATTCAGTTAAGCATAATACCATTGCCAGAGAGTGAATTATATAAAACTACTTGCAGCACATGTGACACCTGCCAGTCAAATAATAATGAAATTATGATGAGAAGCATTTCATGCTACGAAACTTTATCTCCCTACATTAATATTGAAAATATAAATAATGAGAGTGATGAAGTTGCCCATAAAGACAATTTCAACACTTATAGAGAAGCAGTTGATGCGTTATCATTTGCAAAAAAAACAAAAATAAGAAAATGGCTAACTGAGGATTCGAGATTTGAAAGGAGTAAAAGTGACTATAGGGTTTGACCCTTAATAGCCCGATAAGGGCAGATGATTCCCGCGAAATCATCGAGTCGGTCCAACCAACAAGTGAGCTGGTCCGGCCAACGCACTAAGTTGGTTGGACCAACTCAATAATTCCGCAGGGAATCATCTGCCCTTATCGGGCTATTAAGGGTCAGCAGCCATATACAAGAGCAGCTTCTACTGAAAGTTATATTTTTAGAGATTAATATAAATATTTTTCCATATAGAAATTAATATTATTTATTAAATCCTTCATCTAAATCCCAATTACCTTTTGTTCATCAATAGTAGAATTTTCATGATTGATTTCTGTCTCTTCAGTTGCTGCCTCTTCTGCATGATCCCCACTTTTGTCTTCATCACCTTCTTCAATTTGGTGCAATTTCATTATCTTTTTATAAATTCTTTTTTTTCTAAAACTAATATAATTAAAAAAATAAATTAAAAAGAGATTTTTCCTCTGTCATAAAAATCCTCTTCAGTTTCTTCATCTTCCTCTTCTTCTTCCTCATTTTCTTCACCACTTTCCATACTGTCCCATTCATTAGCATCCATATCCAAACTGTTTTCATTATTCACAATTTTCCTCCTTCTTAGCCTCATCCCTACATTTTCTTCTTTAATTTTTCTTTTTAATTCCATTTTTTGAGAATCTCTTTCGACACTAAGCATGTCTGGCTGTGTATAATATTCATTAGTAGCGTTCATAAGAGCCATTACATGTGCAGCTACAGACTGTGCCAGTGCTGAAACGATTCCTCCTTTAATTCTATAGCCTCCTTCAAGAACTGATACAATTCTGCCTTGACAGCAGGTATTGGCGATTTTTATTAAATTTTCAGTTATCCAGGTAAAGTCGTCTTCGTCTAAGTCCATAAATCCGTGGTTTATAGAGTCAAGCCCATGCCCATCAAATCCAGCAGAAATCATGATTAAATCTGGCTGAAACTCAAGCAGTCTTGGAAATACTTTTTCTCTATAATTTTGTCTAAATATTGAAGATTCAGTCCCATAAGACATCGGCAAATTAAGAATGCCAGCAGGATAGTCTTCTTCTGGCCCACAATAAGTCCCAGAATACGGATAAAATTTTCCACCAAAATCTTCGCCATACCCATGTGAAGAAATAAAAATAATATACTTTTTCCCCTAAAACCCCCTATTTTCCTATAAAAATCCCAATTTCTCCCTATTCCTTATAAACTTAATACATTTTTAGAATCATCAGCAGAAAGCCAAGGTTTATATGATCTTGAGGTAATATTTGCCTTAATTCCAATATTATTTAAATCAATCGCATGGACATGCTTAGAAGGCTTCAAATTCTTTACAATTGCTTCGGTCCCATTCCCATGATGCACATCAAAATCCACAATAGCGACTTTATTGATATTACCCCGATAGTTATAAATGGCATATGCAGCACCAATAGCGACATTATTTAATAAGCAAAATCCAGCAGACGTTAAATCAGGCTCACCGTCAGAGTCAACAGCTCCTGAAGGGCCTAAATGGTGCCCAGGAGGCCGAATACTGCAAAAGGCATTTTTAGACTTCCCAGTAACAACTAAATCTACAGCATGAGTTACAGATCCAGCAGCAGCAAAAGCGGCATCTAGCGATTTGTCACTTACAATGGTGTCTCTATCAAATTTCACTGGGCCTGAATTTGGTTCTAATTCTTTTATAAATTTTTCTAATTGGTAAAAATAAGAATACTCATGGACTCTTAAAATATCAGCGATATTTACAAGTGGCGGATTTTTTATCCAGTTAATATTATCAGCGAATTCGTCTATAAGTAAAGATCCAAATGAATCCAAATACAAAATTTCTATACCATTTTATCTTTTTATCCTTATTTTTCCTATAAATTTTCTAATTAAATAATCATAATAATTAAGTATATACGATAAGGGTTTTCTGCCTGGTATTTTTTCTGTTTTGCCACAAGTTCTCTATCCCTTGTTGAAAGACTGGCATGGTCCTTACAATTGTCATGTGTAATCACCGTACATTGCCCCTGGCTATGTGGAGGTGGGATTACCCCATTTTTTGCTTTCTGAAACTCATTGGTAAACCCACAAATATTCGCTACGTCCTCAGGGGTCTGCTCGTGCTCGTTATTTATAGTTAAAATTGCTTCACTTCCCAGGTTAATTAAGACTGGGATACATTTTCAGGCTCCTCTTCTAACAGCTAGGTGTATTGGTGTGTCCCCATTTCCGTCAGAACATACTAGCATATCACTGCCTAGTTCTTGTAGCATTTGCTGTAAGCAGACTTCGTTGTTGTGCTCAATTGCACAGTGAATTGCCATTCTGCCTGAGAAATCGCGGAGGTTGGGATCAATTGACTTGGAGATTAGTAAAGTTATAGCCTCAGAAAGACCTGAAATGGCGGCTATGTGTAGGGCGGTGCGGCCAAGGCGGTCTCTTGCGTTTACTAAGACGTCAGAGTGTTCTATAGGCATTTATGCTAATTATAAGATTTTAATATAGAAAATTAAGGTATTTTTTTTAAAATAATAGATAGGTGCTATAGAATTTTTAAGAAATTTATAGCAAAAAGAATAGGATGGCTTGTAAACATCTGAAGCAAGATTGGTGGTAAAACTTGAACTGTCCCAAAGCAAGCGATAAATGGATTGGCATGAGCCCTTCAAAAGGCACACAAGGGTCAGCGCCTGCTTTTAATAGTGTGATAACGCAGCCTGGCCTTGCGTTTACAAGAGCAACATGCAGTGGGAGCATCCCCTCATCATTGTAATGAGAAAGAACACTTGTAGTATCTTCTAAGCTTGATAAAAACTCAGATAAAGCTTCTTCATCACCTAATTTGCAAAGATCATGGATGCTTTGCTTTGGTAAACTAGGCATGCTTTCACTGTATGACATTAAAATTATCCAGGTTTGGCATGTTGGGAGTATATATATTAGAGATTAATGACTAATGATAATTTATAATAGCTTTATTTGGTTTTTTCATTATAGTTTGGCTGTTATTATTTTTTGATTTTTATATAAAATAGCCTTGGCACTGTTTATAAAGTATCATGTCTATGTCTCAGAGTATAAATTAGTAAATTTTTATATAAAGGAAATTTTCTGAGTATAATAGCATGATGGCATATAATAAGTCTGAGCCAAAAAAATTATAAAAGAAATTCACATGGCATTAGTAATAAATTTCTTTCGATTTAATAAATTCCCATTAAAAACATAAATTTCAAAGCAATTTCTTAAAATTTGCCATTTATAATCATATTATCTAAATTCCTATTTCTTTCAAGCTTCATAATTTTTTTCTTAAAAATCGACTCTCGCGCGTTTTCCAAACACAATTGCTTTATCCATATTTAACTTCTGAAATATGTATAATTTACAGTTGAATGTGTGCAAAACGGATAATATGGTCACTCCTAATCGCTTATTGTTCAGCATCATGCTCTGAAAAAGACGACTACTCCTATAAAAACGAAAATACCACATTTTCCTTACCAAAACTCCCATACTCCTATAACGCTTTAGAGCCAGTGCTATGGACTCAAGTAATTTACTATCATCACAAAAAAGAACACAAAAATATAATCAATGAACTTAATGATTATATAAAAAATAATCAAGATTTTGCAGGCCAAACTGTCACAGACTTATTATTCCTTTATAATTAACTATTTTTTTTTAAAAAATGAATAAATTTATGATATAAGTAAATTATAATGGTATAATTAATTATGGGCTCCAAGATGATGGGATCGCAAATTATGCAGGTGGTCATTATAACCATTGTTTACTATGGTGGATTTATACCCTTGCAGACTGTACCAAAGAAGAACCAGAAGGAAAATTATTAACAAAAATAGAAGAGAAATGGGGAAATTTCACTGATTTTGTAGGGGAGTTTACGAAGACTGCGAATTCAGTTTTTGGGAGCGGCTGGGTTTGGCTTTGTGCAGATAGCGAAGGGAATTTAGAAATAAAAGCTAAGAAAAACGAATATTCCCCATTGGCAGGAGGCGAGTGTTATCCAATATTAGGAATTGATCTGTGGGAGCACGCTTATTATTTGAAATTTTTATGGGAAAGAAAAGAATATGTTAGCATGTGGTGGACCATCGTGGACTGGGAATTAATTGAGTATTGGTATGAAACTTATGCAGCAAATGGGCTGCCGGTGCCTGTTTAATAGAAATGATATTAAAAGATAAGAATTTTCAGCTATTTAATAGTTTCTTTTAAGATTTTAATATGAAAATATTCTAATTGAATCTCTACAAATAGAAATTTATAATAATTATTACGTTTAATGGACAAAAGCGACCTTCTAGGCCAATGCATCGACGTATTGGGAAGCCAGCCTCACGAAATCCGAGAAAACGAGTCCTGCCACGAAATCAACATAAATTTGCCTGATTTGCCTGAATGTAATAGAAAAATGCTTATAGAATCAAGAAGAAATTTAGTATCCATTTTAAAATCAATTCCCATGAATTTTTTTTTTTTTAAAAATAAAACCTTATTAATTGTACACAAGAATAATAATTTACAGCCAGTGCAAAAGTATTAGGGCACAAACAGATGAGCAAAAGAAAAACTGCCTGAGGTTTATTTCGAAAGCCAATGAAGGAATAAGTTTTGGGAATGTTGAGTTGAATTATGATTCCGGAGAATTTCGATATAAAACAAGCCAAGCTTTTCCTGGGGTCAGAGACGCAAGGCCAGTAATAGCATTTATGCTTGAGCAGCAAAACATAAATTTCCAAAGGCTAGTTGAAGTACTCCCAAGGATGCTTACAGGAGAAATCGATTTTGCAAATGCAGCACAGCATGTGACAAATCTCCAGTAATTATTAAAGATTTGGCATTATCATAAATATCTAGTGTTTTATTATAATTTATGAAAAAAAATGGTTTAAAATGATTGTAATAAAATAAATGGAAGCTGATAAATATCTCCTGTCGTAGTCCTAGACATTAGTTTATGTAAAATAATATCAAAAATGAAAATAGAATGGCGATTATTTACGGCGAAGGTCTAATAATCGTGTGCTTTTGATAGTGTGAAATTTCCTTGGGTAAATTTGTTTAATTTTTTTGATAATGAGTATATAAAATACCTCACCCTATCAAATTTTCCGCAGCCAAATGGCATAGAGCCGATTATTTATACGCATACTTCATTAACTCAATAATGTGATAGAAATGGTATAAGTGACGCTTGAATTGACATTTCTGAGCTATATTTATATTTTACGATTTGTTGTTACTATAAAAAGTAAAATGCCTAATTATTTTTTAAAATTTGGCCTTTTCAGATAGATACCAAGTTCGGGTGAGGAAAGTCTTTGAGCTAGTTCCATTATTTATTAAATGCATATTTAGAAGCCACCAAGGATTCGAGATGGAATTGAGATGAATTTCAAATTTAATATCAGATAGTTTTTATAATTAAATTAAGTAGAATCAAACTTACCTTGATAGGATAGTAATAGTTTATTATTAAAATAGTGAAAACCTTTATTAAATATAGGTAAATCCTATAAACTGCCCTATAAGGGCAGGAAATTGGAGCATGAAGCTTTCCAGTGGATGGACCAACTCAGTCTGGTCAAACCAATCGGAGATTTAGCAAAAGGACCTCTCTCCAGTTGGTCTGACCGCCTCAGTTGGTCCAACCACTGGAGGGCTTCCAGCTATAATACTTGCCCTTATAGGGCTTTCCTATATTTAATAATCATTATCACCCCTTCTCTCTAAAGAGTACAGACCACGATTGTCTCTTTCCAATTGATATTTTTTGAATCCTTTGAATATAAGAAATTCAGGCGATATCAGAAGCCTTCAAGTGGACTGCACCAATTTGTAATTATATTTAGAAAATTAACTTACTCTTCACAAATTTTTAAAGAAGAGTTCAGACTTCAGTTGCCTGCTATCCTGATTTGTAGATCCCAATTTAGTTGCTTTTTTCGCCCCTGGAGCTGCTTTTAAAATTTGTTTTTTACTGTCTAGAGTTTTTTGGTTTATATCTTAGAAGCCCTTTTGAGCTTTTCTGACGTGGTGCGCAAGTTCAAGGACAAAAATGACTTTATGAGCGTTTCTAAAGATATATTTATAGTGGAAAACTCAATGGCGCGCTGTTAATGCAGAAGTCTTTAGCGAGTACATGCTCTTGTCCTGCTCGAGCAACTTTAGTGATACCGTGAAACATGAGTTTACAAATAAGTAGGGGAGCATTAGTGAAGAAAATAGGACATTAACAATTATAGTAAGTGTAAGATAACGGTAGTAGCAAAACACTAACAGAAAATGCTTTTGAATTAATAAAAAATATATCTAAAACCTCTCTTCTTTCACGGCCACATCCACAATTGCGATTCTAGTGCATACTCAAGTAATTTTTCTCAAATTTGGCTCTCAAATCACTCATCTATTCTTATAAATTGCAATCTTATATAAAGAATTACTAATATAATTCAAAAATTGAATATTTTAATTTAAAAATTAAAATTTATTTGTACCACATATCTCATCTTTGAAATATTGAAACTGCATCAAATGCAGCAGCCTAACATAATTTTAATTTTCTTTAATCTTTTGAGTTAAGTAATTGGCTGTCCATATCCTATGTAGGCATTAGATTTTTAACAGGGAAAACAATCAATGGAAGAAAGAAATGGACCTTGTCCAATGGGAAGAAAGAAATGGACCTTGTCCAATGGTTTAGAAAGTCATTTTCGCCTATGAGCTTGAATGTGAAGCTAGTAAAATTTTAACGGAGCTTTAAGCCAAAAATTTAGAGCATTTGCTTATTTTAATCAATTATCGGCTAATCATTATAAATGGGTTTACCTGACATCATCTAAGCTTCATCTTTTTTGTGGGAGCCGATTTAACAAACTAAACTAAACACAAACTTCATCAGACAGCAGATTCCTCATAATATTTCAGAGTAAATTCTTGAAAATTTATAAAACTTTTATTGAAATAATTTATTTGGGGCCCTTAATATATAAAATTAATGGAAAGCACAGAATCAGTGATAATATCTAAAAGAAAAAGAGAACACATTAAGATCGGGATCAGTAAACTCATACAAAGTGTTATTGTTCAGGATAATCCAAGGTCGGAAGAATTTAGCGATGTGGTGTCAGAAGCATTAACAGCCCATGAATTAGATCGTTTGCTGACCGAAGAAAGCTACCTAAATATATGGATAAAATTAGAAGATATAAAATTAAGCAGCGATTATGCTTATTTCTATCTCGGACTAGTTATTGATTATGACAACGCACTAACAGAATTTTTTTTTGAAATAATAAAAAACTGCTTATTCTCCTTTAATTTTTTTTTCCGAAAATTAAAAAAATTCCATTTTGCAAAAATTGGAAAATAATTATTTATAAATATGCGAAATTTATGTTTTTAAATGCAAGCTGTTTAAAATTAAACATATTAGCTAAAGATTTCATTATAATAATTATCACTTATATATCAATTTTTTTCATAAATAATTTTATATTAAAAAAATATTTGTTTACTCTTGGAGGGTGGATTTTGAGAAAAAATAGAAAACTTTTCTAATGGTTTTGTTCGCACACAGAGTGATGAGTTAAGAGAATTGGATGTAAACTACCAAACATTGATCGGTCTCCTAAAAAATTGTAGATTGGAAGCTCTATTAAAGCTTATTACAATTTTTGTGTTAGCCGAGAAAGCAGACAAAGACAAGCTTGACGAAGCAAAAATAATTGAAATAACTAGGTCATTCTTATCCAGATACAATTCACTTTTTTTTGAAGGCGAAACTCATGACTCTCTTGATGATTTCTTACTCCCCCCCCCCCTCCGTGAGCGAACAAAACCATTAGAAAAATCGCCATTTTTTGACCAAAAACCCACCCTCCGTGAGTGAACAAAAATATTTTTAATAGAAAAAAATTTTAATAGAAAAAAATTTTGCTATATAAGTGATAATTAGTATAATGAAATCTAGAGCTAATTCTGTTTAATTTTAAACAAATTGCGTTTTAAAAACATAATTTTGCAAATTAAATTAGTATTTGCTTCCCAATTTTTGCAAATTAGGATTTTTTTTAAATTTCGAAAAAAAAATATTTTTTATAAAATTTATATATATAAATTTGTTTTTAAAAAAAAAAAATTAACCCCCCTCCGTAAGTGAACAAAATTTTTTTGTTCGCTCACGGAGGGGGGGGGGGAGTTAGTAAGAAGACTTTTACAGTTTTTAAATTTTGCCGATGAACTGAATTTGGGAAAAAATTGCGAGATAGATTCAAACTCATGAAATAGTTTGTTGAATCGAGCGAATTCCGCACAAACATTTAAATACATCTTTCCAGCGCTCAGCAATCATATAAAATTTACGAGTCAAGATAAAATGTCAGAATCTCGCAATTTAATTTTTCATATACTTTCACTACCAAATAAAGCTCGATGTGAAATTTCTGATAAGCTTTTTTGTAAGAAAAAGGACTGAGTTTCGTTTTATATTCAGTTCTGTTTAGAAAATATGTCAATTCCTTATGATACTAAAAAAAAAAGAAACATATCGTCAGCGATTTCTCTTTTTCTATCGTATATAACAAATAAAAACAAAAGCAATACTAAATACATAATTGAAAAATCTGAACTAATCAGAATTTTTAATTTTCCGGAATTATTTGAATATATTTATTACTTGATAACTGATCTTGTCCAACTTCAGCTTACGAGTCAGTCATATGATATTAAGTTTTTGGATGAATATTTTTCAAATATCAAATCCTTACCAAGTCCATATGAAGTTTCGAAAGCTCAAAATATAACCTTTCAGCTCATAATCTTTTCTTGTTTAAAAATTGATAATCAAACCATTAAAACTGAAATATTGAGCTATGCTGTGGAATTTTTCAAAAACTACTATAAAGTTGGCATAGCTGAATATGATAGAAATGGCATTGAGGTTGTCAATATTATATCATTAATCTCTTGACACTTACCTTCGATTTGGGATTTAATTTTCGAGGCATTAGCTGAATTGGATCGAAATTTAGAAGACTCAGATCCTCAGCTAAATGCAAATCGGCAATGCTTATTAATACAGCTAAACGTCAAGCGTAGGCTGCAATTAAAAGATCAAATTCCAGATGAATTTCTTAATTTCATTGGTAGCCTAATTACTTATCTTCATGAAGGCACAAGTAACTCATGAAATGAGATGAATGATATTGTAATAAACTGAAATAATGACTTTGATATCCGTTCAGAGAACTATGAAAACAATGATTATTGAGGAAAAGTTTTAATTTATTATTGCTGAAATTCAAAACACTTAATAAGTTTGAAGGAATTTTGGGAAAGTAAAGTGAAAGAGAAAAATGAGCAAGAGATAAAAGAAGAGACAAAGGAAGAAACAAAAGAAGAGATAAAGGAAGAGATAAAGGAAGAGATAAAGGAAGAGATAAAGGAAGAGATAAAGGAAGAGATAAAAGAAGAGACGAAAGAAGAGGTAAAAGAAATTTTTAAGCAAGCAATTGATAAATGCGATGAAGAAAACCAAATAAGCCAAAAAGGGAAGAAATGAACGCAGAAAGAAATTGATCTTCATGCTCAGCTTCTATTAGAACTCAAAAATTGTTGCTTATTAAACATTTTATTTAGCGAACAGATTTCAAAGCAAGTAAAAAAGTGGCTAATTTCTCAATTAGCCAATTTGTTCAGTTTATCTATCAATAATTCACATGATGGTGCAAATTTCATAATAAAAACAGTTCCATTTTTAATGCAGCTTATATCCGAGCCAATAGTAAAAGCTGATAATGTCCAAAAAAGGGACTTCAAAGAATTAGCTCACTCCTTAGTTGTAAAAGAAAGCCTCAGTAAGATTGGCCTTAAGATTGATCTAGAAAAAAAGTATGATGAGTATGTGTATTTTGCTAGTTTACCTATCGATCTTGCAGGCGTTACTGTATTCGGAGGTGATATCTTAATAAATAATAGATATAACAAGAAAATACCCTTCAATCTTTGTGCTCAGAAAGTCATTTTTGTCCATGAACTTGCACACCATATCAGAAAAACGCAAAAGGGTTTCTATGATATAAACCAAAAAACTCCAGAAAGTAAAAAACAAATTTTAAAAGGAGCTCCAGGGTCGATAAAAACAACTAAATTGCTATCGTTATTTGCAGATTTTTGAACTTTACCACTTAAGTGTGGAATTTTTTCCGCGTGTGAAAAGGTGTTTTTCACGTGTGGAGCCCTTTTGATTTCGCATGTGAATCCTCTTTTCACAAACGGAAAAAATTCCACACTTAGGTAGTAAAGTTCAAAAATCTGCAAATAACGATATCTACAAATGAGGGTGGCTGGCAATTGGAGTCTGAACTCTTCTCTGTGTTTTTTATAGAAATTTGTCAAGAGCAAGTTGACTTTCTAAATTCAATTTTAAATTGGGATACACAACTTGAAGAATTTAAAACTGTCCTGAAGAGATTATATTCAGAGAATTCAAACAAGTATCAATTGGGAAGAGGCAAAGATGGGCTGTATTCTTTAGAGAGAAGGGGTCATAACGATTATTAAATACATAATAAATGTTTAACCTATTATTTCAATAATAAACGAATAGGGCTTGAAATGTAAATAAGATCCTGATTGATTAATCTAATATGTCATATAGCTAATGAGAAGAATGACGATGGGCTGTAGACTTTACAGGATAGAGGTAGCAATAATAGTTAATTTAAATTAGCATTAACATTAACTAGTATTATAAAGGCTCGTCGTATTGACGCGGGTTTCCCCTGCCCTACCTTCACCCTTCACGCTTCACCCGATTGCTCACCACCGATCGAACACGACCTTCAAGATGTTGCTCCTACTGGACGAGGATGTGCACTCGCTACCCGTAGTTGGATGAGTTACGCCACCTAGCAGTACGTCGACAAGGTTGCCCATTCCGAAAATGTGAAAAGCAAATTTTCTGGTAGGACTGTCGGCCAAGATGGGAATCCAAAGCCTGGGACGTAACGCCCAGTTTCACGCTAGGGAGTTGCCCGATTGATCAGAAGGTACCTTCCCGATGCTGCTGAGCTTCCCCTTTCCAACCTTGGAAACCATCTCCCCTGAGGTAAAACCCTTGGTGTCAGAATGAGCTGCGGTCGGCCTAATCCGACGTTGCGCTCCACTGTGCCAAGGTAAAACCTAGCCGGATACACATTCCGAGCGCCTTTCTCCCTTCCACAAGGTTCCCCGCGAACGCAGGCTACAGGTGTTGAGAAAAAGGGCTGGATCGCCGTCGCCATTTTAATGTATATGTAATAATTAATTTACATAAATGGCTTTAAATGCTATTCAGAGAGTTTTAATCTATTTAATGATAAAATTAAAATTGAATGGAAACATAAAATAAGCACAATATTTGAGAGAAAAAGATAGGCATTGACAACTGAATCAGAAAACTCATACAAAGTGCGATTATTTTGAAATTTTCCATTTTTTAACTAAAAAGCGGACGAAAAGCAATCAATGTTGCTAATTCCCTAAAAAAAACTCACCTGGTGAAAACTTAAACGTAAATAATGTAATAAGTTCATTTTTAGGCTGCATTTTTAATGGGTATCTAGCCATCGATCATGAGTGTTTAGAATTTCAAGTTATAGGGTAGTAATATGTGGAGCATTATGCATTCTGGTGGACCTTAGTCTGTTTATTTTAAACAATTACAGGTTCTCAAAGAAATATTTCCATATGCTAAAAAGGGAGTCTGACGGTTAGGGGCAAGATTATTTTGGGTTAGCTTTTAAAAAACCTTTTTAAAATTTAATAAATTTCTTTTTGAGATCTATTAAAATATGCTTGATAAAAGCAAGCTAAAATTTTCGAATTTAATTAGATTATTTTATGATCTTCATGTGAGTAAATTTTTAAAGATTTCTTGAATAAAATTAAGAAGATTAATATAAATTATGGAAAGCGTAGAGCCAGCGATAATATTTGAAAGAAAAAGGAAAGAGATTCGCATCGGAATCAAAAATCTCATACAAAGTGTAATTAATGAGGATAATCTCGGGAAGGAAGAAATTGATGATATGGTGTCAGAAGCATCAAAAGTCTGTGAATTAGATAATTTGCTGGCCAAACAAAGCTCATAAATATATGGACCATATTAGAAAATATAAACTTAGAGAGCGATTATGCTTATTTCTATCTCGGACTGGTTATTGATTATGATGGCACACTAGCAAAGCAATTTTTTGAGTTAACAAAAAATTGTTTCTCAAAATTGGATGTAAGCTATCAAACATTGATCGATCTCCTAAAAAGTTGTAGATTGGAAACTCTAATAAAGCTTATTACAATTTTTGTGTTAGCTGAGAAAGTAGACAAAGACAAGCTTGACGAAACAAAAATAGATGATATAACTAAATCATTCTTAAAAAGATTCGATTCACTTTATTTAGAAGGCCAAAGTGTTGGCTCTCTTGATGATTTCCTATTAAGAAGATTTTTGCAGTTTTTAAATTTTGCTGATGAACTGAATTTAGGAGAAAAATGCAAGATAGCTGCTGACTCATGAATAAATTTATTGAGTCGAGCTAATTCTGCCCAAACATTTAAATATATATTTCCAGCTCTCAATAATCATGTAATATTTGTCAGTCTAGATAAAATGCTTGAATCTCGCCGTTTAATTTTTTATATACTTTCACGACAAAAAACAACAGGGTATCCAATTTTTGATAAGCTTTTTTGTAAGAATAAGAACTCAGTGTCATTGTATATTAAGTTCTATTTGGAACATATGTCGAGTGACGGCATTCCTTATGATACTAAAAAAATATACATATCGTCAGCGATTTCTCTTTTTCTATCGTATATAACAAATAAAAACAAAAACAATACCAAATACATAATTGAAGATTCTGAACTAATCAGAATTTTTTAATTTTTTGCCAATATCTAAAATTTATCAATTGCTAAGTAAAAAGAGAAATCGCTGATGATATGTACCTCGTTTGCTCTTTTCGTGAAAGTATATGGAAAATTAACCTGCGAGATTCTGACTTTTTATCTAGACTGGTAAATATTATATGATTGTTGAGGGCTGGAAATATGTATTTAAATGTTTGGAAGGAATTAGCTCAATTCAATAAATTTATTCATGAGTCAACAGCTATCTTCCAATTTTTTCCTAAATTCAAAATTTAAAAATTGTAAAAGTCTTCTTACAAGGAAATCATGAAGAAAGCCACGACTTCCTCCTTCAATATAAAGTGAATTGAATCTGAGTAAGAATAAATTATTTATTTCAGTTATTTTGACTTCGTCAAGTTTGTCTTTGTCTACTTTCTCAGCTAACATAAAGATTGTAATAGGCTTTAATAGAACTTCCAATCTACAATTTTTTAGGAGATCGATCAATGCTTAGTAGCTTACATCCAATTCTTGGAAGCAATTTTTTATTAATTCCAAAAATTGTTTCATTAGTGTGCCATCATAATCAATAACTAGTCCGAAGTAGAAATGAGCATAATCACTGTCTAAGTTTATATTTTCTAATTTAACCCATATATTTAGGTAGCATTGTTCGGTCAGCAAATCATCTAATTCATGGACTTTTAATGATTCTGACTCCACATGGCTAAGTTCTTAGGACCCGGGATTATCCTGAACAATTACGCTTTGAATGAGTTTTTTGATCCCGATCTCAATCTCTGCCCTTTTTCTTCTAAATATTATGACTGCTTCTACGCTTTCCATTAAATTTTATATATTAATAGAGCCCCAAAACATTATATAAGAAATCTTTTTATAAATTCTCAAAGAATTTACTTATTCAGCCTATTCTAATTATTAATTAGATACATTGACTATTATTTATTAAGTTTTCTTTCTTTAATTATGATCTAAAAGCTACTATTTATATTATTTATATGAGTATTAATGAAAGGAGTGGAGGTTTAGGGCTGCGATTTATATCTAAAACTCTCTTCTTTCGCAGCCACATGCATGCTTTGAAAGCCAAATTGAGAGGTATAACTCGAGTACGCACTAGAATCACAGTTGTGGATCTATTCTAATACATTGAAATCCCAATATAAAGTAATTACTAATGCAAATCAGCAATTAAATATTTTAATTTGAAAATTAAAATTGATTTGTATTATATATCTTGTCTTTGAAATATGAAACTTCATCAAATGCAGCAGCCTAGCACAATTTTAGTTTTCATTAATCTTTTGAGTTAAGTAAGTGATAACCCTTATCTTATGTCAAAAGAGCAGAAAAGATCAGTATTTCAAATACCCAAAAAGTGAGAATTATTTAAGAAAGAAATTGATATTAATTCTTGCAAGTTGTAGGCATTACGTTTTTAAAAGCGGCACCTATCAATGAGGGTAAGAAAGAGACCTTATCCTATAGTCTGAAAAAAAATTTCAGCCATGGGCTTGAATATTAAGCTCGTAAATATTAAATGGGCTTTTAAGCTAAAAATTTACAACGTTTGTTTATTTTAATCAATTATTGGCTTATCATTATAAATGGGTTTACCTGACAGGGTCTGCAGCTTCATCTTTATTTGTGGAAGCTGATTTAAGAAACCAAACTAAACGCAAACTTTATCAGGCAGATGACTCATCTCTAAAGTCTCCTATTTGGCGGATACATATTAGCTATAGGATTGATAACTGTGATCACTACAGTCATTGCAAATTTTATTTTATTTTAGGATAAATCCACACTCTTTGATGAATAATGGACCTTATTTTCATTTTTCTAGGACTTATATCATTTGCTCAGCTCTTTTTTAATAAGAAAGCTCATCAAGTGACGAAAAATTAAAAGCGCTAATAATGTGATAAAGATTTTGAGGTATTTTTCAAAACTTTTGCGTATACAAGTTTATTTGAATGAATTAATAAACCATCATTGGTGTTGCTTCCAATGAAGTACTGATAACCATTTGTTTTAATTCTAATAGGTTCGTTTTTAGGCTACCTTTTTAATGGATATTTAGCTATCAATCATAGAGTGTTTGGAATTTCAAGGTATACGACAGTAATATTTGGAGCATTATGCATTCTGGTGGAGTCTTAGTCTGTTTATTTTTTTATTAAATACAGATTCTTAAAGGAAAATATTTGCCATATGTTAAAAAGGGAGTCTGACGGTTAGGACAAGATATTTTGCATTAGCTTTTAAAACTAAATTTGAATAATAATGGCAGGAGTTCTTGGCTCAGCTACACCAACAGCAAAGTTCAAGCTTGTGTTTTTTGGGGACCTTTATAAAGGGAAGCTTTTGAAGAAATTTAATAAATTCTTTTGAGCTCTATTAAAATATACCTGATAATAATAGCTCTTATCGCGCATTAAACGCCTTATTCTTTTTAATTAAAATATACTTGATAAAATTTAAATTTAATTAGATTATTTTGTGATACTTCAGATGAGTAAATTTAAAAAGATTTCTATCAATAATTTTTAGGTCCCTTAATATAAAATTTAATGGAAAGCGCAGAACCAGACATAATATTTAAAAGAAAAAGGACAGAGATTGACATCGGGATCAGAAATCTCATTCAAGCCGTAATTGTTCAAGATAATTTTGGCAGTAAAAAATTAAACATGTGAAGTCAGAAGTATCAAAAGCCCATGAATTAAATGATTTGCTGGCCAAGCAAAGCTACCTAAATATATGGATTAAATTAGAAAATATAAACTTAGACAGCGATTATGCTTATTTCTATCTCGGACTAGTTATTGATTATGATGACATACTAGCAAACCAATTTTTGAATTAATAAAAAATTTCTTAATAAATTTACTGATATTTCCTAAACTTTAGAGAGATTTGTCAATTAAAATATTTGCATGAACTATTTGGGACTTTAAAGAGATTTTTTAAAGCGATAAACTATCAATAGCATGGTGCAGAAGTGTAGGAATGCTCGCACCACCAAACTGCGATGAATGTGGCAATCAATGCTACATTGCAAATCAGAAAAACATTACTTCTTAAAATGCTATGCATTTAAGCTTTCATTCTCAATAAAAAGGAGATCTTTCTTCAGCAACATGAAGCTACCTATGAAATCAATACTTACATTGATTTTTGAATATTGGTGTTTAAGGTGTCCCACGCCACCCTTTTTTGATAGGGATTATGCCTAGCTAGTGACTCCAAATCCCTTCCTGCTGCTTAAACGTTGGATCTTATGGCTATGGGAGAAAATTTAACGTAAATAATGTAATAGGTTCGTTTTTAGGCTACGTTTTTAATCGGTATCTAGCTATCTATCATGGAGTGTTTGGAATTTCAAGGTATAGGGCAGTAATATTTGGAGCATTATGCATTCTGGTGGAGTCTTAATCTGTTTATTTTTTTAAAAATTACAGATTCTCAAAGGGAAATATTTTCCATATGCTAAAAAGGGAGTCTGACAGTTAGGGCAAGATTATTTTGGATTAGCTTTTAAAAAAACCTTTGAAATTTAATAAATTCTCTTGAGATCTATTAAAATATAATTAGATTATTTTTGGATACTTCAAGTAAATTTTTAAGAATTTATAAAAGATTTTTTGAATAATTTTTAGAGGATTAATATAAAATTTAATGGAAAGAGCAGAGCCAGGGGCATAAGGATATACAGCTCCTATCTTCAGTTGGTCTTGCCAACTCAGGTAGGCCAAACCAACTAAAGAGTTGGCAAATGAGCCTCTTGCGGTTCAATTGGCAGCTCTCCAGTAGGCCTGACCAATCTAATTAGCCAGACAAACTGGAAATAGGAGCTCTCCATCCTTAAGCCATTATCAGGCAATTTAAAGGCAATAACTATGCCAATTTTTATTCCAAGTATCAAGGAAAGATTTTAAAAACTTCAAGAATGTGCTATAAATACAGATTTAAGATTTATTTTATTCCAAATCTATCTATTGTTTTAAAAATTTTTTATTTCATTTGGAAATTTATAAAAATTAAAATTTTGAATCTTATCTCACGTATAATGAAAATTCCAAAAAAAGACTTAAAGCCCAAATATTATTTAAAGATGATATCACAGCTTATATCCAGTCTCAGAAATATATTTTTAAGTTAAATTATTTATTTGTATCAATTTAGCTAATTACATATCTTTTGAGTCTGGTAATTGCTCAATTAAACTTTTCAAGTTAAACTTGCTTTTATTAAAAAGCTCATTAGGAGGGTACACTCTTTCTGTTGTTATTTTAAAAGGATTATGGATTCTATTATCCTGATATTTCAACAGTACATTAGCTAATGATTTATAATTTGCCACAAGTTCAGAAATTTCATCGTTTCCTTCCTTTAAGCTATTTATATCAAGATTTCCTAAAAATTCACTTTCCACTGCATGTGAATTAATTTTATTAGTAAAATCCGCAATCTTTTGCAAAGGGCTTCTAATAGACCTCGCAGAACAATGAATTATCATAATAATTACAGCTAAAATAACCCCACCACAAAATATAAAAAACCCTATTAAAATTCCTCCAAATTCTTCGATTTTATTTCTGCTGTCACTTCCATAGGTCATAATATAGAATTTCCCCATAAATATCCCATATTTTTTTTTTATAAATCTCCTATAAGTATTATATAAGAGAAAATAATATCTCTCTCCTTTACAAAAAGCATAAGAACATACCATCATTCGTCATTGTTTTGACTCCCTATTGGGAATGTAGCAACTCTATATACTTCATCGTGAAAAACCATAAAATGGATCCCTTTAGGCTTAACCAATACTTTTCCCCAAAAATGGGAATCTTCTAGCTGGGTAATGGAGTCATAGGAATTGCTTCACCATCCTTTTCCATTGCATTTTAAAATCTGGCCACTCTTGTGGACAAGGGCTGTGTCCCCTTTTCCTAGGTATTTTAGCTCTTTAAGGTCTTGATATATAAATAGGACAGGCAAATCAGCTAATATAACCCCAATATTTTTATTGTTGTTATCAGTAAGTGGTGTAACCAATGAAATTATATCAAGAAGATTCCCTAACTCCCCCTCTCCGTGAGTGACAGAAAATTTTGTTCACTCACGGAGGGGGGTTGATTTTTTTTTTTTAAAAAAATTTATATATAAAAATTTTATAAAATATTTTTTCGAAATTTAAAAAAATCCTATGTTTTAAAAGCAATTTGTTTAAAGTTAAACAGAATTAGCTCTAGATTTCATTATGCTAATTATCATTTATATATCAAATTTTTTCCCCATGAAAAATTTTTCTATTAAAAAAATTTTTGTTCACTCACAGAGGGTGGGTTTTTGGGCAAAAATAGGGATTTTTCTAATGGTTTTGTTCACTCACGAGGGGGGGGAGTAAGTAATCAGGATACCCAACAGTCGCTAAATTTGTAGCATTATTTTGCTTATAAGCCATATATCAAGTTTGGTTTGTAGGTCTATAAGTGCTAGGAATGTAGCTTCCTGGATAGGTGATCATAAAATTGCCTTCATCAAAATACATCATATATACCTTTTCCCTCATTTCGCTCTCCATCATTTTTCTGATAATTATTATTAAAAAATCATTAAAATTCGCTATATCTTATGACAGTCTGAAAAGTCAATACAAGTGTCGTGGGCCAAATATTATTAAACCTAGACACTTTTTTAATCAAACTATATGATACGTTAAAAATCTCTCCAAAAGTTTTATAGCAGCTATAAGTAAAGCACACCCTTTGGTTCCCATACAAATTGATAACTTTAGTCAAATTTTCTTTAGGTAAATGCTCATAATCTGTGATATTTAAATAATTCAATGCATAGGCATTTTCGTCGTTTAGCATTGAATATAGCATTTCTTTCACCAATTGGTTCATAACAAAAATATCTTGGAATTTTGTGTTGACGTAGGACGCCCCTTGGGCTACAAGTTCTTTCATATTGTCGGTGGCTTGTTTGCTTTGGGTTTTTTCAATTTTTATTACTGTGTGCTCTCCAAGAAAATAAAAGCTGGTTATCATGAATAAAAAAACTAGTATCAGCATAGAGAAAACTGCGAATATATAGCAGACCATCATTTGTCGCTTTATAGATCATGTCTTTGGGATTTCTTTTAAATCTTTCCAAAAGTGCTTTATGCACATAATAATTTTAATAAAATACCATAAAATTAATTTTTAGACAATTCAGACAAAAAATCATAAATAAAGTGTTGGAATTTTGGGGTTTTTGTGGGCTTTTTAATATATTTAGGGATTAATAACAACAGCTTAATCTTGAAATAATAAAAATGAGCGATCTTCTTACCATGAGAGAGACTCTTGAAAACAGTAAATTTTATACTACTGAGTGGCAATTACAAATGCTGGCTTCTGCCTCTATTTGGTTTATTGACTCTTGGTCTGTTTCCTTTATCCGCCAAAAACCTCCTCATGTCATCAATTTACTCATCATTTTATGTCAGGATTCTGCCACAAATGTTATATGATATTTTTATATACACTTATTTTTATTGATTTTTAATATAAATTAACAAGAATTACCATAAATATTATAAAGAACAAAATAGATTATAAATAAATAATAAGAAAATCACTGTGCTAGGGTATAATTAATATTTTTTCTTATAATTTTTTACGTTTCTATAATAATTCAACATAAAAAGCATAGTTCCCTGTTTCTTTGGAATTTTCCCACACCAAAGCTCTCTCCCTATCGCCGAAATTTACTACAGATTTTTCTCAGTCCTCCAGATGAAATCTTTACAAAAGCTCGAGCCTTTAAAAATTGTAATAGACTACGATACTTCTCTGCGTTCAGCTGTCGCTCAAGCTTTTCCACATACAGAAATCTATGGCTCTTTTATCCATAAAACAAGGCTTCTTTATAATGAATGCAAAAACATAAAATGTGGGCTATTAGGAATAAAAACAGCGGCGTTAAGCAAGACAATCAATTATTTTATAGCTTATGTGTTGGTGATATCCTTGATGAATGAGCAGGATTTTCATCGGCTTAAAAATTAAAATTAGCTAAGATTATAAGAGAAGATCCCTGAAGGCACAAAAGGCCAGGTCATATTCATCTTCATAATGCCCTGCCACTTGCTTGCAGTCCAAGCACGGCCTCTTACTGTTTTTGCTCCTTAAGGACAAGGGCTTGCTCTCGCCACCATGCTGCACATCGGCGGGGTTCAGTTTCCAGAAAATTTGAAAAATCGAATTTTATAATCACCTGCCAGCCGAAATGGCGTAGAATATTCTTCTGTTATCGTGCTGGGAAACACTCCTGATTAATAAGGAGTAACCTCACTGGTGCATCCCTTTCCAACTCTGAGCCCATCTTCCCTGGGGGTAAAACCTTAACCTCTATGTGAAATGTGGTCGTCTAAACTCAACTTTGCGCTCCATGAAATTAAGCAAAAGCTTGCAGGTTACACATCACCAAATACCATCGTCCCTTCCACAAGGTCCCTGATTTACCCAGCTGCAGCTGATAAGAGGATGGGTTGGATCGCCACGCCGTTTTAATGTATATAGATTTTCATCATCATTGGAACATTTTAAAACATCAGGTTAATGATGAAGCTTTTGCTGGTGTAATCAGTATGATTGGGTTGTTGATTTTTATGCTTTTTTCGATTATATTTAATGGAATTTATATGGTACCGAATAAATATTTTTACAAAATAAAAAAAATTATTAAACTAAATTGCAGTGTAATTCATAGTATAAAGCATAGTAAAAAAAAAATTAAAAATATTTAAAATAAAAAAATGAATTTTTTAACAAGATGATTGAAAGGGATTTCGTGAATCCTAACGGGAGATACCATTCAGAGATGACGTTTTCGCACATTTTAGAAGAAAAAGCTTTTAGAATTGCTACACCTGCTATAGAAGGCTACCACTATCGTCTAAAACAACTTATGAAAACTTATAACGTCTCCTCAGTTGACATGCTGGTCGAAAAAGTCCTGGTTTCTGAAGAAAAGCATTTCAGCAGCAAAGTCGCTGAGGTAAATTTACAAAGAATTATATCTCCAGACCTCCCAGAAAAATTTTTCTTTGAAAGAAGCATGGGACCTTTGCCAATTGCGACTTCACTTGGGGATATTTATGGGATGCTTGATCATATGCCTGCCTATTTTGAATTTAATTAAAAAAAAATTAATTTATGGGCTAAATAAAATAAAGATTTATGATTTATAGAAAAGACCAATTAAAGCGACTTATCATACCCCTCCACAAAAATTAGCAGAATTACTAATTGAACAAAGCGAAGATATTCAGCTGCCACAGAGGAGAGCCCTTGTAAGCTTGTGCAACCTTGAAGAATATAAGAAGTCTTTGATTTCATTTGATACAGTTTCACAGAGTATTATGAATTTACATCAAGAAAGGAAAAAGAAATACAGAGAAGAAAGAAAGACGAGAGTCAAGGTTGAAGAGCCTGCAATGGAAGTAGAAGAGGAAGAAGGGGAAGAAGAGGAAGAAGAGGAAGATGAAGAAGATAGCGAAGACATGCAGGAGTAAATAATGATAATTACATAATATTTAGGTATTGCTTAATTATTAGACAGAAACATTTATGAATGCTATAAATTATGCTATTTTATATAATTTAAATCCTTTTACTAATTTTTTTTTTAATTAAATTCTTTATCCTTAATTACCCTAAATTCATTAATTTTTAATTTTATTTTTTGGCAAAACCTCCACAGTCTTCCCTTGTTTCAGCTTCATCTTTTCTGAATACGAATTAACCGCTGTTTTACTCTTCTGGATACTTTGTCTTTCTTTTGCTGGCGAAACATTCGTCTTTTTAATAATCGTCGGTGCAAATGTGCACTGTTTGAGCTCTTCTTCTTCCTTTTTATTTTTCCATTCCTCGATCATTTTTTCTCTGTCTTTTTTCTGTTGATCAGCCAGGTCATATAAATTTTTTTTGTGGCTCATAGGCATTTGTTTGGATTTATCGTCAATTTTTGGCTGAAAAGTACAGTCTTCAGTGACTTTGTTGTCTGGAGGGGTAGCAACTCGGTTTTTCCTTTCTTTAGTTTGTTCTAAGGCGATATCATAGTTTCTTTTAATAAAGTCTTTGAAGTTGCCTTGAGTTTTTGCTTGCTTATTTTCTTCTGGATTTGGCTGTGGGTTGGCTTTTTCTTTTTTCTTTGGAGTGACTAAGGATCGGCCTTCTTTTTCAGCATATTTTACCATCAATATTGATTTTGGGTCCAGCTGTGGCTTAAATGAGTAGGTTTCTTCATAAAATTTTTCAGATTTTTCTTGCTTTTCTGTTATAAGTTTTCTCCCTTTTTCGTATAATTTGTTAGATATTTCTTCCGCGTTTGGTGTTGTTGACAATTTATTTTTTCTTCTCATTTCAGGCTGAGGGGTTTTATTTTGGGTTGGGATTATTATTTTTGGCGTTATAGGCTGTTTAATCGGAACTTCTCCTGCATCAAGCTCTGACATAAGTTCAGGGGTTCTAGAATGAGGATTGTCAGGAGAAAATGAAAAATCTTCATCTAAAAAAACGGGTCACGCTTATATTTTTTATCAAAATTCCTTTTATTATAAGTTTTTCTATATAAAAATATATTTAAGAAAAAAAAATTGTTTTCATATTAAAAAGTTTGACAAAAAATCAAGATCTTTATGAAGATCTAGCTTAGGAGGATTAAGGGTAGGAGCATTAAGAGACGAGGATATAGGAGATGAAGTAGCTTGAGGACTTTCAGAAGAAAGAGCTTGAGGAGCTTTAAATAAACCAAGATGCTTTAGAGAATCCAATGTGCTTGCCATATTATTTCTACTAGTAATTATGATGTAACTAATTATTTTGAATATATGAATCTATCTCTTTCATGTAGAGCTCTAATGCTTTTGCAGAATTATGAGGCTCAAGAGAATTTATCGCCATTCTTGGCTTGTTTCCTTGACCTTCAGCTGATTTTGTTTTGATAGCGCCATGATACATTTTGCCTTGGGCTGATGCGACGACTTTTTCGAATTGTTCGGGGTCTTCATCTGATAGCTTTTTAAGGTCTGACGCTGAGCATTTAAGAAGCTGGGTGCCAATATCGTCAAATGCAGTAGCCCAGATTGCATCTGAATGATCATGTAGCCTTACACTTAGCAAATATCTATACTGGCACTGCTCGAACGATTCCTGGCATTTTTCGCACCTATAAAATCCATTGCTTTCCAAAATCACTTTTTTCTTACAATTTTGCGCATTTTTACAAGCTGTGTAAAACATTAAATTTGGATCATCCCGCCTAATAAATCCTATATAGCCAATGAAGCCTGTATTTTCTTCTAGCTGAGGCCCATCATAATTATTCCAAAAATTATTTAAATCTGAGAATTGTTTGTACTCTTTAGGTGCACTTGATGAGCCTTGTGTGAGATATTTTGCATTTTCTTTATCTATACCTCGGTTGAACCAGTCAATGAATTTTTTGGTTTCTTCAATGTTTTTAGGGTTATATATTATTTTGGTGTTTCCTCTGTCTGAAGAGAGGGATAAGCCATGATAGTCGGTTATCCTTAAGTATTTAGCAGCGAAAAATATAGGCAATTTTGGATCATGAAATATAGGGCTTTCAGCTTCTTCATTTCATAGGGATATTTCTATAGCGCAATTAGAAGGATCCATCACTTTAATAACCCTTTTCTTTAAAGGTTCTCCCTTTCTTGAGGTGAACTCTGATAATTCATCTACCTCAATAATAGCTCCACATAAATCTGTAATATTCCCTATGCCTATATGCTCGAGCTTATCGATTAAGTTGAAATTAAACTTTACAGATAAAATCCCGGCATCATCAGCTACTTCATTAATTTCAGCGTTTTTATCAAAACTTATTTGATAATCACAATATGGTGTTAAATTTTTTTCTAAAATATATTTATTAATTTAAAATAAATTTAATAATTGTTTTCCTCACAATCTACAGTCTGGAATTTTTTATTCCCTAGTTTAACCCTTCCTTTTGCAAAAGTATACACTTTTCCTTCCTGAATTATCGGATAAAATTTATCCACCGCGTCTTTAAAAAAAGTTGCTTGTATTTCATCGTTATAGCTATCAATCAAATTTACATTAAATAGCTTCCCAGATCCCCTTGGATTATCCCAAGATTTTATAGCTCCTTTTTGTGTTACCCTTGCTTTTAAAATCCAATCATCATTAAGGGTAGTTAAAGCTTTTATTGGAATATAAGACTCTTTATTGAATATTTTTGGCTCAGGAAGTTTACTTTGTTTAATTTGTGGCTGTTTAATTTGTGGCTGCTTAATTTCTTCTTTTTCTTCGAAATTCAGCTCAAACTTGTTTGGCTCGCCTACAGTTGACTCAAGACAGACACCAGACTCTAAGTCTGCTATAATTAGAATAGGCCTACCGCCTACATTTAAGTTTAGTTTTAAATGAATTACTCTTGGATGCAGTCTCCTTGCTTGAGGTCCAACTTATTTAACAAGCTCTGAACAACGGTAGGTGGACCGGCATAACCGTCGAACCGTTAAAGTTAAAAACCCGTTAAGACTTCTCTGGTCAGTGCCAGACTCAGCATTGACCTCTTCTCCTTCTTCGATACTCTCAAGAGGCACGACCTCTATCACTTAAGTTCGAAAATAGGACACTGACCTGCGGAGCAGGAGCTAAGACCTATCACTAACTAACATTTTTAATATTGTATGCCCCCTACATTTGCAATAGAAAATTCTTTAATTTTGATGACTTGGTATTGAACGATTTCGTCCGAGGCAAATTTTTGTTGGATTGAGGCACCGACCATGGCTTGGACATAGTCATCGCCATCAGAAATGACGAGACGGTAGCGGGTTGTGCCGAGAAGTTTGATGTCGAGGATCTGCACAGTTGGCTTGAGATCGTTGCAGGATACGCCTGAGTTGATAGAGCGGACAGCTCTTTTAGTTAGAAGTGACATTTAATTTTTAAAAGATTGAGCGGGGAAGCCATAATGAGGGAATTTACTATAAATATGGATTTTTTAAATATTTTATTAAAAATGGGAAGGAGTAAGAAAAATTGTATATAGCCTGGGCATTTTTCTAACTGTCTGGGCCTTTTTCTAGCACGGATTGCGGATGATTATGATGCCGTAAAGGGGTTGGGCTTGACTAAATCCAAAGTAAAAATTTCTAATAGGTTGCTAAATTTCGATTTGGGGAGTTTGTCTAACCAACAAAAATTGACTTTATCAGCCATCCAGATACCGTGAGGCATCACTGGCTAGCCAGAGCAAATAAAAATAGCTCATTATATATTTTAATTAAAGAATTCGAGAAAAAAAGAAGCTTTTCAAGGGACTATTTTGAATAATGCACAGCTTAGTTTATATTTTTTTCAAAACTGAACTGAAACTTAGCAGGATTTCCTATAATTGAATTGGCAATAATATCAGGCTCTAAGTCTTCTATAACCAGAATAGGATGGCCCAATATGTTTTTAAATGAAAATTCTTTAATTTTGATGACTTGATCTTGGATAATTTCGCCTGATGAAAAATTATGCTGGATTGAGGCTCCAGCCAAGCATGGAGCATAATCATCGCCATCAGATATAACAAGGCGATAATAGCGATTTCCGTCGAGGAATTTGATGTCAATGATCTGCACTGTTAGATCAAGGTCATTACATGATATGCCTGAGTTGATAGAGCGGACAGCTTTTTTGGTTAAAAGGATTGAATATAGATAAAAATGACGTGGCGGACCAACCCAGCCTCCTAGCGCCTGTAGCTGGAAAGACCCAGGGACATTGTGGAAGGGAGTTTTGGCGTTCGGTATGTGTATTTGGAAGGTTTTAATTGGTTTGGTGAGCGCAATGTCTTATCTGGCAGACTGCAAGTTCACATCCAGGTCAAGGTTTTATCTCGGAGGTAGATGGAGTTCGGAGCATGAAAGGATGTCCCAGCAATGCCAGTAAGGTTCTTTCTGGTCGATTAGAAACGTTCTCCAGCGCGATACCAGGTGTTACGCCCTGAACGACGAATTTTCATCTTGGCCAATAGTTGACCAAAAAAATAGTTTTGTAATTTTCTAAAGCTTAACCCCATTGACCTACGGCATGGTGACCCAAAATTTATGACAACCAGTGAGCATGTGCAAACCCATACCTGATAGGAGCAAGACTTTGAAGGTCGTGAGATGATTGCCTGCGAAGCAGACGAGTGGAGCGTTATGAAAAGGAATAAGATTCTTTGGATCCCGATAGGGAGCTTTCTATAATCTAAACAAAGTGTAAATATAAGGTTAAAAGGATTGGTGAAGCCAGAGTATTGAAAATTGTTATAACTATTAAATATTTTATTAATTTCGAAAATTTGAAATTTAAAGAAAAGGGAAATGAGAACGTCATAGAGAAATTATTATAATCCATGCTGAGAATAATTATATAGTTGTTTTGCCTTGAATACTAAATTAAATCGATACTTCAGTAAAATTATATTTTGGCCTTTGCTTAAAATCTTAGATTATAGCATAAATTAAATAAAGAATTGCTTTTGCTAAAAATGAGTTTTAAAATTTTATTACTAAAATTTCTGATGATTTCTCTTAATTTATGCATTGCTTATAACTAATTAGTTTTTTATATCAGTGATATGTTCATATGAATCTGTTTATGGCCTGCATCTTTATATATAGGATTAGCTATTTATTACCCGAAATATAAAATATCAGTTATAATTTAAAAATAATTGTTCTTAACTATAGAGACCATGATTTTTGACATCATCAATCGAAAAATTAATTATTTCCAATATCTATTTCTCAATTTTTTTGGCAACTCTTTTACAAGTTGGGCAATCTACTCTATATCTCAGTCATTTTTCGATGCATAAGCTATGAAATACATGTCCGCAGGGCAATCGTACTCCTTCAGAACTAATTCCATAGCAAATATAAGCTCTTGAAATTTTTCTTCCATCTTCTGAATACTAAATTTCTATTTTTTATATATAAAAACCATAAAACTATACTCAGCAATGCAAAATTAAAACTTATTACATGAAATTTCGTCTAAAAATTTCCAATTAAAAATAATGCATTCTCTTGCTTCTTTTCCTCGAAATTTAAAAAATTTTGCAATCTCTTGATTAGATAGGCCATACCTTGGCAATCTTTCTATTTCTTTCCACAAAGCTTCTGCTTCTATTGAAGGCAAATCATAATTAAATGAATATCCAAAATCCGAGTCCTGCGCTGCTGCATAATTATTTGGCTGATATTCGGATTCTCGATCAAAAATCGCTTCATACTCATTTTCCCAATCAATAAAGTTCATATTATAACCTCCAGATCCTCCTATAGGTCTGTTATCCACATATTCATGATTTCCCAGTCATCTTTCGTCTCTGTCATTTCTCTGTTCCATTCTGAACTTATAACCTATTTAATCTGACTTTAACCATTTTTTAATATAAAATAATCAAATATCAAGCCTTTCTTTTTGGTATATAATTTTCGCCATAGGAAATGGGCGGTATATAATTCAAATGACCTCAATAAGAAAAAATAATCATCAAAAATCAAAAGCAAAAAACTCTCACTCCCCCCCCTTTAAATTGGAACTAAAAATTTTGTTCCAATTTAAAAGGGGGTTAATTTTTTTTTTTAAAAAAAAATTAATATATAAAATTTTTTATAAAATATAAAAGATTTAAAAAAAAAAATTCTCAAAAACTTATCGAATTAGATCAATAAATTTGTTTAATAAAATGCTATTTACTCTTTATCCCTTAAAACAAAGCAAGATATAACTAAAATTTTCATTATTAGTTAATACGCCACTATTAATTGGTATCAAAATTATTTACACAAAAATTATTATTTTTATTGATAAAAAAAAATTAAAAAAAAAAAATTTAGAAAATTTATCGATCAAAGTGCTAATTTTGTTTAAATAAGATGTTATTTATGCTTTATTCTTTAAATTAAAGCAATAAATAAGTAAATTTTAAAATTTTATAAGGAATTCGCATTGAATTTATATCAAAACTATTTAAATAAAAAATATCATTTTTTTTGAAAAAATTTTAACTTTTTTTTTAAATTTAACAATTAAGGATAATAAATTTATTTAAATAAGATGCTCTTTATACTATCTTCTTTAAAGAAGAGCAAGATATAACTAAATTTTGAATTTTAGTTAAGAAGAAACATTTAACTTATATCAAAACTTTTTAGATAAAAATTTTATATAATTTTTTATTATAAAATTAAATTTTGCTCCAATTTAAAGGGGGGGTAATTTACCAAAAAAGTGGGAAATTTTACCTATATTTTGTTCCAATTTAAAGGGGGGGGGAGTCAAGATCTCCCACAAAAGTCACTTAAATGACTATTAGAACTCGACGCAAGCGAAATCATTGAAGTCAGCCTCCCTGATATCCCTAACACACCTCAAGAATTTTTGATAGAAAACATTCAAGTCCAAAATTCTGTGAATTTTAATAATCAAATTGAAGAAATTTATTTGAAAACTGCAAAAAGCTCAAAAAGAAAAATTTTATAGAATTTATAGTCATCATTTTCATTTATTTATTTGATTTAAATTTTTATTTATATAGAAAATAGCTATTGACTATTAAAAATTTGATATTAATTATTAATAATTATATAACCGAAGAAAGCACCCAATACCCATCAATAAACGATATTCCAAATTGAAATAGCCTTGCTAAAGAAATCCACATAATTTCTACTGAAAGTTTTCAATGGCTCTCAGCTATTGACTCTGAAGGTGAAACAATTGGAATTTATAACACTTGTATGGGGATTCATACAAATATTCCGAGCCAAGATATTTATCATTCAATTTTATACTGAGGGTCAGGAAATTTAGACGAAAATGGCTGGGTTGGTGCTTTTCGGAGTTTATTTTATATGTTTGCTCATGGTAAATGTGAGTGATTTTATGTGAATTTTGGGCGATATTTGGCATTTTTTAAAAGGGAAAATGATAAACCAGTAGCGGTTATAGCAAATCCAACAAGCCAATTAAAAAATGCATTAAGAAAAGCGTTGGTAAATGTCCCTGAAGATGATATTGAAGTAGAAAATATGCCAAATTTGAAAAATCAGAAAAAAAATCCTCCGATAAAAATTGAAGGAAAATCTTTGCACCAATTTTATGAATATCTCACAAGTAATTTTGCTGATAACAGACTATTGGCACCAACATTTTTCTTGAATTCTACTTTAAAGTCTCTAAACACCACGTTTAATGGAGAAATCAAAGGACTCGATATGACAAACGACAGCCGGAAAATGCAAAGAAAATTCAAACTTTCTTTCGAAGGGCCGATTTCTTTTCTATCTATAAAAAATATCTGCGGAGTCCTTCAAAGCACACAAAATTCCTTTTCAATTGAAATTTTCCCTGATACTGCATCAGCGCCTCTAGGTTTTCCAAGCTCAATATCTTTTATGAATGGTTCGTATTTTGTCAAGCGGAGTCTTTAATATAATTTTTATGGTTTTTATTATACTTTTCTCTATATATTAGAATTATTTTAAAATTTCTTTAAAAAAATAATAAAAAATTATTTAAATATACATATTTTATGTTTAATAAATCGAGCAGCTGCATACCATCCCTCCTTGTCTTGCAGGTTTTATTGGTTTATCTTGTACTTCACTTACGACAGAATAATTAAAACTGTCATAAGAAGGATCAACTGGGGGTTGATTTTCTATTTCTTTTTGTGTGTCAGGCTGCTTGTTCTGCTGAATAAAGCTTTCAATGCTTGCTTTTATATCTTTTCCAAACAAATCTGTATATTTAACAGTTGTCCTGCCTGTTTCTGACGTATTTTCGCTTGATCTTGGACTAGTTGGGTCTCTCCAATGGGTTAGGTTATTAAAAGTTAGGCGTTAGCCATATTGGTGAAGAAGTCACCAAAGACTTCCCATACGGGGGAGGTTCTACCGCTTTTCAACTCCAGCCCAGAGAGTCTATCCTCTTACGAGTGCCCTTCCAGTACCTTCTGTCTCCTCTTTGCCTTTTCAATGTTGAGTGGGCGGCTTATGGATTTCTGCGGCCCTGCTACTTGCAATTGGAGTAGCTTGATTCCAAGGATTCTTGGAGTCTATCAAGTGCCTTTTTTCAACAGCTACAGGAAAAAGACTACTGTGGCCTGGCTGATACCCTCAGTTTCTCGGTAGATGAATCCCCATGGGTCCTCGTCCAAAGGACGTAGTTGAGCGCCTCCATTTCCAATCACAGGAAAGTAGCCAAAACCTACCGGATACACATCTCTTGAGCTTGCACTTGATTCTCGGATCGGAATCTGTCCCAGTCCGCCGTGGCCATAAGGTCTAGACTTTTTCGCCAAGAGGGCAGGCTGACACATGTTGCCATTTTAATGTATGGGTCCCTCCAATGGGAAATCGGGTCTTTTAAGCTTGATTTTTCATCAGAAAAAGTGTCCGAATTTTGAATAAATAAGTTAATTTTTGCTGTTTCGTGGGCTGGGTTTTGAATTTCATGAGATTTATAAGCATTTTGGTGTTTTAATGATTCTTGGTGTGCTGAAGAATCATATAAATGTGCGGTCGGCATGTAGCTTGAACTGTTGCTTTCTATGATTCCACTTAGATTTGGCTCTTGAGGTGCTGATTTTATGCCTGACATTTTTGTTGACTTTTATTAGATTTTTATAATTGAATGAAGAAGGAAAAAATAAATTTAAACGATAAAAAGCAAGGAATCATTACTTAAATTTAGGAATTTTTTACTTTACTTTATCAAGACTATGAGAGTCCATAAGTGTTGAAGCCTATATATGTCTAGCCTTTTCTATTCAAGAGTTTCACTGCTTTGAGATGCTATCGTTATTTGCAGATTTTTGAACTTTACCACCTAAGTGTGGAATTTTTCCGCGTGTGAAAAGGTGATTTCACGTGTGGAGCCTTTTGATTTCGCATGTGGAATCCTCTTTTCACACGCGGAAAAAATTCCACACTTAGGTGGTAAAGTTCAAAAATCTGCAAATAACGATATAATTATAGAATATATAGTATTTTTAATTGGAAATGTTTGCCCTTTCGAATGATTGGAGCCTTTGGATCAGCTATACACAAGAAAATTAATCTCGATAAAGATCAGCAGTTACTAAATAAAAAATGCATGTGAAGCTTCGCCCTTAGTTGAGAGAAATACCTAAAATTAACTAACCCAAAGATTAAAATTTAAGAAAACCTGAGAAGGGTAATTGAAATTTGGTACATAATTGATCAATCTTAGAAAAATATCCTACTCGATTCGATACATAATGATAAAATTAGAAGCTTGAAAAATAATCAAAATTATTTATTCTTTGATAGCTGTTTTAAAGAGAAATATAAAACGATGTAGATGATGCAAGCCACGAATTTTATTTTTAATAAATAATTATTAGACTATGATAGTAATTCTTCGTTTCTGGTCAAGCACAGATCACGCTCATACCCTCTGGGCCATTCTTTGTGGATGTGTAAGAAAAATATAGCCAAGTAAAGGCTATTTGATGCATTCTAGAAATTTAGACTATCGGTGCCATATTTGTATCAGTTCTTCTCTTTTAGTGTCAATTACTATTACTGCATGCTTTTTCCATTGCTAATTCCAGTAAGTAAATATTTTACCTTTTTTTTCTTTCCAAGATTTTACCATTCCAATGAGGCCTCATAGTTGCTGATATTTCTTTAATTCCCCTCCTCCGTGAGCGAACAAAAAAATTTTGTTCGCTCACAGAGGGGGGTTTATTTTTTTTTTTTAAATTTATATAGTTAGTGACACTGACTATATATAAATTTTAAAGAAAAAAAAATTGTCGAAATTTTAAAAACACCTAAATCGCAAAAATTGGAAATTAAATATTAATTTAAATTGTAAAATTTAGTTTTTAAACGCAATTTGTTTAAAATTAAACAAAATTAGCTCGAGATTTCATTATAATAATCATCGAGTTTATATAATTTTTTTTTTCGCTCACAAAGGGTGGGTTCTTGGGCAAAAAATAGGGATTTTTCGCTGAAACGCCACTGATGTCAAGCAATTAAGGATATTTGATTGCATGTGGCATTTTGACCAAACTAATTCAAGTAGAAGCTATTGATAAAAATCATATTTAAGAAAAGCAATTATGCGCTTAAATTAGGGTTCATAAGGGCATCTTTAAATTATTCACAAAAGCTCTACAAAATCCAATAAAACGTATGCTCAATTGGATAATTTAAGGAGCCTTCAAGATGGAATTCTCAATAGTAAGTTCTATAAAATCATTGGCAAGCGCATCAATCTCTATGTTTATCATATCGATGGGCCATTTACATACTTTAGATTTAAATAAAGTTGTCGTTAAATATAAGTTATGGACATCAAGCGTTGCTCTGAGCCTAAATGCAAGAATAGAGCCAAATGCGTATGCAATTGCCCTTTTTCGGAAACTTATTTGTGCAAAAAGCACATTAAGGAGCACTATACTTTACATAATGGCAAGCATAATTCCGAGATGATACTTTGAAATGTGCTGATTGAAGAGACTAAACAAGAAATTCTAGAGTTCCTCGAGCAAGAAAAATCTAAAAATTTCAAATTAAGAAAAAAAATAAGAAGAGCTTCCAATGAAACCATTCGGATCTTAAAAAATATTAGTGAAGAGTTAATAAAAGAGATGATGTCAGATTTTTCTTAATTAAGTATTAAGCGTGTCATCTGTTTCTGCACCCACCTTTTTAACTCTGAATTCATGACTCACTGATATCTACTTTGTTGCCTTTAAATCTGATATCATGCGACTTTCGTCAAAACGCTAATCTCTTTCGGATAAAAAACCATGAGATGCGTTAATCGCTCTTCCTATTGCGTGTAATATCTCCTTTTCTGGGAGTGTAAACCTAAAACCCTCCTTAATTTATTCTGTATATTACATAGCGGATAAAGTGTCACTAGCAAAACTGAAACCTATAATTTAATAAAATCATGATAGGATGAAAAATTTTCGTAAAGAAGTTGCTCCAACTGATTAATTTTATGTTATGTTAGATTGGACATTAATGAATGATTACTATCTAAAGATTTCCCAAGCAGAAAAATTATCGAAATCAGAGGATGACCTAACTTTGAACTTATTAGCTCTTCGCACTGATAAAGCTATTAAAATAATCAAAGACCAATTTTCACCAAGCTCTGTAAACTCAAGAAATGCTGAAGTTTTTTGTATACTAAGTGAAGAAATTGAGCAAATAGCAGAATTGCTTAAGAAAGAAAAATCGGAAGCTAAGCTAGATGAGAAACTTTGTAAATTAGAAAAACTCCTCAAAGATCATGATATAAATCAGAAAAATGCAGATAAACAATTGGCAAATGAGGAAGATTATTCTAGCAATGCAGCTGAGATTTATTTAAAATGCCTTCTTTATCATAAATCTAATGATTCAATTAGCACTATCCCAAATAAGGATATAACTTACGATTGCATTGGAAGCTTATTTTATAATGAAAATAGATACGAAGAAGCAGTGCAACATTTCAATGATGCAATTGAAGCTAATCCACATTATGCAATTTACTATTCAAATAAAGGAGATGCCTTAAATAAATTAGGTAGGAAAGAAGAAGCTTGAAAATGTTATAATGAAGCAATTGAGAAAGGAAAAAATCAAGATGAAATCTATAATAATGTTGGAAACTTCCTATATAATGATTGCAGATACAAAGAAGCAATAGAATATTATAATAATGCAATTTGAATGAATCCAAATAAAGCGCTTTATCATCAAAATAAAGGAGACACTTTATATAGACAATACAAAATAGATGAAGCTATAGAATGCTATGAACAAGCAATTTGAATAAATAAAAACCAAGATGCATTATACTGTAAAATTGGAGATATCTTATTTCAACAAGCAAAAACCATAGACTGGCAGATATTCTTTTTTATTCCCGATATATCTGTTATTCAAGGAGGACGGTCAAGTGATGATAAAAAAATAGAATAAGCAATCACATACTACAATGAAGCAATTAGTATCAATCCAAATAAAGCAATTTATTACCTAAACAAAGGCTGAGCTCTATTCAATTTAGAGAAAATAGATGAAGCTTTTGAGTGCTTAAAGGAAAATATTAGAATAAATTCTAATGTAGCTGAATCATATTTAGTAATAGCAATTATATTGTGGAAAGGGAAAAAATATGAAGAGCAATAAACTATTGCAACATTGGAATTAAAACTAGTACAGACTGTCATATTTATTGTTTTATTAAAGGCAATTTACTTGATGAGTTAGGTAGAGGAGATGAAGCTGATAAATTCTATTATGAAGTGAATAAATTATGTCCTCGTTTTTTTGAAGATATAGGAAGAAATTTTACCGGCAATCGTAAGGCTTATGAATCAGCACTAAAATTTTACAACATTGCAATTAGATGCATCACGGATAACGCACAATTATATTCACGAAAAGGAAAAATTCTTAGATTGTTAGGTAGATGAGATGAAGCCATTGAATGCTATGAAAAAGCTATTTTAATAGACCAAAATAAAGATAAAGCATATAATTGAATAGGAATGATTTTAATTAACGAAAAGAGATATGAAGAAGCAATAAATTATTTTGATAATGCAATAAGAATTCAAAAAAAGGCACTTTATTATATAAATAAAGGAAATGCTTTAAAGGAGCTGAGTAGAAGTCATGAAGCTATTGGGTGCTATGATGAAGCAATTAGAATAGATCCAGAAGAAGCTTCAGCATTCAACGGAATAGGAATTATTTTAGATAATGAAAAGAGATACGAAGAAGCAAATTTATATTACAATAGAGCTTTAGAATGTAAACCAAAAAATTCTAAAAAGAGTTCTGAAAAATACATGCATTAATAAAAGATAACGAATGCTTTCAATGGAATTAGAGAAGTTTCGAATTATAAGTATTATAAAATATAATCATGATTAATATAAACTATGGTAATTAAAATACCAATACTGCATGAATGGCCTATATGTTGCATATTAACAATAAAATTTAATTCTTAATGCAAGGTTCTTTGCTTTTAAAAATTTTTATTTTCAACCCTGAATCTGCAACCTACTATCCAATAGCTAAATTATTAGTAGAAAATGAGAAATCTTTCTTTTCAGCATTATAATAATTTCTGTCACTCACTATTAATTAAGATTCCCTCATCCATTTAAAAATATGCAATCTGTCCAGGAGGATTATTAGAGAAACATTTTTACAAAAGAAAAGCACGAATAAGCCAAACTAATTACAGAATATTATGCTTAAATTGCTTATCAAATGGGTTAATTCAAGAAGCAAATATAAAAGGAGATGCATGCAATATTTTTCTTTATTCTAGTATTCATGCATAGGTGGATAATGAGATCCTGAATACTTATGGGTAATTTAAGATTACTCATTTATAAGGAGGGAGCTTTTCCGGCTGTCTAAGGGATAAATTAAATTTCTTTCCAAATATTTGCAGAAATGGGGTTTTTAATATAAAACACAAAATTTAAAGTTAAAAAAAAACTTGCTTTCTCTTAATGAAGGATTAAGTAATTAAAATAATTAATTATTCTGTATTGAATTTTCTGTCATTTCTATCTCTTCCTGATGCAATTTTAGTATCGAGTAATCATATTCCTGCTCTTTGTTGTAATCTGCTAATGACCTATTTTCAGGCGCAAATAGCCATTCCAGTAAAATTATATATAAATTCAGTGCAGCCACATATACAAGCATAAGCTCCCCATTTCTCGGTATCGATTGAAAAGCTCCCATTCCAATCCCAATAAACGCCAATACCATCATACACAAATTCATCCTTATAATAAACTTTTTCCTAGTCGTAAATTTCCTCATAACCGGTATAGCTCTTATACACAAATACATTATCCATAGCCCTATAAAGCCTAAAAGTACAATTACAGCAATAAATACATTCCTATAGCTTGTTTTCAGGTCATTTTCCCAGTCATAAGCTGGGTCATATTTTAGCTGTAAATGTACATAGCAGTAAACCACAAATAAAAGAATAAAAAAAGCTCCAACCACGATACCTTCTGCTATAAAATAAAGCCATCTGTGCTTGAACTGTTTATAGCTCTGAAATTCTACCATCCAAAAATAAAGGAAAAACCCAACAAATTGTGTGGTACAAAATGCGGAGGTTCAGCTTCAGTAATGGCTAGGGAAAAATATAGAAAATGCGAGAAAAGGCTCGTCAAAGATTATTAAAGAAATTCCGAGGACTCCGACCATTTTTGTGTCAAAGCTTCAAAGGTAGGATGGGACTTGGATAGTTTGTTTGATAAAATAAATCAGAGAGGATAAAGCGAAAAATAAAAATAAATATTTTGTGATGAGTTTGGAATTGGTTTTATTTTAATTTTCTGAATTTTTTTATTTTAAATAAAATTTTTTTAATATTTTCTAAAATTTTCCATTGGAATTTTGTAAATTTAGCTGAAATATATCCTAAATCAAACTTAATGTCATCTGCATTTATCGTCGAATACACTTCTACTGACAAATCATAAACTGTGTAGTCCAGATAAGGCTCATAAAATATCAGTAAGCTGCTGCAGTCTCCTTTAGAGCAGTCAATTTTTTTAGCAGTCCTTTTATCTATAACCGGATAATCTGTATTGTCACTTTCTGTTCTCCCTTTCAGAATAACTCTTAAATCGAGCTCAAATTCAACATTTTTCTTGGTTTCAGGGGTTGCAGTCAGGAAAAGGACTTGATTAAATTTAGTAGCGCCAGTAATAATTCCGCTTCAAGTTTGGACAGCCCCAGTCTCTGTAAAACAGTCTGAGCTTTCATTGCCTAATTCGCATTCTTCGATTATTACACTGGAATAATGAATCATTTCTGGAGTCATTGTAGATGCTATTATACAGCCTAGAAATGCAAATAAAAAGAAAGAGATTTGCAGGATAAGTTTGTACTTGGATAGATACTCAAGCCTGAGCTTTATGAAATCTTCAGCTTCCATTTAAATTATAGCAATATTTCATTATTGGAGCGCAGAAAAACTGGTATTTGTATTAGATTTTTCTGAGGAAAATTAGATTTATTTTATTTAAAACAAATAGAATGTTTTATGAAAGCGGATTTAATATCTATATGATATATTAAAAGATTTATACTAATATGGAGTCTCAGAGTAAATCCAACACATCGGCCCAGCCACAACCTCAAAGAAATCCTAAAAAGCCAAGCTTATTCGCAATGAAAATGGGTCTTCAGCCTCAACCCCTCCCCACAACAGAAATTCTTGCATCTTCCATCAAAGAAAAAGACCCAAACGAGCTAAAATATCTTGAGTCCCTCCACACCGATTTCCCTCAAAACGGGTTTCCTGAAGCTTTTCAGCTTGAAGAGAACTTTGAAGCTCCAATTCCCAAAGTTTCAATAAAAAATAGTGAGCTTGAGTCAATCTCTCAAAATAATTTTCAAAAGGTCAAAGAAATGTCTTCCTCTGAGCTAAAAGAAGCCATGGACGAAATCAATAGTTTAGTTGACCCTAAAATGATAGAAGTCCTTCGAAAACGTGGCCATAAAAAGCTAAATCATCATGAAGTTCCAAGCCAGCATATAGAAAACCATGTAGATCTCAATGAAAATCAGCTGAAAAAATTAATGAAAGAATCCCCAAAACCGACGTGTTTACATGATAATTTGCCACCAGAAAATGAAATTGAAAAATGAAGGTTCGATTTTGAAGGAAATTCAATCCAACATTATGAAAATAAAAATTGGACTAATCCTGAGCTGCAAGGATTTGGTTTAAGAGATTTGGTGAATATGTCAAGAAGCTCAATTCCTTCACAGAGATCTATTGCATTGGACTGTATTATTAAAATTATTGATAAATCTGATGAGGTCAAATTTGGGGAAGGGGTTGATTTTTTGATAGAGGAATGCGAATTTGATAGGGTTTTGGTATGGGTTTTGGATGACAGTATAGAAATTGTTAAAGAATAGGGGAATATCAATGAAAATAACTTTATTTTTGAAGGAAAATTGGTAATTTATATAATTAAGTATAATATAAATGTCAGAATCAGCGGGCTCCAAGCAGTGAAATATATTACTTGCAAATTTTTGGAAAGAAATTTAGAAATCATTGATAAGTGGGGCTTTGCGTTTCCTAGCGGAATTGATAGTAAAAGAAATGCTTTACTGCCTGAAGAAATCAGAAAAAAATCAGCTATTTGGGAAGAAGAGGAATATAGAAGTATTTTTGATTTACCATTCGAAAGCAACACAAAAGATTTAATAGGAAGAATGATTTGTATTGGACTGCTTGACAAACTTTCTGAATTTTTAGAAAATTCTAATATGGGCTATATATGGGAAGACTGTTTAAACATACTTTTAGCTTGCTCTTTGCATTCTTCTGCAGCTGCTTATGCCATAATTCGCAACAAAAATCTAGTATCTCAGCTTCCTCCAAAAATTTCAAAATTTCCAATTATTTTGACAATTTTCACATTTTTAAGCAAAGCTGCTCTTTCTATTGCTTATAATATTAAAAGGCTTTACAATTGGGACGAAATTCTTTTATCAAATCTACTATTAGACCAAAATATTGACCCTAATAAAGAAATTATTAAAAAATCCCTTTTGCTTATTCATTCTTTTTATTGCCATAATCAAAGACTTATGAATTCTGAAGCAATGAGGTTATCGTTATTAGAAATTATCAAAAAAAGCAATGATTTTGAGATTTTAGATTATGCATTTATGACAATTTCAAGAATAATTGATACTTTAAAAGACTCATCTGAATATCTTGCACATTTTGAGGTATTTTTATATAAATATTTGGAAAATTGGAGAGACACTGGGAGAGCTTTTGCGGGTGGAATTAAATTTTTAAATAGTTTGATAAATTTTGGTAAAAATATTCCTATTGAAGGCCAGACTTATTCAATGAAAATAGAAAAATTAATGAATGATTATATTATTCCGATAATAAATAGCTTTGAAATGCATACTGAAATATTTCAAATTTCTAGCATTTTAATCAATGATAGCAGCTTTTTGCATGGATTGGAGAATTATTTTCATGCAAATTGTTGGGAAAAATCTTTGGTTCAGTTTTATAAAATAGCGAATAGCCTATTGGAATTTTATATCAATTTTATATCAATTTCAAGTGCTATAGCCTGAGCATAACTTTGGCTCAGGTTTCCCAATCATTCCTGACCGAAAAGATAGGAGTTGACAAAGCTAACTAATTTGACTAGTCAACCCCAAATGGACAGAACTACTTACCGGCTCTGCCATTTAGGGAGTTAGTCAAGCCAAATGTTAGTTGGTCAAACTAGCATTAGTTTGTTGATAACCCCTTCAGGAATGATCGGGAAGCCTAGCCGAAGCCATGCTCAATCTATAAAATTTATCCAAATATTGAATGGCTTAATTCTGCTTTAGACAATGCAGTAAGTCTTTTACATAATTTTGAAAATTTTATCGAAAATAATGCAATTCCGAAAATTATTTCTTACAGGGTAAAACCACTAGTATATTTCATTATTAATTGCTTAAAAGTTAAAAAAATATTCAAGCAGCTCTCAGAAGCAAGGTGTAAGTCTGCATTTATTTCATCAATTATATTTCTAGGCAGCTACGATGAATCTATACTTGAGTTTCTTATCAATAATTTCATCAATTTTGAAAATTTGAATTTTTATAATGGATTTTTATCAACCCAAAAGCATATAGAGCTTTCTGATGCTTATTTTTCAAACTCAACTAGAATTTCTACCTGGTACTTGTGTAATAACGAAACTGAATTTTTACCTTTGCCTTTGCATTGGCAATATATTCCACTGCATTCAGAAGCCAATCTCGAAAATTATTTCCAGTTTATATTGGAATATATAGAATTTTTTGATCCGAAAGAAATATCAAAAATTATCGAATCAATAAATAAATGCATTATGAGAAAAGATGTAGAATTTCTTGGCTGAAAAGAAAAAATTGGTCCTATTTTGAAGTTTTGGGGTAGCCGTAAAAACTTTGCAATATCTGCTAATAAAATTAGAACAAATGTAATGGAGCTAGTTAAAGATTATGTAGGATGCTCATATTTAGATGAGGTTTATTCAATGTGGCTGGTATGCTTTTTGCAAGATGGAATTGAAGAGAGCTTCTATAAAGATATTATTGAAGAAATTGGCTTATTATGGCCGAGATTTATGGTTCAGTATTTTTACCTAAATTTTTTTTCGATATTTAAAATTTTTTAATTTAAAATTTCTACGAGGATTTATAGGCAGCTTAAATGTCGAAGAATTAAAGAGTTTTCCATACTACACAAAATTTTTTAAATCACTTAGGTCGAATAATTAAAGATTTTGAATTTTAATTTAATTTTTCACTAAAGCCTCCTAACTCTTTTACATAAATATTTTTTTAATTAATTTATTCCCTTTACCCTAATCCAATTAATATTTTTTTTAAATCTAAGTGTAAGCGGCGTTTTACTTCGCAGGTTTCCTTTTGCTTGGCTTTTTGACCGAATAATATCCAAAGCACCGTCCACTTCTTTCAACAAATCAGGAAAATCGAAGTCTCTTTTCGGGGTATTATAACTGGTCCTCTCAATTTTAACCAATTTTGTTCTAATTTCTTTAATTCGTTCTATAGGGGTTAGAGATCTTTCTGTTTTTCGAACAAACATACTTCTCTGCTTGCTATAGGTGCAAGACCGAAGAGGAGTCCCAAAAGCCTTTGAAATATACTCGCTTGAGGGTAAAAATTTACTGTCAGTTGAAATAAAAGAACGGTATGGAGATTTAGAAAAACTTTCATAAAGTATGCCATTCATTATTATTTTGATTATTAGAAATGCTACTAATATATTGTTTCTACAACGTATAAGTTCTGCAAATGTAAAATAAATGTATTAAAAAGTAAAATTTTGGTAAATACAGAGAAAGGTTAAGTAATTGCAAATGAAACTGAGGTGTGCAGTTTTAAATAAAAATTATTGCATAAGAAAAAGAAGGAATAATTTTAGACAAAAATTAATGAGTTATTTTGATATTGGCTTTCTGATAGTTAATTTTGCTTTCTATATACATAAAAAGGCGATGACATCCGACCTGTACTCTCGTGTGACGATAATCCATGTATGTCTGGGCATGCTTTTGGAGTTGGAGTTGATCCAGCAATATCTACTTAAACACGAATCTGCATGTTTGTTACCTGATCCAATGGAAAGTTACTGGTGAGTTCTTTTTTCAAGTAGAATCTGAGCAAGCTGGCACCTGAATTGAAGCAGAGTCAATTACCTGCTCAAGTTGCTATGGTGGTCTGCTCCAAATCGCGGAAGCAGTTGAGTTTTCTTCAGGAATGACCTGGGAAAAGGAAGGCAGGCTAGACAGCAAGGCAGTCTCTCCGGTTAAAGGCTCCGAGCATGAACGATACTGGCCAAAAGTGATCAGCGGGACGGAGTAATTGACGGTCTAAGGGAACAAGTTGGAAATGGCGGTGCCCAGAAAAGGTTTCAACCCAACAGGGCAATCCACTACCGATAAGCAAGGGGTTTCAGCTTGGGCTTAGAGGCAGAAGCCACCCAATTCGGCTGTGCCACCAGACGGCCAACATCGCACAGAATACCACCAGTGTGAAGCAGGGACTTTAAATACGATCCTTACTTAACTTAATTTAATTTCGCTTTCTAAGAACAGTGATGAAAGAATTAAATATAATTTTCATAAAAATGGACTCACTTGTAAACAGATGAAAATCAACAGTTGAAGCTCAAATGGAGCGTCAAATTAAACGCTCAAAATCAAAAAATCATACCCTATCACCATCACGCAAGTCCTTAACAAATCTAGAGACATCTCAAACAGATTCTTTTACTGAATCCAAGCCTGCCCCTCAAAACTATGTAAAATCCAAAGCGCAAAAAATCATTGATATTTTATCAGTAAAAGGCCAAGATCCTCCATCAAGTAATATTTATCTTAGTTTCAAAATTCAATAAAGTCTGCAGCGCAATCGAAGAAATAATCAAAAATGAAGAACTAAAAATCTCTGAAGAAAACAACTCTGAAGCTACAAAATTCCGTGAAATGAGAGAAAGCACACGAATACAGTCAGAATCTATCAATAAAACTGTTTCTGATTTAGAAGCAAGGCTTTTTGAATCAGAAAGAGAAAAGATATTGTTAAGAAAAGAAAAAGAAGAGCTTAAATCAAAAATTGAGGGCTTAAATAAACAGCTGGCTTCATCATCAGTTACACAAGAAATGATAGGAGTGCTAAAAGAATCGTTCAAAGCCCTTGAGAATTCGAATAAAACATTGATTTCTAATATAGAAACAATTAAAAATAATCAAAGAGAAAAGGAAAGAGCGTGGGAATTAGAAATCGAGCAGCTTCATGAAATAATAGAAAATATTCAGAAAGAAGAATAATACTGTTTTAGAATTACACTAATTTATAATATAATTATTGAGTGGCGCATACTTGATTTCCGCATTGTTCAGCATGAAAATCGGCAATGATGGTTCGAATTTTTTCTAAATCTGCATTTATGCATTGAAAATCTTCTTCTATTTGTTCTACAGTCAGTTTTTTATTTTTTCAGGTTTCTTCGAAGCCGAAAATAAGCTTTAGGCTAATGTCTTTGCCACTTATTCAGGTTTGTAGTAAAATCAATAATTGATTGGTATTCTGTATTAAAATGAGACAGGAGAATATTTTTTTTCTAAAAGCTTACCTCTTAATTTAGCTTAAAATGCATATTTTTCCTTATATTTTGGATTTCTTTAGAAAAATCAATAAGTGTTTTTCCTCGTCCTGTCCTTAAGAATTCTAACTCTTCTTTGAGTTCTTTATTTTCCAATAATAAATTCCCTTGCATTGCTTCAAGTTCTTTAAATTGACTTTCTAAATATGCATGCTCCTCTTTTCTGATGTTTTTTTGTGGGGATTCCTGGATTTTTTCTCGAAGTTTACTGTTTTCTTTTTGAAAATTCTTTATGATTCCATATAGTTCAGATCTAGTGCTTCCTCCTTCTTGTACTATTGCTTCTTTTTCTGCGCCTTTTCTGATTTCAGCTTCTAATTCTCTGATTTTTTTGTCTTTTTCTTTGATGATCCTTTTTGTCTGTTCTTCATGAGCATTTAGTTGGTTTTCTAATTTCCTTACATCTTCTCTCCTTTTAATCACTTCTTGCTCCAATTTGTCAGACAAGCTTGTCCCAGTTGGAAATTCAAATGAATTATCCCTACAATCAGTTTTTAACTGTTTATTTTCTTTTTTCAGAAGTCTTATTTTTAGCTTCAGCAGCTCGTGTTTATGCTCTGTTTGTGACAGGGAATCTCTAAGCTCTTTTATTATACATTCTTTAGCTTTAAGTTCAAATTTTAAGTCATTGACTGTTTTTGAAAGCATTGTGCTATCCTTATAAGAACGGGGAGAATCATAAGTTTCAGAACCTTTCGCAGGAAGAGTGGAATTGCCCATACTTAAAGAACTTGAAGAATGATGACCAAGATGGTGAATTCGAGAGACGCTTGGAGAAAGGAATAGGGAAGAAGGAGATGAAGGGGCTTGAGAGGTAGATGTAGTACTCAAAGGCGCTATGGTCAAGCATAGGTAGCAACCAGACATCCCCACCCCCTCAATAAGGGAAACCCCACCCCCCTAAAAATGGTACCTCCACCCCCTTTTACAGATGGCACCCCCACCCCCTCTCGGGTTTATCCTATAGAAGTAATTGATAGGAAATAAGCAGAATAAATTAAATATAACCCAATTAAAACACTATATTGTTAAATTAAATCCACAAATTACTTTATATTTATGATTAATTAATAAATTTAAATTAATTAGCAATTAATTAGAAAATATATTTTTATATTTATAAATATAATGCCAAAGATATAATTCTTTAATCCAGCACAAAATGGCGCGAAAGTGCCAAAGACGGAGGGAATTATCGTGATGCTTGATTTCATGCAGAGATGCTTGGGTACATAGAGAATTCACAAATGTTGGTTCTGTATGTTGATGGCTGGCTTCGGAGGTTCGAGCTGGTGCTACATTAGCAAATGGAGTTTTGTGGATTTTGCATGGAGCATCTGAAGATGAAGATGAGGTTTGATGGAGTTTGTAATACTTGTTATTGATGCTGAATTTTTTTTATTTTGTTGTGTTGCTGTTGATGTTGTGGTTTTTTGACGATGCTACTGTTGTAGTTGAAGATGGTGATGGCGAAGAAGTTAATGATGGTGAAGAATTTTTGAATAAAAAGAGAGAAATGCTTCATTAGGAAGCGGTAAAAGTTAAGTTATAAGTTATAAGTTATAATGCCAAAGATATAGATAATGGCATTAATTATTAAACTAGCCAAGCACAATACAATAACTTGCATTAAATTTATTGATTCATAAATTAAAGCTAATCTGATGACAATTGTACAAGGATTGCAGGACTGAATTGGTAACAGGATTCAATAGTGCTAATAAAAATAGTATTTGCTATTGTCAGTTTTACTTTTTGATCTCTAATTCGACTTTTAGCCATTGTTCCACAAAGTTCATATAGAATTTTCCCATAGATGGCGCTGTTTGCCCTTGATTTGCCCACTGGGGAAATTTTTTAGCTCGACCAGTACCATATGGTTTGGTCAAACCAAAAAATTTTCTTCATGGGCAAATCAAGGGCAAACAGCGCCATCTATGGGAAATTTCTATAAATATATGCAAGATATATTGCTAATTAATACCAAAGATCATTATTATGCTTGCTAACAAATTTTTTCATATGTAGTGTGCTTAGTAGTTATAGGAAATTCTCACCCAGTTCCACCTACTCCTTCATCGATTGAGCTATAAATCTAAATTGGCATTTGTCATATATTTATGCTATATTAAGGGGGGGGTGGGGGCGCCATCTATGAAAGGGGGAGGGGGTGCCATTTTTTTAGGGGGGGGGGGGGGGTACCATTTTTTAGGGGGGGGGGGGTACCATTTTTTAGGGGGGGGGTGGGGTACCACTTTTAGGGGGGTGGGGGGATGGGGTACCACCTTTAGGGGGGTGGGGGTGTAGGGTTACGACCTATGCTTGACCAGGCGTTATGTTGGAAAATTTTCGCTGTTCTGTAGGCTTGAATAATCTTGACATTTTTCGATTATTTTAATAGAGAAATAATTTGTCAGGATTAATATGGAGCAAAGAGTATTTTGCTTATATAGTACTTTAAAAATATGATGTATAAAAGCAGCGTAATAATTTATTTCTGACTTAGATTAATTATTTATGATTTATTAAACTTGATATTTATTTTGCTCAAGACTTAAAGGCTTTATGTGAAGTACCATTTTAATTATGTAGTCTATTTTAAAAAAATAGATATAAAAAATTATTAGAGATTTTATTTCCAAAAATTTTTGAAGATTTACAATAATAAACAGAGTAATTTATAATAATATCACACTATACAAGTCTGTACGATTTGCTAGAGAGTCTTGCAAGTAAAAGCGGAGAAAAACGCAGCCATGCACATATTTTTGAATCAATACAATAAGATCTGCATTTCTGACAAAATTCCAGCTTTACCCCTGAAACTTCTCATTTATTCCTTATAATCCCAATATTTATAATTCTTTCAATAGCCTGTGAAGTCTCATTATGAGAAATTGTGATTTTCTTAACATTTGAAAAATAAGCCCCACTAAGCAATTCTCTTGCTCCATTATCTTCTAGTTTATTAAAGCTAACATCAAGCTCCTCTAATGATTTATTATTCAATAAAACATTTTTCATAATTTTCCCTCCCTCAATTCCAAATTTATTAGATTTTGCATAAAATTCTGCTAAATTCAATTTCCCCAAAACTTTTGCTAGATACCCAATTCCTTCAGCCCCAATATTATTTTGGCTTACATTTAATATTTTTATGTTTTTCAAACATACTAAAGACATGGCTAAATATTTCGATCCTTCCCCTCCTAATTCATTAGCTCTCAAATTGAGCTTTGTCAGATTTTCTAACTGACTTAATGGTGCTGCCAGGGATTTCATTCCAGTTGCTTCTATTTTTGTTTGAATTAAGCCAAATTCTTTGAGCTCTTTAAGCTCCTGTATCCCTTGGCCTAATACTTTTACTGCACTGATCTCTAATTTAATTTCAGATATTTCAAGAGACTTTAAATGAGATAAAGCTTGTATTTTTGGGAAAAAATTAATCGCGGCGTCTAGTTCAATTTTCCCTCCTCTTAATTCAAGATCTTGAAGAAATTGCATGACTGGTAAGGCATTAGCAAGATGAGTCATGTCTTGAGCTGAAATTAAAGATTCATTTACTTCAAGCTTATTTAAGTCTAAATATCGGAGTTTTATAGGAAATTTAGTTAATTAGATCATATTTTTGGAAAAAAATTTCTAGTTCCTAATAAATATTATTGACTGTTTATTATTGAAATTATTGCAAATCTGCTTCAATTAATATATAAGTTTTCTGAAAACTTCCCGGATTTTACCTTTGATTGTGGATTTATACTGGTCAAAATAATTTGTAAGATAAATCATCTGATAAGGAGTCGGGAAAAATCCTGCTGCTGCAGTAAGTGTTATACAGGAATTTGATGCAGGAAGGTCTTGAAAGTTCTTTTCGGTAAGGAGAGTATGTTGGGATTTTGAATTTTTAAACCAAAGAAGAAGCTTGCCTTGTATAGAAGTAGTGTGTGGCTTAAGATTTGAAAGTAAAAGTTTATAAGAAGAAACATCGGAAAGGACTATTTTCTCTTTGCCAAGCTCAATATCAAAGGAATGATGCACCATTTTGTATATGAAACGATTTATGAATGATATCAGAATTATAAATGCTGAATTGGGAACTAACATTTTGAATAAAAAACAAGTTTATTTAAAAAATTATGCAAGATATTTATTTTAGAAAGAAATTTATTAAATAAAAATACTTATAGCTTAATAGAATAATATTATATCAAAAAAGGCATAATTTTGTTTAAATATAGTAAATATTAAAGAAATTTTAAGCTTGAAAATATTATCTAGCACCATTATCCAAATAATTTAAAAGAACTTCCAGTTTCCTTTGTGAATGCTGAAGAATTAATTGCTATAACAGGGACTATTTTTCTTCGTGGTGCTTTTTTCCTTAAGTCATCAGTCACATGTTTTTCTTGCTTTTTCTGCTTCAGTTTTTTCTTTGCTTTTGTTTTCTTTGTTTTGCTATCTACTTTTTCTTTATTTTCCTTAACAGGAGCTTCTACAAGGTTATCATTTGGCCTTTTTGGGTCAAATCTTTTAATCTGTGTCGGTGCAGCATTTCCTTTTTCAATAAACCTATTAGAAGATGGTACCACTTCTCCTAATAGCTTTAACATTTTCTTTTTTTCGTCATTATGCTCAGTTTTCTCTTCATTTTTTATGTATTTTTCTTGTAATTCTTTTGGTAATTTTTTAAGGTCAATATCCCCAACAAATCTGTCATCAAATTTAAACCTTGGGTCACCACCAGCAAGTTTTTGCAACTCTAAAAAATAATGCCCGTTTTGGTCTTCAAATACAGGATTTGTGCGAAAATTTGTATGGATTCCTTCGCCTAAATCAAGATCTAATTGTAATTTAGACATTTTTATTAAGAAAACCTGGGCTCTGAAATATGGAATATAATAAATTTAAGTATAAAAATGCATTGAAAGTCATGTTTTGTATTTAAAAAACATTTTAAATTAAATTATTGTTGATCTGCTATGTGCTTTAGCATAACAACTTTAAATTCTTCTAAATCTAAAACGCCATCATTATTAAGGTCTGCTTGTTTAAAAATTTGTTGCCAAATGCCATCAGAAACTTCTTTGCTGGATTCTCCAAGAAACTCTTTTATCTCATCGACTGAAATTTTCCCATTTTTATCTTTGTCGTATGCTCTAAATGCAGTTTCTAGCCTTTCCTGTGATAATGCTTTTTTTCAGTTTAATGCTGCAGTTAGAAATTCATTATAGTCAATATATCCGTTTTCATTAGAATCACAATGCTCTAAAATTTCATCAACATTAAATATTGATAATAACCCTCTCACCATAAATCCGTGCTTTAATTCATTTATGATGATATTTTTTTCTAATAAACAAAAATGATTTTATCTATTTTAACCTTGCTATTATAAGCTTTATTGTAAAACAGCTTAAATAAGGTATTTTTAAATGTAAATTAAATAAGTAGCATTTATAGATAGCTTTCCATCACCATTTTTGTCAAGCGCTACAAAGATTTTCCTCAGATCATCTAATTCTTTTGTAGTCATTAAATGTGAGGCTATAAAAGCTAGTGTTGCTTGCTGCAGTTTTCTATTTGCCTATATAATAAATACATGGAAAGAGCTGATATTTTCTAAAGTGTCATTTTGTATAATATTATCATCAATAATATTTTTCGTTCTATCACGTATTCATGGATCATTTATAACGATTACCCCCCCCTCAATCTTCATGTCTACTGCAACAAAAATTTTTCGAAAAAATCTTCATGCCTACTGCAACACAACATTTTTTATAAAAAAAATTAATGCATTTTTTTCTAGGTGAGTTTCTCAAAAAAGCCATAAAACAGCGCTGCTTTAGGTGTTTCAATGACCTTCTCATCGAGATTTGGACGGCTATTGTCATCGCTCGCCATTTTATTAAACTTATCTAGCTAAAAAGTACAGAAAAATTTAAGATGCGCATCGAAAATTTGTTGCATTGGATTAGATTAAGATTATTACAGACAGGCGCTAGCCATATTGATGACGCAGTCATCAAAGACCTCCCGTACTGAAGGTTCTACTGCTTTTCGACTCCAGCCCAGAGGATCTATCCCTCTTACGAGTGCCCTTCGGGTACCTTCTGTCTCCTCCTTGCCTTGGGAGTTCAGTCTCGAGTGGGCGGCTTATGGATTTCTGCGGCCATTCTACAGGTGATAGGAGTAACTTGATTCCAGGATCCTTGGAGTCTATTGAGTGTCAAAGTGCCTTTCTTCTACAGCTACAGGAAAAAGACTGTTCCCTTGTGGCCTGGGCTGAAACCCTTAGTTTCTCGTTAGAGGAATGTCCATGGGTCCTCTGATCCATGGACGTTGCTGAGCACCTCCATTTCCAACTACAGGAAAGCAGCCAAAACCTACCCGGATACACACTTCTTGAGCCTCTGTCTGATTCTCGGCTCGGAGTCCGTCCCAGTTCGCTGTAGCCATAAGGTCTGGACTGCTGCGCCAAGAGGGCAGGTTGACACGTGTCGCCATTTTAATGTATATAATTTGTTGCAATAGACATGAAAATTATTATTTTTTTTATATAAAATTTTATATTAAAAAATTGCATTTTTGTTGCAATAGACATGAAGATTGAAGGGGGGGGGGGTCATCGTTAAGTTCTTTAGCAGTTGGCCTCTTTATAGGATTACTTGTAAGCATTCTTTTAATGATGCTTTTCGCTTCTTTTGAAATATGTGCTCATTCTGCACCAGAAAAAGTAAAAACCCCTCGCTTTATTTTTGTAAAAATTGCAGCTTCACTTGTCCCATTAAAAGGCGGATATCCGCTGAGCATGATATATAAAATTATCCCACAGCTTCAGATGTCGCATTTTGTATCATAATTTCCTTCTATAACTTCTGGGGCTACATAATAGGAGCTGCCGACAAATTGTTTTACGTTTTCTTCGGGCTGTATTTTTGTCGCGATTCCGAAATCAATAATTTTTAATATATTGTGTATTACTATTAATAAAATTTCACTCAAAAAGGCTAATTTTTTATATTAAACAGAAATTATAGCAAATATTATATGTTTTTAAGAATTGTAAGCTAAAATGTATAGAAGTATCAGTTTTATCTTGAAATAAAATATTTTCTGGCTTAATGTCTCTATGAACAATTCCTTCTCCATGGCAAGCAATAAGTCCTGATAAAATTTGATACATTCAATTCGCTGCCGCATTTTCTGAAAAATTTCGATTTTGCACAATTCTTTCAAATAATTCTCCTCCAGTGCAAAGCTCAGTGACTATATTGATGGTTTGGTCATTCTCAATTAATTCAATAATTTTTATAATATTTGGATGATCTAAATTTCGCAGTATTCTCATTTCATCGACTGCAGAGTCTTGTAAATTGTAGTCGTTTCCTCTTTTACGGAAAACTTTTATTGCTCTATGAAGCCCAGTTTCTAAGCAGACTGCTTTATAAACTATTGAAGAGCCTCCATCACCAATAATATCTAAAATTTGATAAAAATCACTTAACTTGGCATCTCGATGATGAACAAATTGTTTACGATGAATTTTTAACGAAATATCAGAAGGTCGAGCTGAATGTAAAGAATCTGAAATAAAAGGTTTTGGAGGAGGTGCTGCTTTATCAAAGCTGGTGTCTTTTGATTGATCTTGCTTAATCTCATCAGGCTCAACTGGCAATCTTTGACAACAGCCCATTATTATTTAAAGAGATTATTAGATTCTGTTAGTCGGCTTCTTTGGCAATTTATTCTGAGTTATTTATTTACTAATAATATCATATGCGCTAATTTATAAATCTTTTGAAAATCTTTATATTATTAACTCCTAATCATAAGAGATATTGTTATGATAAAGTTACCAAAAGTGAGCTAAAGAACTAATTGATTCGTAATAGCAGCTATATTTATATATTTAACAAAAATGCATAGGATTTATACATAAAAAAATAAAAAGAAATTAATGGATTTATTATCCGATTAATATAATTATTCTGCTACAATCTTTATATCTGAGATCTCTTATTTATCTATTATATAGGCTATATGTTCCGATGACTCTTGCTAAATTAATTAAAAGTCAATGATTTCAGGCCAAACTTTTATTCTGCTGGAGTAAAAATATCTATTAAATTTCGAAAATGCCCAATAACCGCTTAGAGTTCAGTATCATTAAAAATACTTATTTAGAATTTCTGTAAGGTTTAAATACAAGGTTTATTAGTAATTCTCAAAAATTAACCAGCGAATATGGATGGTCCAACTTATGTGTATCGACGTTTTAACCAGAAATATGAAGAAATGATTAGTCAAGTTTTAGATCAAGCAAATTCATAATTTTGAAGTCAAGGCCTACTTTTCTTAATTAATTTCTCATGTTGAAAATAATTATTATTATAAAATTATTTTGCTATAAACCCAAATTCTAAAAAAAATCGTTTCAGCTATAACCCATTATTTTTCTTAGTTCTCTTCTATCAAATTAGCCACTATAATTTGGGCTTTCTTGTCCTTCTTTTATCCATATTTATTGTCCATTTTCAAAGATCAGTGAAGTCGCTCAAGCTATAAACCTCAAATATGAAAGACATGATTTTTAAATGTTCCGCAGAAGGCTGTCCTAGAACCTATACAAATAAATTCAACCTTAAACGCCATATGGAAGCTTTTCATAGCGAAGACAAGAAATACCAATGCAAGTATTGCTTCAAGCTTCTTTCCTCTAAACAAAATTTAAGGGAGCACACCTTTACCCACTCGGGTGAAAAACCTTATTGCTGTAAGGAGCCAGGGTGTGGTGTTAGCTTTAGGCAAGGAAGCCAGTTATCAGCTCATAAGAGAATTCATTTAGCAATTAAAACTTTTTCATCTGGGCCACAAGAAAATAGTGCAACCGAAGGATCTTATATAAAATTATCAGATTTTTTAAGAACAAATCCGACGATTTTAGAAGAGAAGATGGCAGTTTTAGATCAAAAGTTTAAGAATATTGATATCAAGCTTCCCCCAATTTCATTATCTCAAGAGTTTGATCGCTTACCAACTTATATAGTGAATTCTATTAGATGGCGCGCAATGCGCCATCACTGGGCCATGTCGGGAGAGGGTTCTCCACGAGGAATGGTTCCACGTGTGGAACCCTCTTTTTGGCTCGTGGAAAAAGAGGGTTCCACACGTGGAACCATTTCTCGTGGAGAACCCTCTCCCGACATGGCCCGGTGATGGCGCATTGCGCGCCATCTATAGGAAGGCGCTATATACTTTATTAAAATTATTGTATAAATTAACGAAATTACTGATAATTATACTTTTATCTGCTAATGGTGATTAATTTTTTTAAATAAAGTATTATGTGTTGGGGGTAATATGAAGAGTATAATTAAAATTTAAGTTGAGTGGATAATAGATACTTTAACTTATAATAATCTCAAGAGTCATTCATAAGTCTGAAAGCTATATTTAGCCAGTAAGGAATAAAGGTAATAATATCACTTTATTTATAGTTAAAAGTTTACAAAATGGCAATTATGTGAGATGATTATTTAAAATGGCAAAAAAAAGAATTAAATTTTATCAAAAATTAAATTGAAAAAGTTTCATAATTGATTTTTATTAATATAGAAAGATTGGAAACATTAGAAAGTTTGATTATTTAGTTTCAAATCTCAAGTCTTAGATATATCTTTAATGTACTCAAAGAACTAAATATAGCCTTCTGCTTTCTTTATAAACAAATAATTATCAATCTAAAATTGATAGATAATTATTTTAACAAACTTAATAAAATCTTCAAATTCATTTTTTACTAAAGCAGTTAATATTCTACTAGAATGTAGAGTTGAAATTTTCGTCTTAAAAAGGCTGGAATAGGATATAAATACCTTATTCCCCCCTCCGTGAGTGAACAAAAAATTTTGTTCACTCACGGAGGTTAACTTTTTTTTTTAAAACAATTTATATATAAATTTTATAAAAAATTTTTTTTCTTCGAAATTTAAAAAATCCTAATTCACAAAAATTGGAAAGCAAATATTAATTTAATTTTATAAAATTTATGTTTTAAAAAGCAATTCGTTTAAAATTAAACAGAATTAGCTCGAGATTTCATTATACTAATTATCATTTATATATCAAATTTTTTTTTCCATAAAAAATTTTTCTATTAAAAAAATTTTTGTTCACTCACGGAGGGTGGGTTTTTTGGTCAAAAAATAGCGATTTTTCTAATGGTTTTGTTCACTCACGGAGGGGGGAGTTAGATATTATACAAATTTATCAATCATTTTATTATATATTAGTAAAAAGCTTGAAAATAGAGACCAATACTAATAAGCTTATAATATAACATTTTAAGTACTTTAATTAAGCAAATAGATTTAATCTAGCATTTCGAATTAGTCAAGTATTATTAAGATATTCACAAAAATTAACGTATTACTTCAATATTTCCTTTTTCGTCATACTTATTAGCTGAAAAAGACTCAATATTTATGAATTTAGTTTCCTTTGGTGATGATACCATAGAAAAAAGAGTCTCTTTTTGCATCGATGTCCTAGACTTAGAAGTAGACTTGATCGGTGTTAATAAAGGACTTCTCTTTTCTCTCTGCATCAGCTCGTTATGAATTTTCTTACGAATTAAAAATTTTTTAGATAAAATTGAGTTGGTCGAGTTACATAGTTGACTTCCTTTAATTTTCAAATTTATAGGGGAATCGCGAAAAATATCATTATTGTCGTAGGCATTTGAGCTGATACCTTTAATAGTTCGAAATGATTTTACGGTCATATTTTGTGTACGTCTTGGCTCAGGAGTTTTTTGGAGTAGTTTGGTTACGGAATTAGCGAAACTTATATGATATACTGTGAAGGTTTTAATAAAAGCTACTATTTTATATTGTTATTAGAGAATAAATACAAAATTATATGGATATGTTTTTAGTATTATATAAATAATTTCGTGATAAATTTCTTTTCAATTTTTGTCAGAAGGTTTGATTTTAGGTAGCTTGGTTTCTTTGAAAATCTGCCTTAATGATTTATTTGTTGGTGAAAAAGTTTGTCCTAAGCTGTTGCGACCTAAATTCATTAATTATGGATTAATGATCTTAAAACTTGTAACTTTTTCGAAGCCGGATGAAATCTGAATTTATCTATACGTTTATTATGATAATCTTTAATTAAATTTAGTCTTAAATTAAAAGGAATTTGATTCTCTAGATATTTAAAAGCTTATCTGCAAAAATTAATCCTATAAATATTATAAAACTCTAATACTTTAGATTAATACGAATAACAGAGACTGTTTATGCTTTATAAATAGTTTTGCATCATATAAAGCTTAAATATAAATAAAATTTAATGATAAAATTGTAAGTCCTGAATCCTATAAATGTCTGGGTCATTTTTATCAGATTTTTTAGTAGGAAGCATAAGTGCTAGTATTGGAAAAACTGCTGTAGCACCATTAGAAAGAGTTAAGCTATTATTACAATTACAGCATGCAAGTACTCAAATGGACCCAGACAAACATTATAAAGGAATTACAGATTGTTTTAAAAGGGTTTACCATGAACAAGGATTTTTATCATTTTGGCGTTATGTACATAAAATGGCCAGAGGCGAGCGACTCGTCCCTCCGTGGCGGGTGTACTTATGTATACCGGACGTGGTTTTTGGGTGTGAAGAGCTGCTCAAGGGAAGGGTTAGTCTCGAGGCGAGAGGCCCAGCACAGTTTCCGCTGATTTTATGGCCTGACCAGGCAGTTTTTCGTATTCTTTTTTTCCAGTATCGCCGAGGCCCAGACTCAGTATCCGAAAGAGGCAGGGTGAATTACTTGCCTAGGCTTCTCCCCGAATCCCTCAAGGGGTTGAGTTCTTTCTCGGAGATAATCCGGAAAAGAGGGGAAGGCGAAGGCGCAAGTCTCTCCAGTCTAAAAGGGGTCACGAAAAGGGGCGATCTGGCCGAGTTACGCAGGATTGGGTAATGCTGGCGCTTGAGTTGGAAATCGTGGTTCCGGCAAAATCCGTATCAGGAGGGAAAATTACAACTACCGAGAAGCCGGGGTTTCAGCCTGGGCTCAATTTGCCTTGAGGGAGTCCACCCCATAGTGACTTCGTCGCTGCAGAACGCACAGTGCTTAGGAAGTGGAGACTATAATGCCAGTCGTTAATCTAATCTAATCATTTTGACGTGGAAATCTTGCTAATGTTCTGAGGTATTTCCCTACCCAAGCATTTAATTTTGCAATTAAAGACTTTTTGAATAAACACTTTAACAAATATAGCAAAAAAGAAAATTTTAGGAAATTTATGTTCGCTAATATATTGTCTGGAGGGCTTGCTGGGACTGCTTCATTGCTTGTAGGATATCCATTAGACTTCATCCGCACAAGACTTGCGGTAGATATAGGGAAAATCTCACAGGAAAGAGAGTTCAAAAGCTTAACAGACTGTGCATTAAAGATAATAAAACATGATGGAATCCTTGGGCTTTATAAAGGAACATTAATTTCTATTCCTATATTTTTTATTTATAGAGGTTTATATTTTGGGTTATATGATACTTATAAAGATTCTATCCCAGAAGGGCGTTTTGATGTTTTAATTAAATTTGCATTGGCTCAATCAGTAACTATATTCGCTGGACTTTTTGTATACCCATTAGATACTGTGAGAAGAAGATTAATGATGCAAGCTGGAAGGAAAGATGTTATTTATCAAAATACATTGGATTGCGTTAAAAAGATCTATGCTAATGAAGGTGGGAGTAAAGCATTTTTTAAAGGAGCTTTAGCAAACTTAATAAGAAGTGCTGGAGGAGCATTAATTTTGGTATTTTATGATTCAATTAATGAGACACTGTTTGGAGTTAAGAAACATAATAAACATTAAGGATAATTTTATTTATAAGATTTTATCACTTTTAATCAGCAAAAATTAAGAATGTATATTTACAAGAGATTTCACTTGCAATTTTGAGAGTGTTAATTATTTATTTTATACAAGTAATGACCTTAAAAATAATTTTTGCAAAATCTTCTGTTAAAATATTTGTTTCTGTCAGAGTTACAGATTGATAATATCTGATATGTAATATCTAAAAGAAAAATGACAGATAAATCTCTGTCTAATTTTGCAGTCACTGCAACTGTGTCTGCTCTATCAAAGAACCTAACGGAAGCCCCTTTAGACAGAGTAAAGCTACTTCTTCAGCTACAGCCTGACATTTCTCAGTTATATCCAAACAATAAATATAAAGGAATTTTTGATTGTACTATAAGAGTATATAAAGGCATGAATGATTGTGCTTATAAAATATGAAAAGCTGATGGAATTAGAGGATTTTTTAGAGGAGTTTGATTATCATTTCCTGGAGTTTTTATATATAGAGGAATGTATTTTGGATTATTCAATACTCTTAAAAATTCTGTGGATTCTAATAATTTTTTTGCTATTTTTTTATTAGCTCAATCCATTACGACATTCTCTGGTTTAACAGTTTATCCAATTGATACAGTTAGGAGAAGAATGATAATGCAGACAGGAAAATTCCCTCGCACTGATCCTCGACTCCAAGAAGAATTTAAAAATCATTTGATTGTGCATATAAAATGCTTAGAAAAGAAGATTTTAAATCATTTTATGGAGGATTTTGACTTAATTTCGTTAGATCTTTCAGTGGAGCCTTATTATTAGTTGGATATGATTTAATGGGAAAGCATCGTTAATAATATGCATAAAGATCTTTATTAAACATTCCAAAATAACTGTATCTATAGTTATTTTAGTATTGATAAACTGCTTCTTAATAAATTTTTTGTAGTAATTGATGCTTTTCTTTTAATTTCAAAGCTTACTTTATGTGAAAACTTAAAGCAAATCCAAAAAACATTAAATTATAAAAATTGTCTCGAAAAATGAAAAAATTTGCTTATTACCTAAGTGTTAGCTTAGCATCTTATCCTTTTAATACAATCAGGAGAAGGATGATCATACAGTCAGGAAAAGAAGATAAATTTAAGGCTTCATTTGATTGTGCTTGCAAAATGCTTAGAAAAGAGGGCTTTAAATCTTTTTATGGGGGGTTTTGACTCACTTGGCTTAGATTATTAAGTGATTCCTTATTATTAGTAGTCTTTCACATCGCTGCTTTTGAGGGTTAGGAAAAGAATCATTTATTAGTTTAATTTATTTAAATTTCACAAAATAAGCAAAATCTAATTATTTTAATATTGATAAAACTACCTCTTCAACAATCGTTTTGCATGTTATTTGATGTTTTTTCATTTTAATCTCCTCATTAACCTGATGCAAAAGCCCAAACAAAAATCCAAAAATCATTAAATTTGTAAAAATCGTCTGGAAAAACAAAAAATTTGCATTTCCACCTACTCGTTCAGTCCACATTCCCCACATTGCAATAGACAAAATAACTCCAATAACCCCAGCTGTGACTGTAAAGAACCCTGATTTGACTCTCATTATAAGCTCTCCATGAGTGCTTATCAATATAAAAGGAATCATAAAATCTTCCATTGTAGGATGTGGATGTGAGACTACACAAATTAAATAAAGAATGCAGAAATAAAGATTTGAAGTGTTTTTATACATGCTATATTTGCTGTATTTATGGAGTAAACAGTGTAAAGGATAAATATAAAGCCAAGGATGTATAGCTAATATAACCCTATATAAGAACTGATAACGCTTGAACATTTCTAGTATTAAATATCATGCCATTCCTATATTAGGCTTAATATCATAATTCAATAATTGTGCTATTTGGCATGACCACAGCCAATCCCAAGTCTCCCCAAATAATGCATAGCTAGCTGAAAACAGAGAAAAAGTCATCAAAAATGCCAAAATATATATTCTCTTCGTAAAATGATTAAAATACCATAAACTTGATATAGAGAGCATGCATGGGTCTAAATAGCTTAAAAAGCTTATAGCAAACACTGCACGCAGCCTTCTTCTTTCAAGGGTAAAATACCCAAAAGTCAAAATTGCGAGATGAATAAAAGAAGAAAGTGACATAGATGAGGTCGAAATAATTGAGATAGGGTTCACTAAATATATGGAAAATGCAAGTTTACTCTATATAAAAATAACCTTTGTTATGAGGTAGATATAGATAGAGTTTAGGAGATCTGCTGATAAAATTAAGCCAAAAATTATGTGTTGGGAAGGCATTAGGCTAAAAAGTCATAGGATAAGTGGAGGAGTGTGGACAGGGGAGTCGGAATAGTAGGGAGATAAGCCAAGAGATAAATAAGATAATCCTTCTAAAGCATTTTTGTAGTCTGTATAAGGAGATGAGATATGAGGAATTGGTTGAATAGGAAACCAGTGATACATGATGATTCTTAGTAAGATTCCTATTGATGCAATCTTGTAAAGCATATCCCTGTTGTGTATTAATTATATATTCATAGCATAACAAGAAAATATTAAATCTCATAAATACGACTTTAAGGTATTTAGCTCCTCTTTTACTTTGCATAATTGCAATCAATAAGCTTTTTGCTTGCTTTAAGTTAATTTAATTAGCTTACTCTCCTCTTTAAACTGGAAAATGCATCAATAAAATTTCCATTATTTGCGTACTTAACCCCCTTTAAATTGGAGCTGAAAATATTTTTTTTAAAATTATTTTTGACCTAATTTAATGAAAGAAGTGCAACTAGAATGCTATTTAAACAATTTTCAAAATGAATCAATTAATTTTTTAAAATAAATTAAAATTCAACATATTCTGCTCAATTTATATTTTTTTAATTTTTATAAATAAAATTAAATCCCTTTAATTGGAACTGGACTTTTTGTTCCAATTTAAAGATAAGGGGAGTTTATAATTTTTATATCTATACAAATGCCAAAGCTTTGAAAGACAAACTAATTTTATTTGAATTAAAAATAGTTAGATTAAGTTATCTTGGTAGAGAGAATTCTCTAAATAATGATTGCAAACTGCACGTGATTGATTTTAGCATTTATTTACTATATTTTCAAACTAAAAATATGCATTCATTTCATTATCTATTAAATTTATTTGAAAATCATATGGCAGCTCCTGATTCAATCACAATTTCTTATACAAAACCTAAATCTTCTCCAAAAGATTTATTCGCAATAATCTCAAAAGGAAAAATCTCTACTCTTTACCAATCTGTCCTACAAATGGCGCCTAATGAACTTTCATACCAGCTTTCACGCCAAGATAATGAAGGAAAAACATTACTTCACTATGCTTGCTACGTTGATCTTGAACTTATTTCTTTATATTTGATCTCTCTAGGCTCAAACCTATACGCATTTGATAGAAACGGTCAAAGCTGCTTCCACGCATTAGCTTACAAAGGCAATTACAAAACTTTGAATACAATTTTAATTAAGACTGTAATTTTTACATAATTTTTTTATAAATTTTTAATCCGATTAACTTATAAATTTTCAATTTTAAACTATGAATTGCATAAATTAAGAAAAACGCTTTACGATAACATGAACATGATGAAGCTAGGCTTTGGCATGACCAATATAAATCTTACAAATACAGCAGCCTGGATTCTAACTTCCAGCATTGATGCAGACATCAAAATTAAAGCCAAAAAACTTGAATATTCTGAAGAACTCGTAAGAAAGCTCCGTGACTATTTTTCAAAAGTCGTCCAACTATACCGTTCAGCTCTTGGACAAGTCGATTCAAAGCGGCGAAACCCTCTGCATTATGCTGCCTTATCAAAATTCACCTGGTGCTTCAAAGCTGCTGAAAGCCTTTTAACCCCTCATAAAGTTGACAATTTCAATGAATTTTTAGAACATTTTGACAATTTAGAGAAGCTTCGTAAATCCACCAAAAAAATTGACCCGAAAAAATATATTGATATTTTAGATGAAATAAAAAGCATTATTGGGGAAGAAGAATATAGGACTTATTATAAAGAATTTAAGGCAGCTTTAAAGACAGTTATTAATGGAGCAATAAATACAAAAGATCGCAATGGGCATACTCCTTTGCATATTGCAGCGTTTTCAGGGTGTTATCAAATAGTGAAAAAATTGGTTGACTTAAAAGCTGATAAGAAGTGCGAGGATTCTAGAGCTTTAACACCTTTGCAGTTGGCAAGTACAAAGCTGGTAATGAAATATCTTTCATTGCCAGAAGATATGGCTGCTGCTGGGGATACTAAAGGTTTTGAACATTTATACTATCAAAGAATGAATGGTACCCACATTATAAGAATTAATTATTGTTTTTAATTTTTCTTAATAAAGAATAATAAATTCAGGCTATGATGTCAATATATCAAAAAATGAATTTTTATTAGGAAGCATGCATCAAGCCATTATAGAAGGCGGAATATTGCCTACAGTCATAACAAACCAAGGCGATTCTGATTTAGTTGAATGGAATTTATACACGCCTCTACATTATGCTTCAATGCTAGGAAAACTTGAAGACGCATTACAACTAATCAAGCAAGGCGCTGATGTCAACGCACTGTCTCAATATGAGCTCACCCCTTTGCATTTAGCAGCAAAAAATAATAAAGCGAATATGATAAAACCGCTTATTGAAAATGGGGCGATTAAAGATGCAAGAGACCATAAAGATACAACACCTTTTATGCTAGCTGCTAAATATGGAGCTTTAAATAGCTTAAAAGCACTGCTAGAAAATGGTGCAAATCCTTATGAAGTTGATGATAGAAAGTGGACAGCATTGCATTATGCGAGTTTTCATAATAAATCAAAGATTGTGGAAGAGCTTATTAGATGGGATAGCGATTATAATAAGTTATACCCTTTTAATTCAGAATTATCATCATATTTTTATATAAATATCTCATTTTTGATTAAAATAGTCTAATATAAATTTATTATTAATTTATATTTGACTTTAACTTTTATATATCTAATGAAAAATTCCCAAGGAAAAACTCCTATAGCGCTTACTTCGAAGCCAAAAACTAAAGAAGCATTTGATACTTTATGGATGGCTGCTATAAAAGGAGACTTAGATTTAGCAAGAAGACTTGTTAGAAAAGGTCATGACATCAATGGAAGAACATTATTCGAAAGAGTCACACCACTTATGAACGTAATAAACATTTAGGCTGCAAAAAACTCACAAGTACTTATGGTGAAATTTTTATTAGATAATGGAGCTAAAGTAGAAGTTGTTGATAGGTATAGACACACTGCATTAGATTATGCAAGAGAAGTAGGGCACCCACAAATAATTGCTATGATTGAAGGAAAAGCGGAAAGACGTGAATCACCTAAAAGATTAAATATCCAAAATTCTTCTTTTTAAACTAATAGCAAAATTTTATATTTGATATAAATAAGAGCAATTATTATACAAATAATAAACAAAATATTCATTTACATTTGAGAAATATCATAAGATGCATTATAGTTCATGCTAGAAGAAGCTTCAGATCGTATCCTTTCAACTAAATTAATAGACTTTTCGCTTAAATTGCTTGAAAAACTTCGATGATGCATACTTGGGGTTTCTAAAGTAGAAAAATGCATAAGACTTGGTGTCCTTAAATGAGATCTCATTTCAACAAAATCGCTCGTTTTATAAAGAGATTGGTCATTTTTTTTGTCGGCGAGCTCAGCCAAGCTCATTTCTATATGGATAGGTTCTAGATTTGTCGGAGATCTAGGCTTTTTTCTTCCTATAAATGTGATATCATTATTAATAGGCAAAGTTTTATATAGCTTGCTATATTATTTTAAAGACTTATTGGTAATAATAATTATATTATTTATACATATTAAATATAATCTTATTATTCAAGCCTTAGGTATCATTTAAATTAGTATAGTTCTGTTCTCTTCTAGAATTTTTTCTTCTATATCGTTCTTTAATAATTTCTTTTTCAATTCAATTCAATTTCCCTCCTAATTCAAAGCTAAAACCTGACTCTTTAAAGCCATTTCCGTTAGCTTCATCTAGTAAAAACCCTTTAAAATCTCTTTCAATTGGAGAAACACCTCCAGAAGAGTGGTCGAATTCTGTTATTTCTTCTTTAATTGTTGATTCAAAACTTTGTTGCTGGCATTCTTTATCATGGCTTATCTCGCTCTTTTTTTCATCATTTGCTTTTTTATCACAATTACAAAGAATTGTTTTTGTGAATGATGATCCCATCTTAAAATTAATAGAGAGATTTTAAAAGTAAGGCTTAATCTAAGGATAAAAATTAGGGAACTTATAGGCAGGGTCTTTATCGTAATTTTTCCTAGGTGCGAATGGCTGTCTTGAATTGAAGGCGTAATCTTGAGATTTAATATCAGATTTAACTAGAGTTACCATAAGATCTGTTCCTTTAAAAGATCTGGTTTGGATTAGCTCAGAAGCTTTAATGTTATCATCTTCATGTCGATATGTTATATAAGCAAATCCTCGTATGAATTTATCATCTCTTGTAGGGACTTCTAATGAGGCAATCTCTCCAAAGTTTTTGGCAAATTCTTCGATTTCTTGTACTGTGGCTGTTTTGGGGATATTTCTTACAAAGAGACGAGAAAATGATCTTTGTATGGAGAGAAGCATATTTATTATTAATTTTCTTTATGATGCTTAATTGCTCAAAAAAGAAGGGACTGCTATTGATATAGAAATTTAAAGGGAATAAGGCTAATTTCATTTAAATCAATAATCTGACAAAAATAAATTTTGATAAAAATAAATCTTAGAATTATCAAAAATTTTATATCAATTTTTTAGCATTAATGAATTATTATTTCAGCAAACTCTAATTGTAGAAATGTTTCCACTAAACTATCAGAATATATAAATTTCTCGGTTCACTATCCTCCAGTTTTTTTAATCTAATACTCCAATATGCAAATTTCGTTTTATAGCAGCCTATATAATGAATAAATATTCTGATCTATACCAAAGGCCTTTTACTTCATCAGTTCCAAAAAACCTTTATGGGTCTCCAAAATCATTTTCTACTAACAGACCAATTACTACAGGATTCCAAAGTACAGTTGAAGCGTTATCAAATGAAAAAATGTTCTCACCTTTCACAAGTACCTGAGAAACTTTTTACTCCCCATTATCAACCTATGTAGATACCCAACAAAGTGCCAAATCAATTGATGACTCTCAGTATCAAATTTCTGTAAATTTTCCTGAACGACCAAATACTTCTTCAATTAGTGGATTGACATTATTAGAAAACGAAAGAGCTATAAACAACTCTAAAACACTACTTACTACTAAAGAAAGGGTATCATTTCCCAATATTTTTAGCAACACTCAACAATTTCCTGCAGAAAAAGACTTCAATAGAATTTTAAATAAAATCGAAATGATTGTGTCTAATAAATATCTCGGACACCGGGGAGCGACTATTAAAGAAGGCGAACCAATAGAAATCGGCAATATTAATTTGATAGAGCATTTTTAATAGTAGGATTTTTCTGATGGAGGCATTTATTCAAAAACTTTAAATTTCAGTCAAATGCCTTACTAAAAAATAAATTTAGATAAATTTCTTCAGGAATTCACATTGTAAAACGTATCGAAGAGCCTAACCGATAGAAATAATGTCGGAGCAGTCTTCATTTAGCTACTTAAAAGTTTATACCAAAGGCAAAAGGTGTCCTATGAGAGTCCATTTTAAAAAAAGCAAAGGAAAATTGCTTACTTATATATCAAGGCACAACCCTGAGCCAAGTGAAAGCTTGCATGATGAAGTCTTTAAAACTGACTCTTTCGAAGTAGCAGACCCCGGCTTGAAGTTCAAAAACGACTATATTCATTTTGGCATCCAAGCCCTAGAGGACTCCACATTTGTTATATCAGTATATTTTGGGAGGCTAAAAATCGATTTAAATAAAAAAAGAAAAACTGAAAGGCAGGAAACTTCAATTGAGCTGGAAAATTTGAGGAAAAATGAAATGCTGCAGTATGAGCTTTTTAAGAAAGTTGATGATACAATAGCGAAAAGAAAATCTGAGCAGCTTAAAAATTCAAATAATAAAGACTTTTTAAAGATGAATATGAATATTTTGCCGATAAATTCACCCAAAAGGATGAAAGAAAAGACTGTTTCGTTGAAAAATATTGAACTGAGAAGAAAATCGGCTAAAATTAAACATAAATTGTGGCTACAAGAAAAAAAGCAAAGGGCGATTAATGTAGTTAATAAAAAATTGCTTACTCCCCCCCCCCCCCTCCGTGAGCGAACAAAAAAATTTTGTTCGCTCACGGAGGGGGGTTAATTTTTTTTTTTAAAAAAAATTTATATATAAATTTTATAAAAAATATTTTTTCGAAATTTAAAAAAATCCTAATTTGCAAAAATTGGGAAGCAAATATTAATTTAATTTGCAAAATTTATGTTTTAAAACGCAATTTGTTTAAAATTAAACAGAATTAGCTCTAGATTTCATTATACTAATTATCACTTATATATCAAAATTTTTTTCCATTAAAATTTTTTCTATTAAAAAAAATTTTTGTTCACTCACGGAGGGTGGGTTTTTGGTCAAAAAATGGCGATTTTTCTAATGGTTTTGTTCGCTCACGGGAGGGGGGGGGGGGGGGGAGAGTTAGGGCTGAAGAAGAAAAACAAGAAAGGTTAAGAAAAGAGCAGCTAATTTTGCTACAAAATGAGCAAAAAGAATGGTTTATTGTGATAAATATAGCTTTAGCTTTTGTTTCAATAAGAGAAAAATGGCAAGCAAAAAGAAAAGAAAAACTCGAGACTTTTAAAAATAGCATCTCAGCAAGAAAATTCCAAATATTCTTCAGAGCTCGAAACCATAATAAAACCATTTCAGAGTTTGTCTTATTACGAGCTAAGGATACTCTTAATTTTTATTTTCGCCATGCAAAACCAATTGAACGTCGGAGCTACAGACGTCAAATATCTAAATGTATACATGAAAGTGCAAGAAACCACACTTTGCCTCATCATTTTTCCGCTTTTACAGAAAGCATTTTTAATGTTCAAAAAGTCTGACGAGAGTATAATGAAAAAAATAAGAAAAGATGGGAAGAGCTAAATTTATTATGGAATCAAGAATTAGAGAAAAAAATTTTAGAATTAAATAAAGCAAAACCTACTAAAGGGAAAAAGAAAAAAGATGAGTCTGCTAAATATCTTAAAATTCCTGCAATAGCCAGAAATCATGTGCTAACTGAATATTTCCGTGACCGTAAAAGAAACTTTAGAGTCGAAATCCGGAAATTTATTGATAAGAAAAAGATGCAAAAAGTGCTAAAACAATTCTCAAAATTTTCCCAAAGTGATCTTGATACAAACAAAGCAGAATTAATCTTCAAATATCTCCCAAGTGAAGAAGATATGTTGCAGCTTATCGAAAAGGCTCTACATATTACGAATATTACTATTTAATTACTGATTTAATAGATTTTACTTCGATTTATTAGTTAATCTGACACCTGAATTTTTTTCTGCTTGAGAAAACATCTCTCGGAAATCTTTGCTTTTTTTTCTGTTCTGTCCAGCTTTCTCCTAGTCTAAACGTAATTAAATCTACCTTTTTATTTCCGCCTTCATCAATGCTATTTCCATCAAAATATGAATTTTCGTTATAGCTTTTAGCTATAACAGGATATTTATTATGAATCCTGTCCATATTTTCAACGTCTGAGTTTCTCGAGAAATTATCAATATTGAATTTCTGTATCAAGTCTTCGTGACTCTGCAATTTTTTTTTTAGTTCTTGTTGCTCTTCTATAAGCTTATTGAAAAGCTTGTTCAGGTGAGCATAGTCTTTATTTTTGGCTTCATAGTCAGCACTGCTTGAATATGCTGCACTATTATAAATGAATTATAATTATAAAGAATTTTTACTATTATTTAAGAGAAAATAGCTTATTCTCTCTCATTTACAATATTTTATGGCCATAGATAAAAGATTTATTTTCTTTTTTTTTCTTTTCTTGATTCAAGCATTTTTTGGTGACTTGAATTACGATTATTTAAATCTGGGGTTCGTGAATGCAAAACCCTAAAGTCGTGGGGAAATTTTTTTCTTGATTGGCCAGAGTCAAAACTTTGTTGGCTAAGGTCTTTATTGGGAAATTCACCAGTTTTTTCAAGAAATGAAGGATCAGTTGACAGAGAAAATAAGGGCTCTTGAGCTTGAATAGATTGAGCTGATTTTATTGATCGTTTGGAGCCAAAGGTAGAAGGGAATTCGTTTTTTACTTGATTTTTCAATAAAATAGAAGCAGGTTTGGATCTTGACACAGCGTGAGATTTTAGATCTGAAGAGGGCTGAGAATTCGCACGGGAGTGACGAGGTTTGTAAGTGAATAGCATAATTAATAATGGAGTTAAATGAATGTAGGATGCAAATGATTAGAAATTTAAATTAAATAGTAGGACTGCTTTGTTAAGTTAATTGATAATGAATATTCTGGAATTTATAGACTTTGTCTAATAAATATGAACTAATTTTAATAAACAAGAGCTATAGGTTTATAATCATTTTAATTTTAATAAATTTTGAAACTAATTAAAAATTATTTATAAATTCAATATTAGCTTTATTAGGCAATATATATTAACTATACAAATATTTTTTGAAAATAAATTATAAAAGAGTGTTTTTATTAAAAATGCTTACACAAAGTCACACAGAAAGCCCTATCAAAATTCGCTCAAATAGGCCTAATTATTCTACAGATGAAGATGCAGGTCTTCTATCAGACTTCAAAGGAAACCTTTTCAATACATTTGACAGCAGCAGAAAAGCTACATCAGCATCTACAAGAAAACAGAAAAACGCAATATCTCCTTTTATTCACAAAAATCTTAGTTTGCTTCGTAAAAAGCGGTCTACTAGTGCATGCCCAAAAATTACTCCAGAGTTAGCGTCAAAAGTGGTAAAAGACTATCTCTTGCCTATGTTTGAAAAAGATTTAAAAAATAAACAAAATCATGATCGAAAACAGCAATATCATTTAAAACTTGATAGGCTACAGACAAAACCATTAGAAAAGCTTTCAGGAACTGTATATGGCGATTTTAAGCTTACAGAGCAGTTAAGTTATGAACTGAAACAAATGAAAATAAATTTATCAACAGTCGAATCAAAGCTAAAAGACGCTGAACAAGAAAAAATAAAGATAGAAAGCGAATATACAAAGGCAAAAGAAGATTTTTTAAACTCAGAAATCAACAATCAAAGCATTTTATTCCAGCATTCCAGAGTAATAAAAGAAACCTCGAATTTAGATCAAACTTTTATGCATTTATCTAACCAGGTCAATAAATATAAAGCTATGTATGAAGAATCAGAAAGAAAACTAGGACTAGTAGAAAAAGAATTGCATGACGAAAAAGCATGAAATGATAAATTACGAAATGTCGCAATTCAGCTTGAGCATGGAAACGCTTTAATTGTTATGGAAAGTGGGATTATTGGAGAAAGACTAAAAGGGCTTTATGAAGCTATTATCAATATTTTCAATATAAACTTCAAAGAATCAAAGCTCGAAAATGAATTTTTAATGCTGATTTCACAGCTAAAAGGCCTTGCTGAATTTGAATATACAAATAATACGTCTTTACAGATTATGGTCAAAGAAAATAATGAGCTGGTCGCCAATATAGGCGATTTAATTTATTCAAAAAATATTTCAGACACCCAAAAAGAAAAAATTGCAAAAACTTTTAAAGAAAGATCTGAAAGGTACCAAAAAGAAATAAATTCGTTAAAAGAAGAACGCGATAAAGCAAAAGCTGACCAAATAGAAATTGATAAAAAATTCAATGACTTAAATGAAGAGCTGAAAAGGGTGAGGAAAAAAATGAAACAATATAAAAAAGAGTCAAATAACGCTCAATATGAAGAAAAATTTTGCATTAATTGTATGAAGCCATTTATATGCATTTTTCTTTTGGATTGACTGATAAGTAATATTTATAATGCATATTGAGATTATTAAGGTAAAAACATATAGAAATTTATAATTATAATTGGTCTTGCAGAATCCATAAGAGTAAGCCAATAGACGACACTTACTGATGCTGCGGAAAAATAGGCAAAGACGCCCCAGGCTGTATAGCTTCCAAACACATTTCAAAAGAAGATGAAGACTGTGAGTCAGAAGAAGAAAGCAACCAAAAAATCGCTTTTTGTGCTGTAATTTCTAATTAGAGCTGTAAAACCCCTGGACATTTCAGCTATGAATGCCCAAAAGATCCAAACACTCGCAGTAATTTTGAGCCAGAAGACGAACTCTTAAGGATCAATAATGCAGAAAATCAACAAAAAATAAACAAAGTCGTCGATTTGAACCTAAAAAATAGAGTAATTGATATGCTAAAAGAAAGAATGGAAGGTTCAGAATTTGTGAATGGAGAAATCTTACTTAACTTAAATTTACAGGCGTCCGCCGTAGTGTTGACGCAGTCACCAAGGACCCAGTATTAGGGTTCACCTGCTTTGCGGTATAGTCCAAACTGGCCATATAAACCAGTCACCAGGACATACACCTACTCCTTCCCACGCGCGTGAGCCGTGGCTTAGTGTTGAGTGGGCGGGCTATGGGCTTCTGCGGCTGCTGCTTGAGTTGACGAGAGTTGGCTTTCCGAAATTCCAAAAAATGGAATTTCTGGTCACCTTTCGGCAAAAAGGGAAACTCCAAGTCCTGGGACGTAACGCCCAGTTTCACGCTGGGTAGTTGCCCGAATGGTCTAGGCATTGCCTGTAGACTCTGCTGGGCTTACCCTTTCCAAACCTGGGAACCCTTTTTCTCTCGGGGAGAAAATCCATTCTGGTCGTTGAGCTTGGGCCAGGCTCTGCACTGCAGAATTGCTTACCATGGCATTGCTGCTCATTTCCGGAATGGCAAAACCTTGCCGGATATAATTAAAATATGAGTCGAGTATGTGTGGCCGGAGGCCACACCCAGACGAAGATGCCATATTTTAATTATGTGAATGGAGAAATCACTATAGAAGAAAACGAAGAGAAAATCAAGCTTCACCCATTTAGAGACTTATTAGAGCTAAAAGAAGAATATGTTGAAGGGAATATGTATAACAAGGTCAGGATAGGCAGTATGAATGATGGAATATTTAATAGAGAAATGAGGAGGGCAAGGATAAATTCAAGTATAGAGCAAGAAAGCCCGATTAGACTGATGAAAGGGGTTTCAGAAGAATGGGATATGTTTAATTAGTTTACTGTAGATATGTAATAGGTGTCGAAAATATATAGAGAAATGTTAATTGTTGAAATAATAAAATGAGAGTCTTTTTGACAGGAGCCACTGGATCAATAGGAAGCTCAGTTCTTGAAAATGTACTGACCCCACCAAAAGCCCACTCTCCGAACAAATATTTTTTAATGGAAAAAATTTTGATATATAAGTGATGATTAGTATAATGGAATCTCTAGTTAATTCTATTTAATTTTAAACAAATTACGTTTTAAAACATAATTTTTTAAATTTAATTAATATTTGCTTTCAAATTTTTGCGAATTAGGATTTTTTGAATTTTTCTATAAAAATTTTTTTGTTCAATAACGGAGTGGGGAGTTAATAATGGCCACGACATAACGTTTATTGTTAGAAATCAAGAGAAAGGAGAAGAAATTACAAGCGAAAATGGTAGAGCACATTTTATTATTTTTGATATTAATATCAGCACTGTTCACCAACTCGGCGAAATTGCAGTAGGCTATGATGCCATAATTCACTGTGCACAAATGCCATACACTGAAGAAGGAGCTATGGTAGGAAATATAACAGTTGATGTATTGATATTAGCAGCTAAAAAGACAGCTGAAAGCAAACCTGTTACCATTGTATACACTTCAGGCATAGGGCTAAATGGCAACACTGCTGAAATTATTGATGAAAATCATGACGATATTTCTCACTGCCCAGAATCTGCAGCTCCAAGAGGGATATTGGAGAAAAAAGTCATTAATGCTAGCACTGAAAATCTTCATGGCGTAGCTTTAAGGGTAGGTTGGGTTTATGGGAAAAGCTTTGTAGACCAATGGCTTAAATTCTGCAAAGTCAACAACTATATTTATATTGGTGGCGATAGAGAAGATTCTCATATATGTTTTATACATCATGAAGATTTGGCGAATATGTACAGAGTTCTTATAGAGAAAAAGGCTTATGGACTATTTTTTGCAGTGGAGCCAGAACCCGTGACCCTTCAAAATTTGATTGAAAGAGTGTCAACACTTGGAAACATTCATGAAACAGAAAAAGTTAATCCGTGGGAGCATTTTTTAGGACCATATGGGCTCTTTTTGCTAGGCCATGAGCTAGATCAGCAGCTCTATCCTAAAAGATTTATTGATCTTTACGATTTTCAGTATAATCATAAATTTTTGGACTGGATAAATTTTTTTCCGTTTAATCAGATATTTTATGATGAAAACACAAAATTTTGGCAAATCAGAAATAATTAAATAGGGAAAATTTATTGTTTAATTTATTTACGATTCCTTAGTGGTGAATAGAGAAATAAAATGGTGACGTTTGACGGAAAATGGACTCCGAGGCGCACCTCCTATGGAGCTGGTAGGACCTATTGCTGATGAAGCTGAATATACAGGTCTCATTCCTGTCCTAAGTAGGCCTTCAGTTGTGGGAAGCCGTGCTGAAAAGGAAATTTTATTTCTCCCCGAAGGTTTTCCCTGTCCTTGCCAGATGGGCTAGACAGGTTTTTCCTACCACATGGTCTTCCTTCATCGGGACCATCGGGGCACTCAGACAGAAGTGGCTCTGCCCAAAGGAGCTGATCCCTTGGACAGGTGGTTTTCAAGATGGCGTCGGGCCTGGGAGTATGGTCTCATCAGAACCCGACCTGGAGTCGTCTTTCGAGCTGAGGTGTTGAGGTCCGCTGGTTTCGCCCACGTATGGCCTTTTAAAACTAGCTAACTTAGTGGTGAATTGAAAGGCCCTTTTCCGTGTAGCTTAATAGAAGCGTTATTAAAGGTGGAAAAATCGGTTGATCGTCTGTGAAAAGTTTTAGGGTTTATATGCATAGCTGATTTATGTCTAAAACTAAAATCTCTTTCTTCTAATTTTGGGATTTTTGTAAAATGCTTTCTGCATTCTTTTAGCCTGTCTTTTGGGCTTTCAGAGTTTCCTCGGGTATGAGGACTGACTTCTCATATACTAGAAGTTTCCTGGTTATTGTGATATCTTCCAAAATTGATTGACCTTTTTACATTGCAAAACGTTGGGATTTCTTTCAGTTTGGCTCTGTGCCGTTTTGACTTGTCATCAATGGAAGCTGTTAATATATTTTTGGATTTCGATTTATTTATATATACTTTTTTGCTTTATTTTGTCTTTAAATTCACATTTTAATATATTTTTTTAGGTCAGGCTTGCTGATTTTGATCAAAAAATGCTAGATAATATACAATTGTATAATCAAGGACTGCTAAATGAAGGAACATATTTGTTGACTGGCTTGAAGGCGTAGGCGTACTTGACCTACTTTGTATTGAACCAAAGCTCATCTATTTATATCTAAAAAATTATAATAAATCTAGTTTATTCAAAATCTTTAATGTGTGTCTTCATTTGCTTCTATAAGGTTGTTTATCGCCCACGCAGCCATTTCTGTAAGCTCTTCGTCATTTCTATCCATAAGTTGACCTATATCTTGGCTCATGCCCAAATGGTTAGCTAACTGCCCCCTCCGTGAGCGAACAAAAAAATCTTGTTCTCACAGTGGGGGATTAATTTTTTTTGAAATTTTTAAAAATCCCACAAAAATTGGAAAAAAATATTAATCTAATTTAAAATTTATGTTTAAAACGCTATTTGTTTAAAATTAAACAGAATTAGCTCTAGATTTCATTATACTAATTATCTCTTATATATCAATTTTTTTTTCATAAAAAAATTTTGTTTTCTCGCGGAGGGTGGGTGGGTTTCCTGCAAAAAATAGGAATTTCTAATGTTTTTTGTTCGCTCACGGAGGGGGGAGTAAGTTGATTGTTTCTACTTCTTTATTTAATTTGCATTGGTGAAATATATCTGATAATAGCAAGACTATTTTTTTGGTGATTTTCATTGATTCTGTACCTCTGATGACTCTTTGTGCGAGGAGCAGACCGTCCTTTTCTATGAATTTTTGCCTTGCCAGTGTGTATTCTCCTCTTACTAAAGCACTTAGACAAGAAAAGTATTGTTCTTGGAGTCCTTGGTCGCTTTCTACTTGCACAAGCTCTAATAATGCATCTAAAGCTTGAGCATTCATAGCAGCTTCTTGGACTGCAGGGTTATTTTGAACAGCGCTTGAGAATACTGATGCACAGAGTTTCCTAACTGATAAATATCTTGACCCAGCCATACACCTTACCAAATGTGGGATTCCTCCAACTTTTACTAAATTTCTGGCTGCTTCTAAATTTTCGATGACTCCTAATAAATCATACAAAATCGCTTCTTTTAACTCTCTTTCTTCGTCATTTCCTTCTTCGGCTGCTGATAAACAGTCAGTCGCTTTTTTAAGAACTGTTGTTTCGTCTACACAAAAAGATTCCAATGCTTCTTTGAGCCATTTCTTTGTTTCTTCGTCCATAGGTTTGACTTCTGAAGGTCTTGTTCCGTCAGAATAGCTGAGTGACCAATTAAGTAATCCAGTCCAATTCATTTTTAAGATCAGAGCAGACAGATCTGATGGTATTTAAGCTTGTTTCTAGAACTTTCTATCAATTGTTATCAAATTTAAATGGATATATACGAGCCTATTTTAGTTTGGTATTATGCATATTTTGGCGTTAATCTTTTATTTTTTAATAGTTATATCTGTAAAATTATTTTACCTATACATTTTAATAACAAAAATTCAAAAATTTAAAGTGATAATTACAAATAAAATATTACATAATGTATTATTTTAAAAATCTCAAAGTAGATGAAGAAGATCTTTGAAGCCGGCTTATCAGGCTGCTTTCCTGATCCTTTGTCAATTTTTTACTTTTACTAGAGTCTGGCTTTTTATTTGTTAAAATGGTATCAATATCCTCTAATTTAGCATCTTCTAACTCCCCTCCCCTCCGTGAGTGAACAAAAAAATTTTGTTCACTCACGGAGAGGGGTTAATTTTTTTTTTTTAAAAAAAATATTTTTTTTCGAAATTTAAAAAAATCCTAATTCGCAAAAATTGGAAAGCAAATATTAATTTAATTTATAAAATTTATGTTTTAAAAAGCAATTCGTTTAAAATTAAACAGAATTAGCACTAGATTTCATTATGCTAATTATCACTTATATATCAAAATTTTTCTATTAAAAAAATTTTTGTTCACTCACGGAGGGTGGGTTTTTGGGCAAAAAAATAGCGATTTTTCTAATGGTTTTGTTCACTCAAGGAGGGGGGAGTAAGCTTATTTTATATTTTGCTTTTGTGGCTTGAATATCAATAGGAGAACTATTTCTATTCTGCGGCACAACTTTTATAGCCTCTTGAGAAAATTTCATATTTAGCTGCTTTTGTGAGCCATTTCTTCCATAAGGTGTTGAAGGCTTTGTTGGGCTTGATTTTCTAGGTGTTGCTACTTTTAATGGGGAAGTTTTAGGAGATTTTAGAAGACTTGTATTATTATTTACTGAAGATACATCAATTTTCATTGTTTTTTTCGGTTTATTGTTTGTAGTCGTTTTTAGTTCTTTTAAAGTGGAATACAAACTTTTATTATTGCTTGGCTCAGGTTTTTCATCAGGCAGTTTTGCTGATTTTTCTTCAGACTCGCTTAATTTGGCTTTATTTACTTTTTGAGGGTTCTGGGGTGGGTTATTAGGAAGTAAAGCTTGCTTTGCCGCAGCTGCTATATCACATAAATATTTACTATTATCTACACTAAGCTCTCTTTTGTGCTCTTCTAGTATAGAAAGTTTTCTCGTGGCTAATGGCTCTATCATTGTGGTATTATGTCTTGTATAGTTTCTAGAATCATTCATGCTGCGGTCATTTTCTAAATAGCTTGTCAAGTCATTAATTTTTGAAATAAAATCGCCTCTTTTTAAAGATTTTACTCTTTTACGTTCTTCGTGTAGGTTGAGGAGCCTGATAGGTCTGCGTATTGGGCTGTTTATAGATTTCTCTAATGCAGCATTTTGTGTAGTTGTATTGCTATCCATTTTATATGGAAAATATAATATCCTAAATAAATTAGGATTACTGAGGGTAAATAGGAAGATTTATCATTATAGAATAACTACTCAATTGTAAGTTTATTATAAAGAACTATTTGGCCTTATCAAAGCTCTTTCATGAATAATGGACCTTATTTTAATTGTTCTAGGACTTATAACATTTGCTCAGCTCTTTTTTAACAAGAAAGCTTAAGCGACGAAAAATCAGAAGCACTAATAATGTGGTAAACATTTTGAAGTATTTTTCAAACTTTTGCGTCTACAAGTTTATTTTAATGGATAAATAAACCATCACTGGTGTTGCTCCCAATTAGGTAATACTAATCATTTGCTTTAGTTCTAATAGGTTCGTTTAGGCTAACTTTTTAATATGCATTTAGCTATCAATTATGAAGTGTTTGGAATTTAAGGAATAGGAGAGTAATATTCGGAGCATTATACATTCTGGTGGAGCCTTAGTCTATTTATTTTAAACAGATTCAGATTCTCAAAGGAAATATTTGACATATGCTAATTAGGGAGTAAAGGTTAAGGGCAAGATTATTTTGCATTAGCTTTAAATTTCTTTTGAGATCTACATCATATGAGTAAATTTAAATGATTTATGAAAATAATTTCTAGGCCCCTTATAATAAAATTAATGGAAAGCGGTGATCCAGACTTAATATTAGAAAGAAAAAGAAGAGAGATTGCTATCGGGATCAGAGATCTCATTAAAAGCGTAACTGTGCAGGATAATCCCGAGCCGGAAGAAATTATAAATGTGATGTCAGAAGCATCAAATGCCCATGGATTAGATTATTTGTTGGCTAATCAAAGCTACCTAAATATATGGACAAAATTAGAAAATATAGATTTAAAGGGCCCCTTTGCTTATTTCTATCTCGGACTAATTATTGATTATGATGACATGCCAACAAAAAAATTTTTTAAAGTAATAAAAAATTGTTTACAAAAATTGAATGTAAACTATCAAGATTTGATCAATTTCCTAAAACATTGTGGATTGGAAGTTCTAATAAAGCTTATTACAATTTTTGTGTTAGCTGAGAAAGTCGACAAAGACAAGCTTGACGGAAAGAAAATATATGAAATAAATAATTCATTCATAGCCAGATTCAATTCAATTTATCTTAGAGGAGATAGTCTTGGCTATCTTGATGATTTCCTAGTAAGAAGATTTTTGCAATTTTTAAATTTTGCTGATGAACTGAATTTGGGAAAAAATTGCACCATACCTGTTGACTCATGAAGTAATTTATTGGAGTGTGCTAGTTCCGCCCAAACATTTAAATACATATTTCCAGCACTCAAAAATCATATAAAATTTGCTAAAGATAAAACGTCAGAAACTCCTCATTTAGTTTCTTGTTTACTTTCACGTTCAAATAAAGCGCGTTATTGGGCTTCTGATCAGCTTTTTTTGAAGAATAAGAACTGAATGTCATCTTACATTAAGTTCTATTTGGACGATTTGCTCAGTGAGACCATTACTTATGATCATGATACCGTTCCTTATGACCTTTTTTCGAGCGATCCCATTAGTTATGATATGAAAATACAAAGAATATCGTCAGCGATTTCTCTTTTTATATCGTTCATAACAGATAAAAACAAAAAAAAACTGAACAAATAATTAAAGATTCTAAACTAATAAGAATTTTTAAGCTTCCACAATGATCTGAAGACATTTATAAAGGGATAAGTAAACTTGTTGAAATTCAGCTTACAAGTCAGTCATATAGCATTGAGTTTTTGGATGAATATTTTTTATATATCAAAAACGATCCAGATCCATATTTAATTTCAAAAGCTCAAAATATAACGATTCAGCTTATACTTTTTTCTTGTTTAAAAATTGATGATAAAAGCATTAAAGATTCTATTTTGAGTTATACTGTGGAATTTTTCAAAAATTACTATAAAAATGGCATTGCTATATATAATAGCGACTTTGCTAACATTATTAATATTTTATCATTAATCTCTCGATACTTGCCTTTGATTTGGGATTTAATTTTTGAAGCAGTAACTGAGATGAATCTAAATTTAGAAGAATTAGATTCTGAACTAAATATGGATCGAGAATATCTAATAGGAAAACTAAAATCTAGGAGTGAGGAGCAATTGAACAATAAAATTCCAAAAGAATTTCTAAATTTTATTGATAGCCTAATTACTTATCTTGGTGAAGGTGCAAGTGACTCATTAAATGAGATGGATAATATTATTAGAAATTGAAATATTGACTTTGATATCCGTTCAGAGAGCTATAAAGACAATGATTATTGGGGAAAAGTTTTAATTTATTATTGCTGAAATTCAAAACACTTTATTAGTTTGAAAGAATTTTGGGAAATGAAAGTTAAAGAGAAAAATGAGCAGGAGGCAAAAGAAGTGGCAGAACAAGAGACAAAACAAGAGATAAATGAAGAAACAAAAGAAGAGCTAAAAGAAGAGATAAAAAAAGAGATAAAAGAAATTGATATTGTACAAGAAGACTTTTCATCATTAAATCCAATCGATTTTTTCAGCGATATAAATATTCTATACCTTCCAGAAGAGCATAAAGGCTATAAAGAAAATCAAGTAAGCCAAAAAGGGAAAAAATGAACGCAAAAAGAAATTGATCTTCAAGTTCAGCTTCTATCAGAATTCAAAAATTGTTGCGTATTAAACATTTTATTTGACATAAAAATTTCAAATCAAGTAAAAAAGTGGTTAATTTCTCAATTATCCAATTTATTCAGTTTATCTATCAATTATTCTAATGAAAATGCAAATTTTATAATAAAAACAATTCCATTTGTAATGCAGCTGATATCCAAACCAATAGTAAAAGCAAATAATAACCAAAAAAAGAATTTCGATACTTTAGCTCGCTCCAGAGCTGTAAAAGAAAGCCTCGATAATATTGGCCTTAAAATCAATTTTTTCTCATAATTCTTCCTGAAGGTTTGCTAATTCTTTTAATTCAGATACATCACTTATGAGTCATAGATATGGTGTGGTTTTTTCGTAATTTACTCCAATAATATCTCTTAAATGATTGATAAAATCTCTTCTTTCATTCTTGTATTTTATACATATATTTATGCTGTGTTTCTCTGTTTCTTTCGTTTTACATAAATTACACATATCATTTTGATTAATATTTTGATTTTTCTTTGAGTGTCTTAGGGCTGTTAGAGTTTGTGCAGGTCCTGCTGCGTATCTTCATGCTGCTTTAATTCTCGCTTCACTTACCAAGTTTTTATTTAGATTTCAAAATTGCAGTTGACATTTAGAGTTAAGGTTAATCTCTCTTAAGAATTTGTACGTTTTTAGTGTAATCTTTTTATCAATTTCTTTTTCATGTATTTTTTGCCAGTATCTTTTAACTTTTAATTTGACGTCTTTCTTTCAGTCTTTGTTAATTCAATTTACTTCACTGTCAGAGTACCGATATGGTAAATTTAATTCATACTTGCTCAATAAATTTGCATATAAATCTTGAGTTGGTGTTATTCTGTCCTTTAAATTTTTAAGAAAATGTAATGAAATTTCAGAATATGAGTTCATTTCATATATCTTTTGTAGAAATATCAATGATTTTTGATCAATATATTGTTCGACTGTAGGAATATTTAAATCAAGTAATATAGGCTCTATTGGTGTTTTGCTGTATACGCGGCAACATTCTCTAATAATTTTATTGAACATTCTTTGGATAAAAATAATTGCAGTTTTACTTCTTTTTCTTGAGCAAATTTCCAATCCATATGTGCATCTCGGAAGAAATATTGCTTTATAGCAGTTAATTAATGTTGTAGTTGGGATATTTAGCATTTTTCTAATTGCTGGTATAAATGAACTACATGTACTTATTGCTTTATTTTTTAAATAAGCATATTGTGATTGATCTAAACCTGTTGATTTTAAATTTCCTTTAAAAACAATTCCTAGGTATTTATATTTATCAACTATTGGAATTTCAGTTCTTTTAAAATGTAGTTTGGGTAATTTTTGGAGGGTATTTTTTCTGTTTCTATTAATAATTGTCATCAATGCCGTTTTTTCAGGTCCTATATTTAAATCCATACCATTTTCTTCTGTTCATTTTTTAAGATTATTAAGAATTGACTGTAGATCCTCACATTTTCCTGTAATAAAAGCTGTATCATCTGCATATTGAAAATTTATTTTTGAGTATAAATTCTCGTTTTTAATTAATTCTAGGCTAATATCTTTTGTTACATTTTCAATATCATCGATATAGATATTAAATAATAATGGAGAAATCGCACTTCCTTGTCTAACCCCTTTAGTAATATCGATTTTAAATGTTTCATTTCCGTTGATTATTAAGGTAGTCTTTTCTCCTTTAATCATCTGGGAGATTGATTTTCAACTATCATCTGTGACTCTCTTACTTTTTATCTTTTCCATGAGTTTAGTTCTATCCACAGAATCATATGCTTTCGAAAAATCTATAAAAAGTATATATGAATCACTCTTTTTCCCTTTATTATAATATTTTCGATATTCTAAGGTATTTTTCAGTAAGAAACTTTGTGTTATGCATGATTTTCCTTTTCTAAACCCATGTTGTCTATCTGAGATCTTAACGTTGTTTTCAATTTTTCTTAGTTCAGCCTTGTCAAGAATCTTCATAAAACTGTTCATTAATGTTATAGGTCTGTGATTCTTCAATTCTTTATGATTTCCTTTACCTTTATATATAAGAATAGTCTTAGCTTCATTTGCAACATCCGGTATACCATAAATTCTGCAAGTATTTAAAAAATGTGTTATTGCTTCTACCATTATATCTCCTCCTTTTTTTATTATTTCATTCGTTATATTATCTGGTCCAGGAGCTTTTCTGTTAGGCAAAGATTTAATAATATTCTCAATCTTTTTTGAGTTTCAAAGTTCATCTTCTAGACAACCTGCTTGTGGAATAAAAGATATCGTACTCCTAAATTGATCTTCAAATTCTTTTGTTCAAGATTGAATCTCAAATGCATTCATTGGTAAGACCAGTTTGTTTTTATTCAATAATCTTTTTATTTTGTTTCAAGCTCCATAGGGATCATTTATGCATTGTTTTAATCTATTTTCACTTATTATTTCATATCTATCTAGTCTTTTTAACTGATCAATGCATATTTTCTTTACTTTCCGTATTCTTTCAATAAATTCATTATTTTTCTGAGAATAGCAAAATTTGATTCATTCTTTGAGTTTGTTAATTCTTTTCCTTAAAATTTTCATTTCTGGAGTTTTAAAATGATCAGGCTGTAATTTAGTTTTTAGAATAATTGATTCTTCATCTAAGATAGTCTTTATTTCGGTATAGATTTGAGAAGGGTTATTTGTTATGAAAATACCTTTTTCTTTGAATTTAAGGAAGAGTCTGCTTTTAAAGGCTTCATGTTCATCTCCTTCTAGTTTATATCATGGAATAATTGTTTTTTGAGTTCCTAATGATATAATTATCGAAATGCGTGATAGGAGTAAAATATGGTTAGTATTTAATTGAGGGACTTCTATATAAATAATTTCTGATGTTGAGTTTGAGAGAATGTAATCAATAATTGTGTGTGTATTATGACCTCTAAAAGTTGATATTTGCATATCATTGAGAATGTATAGATGAGAATCTTTTATAAATTTAGAAAATATCTCTCCTGTTAGATCATCGATTTCAGATAAATATCCTTTTAGATGTGCATTAAAATCACCCAATAGTACTATTTGACGTCTATCCTTTTGATTTTTTTGAATAATTTCTTGAACTTCTATGATAAAGTCAATATAGTCATCAATTGATTTCTTACTTTGGTGATTTGCTACTACTGGGGCATAAGCTACTATTATCAAGTAATCTTCAATTAATGTTGCTGTTATTCTATGATTGTTAGTTTCAATTGATGTTATTAGATTTGCAAATGTTTCATGTATTAGTAACCCAGTTCCGCCTGATCCTCTGTTGCCAGCAATTGGCCCATTATTTCCAATTCAGATAAATCCTTGAATATATAAGGAAGTTTTCAGTCATGTTTCAGCAATTCCAAGAATAGAAATATCATTACATAATCGATTAACATTGTCTTCTAACAATTCGTCTTTCCCTATTCCAGATAGTCTTTTTTTTCTAACTACCCTATCGATCTTGCAGGCATTACTGTATTCGGAGGTGATATCTTAATAAACAGTAGATATAACGATGAAATGCCCTTAAACGATTGCGCTCAGAAAGTCATTTTTTTCCATGAACTTGCGCACCATATCAGAAAAACGAAAGGGGGCTTCTATGATATTAACCAAAAAACTCCAGACACTAAAAGCACAATATTTAAAGGAGCTCCAGGAGCGAAAAAAGCAACTCAATTGCGATCTACGAATGAGGGTGGCTGGCAGCTGGAGTCTGAACTCTTCTCTGTATTTTTTGTAAAAATTTGTGACAAACAAATTAACTTTCTCAATATAATTTCAAGTTGGAACTTACCACTTCAAGAGTTCAAATACTGGCTGAGGAACGCATATTCAGAGCATTCAAATAAATATCAATTGGGAAGAGGCAAGGATGGGCTGTACTCTTTAGAGAGAAGGGTCATAATGATAATTAAATACGTAATAAATGTTTTTCACATTTTTTTTTAATAATAAGTGAATATGTTTTCAAATTTAAATAGTATCCTGCTTGATTAATATAATATGTTGGAAAAATTTATATTCGGATCATTCAGACAGTGCTAAGTGGGAAAATGGCGATGGGTCATAACGATAATAAATTTGACTAAATTGGTTTTAAAATTTATTCAGCAGTTTTAATCTATTTTAATGATAAAAATTAAATTTGAATGGAAAGCATAAGCGAGACACAATGCTTGAAAGAAAAAGGAGCCGAATCAGAAGACTCATACAAAGTGCTATTATTAAGAAATTTTCCATTATTTTTAACTGATAAAAAGATGAAAAATAATCAATGATCTTTGCACCTCACTCCCAAAGCCTCACCTGGGTAGAAAAATTAATCAGGGTCGGAAAATTTGCAAATCAAAATTTTTCAGGAGCCGAATGCCATTTTATTTATGCAAAAATTGGAAACAAAAATAATTTTTCTATTAAATATGTGTTTGACAGTGCAAACTTTTTAAAATAGATTTCATATATTAACATTTGTATATTAAAAAATATTTTTAATAAATCGGCAGGGAAGTTACCAATTTCTATTCCAATAAAAAATGTTTTAACCTTTTATATTTCTTAAATTTTTGTTTATCCAAATATAATGACTAAATTATATCAAGGAAAAATTTTAAAGACTTCAAGAATGTGTCTATAAATAATTTATTCTATTTAAAATCTATCTATTGTTTTAAAAATTTCAGAAAAGCTTTGTATTTCATTTGGAAATTTATTTAATTAATGACAAAAATTAAAATTTATGAATCTTATAAGGTAAATGCCAAAAATTGAGTTAAAGCCCAAATATTATTTAAAGGTGGTAGCACAGCTTATATCCAGTCTCAAAAATATATTTTTAGTTAAATTATTTATTTGTATCAATTTAGCTAATTACATATCTTTTGAGTCTGGCAATTGCTCAATTAAACTTCTCCAGTTAAACTTGCTTTTATTAAAAAGCTCATTATGAGGATACACTCTTTCTGTTTTCGTTTTAAAAGGGTTATGAATTCTAAGGATCCCCCCCTCATTTGTCCAATTTTCTAGTCTTTTTATCATTTGTCCATTTTTATAGTTTTGTTTATAGGAAAAAACATTGTTTTAGGTCAAAAATTTTGATCGAAAAATTTTTTTCAGGACCTCGATTGTCTTCTAGTTTTTTTAAAGTAAAACTAAAATTTAGGACATTCGAAAAAATCCAAAAAAGACTAAAAAATGGAACAAATCATTTTTGACTAGATTTTGGGACAAATGAGTGGGGGATCCTTATTATCCTGATATTTCAACAGCACATTAGCTAACGATTTATAATTTGCAACAAGCTCAGAAATTTCATCATTATTTCTTTTAAGCTATTTATATCAAGATTCCCTAAAAATTCACTTTCTACTGCATGTGAATTAATTTTATTGGTAAAATCCGCAATCTTTTGCAAAGGGCTTCTTATAGATCTCGATGAACAATGAATTATCATAATAATTACAGCTAAAATAACTCCACCACAAAATATAAAAAACCCTATTAAAACTCCTCCGAATTCTTCGATTTTATTTCTGCTGTCGCTTCCATAAGTCGTAATATAGAATTTCCCCATAAATATCCCATAATTTTTTTTATAAATCTCCTATTAGTATTATATAAGAGAGAAAATAATATCTCTCTCCTTTACAAAAAACATAAGAACATACCATCATTCGTCATTATTTTGACTCCCTATTGGGAATCTAGCAACTCTATATACTTCATCGTGAAAAACCATAAAATGGATCCCTTTAGGCTTAGCCAATACTTTTCCCCAAAAATGGGAATCTTCTAGCTGGGTAATTGAGCCATAGGAATTGCTTCACCATCCTTTTCCATTGCGTTTTAAAATCTGGCCACTCTTGTGGACAAGGGCTGTGTCCCCTTTTCCTAGTTATTTTAGCTCTTTAAGGTCTTGATATATAAATATGACAGGCAAATCAGCTAATATAACCCCAATATTTTTATTGTTGTTATCAGTAAGTGATGTCGCCAATGAAATTATACCAAGAAGATTCCCTAACTCCCCCCCCATCCTTGATCGAACGACTCGCCATCGTTCGATCAAGGATGGGAGTTAAAAAAAATATTTTTGGGAATAACATTTTATATATATATAATGAAAAAGATAAATATATATTTTTTTTTATTTACTTTTAAATAAGAGGGTTAAGAGTATTTAATAATTATTTTTACAGCAAAAAATTGAATTAATTTCATAAAATACCAATTTTTAATATTTTGATTTATTAGTTACCCTTTTAAACTGTATAAATTTTAATTTAAATTAAATTTTTTTTAAAAATTTTAAAGAATCTCTATTTTATTAGATTATTGAGTTTTTAAGCCTAGGTTGATGACTAAATCACTTCGGATGGTTGATTTCGCAGCTTTTTGTCGTCTCAAAGCTCTGAAAACAACTTCATTAGGCAAATCTTCCAAAGCTTTTGATAACTAATATTTTTATATATATATATAAAAATTTGTATGATATGAAAATCGTTCGATCAAGGATGGGGGTTAATTTCCCCAATTTTTAGGAATTTTTACAGTCAATCGTTCGATCAAGGATGGGGGGGAGTAAGTAGCTAGGGTACCCAGTTGTCGCTGAATTTGTAGCATTATTTTGTTTATAAGCTATATATCAAGTTTGGTTTGTAGGTCTATAAGTATTAGTAATGTAACTTCCTGGATAAGTGATCATAAATTGCCTTCATCAAAATACATCATATATCCCTTTTTCCTCATTTCTCTCCCCATCATTTTTCTCAAAATTATTATTAAAAAATCATTAAAAACCGCTATATCTTATGACAGTCTGAAAAGCCAATACAAGTGTCGTGGGCCAAATATTATTAAACCTAGACACTTTTTTGATCAAACTATACGATACGTTAAAAATCTCTCCAAAAGTTTTATAACAGCTATAAGTAAAACACACCCTTTGGTTCCCATACAAATTCTTTAATTTTGATGACTTGGTATTGAACGATTTCGTCAGAGGCAAATTTTTGTTAGATTGAGGCACCGACCATGACTTGGACATAGTCATCGCCATCAGAAATGACGAGACGGTAGCGGGTTGTGCCGAGAAGCTTGATGCCGAGGATCTGCACAGTTGGCTTTAGATCGTTGCAGGATACGCCTGAGTTGATAGAGCGGACAGCTCTTTTAGTTAGAAGTGACATTTAATTTTTAAAAGATTGAGCGGTAGAGCCATAATACTTGAATTTACTATAAATATGGGTTTTTAAATATTTTATTAAAAATGGGAAGGAGTAAGAAAAATTGTATATAGCCTAGGCATTTTTCCTAACTAGCCTGGGCCTTTTTCTAGCACAGATTGCCGATAATTATGATGCCGTAAAGGAGCTGGCTTGACTAAATCCAAATCTATTTTTGGCAGATATATAGCAGCTATAGAATTGATAACAGTGATAACTACAATCATTTTATTTGAGGATAAATCCAAATATTCTATTAATTATCATAAAATAATATTTTGAAAAGCTTAAAATTGCCTCTCATTTTAATAATAAATGCTTAAAGCAAAGCGTCATTTTTCATGGCAGCTTACACGCTTTGCAGAGCATCCTGACTTTAAAATAGCCTCAAATATTTACACACATACTGCTCTTGGTTCAAAACTAATTCACTTAAAATCTCCAGACCCTTTAAAAGCATTTGGACTTCTTTTTCGCACAAAATCTGAAAATGATAAAGGTCTTCCTCATTCTTTAGAACGTCTCTGCTTATGTGGATCTCAAAATTATCCTATAAAAGACCCTTTCTCGAAGATGGGTAGCAGGTCATTAAATTCTTATATGAATTCTTGAACTGGCTCAGATTTTACAATGTTCCCTTTTAGTACTCAAAATACAAAAGATTTCAGCAATTTATTATATGTAAATAAGATAAATAATTTATTTAATTTTTTGTAATAATAAACTACTTATTGGTTTTTATTTACTCCCCCATCCGTGATCGAACGGAGGGCTTGATGATTTTTGTTTTAAAAATGTATGCTTTAAATGCAGCTTTTTATAGAGATTTCATTATACTAAATATCACTTATATATCAAAATAGTTTTTTATCAAAAATTTTGTTCGCTCACAGAGGTTTTTGTGTGGGTTTTTCAATGGCTTTTTGTTGGCTTACTGAGGGGAGTTAGTATAAATCTTTACTTGGATTCTGCTTTTTTCCCACTATTAAAATTAAGCGATTTTAAAAAAGAAATTTGGAGAATTGATACAAATCAAGAGAAAATCCAATTCCAAGGAAACTTATATGGAGACATGAAAACTGCTGCGAACGATCCTGATAATTTTTTATTGCATTTTATAAATAGATTTTTATTTGAAGGAACGTCTTATCAGTATAATAGTGGAGGAGATTTTTTAGCCATTCCTACTATGAAGTATGAAGAATTATTCTAATTTTTATAGAAAATTTGACCTATAATCCTTAATCTATGCCTGTTTTATATAAATCAACTAGAAAATATTTTTTCTATATTAAAATCCTTTTACTATAAATTTGTGTAATTGATTATCATAAGAAATTTTATCATCCTTCTAATGCAACCTTTTTCTTTTATGGTGATTTAGATATACAAAAGCACATAAATGAACTCGAAGAGCATGCATTAAATAAATTCACTAACTCCCCCCCCTCCGTGAGTGAACAAAAAAATTTTGTTCACTCACGGAGGGGGGTTAATTTTGTTTTTTTTTAAAAAAATTTATATATAAATTTTATAAAAAAATATTTTTTTTCGAAATTTTAAAAAAAAAAATCCTAATTCGCAACAATTGGAAAGCAAATATTAATTCAATTTGCAAAATTTATGTTTTTTTAAAAAGCAATTCGTTTAAAAAATAAACAGAATTAGCTTTAGATTCATTATAATAATTATCATTTATATATCAAATTTTTTTTCCATAAAAAATTTTTCTATTAAAAAAATTTTTGTTCACTCACAGAGGGTGGGTTTTTGGGCAAAAAATGGCGATTTTTCTAATGGTTTTGTTCACTCACGGACGGGGGGGGAGTAAACAAGAAATTGACTCTGAAATCAAATTAGCGCCTAGAAGACAGCACCCTTTAGAAATGACTGCAAGAATCCCTATGGGCTGAAAACCAATTGACCCAAACCGTCCATCCCAATTTTCTATGACTTTTCTCTGCAATGAAATTTCTAAAGACCCCTACTTAACCTTTTGTATGGGAATTTTAAGCTCATTACTATTAGAAGGGCCAGGCACACCATTTTATAAATCCTTGCTAGAAAGCGGACTAGGACGAAATTATATAGCTGGCAGCGGTTATGACACAACAACAAAAGAAGCCACTTTTACCTTTGGAGTCACAGGGATGAATGATGCTGATAGCAGAAAGGTAGAAAACGCCATTTTAAAAACCTTACAAGTCTGTATGAATGAAGAATTTGATTTAAATATGATTGAATCTACCCTTCATCAGATTGAAATCAGAAATAAAGAAATTAAACCAAATTATGGGCTTTTGTTGATATCGTCAATGATTCCTTATGCGCTGCATGGAGAAGACCCTTTGCCACCTTTATATATAAATAAATATATAAATAGGTTGAGGGAAGAGCTGGCACAAGGAATTCCGGTTTTTCAGAATTTGATAAGAGAGCAGCTGTGAAATAATCAGCACAAGCTAATATTGACTTCACATCTTGATCCTAAATTGATGAAAAATTGGCTTGAAGAAGAAAAAAATAACATAGAAAAATTAGAGATAGTAAGCTTTTTTACATAATAATGCAATAATATTGATGGGAGTGCTTATAAAATAATTTAGAATTTTATATAGATTCTATAGTTATTCATTTTTTTTAAGCATAAAAGAAGAAAATAAAGAAGAAGAAGAAATTGATGAAGGCTCATTAGAAAAGGTAAATACTCAAAACACAGAAATCCAAGCATTAAATTCTTTACCCACACTATTACCTACTGATGTTGGTATCGAGGTAGAAAAAATCGAATATGCAAAAACGCATGAGATCAATGGAATTCCATTAAAGTTCATATTGCAGCCAACTAATGGAATCACATATATAAGGATAAAATTTGACGTAATAGACCTCCCAGTCGACCTCGGAGGCTTATTTCCTTTATATACAGAGCTCGTTAGCAAGCTCGGCACATCAAAGTATCCTTATGAAACCTTCGAAAAAATGAAAGAACTCTACACAATTTCCGGCCTGAATCTTGACCCCTTTATTTCATGTGATTTAAACACAATTGATCGCCATACAGAGCAGCTTTTATTAGAAATCGGAAGCTTAGACCATAATCTTCACAATGCATTTGACATTTTATCTGATTTTTTAATCCAGCCAAATTTCAATGACTATGAAAGACTGACATCAGAAATCCAAAAAAGCACCAAAAAAAGAGCTGATGGTCTAAATAGAGATGGGCTGGCTTATGCTATAAGTTTATCGGCTTCTTCTATTACTTCAGCTGCTAATTCTTACGAAAAATTACAAACACTGAACCATGACTGTAATCTTGCCAGCCTAATCCAAAATTCTTTATCTACAAAGAAGGTTATTGATGATGTGATTTTTAGGCTAAAACAAATACATAGCTTTCTCATGCAAAAAGGAAGAATTTCTATATTAATACATAGCTCAGATTTATCTCAGTCTGCAGAAATTATTGAAAGATTTGAGTTGTTAACAAATGCTTTGAGTATTGAATATCCGAAATTTAATGAAAAAATTGAAAAAATTACATTGGAAAGGTTTGAGCCGTTTTTGTATCAAATTTATTTTACACTCCCTATGCAGGTTAACCATGTAGTCGAAACTTATATGGGAACATCTCTGTTAAATAAAGATTATCCAGCTTTGCTTGTATTATCTGAATTAATGACGCTAAATATTCTTAATCATGAGCTGAGAGAAAAGGGTGGAGCATATGACGCAGGCTGCAGAGTTAATCCTAGCAATGGAACAATTACGATATTTTCACACCGAGACCCAAATAATTTAAAAGTTTATAATGCCTTTGAAAAATCTATACAAGCTTATTCAAGCGGAGAATTTGGGTATTATTTATATAGGGATAATATATCTTTTAGAATTGAATTTTTATTAATTTATAATAAAATTGTTAATATTAAATTCAAATTAATAAAATATAAAATAGATGAAGCTAAATTAGCGACTTTTGCGAAGGTTGATAAGCCACTTCCAGCATATCAGAAAGGATTAGCAATGTTTATTAACAGTAAATTATATTTAGATGTTACTAATGAAATGAGACAAAGTATGAGAGAACAAATATTGGAAGTAAAAAGAGATGATTTAATTAGGGTAAACCATGATTATTTAATGAAGCCTTTGGAAAAAGGATTAAGCTCGAGAATCATTTTTGGAGTGGAGAAAGTTGAAAAAACTGTGCTAACTCCCCTCACTCTGTGAGAACGAATTCATTGAAAAAATTCATATTTTTTTAGGTAAAAGCCCACCCTCTGTAAACAAAAAATGTTTTTTAATATAAAAACTTTTTATAAAAATATTTTTATTTATAATTGAGAATTAATGTAATAAAATCTCTAGCTAATTCTGTTTAATTTTAAACAAATAAAGTTGGCCTGCTCTAAACAGGTGATAATTGAATAATTTAGTTAGTTTAATTTTAAAAAGCTTGCATTTTAAAACATAAATTTTAAAATTAAATAAATTTGTGCTTTCCAGTTTTTTGAGATTTTGTATTTTCTATATAAATTTAAACAAATATCAATCCCCCTCCGTTAGCGAACAAAATATTTTGTTCGCTCACGGTAAGGGGGAATAAGAGAAGCTGGGTGGATTGTTCAAAGACCAATTGAAATAGTGTCAGATAAACTTAATGCAGAATCCTAATAAAAACTTATACGTAATAATCGATCATAATAAAATAGCACAGATTCAGCTCTAGAAATCTTCTATTTTAGTAAGTATGGGATTGGTGATTTGAAAAGTATCGAAGCTATTTTGATGATATATTAGCTTCTTTTTAAAAACATTATTATAAGGCATTTTAGATTTGATTTATAGTGATAGAAAAGCTAAATAGGATATATCTTGTTTATATGTTTAGAGCTTAAACTCATCTTTAAAATTAAACAAGAAAAACTGTTTACTGATACTAAGCGCTCCATTTAATTATTCATATCCACGATTTATTATTCACTTAAAACTCTTCAAGCTCACTAATATTAACCGGAGGTTTCCAATAATTATATTCACTATATTCATCCTCTCCTATTTTCTGTATTTCTTCCACTTTATTTTCCACTTCAGGTTCACAAATTTCTTCACTATTTTCTTTTCTTTCCTCTTCTTTCTTTTCCTCTTCTTGCTGCTGAATCGTACTTTCCGGTAAATCATAATCTTGCTCACTTCCCAGCCTTGACCTCGTTCCAGCCGGTTTTCCTCCTAGCTCTATACAATCCAGCCTATTTTGTGGAATCAAAAAGCTGCTTACAAACATTTTCCACTCATTTGATTCACCTAATAAATTATCAATTGTAGGATATGACGAATTTTCGATTATTAAATTTCCTATTTTTGTGGCATAGCCTAAATGGCCTTTTCTGATATCAATTTTTTGGTTTGGAATAATCTGAGATTGCATTAGTTCATAAAGTCTCTGTGGAAGCTCAGCTTGCGATAGTAGCTGAATATAAATTACTGAGAGTTTCAAGGCGTCTGATTTAGTTTCAAAAATTGAGCTGATAAGCTTATAATAAGCATTGTGGAGAAATGAATTCCAATAGTTTTGGAACATTAAATCCTAAATTATAGTTACTGTAGAAATTTTGAGAATTTGGGAATCTGCAAGAAGAGTGTTGAATCTTTGAGAAGGAATTTTGATGGCTGAAGCCAAAATTTCAATCATTCTGATTTTACCTTCACCTAAAATTGGTATTTCTTCATTAAATGAAGTTCTGATAGTTCCTTCATCATTTTTTAGTATGTTTTCAATCTGTTCCATATATTTAACCATTTCAGATATACAAATTTATGGGTTATAATTCAAATCTCTTTTGTTTAAATAATCTATTTTTTATTAAAATAGTTTATTTTTTTTATGAATTTCTATATAAATAGGTATATAATTTTTTGATCCTCTTCATCAATAATTTTATTATCATCATCACTATTATCAGGATCAGGCATATCCACATTATTAAATAAGCAGCATAAAAGCCTTGATGCTTCTTTTTTCACTATGGGATTTCCTTCAAAAACCTGCTTAAAAATATGTTCAATGCACTCATCGCCTAATAAATACCCAAAAATATATCCCCAGTTTTTTATTTGTGCCTTTTTTGATACGATTTCAATGAGCAAGCTACTTGCGTTGTAAACAGTTTCTATTGTATTTTCAGAAGAAATGCAATAGACAACTTTTTCAATTAAATCGAAAAGTGCATCTTGAAATTCAGGATTTCCATATTCCTCTTCTAAAAGGATAAATTAAGCATAGGGATAATAATCGTTTTCTTATTCTTTTCCAAAATGTGGGAATTATATAAAACACAATAAAAGTCTTCCTATAAGATCTGCCAAACTTTTGCTGTAAAAATGCCTAATTATCAAGTCTATACGATTTTCATCATGTAAAAACCTCAGAACTTCATAAGCCGAAGTTGATAATAGAGACTGCATAACTTTACTTAAATAGCCTAATGAAGTGATATTAAGGCACTCTTGGCTATTTAAATAGCTATAAAGCTTTTCTAAAAGCGCATTTCCTTTAATTATTCTGTTGTTGATTTCTTGAGAGCTGCAAGCTAAAAACTCACAAGCCACAAAAGGGTATTTAAATCTAAGTTTAGAATCGAGATATTCAGGAGGCTCAGCAATAAGATAATTTATTAGAACTTCCAGTTTTGCGTTATCAAGGAAATCCAGAAATTTTTTATTTGATAACCTAAGCTCAGCTGCAGCATCATCGCCATAGTCCATTACTGCTTCAAGAGTGAGGCCTTCTTTATCGAAGATTTTATCAAAAGCTGGGGAACTTTGACGAAATCTTGCTCTTCCAAGCATTCCTAAGTTCATTAAATGTCTATATTTATAATAAAAACCAACAAAAACTAAAAAATTTTCATATAAAGTAAAAATGATAAGATAGAAAAGAAAAAAACTGCTATATAAATAGTAAAAATTTAATAGTTCAATGAGGTATGAGACAGCTTAAAATACTTTATATTTAAGTTATATTTATACAAAAGAAATTTGAATATGATAAGAAATCAACAAAAATAGCTATTTTTATCATAATTAATTTAAATATATATATAATTAAAATATGGCATCTTCGTCTGGGCATGGCCTCTCGGCCATGTAGCCTCGACTCATATTTTAACTATATCCGGCAAGGTTTTGCATTTCAGAAAGGGACAGCAATGCTAGGTAAGCAATTCTGGTGGTGCTCAGAGCCTAGCCCAAGTCTATTTTCAGGGTGTTTTTTTTCCTCATGGGAAAGGAGGCACGTGAGTTGGAAAGGGGAAGCTCAGCCAAGTCAGTTAGGACCAATCGGGCAACTCCCTAGCGTGAAACTGGGCGTTACGTCCCAGGCTTCGTGTTTTTCCTTTTTGCCGAAAGCCTACCAGAAAACCCATTTTTTATGGATTTTTTCGGAATGGCAACCCATGTCCTCAAGCGAAGTCGCTCAGTCATGAGCCGTCGAAGTCGGCAACGTCTACCACTAGACGCACCCTGGCGAAACAAAGCTGGTCGACCCAGAGGCCAGTGGGCCCGATGCGCCGAAGGGCAGGCGGAAGCTCTGGGATGGCAACCCCGTAAGGGACGTTAAGCGTATAAATTTAATAGAATATAATTTAAATGTATATTAATATATTAATCTCTTATTAAAACTTATTATTTTCAACTTTTCTTTGTTTCACCAGAGGTCAATATGCAGTTATTCATATAATATAAAACAATTATACCTCCGTCTAAGAATTCAAAATGATTGAGGAAGCGAAGGTTTTGTTAGGTTAGGGCTAGGCTGGCCTCAAAATAGGCTTTATCTGCGATAACACTAACAGAGGTGACGCAGGATAGAGAGGTTAAACTTTAAGATAATAATAAATTAAACCCAATGCGAGCAATTAATGATAAATAAGTTATTTATTCTCAAATTACTTTTAAATATTTATTCTTTAATTGAAAGTGCCGCATTCGCCAACAATTCTTCATTGCACATACAATATTTTGCAGGCACATGCAGCGAAGATGCTAAGTCTTCACAAGGTCCTTCATACTTATCCAGCCTATTTACAAAGAGCAGTTGCGATCCTCTCTTCCTATTTCTATAAAAAATCTGATCCGTTCTAAACGACCCCGGTCTTAACGCTCTTTTCCTCGATTTAATCAGCCATAAAATTTCAAATTTGGCTCCCCCTTCCACAAGAACATGCACTTTAATCATCTCCTGTGTCTTATCAATAGGTACCCCCCAAACTTCTAAAATTTCTTGCAAAACTAACTGTTTGCATACTTTCTTTAGCCTAAACGTCATATGTAGCTGCATATTTAAAAAATAAAGCGTCTCAATTAGCATTTCATCAACCAATTTCATGACTTCTTTATAATCTTTTTCATTTTTTACAATATCTTTCATATACTCAAAAGATCGGCAGCTACATAGCCATGCATCAATACTAAATTCATTACAAGTTGTATTATCAGGGGTATAAGCAGTCATTAAATTTCTAGAAGCCCCAAAATCTACACCAGTGGTTAGTTCTGCTAAATGTAGAGTTAGGTATCTTTGATGGATTTTTGTAGTCAGTCTATGTGTGTTATGGACTAAATTGTCTATTGAGTTAGGAACTTTTGAAAGCAAGCTATCTGAGGCGATGAAAAAGAAAGCGGGGAGTCTTCATTCAACTGCAGCTTCTTCAGTGCTCCATCATTCGCCATATCTCATGCCATGGTCTCCTTCTAAGATAATGGCTACTTCTTCTTCTCTTGAAAGAATTTTCTTTAAAAATGCAGTTAGTTCTTCGTCAAGGGTAATTGCATGGAGCCCTGTGGACTCGTGGCCTGCGTCTAGGTGCATGTTGATTCATTTATTGGTATCTGGATAAATTTCAAGCAGCTCCCAAGCGTAGTCTAATATACGCCCTTCCTATAGATGGCGCGCAATGCGCCATCATCGGCCATGTCGGGAGAGGGTTCTCCACGAGGAATGGTTCCACGTGTGGAACCCTCTTTTTCCACGAGCCAAAAAGAGGGTTCCACACGTGGAACATTTCCTCGTGGAGAACCCTCTCCCGACATGGCCCGATGATGGCGCATTGCGCGCCATCTATAGGAAGGGCGTATATGTAATCATGGGCCATTTTTTGGCCTATGCACCTTTGCTGATTGATATCGTCTTTTAAGTCGGCGAAATCAGCATATTTGACAGCTGCGCAATAAAATTCGTTTATTGTGTAGTCAACTGGGACGTCTCTTCCGAGAACTGGGGCGAATTGTTCATTGCAGCTGTCCATAGCCATTAGTGATATAAATCCATAAACTCTTATTTCCCTCCCCTTTTAAATTGGAGCAAAAATCCTGCCAGTCTAAAGGGGGTCATTATGTTAAATTTCTCTATAAAAAAATATAAATAAAGCTTATATATTTGAAATTTAATTAATTTTATGAAGAATTAATGTAAAAATTTTGCCTTTTCAGTGTTAATATGTTTAAATTATATTCTAATTACACTTTTATCATTATTAGATCAAAACGAGATATGTAAAATTAGTATTTTCACCTTCACGATTTCCTATTGAAAATTAAGGTTCCCAAAAAAATGAAAATTCTACCGATATTTTTATTCCTATTTAATGGGGGAGGGGGAGTTAATAAGTTTCATAAATCAGGTGGATAAGGATTTTTTTGTTTCATTCTTTCTAGATAGTTAATCCCTGAATAAACATAAACTTGGTTTTCTATACTTGCATGGTCTTGGATATTATGAATTTTAAAGTCAAAAACTTTATGTGTAGAATTTTCATTCAGACTGTTTAAGTATGCCACTGTTGTAGGGAGTTTTCTTATGAAATGTCTGCGTGATAAGCTATCACAAGCTATATGGACAATTGTGATAGGCTTTTTTAAAATCCCTTTATGAGCTTTTGTGTTTTCTTTAGCAAGTTTATGAAGAGTTTCATTATATCGAGGCCTCATAATAGGAATATCAAATTTTCCAGACTTAAACTATAATGCTTAAAATCTTTCGTGTCATTCTTCTTTGCCTCACACGCTTTTACCGAACTGTCTATTTCAGGTAGTTTTTAGACCACAGTTCTTTCCCCTGCCGATTCTGGAGGATTAAAATGATATTTGAGACCACAGTTAATTGTAGTCGCCAAGGATATATATTTAGTCTCCGCCACCATATTAATTATAAAATTTTTCCAAAGGTTTCGCATGAAGCTAAAATAAATTCTTCAGAGTTTAGCTTTGCAGGGTGACCTGGATAGCTGTGAACGTCTCATTCATTGCCAACTCGATTTACAAGCTTAAATCCGGGTTTATTTCCTGAGACATAGCGCCCTTTAGCACCATTCAAGCATTCTAATTTCAATAAATTGCTATTGTAATCTAAGCTAATATTTGCTTTTTTAGAATTATATACATTAAAATGGCGTGGTAACCAGCCCACCGTCTTAATTTTGTAGTTGCCATTCCACAGGGTGAGCAGCGACATTGAGGAAGGAGGATGGCGTTTGAAATGCGTCCTGGCCATGTTTTCTTGGTTTGATGAAGCACAATGTCGTGATAGCTGACCACATGCTTCTTCTTCCAAATCCAGATTTTTGCCTCTTGGGAAATGGCTCCGAAAGTTGGAAAGGGATTCCCAGAAGAGCCAATGTTAGTTTCTTGGCCAATCGTAACTGTTTTCAACCATGAAGCCAGGAGTTACGCACTCAGCCTCGGATTTTCATTTTGACTGAGAGTCGACTAGATATTGAATTTTTCATGGTGGGCAACCTTTGTTGACGCACTGCACAGTTACAAAGCTCATCGATCTGTAGGGTGAAGAACCTTCGCGATATGCTAAATACGAACTGGTGAGCAGGTGGGGAAGCTTTAGGGGTGGAAGCAGTGGTGTTCAGGACTTTTCTATAAGTCTAGTAAACTTTAACGCTTTTTTTCGAATTAATTTGTGAGCATTTTGGGTATTTTTTGTATGGGAAAATTGTGTCACCATCCTTTTTTGAGTATCCTCAATTTGTAGGTAAACAAGCTAGTCTGTCTCTTAAGTATTCGAGATCTGAAGTGCTGTCATATACATAAAAATGGTGACGACAGACCACCCGACCTTTCGACACTATTTCTTCAACAGCAGCAGGCAACGGCCCAGTGTTGAGGATTTAGGTGGAAAGGGGTCGGTAATCCTTTATGCATAGTCGGGCTGGGTTTTCCTCGGGCCAGGGAGCTAATCCCTGGACTTAAAGTTTTTCTTCCGGTACAACCATTGGAAAGGGCAAGTTCGGCCAATGCCTGACGGGCAATATGACCCTCAGACCCTGAAGACGGTATTTGCCTAACGAGAAACTGGGAGTTTCGATCCAGGTGTAGCCCTTAGACTCCAGAAGCCATGGAAGTCAAGACTGGTGCGCGAAGCTTCATCTGCGGCGACGGGGAAGGGTGTCCGCTGGGATCCCTCAGGGATGATGAGCGTGTAGGGGTGCAAATCCCCGGCCCTTGCGAAAGCGAATGGCTCAATCTAATCTAATCTGAATCTGAAGTACTGTCAAGTAAAATAGGTTCTGGGAAATCCAAATTTTCAGGGACTGTATTTGTATTATTACTCATTCAGCTGTGCTTAAGTTGGTAAGGTGTAGCTATATTTTTTTTATTGTCAAAACTTGGCGAAATTACTAAAAATCCGATTCAAATAAAAATAAGCAGAGCCAAAGTATAATAATTTTTCATAAAGCCCTTTTATATTAAATCCTTAATTAATCTCAATTAAGAATATTTTTATATCTAATTTAGTCCATTCTTTCCACTCTCAGCTCAGACTGCCCTAGCAGGATGATATCATTTTCAAAAACCTCGGTTTTTACCGATTTGGTCTGTTTTTCAATTGTATAAGTTGTGTGAAAATATCGATACAATTTTTTGCTGTCAAGAGCCTTGATTATCCATATTCCATTTACACATAAAATTTCTGCATGTTTTCTTGTCAACGTCAAATCGGGGTTATAAATAAAGTCGTCTTTTGCCCTTCCCAGGGTAACTCTTTTATTTTCAATCACATATCGTGCCCTATCAGAATCCATGAGGCCAAAAGTTACTGTTAATGAGTTTGAGCCATTTACCTCTTGAACTTCTAAAATGCAATTTCCTGCTTTTAGTGCAAGTCCAGGGAATAATAACAATGATTTTTCTATAATCTTGCATGAAATTAATTGTATTGATGGGGCTTCTTGAATCAAAAGATGACCCTTTTCAACGGTCAATTCAATTTGGTTATCATTAAAATAAGGAAATCAAAGATCTGGCTTCCCTAACTACCCCTATTGGTAAGCAAACAAAACTATTGAAAAAAATACTATTTTTATTCCAAAAACGCCCACAGTGAGCGAACTAAAAATTATTTACGAAAAATATTTCGACATATGAGCGAGTAACTATAATGAAATCTCTAACTAAGATAGTTAAACAAATTGCATTTTTAAACAGAAATTTGTTAAAACAACTTTTTTTCGCTCACTGAGGAGGAAGTAAGGAATTAGTTTTGCCAATTGCAAATTTCTTACCTTCTATAATATATTGGTCCTTGTTGTCTAAAATAAGCATCCAATGGTCAGTTTTTTCTTCTTCTTCTTTTACTTCTTTAGGTTTTATGCTAGTTTTCAGGCTGCTTAGATCGATAAATCTCACTAAATCTTTTATTGAAGTCTCTCCTCATGTATTTAAGCAGCTTGGTATTACCTTACTCACACTTTAAATTTGGAATAAAATATCTGTTAAAATTTGAAATTAACCTAGTTTTACATTTATAGGTAAAAATAATTTTTATATAATTGGCTTTGTTCAATTTAATAGAAAATTTCTATTTAAATTGATTGAATTTTTGAATTAATTCTTCATAAAAAATAGATTAAAAAAGCAAACAAATGCTCACTTTATATTTTCTATTATGTTTTTTTTAAAATTTTATAATCCCAATTTAAAGAGGAGAGTAATATTTTTTTCCCAATTATTATCTAAATCTTCGATTCCTGGGATCTCTTGGCGCACATTAAAATGCCCTCCTTTTCTTGAATCATCCCACATTTATAATTGTATCCAGATGGCATGCTAATATGGGAATTTCTATAATATCAATTAAATTGTTTATATGCTACCAATAAGGCTGCCTAACTTTTACTCAGAGGCATTTCTCGCATTACTCTGTAAAACATTTTCTAACAGATTGGCCGAAATATTAGTTTTTGCCAAGTAATTTCTGAAGAGGAAATTTTTTTAACAATTAGTGTTAGGAAAATATCTTTAGGTTAAAAATTATGACAAAAATATGCTACGACCAACAAGGGCTATCATTCTAAAATTATAGATAATTCTAACTCCCCCTCTATATGAGCTAGCAAAATCATCAGATAAACTCGATTTTTTTTTAAAAAAATAACTCTGCAAGTACTCAAAATTTTTAATATACAAATTTTTATACAAAATATTCAGCATATAGCATATACTTTTAAGCTCCTCTTTTAGCGCAATTTTTTTTTCTAGCTAGGAAATGGGAGTAAAAATAATTGCAAATATGGAAGATCGTAGCAAAATAATTTAATTTAAATTATAGATACACTATTCTCTTCTGTTTGATATTGACACAACTTCTTGTTCTTCCACAGTTTGAAGCACTCCGGACCGTGAAGGACTTGCCGCCTCATTGCCCCAGTTGAAGTTCATAGAAGTGTTGATGCTGACTGAGTTGTCGAATTGGCTGGTTATCATGGTATTTTCTGAATTTTTGAAGTCTTTCTTGCAGAGGCAGCAGTATGTTTTGTCTCGGAACCACAAATCTATGCAATTTTTGTGGTAAGTGTGGTCACAGGAAAGTTCTCTTACGTAGTCCTTGGGGGTGAAGTTATCGAGACAGATAGGACAAGTTATGGTTTCTAGGTTGGAGTCTTTGACTTTGTAAAGCTTTTTTGGAAAATTTTCTTTAATAAACTGTTTATCGATTGCTCATTCTTGGTATATAGTAAGTAATTGAATTGGCTTACCCCCCCTCCTCCGTGAGTGAACAAAAAAATTTTGTTCACTCACGGAGCGGTTATTTTTTTTTTAAAAAAAATTTTATATATAAATTTTATAAAAAATTTTTTTTTTTTTCGAAATTTAAAAAAATCCTAATTCGCGAAAATTTGAAAGCAAATATTAATTTAATTTATAAAGTTTATGTTTTAAAAAAGCAATTCGTTTAAAATTAAACAGAATCAGCTCTAGATTTCATTATGCTAATTATCACTTATATATCAAAAATTTTTTCCATAAAAAATTTTTCAATTAAAAAAATTTTTGTTCACTCACGGAGGGGTGGGTTTTTGGGCAAAAAATAGCGATTTTCTAATGGTTTTGTTCACTCACGGAGGGGGGGGAGTTAGTATGTTTTGAGCTATAAATATTAAAATTTTTAATTATAATTTATGATAAAATGAAGCCGGATAGATATAATAAACTCTTGGGTCATTTGCTGCTGATTTACTATGTTTATATATAGCAAAAATTACCCATCCCATAATAAAAGCTGCAGACAGCCCAATTAAAATCCAAAATATTACCATCTTATCGCTTCCACCTCCTGAACTTTTAGTGATAGTTACCTTGACACTAGTAGCATGATCGTTGTCATTAATAATTTCAAAATATCAATAAGACCCAGAACTCACAGAATATTTTATACCTATTTAAATCGACTAAATGAATTTTAATTTATATTTATTTATAATATTTTCTATTAATTTTCAATTATTAATTCGTTTTTATAGAAAGCAAGCATATATCATATCCACTTGCCTTGCTTTTTCATTCATAAACAGTCGGTAAAGCTGTTTTATAATTATCTGACTTATTTTTTATATACATTGTAATAGAAGTCCCATAAGAAATAAACTCAATCTTCACATCGTTATCTTGATGAAGAAAAACTGCATATTTAATTTGATTTTGTGTTAAACTCAAATACCCCGGTTGAGATTCCACTAATTGAGCTGCGTCTATACTGCAATCATTTCCTATATAATTTGCATTACAAACGCATATTCCTTCGTTGCATGTCCCTTGAGGATCTGAGCATCCATTCCTCCTTATTTATTACCTTTAAGTTTGAAGCATATATGCTTCGTCACTTAAACATGCTTTAAGATAAAAAGTCACTAAAAGAGTCTCAGACCCGAAATTATTTGGCCAGCAAAATGCTATTACTCCACCTATGTTTGACTCTTAAGACGATAGTCTTTCCAGCTCTTAGGCAAAGCCACTTTTGCGCGAGCTCCTACCCATGTTTCTCCCCCCGAAGGTTTTCCATCACATGTTTTTCCTTATCGGGGCCATCGGGGCACTCTATAGATGGTTGCTCTACCATAGGAAGCTGATCCTTGTACAGGTGGTGTCGCGGAGTCGGTTAAACAGATAGAGAAGGTCCTGGAGAAGCTCCGCACCTGATGCACAGCGAACTCGATGTCCTTAAACATCGGGCCAGAGAAGACGGCCATCTTTCCGGTCCTGAACTGGAAAAAGAAAATGACAATAGCAACCCTAAAGGAGCTCAGATATGATGGGAAGGTCATCCCACTGGTGACTGGGTACAAGTACTTGGGAAGGATTTTCAAACACTCGAGAGGGGCGAACCCGGACCGAGCCCATTTCCTACATATGCAGGAGAGGGCCCAGGTCACTTGCAGTGTGCTGACGTATGTGACCAAGCAGTGCCCCTACATACCGTCTAAGGTTATTGTAAGCTGCCTCAAGGCCATCTTTCTCCCTAGGATAGGGTACGGGATGGAGACATGCTCGCGGGAGAAGAGTAAGGGAAGCATAGGCACCATTGAGAGGCAGCTTAATAGAGTCCTGAGGGAGGCTGTCTTTGTGTATAAACACACCCCAATTGAGTCAATCCTCCTTGATATGGACATCCCTACGTTTGAGAAGTACATTGACACGGCGTCGCTTAGATTTTTACATAAAAAATCTGGGAGCTCGCCAATGAGTTTGAGCTAGCCGAGCACTTGCTGAGGAGCATATCCGAGGCTAAAACGCCAACAGCCGCTCTCTTCAAGCAGCTGCTGGAGAAGTACTCTCTGGATTACCCTTACGTGTGTGGAGACAAAATTGAGTGGCTGGCTATGAACTGGAAAAAGAGTGTGAAGGGCGTGACCAAGCGATACTGAAGGAAGGTACTAATGGAGAGAGCCAAAAAGAAGGTTACGCTCAACAATTTCGTTAAACTGAAGAGCCTGGTAGAGGACGACCCTGAAGCAGAGGAGAAAAAGGCGAGGTTCTGAGGTATCAACAAGAAATTGATCAGGGAGGCCAGAGTCAAGGCTACCTGGGAGATATGGAGCTGGCCCCGCTCGGGCTCTGGCTGCGCTAAGGGCTAAGGACCAAAGGGAGAGGGAGGAGGACAAGTGTAGGCTCTGCAATGTGAAAGAAACAGAGAAGCACGTCCTCAATGAGTGCGAATTGTACGCTGAAATAAGGAGGAAGACCCGGCGGAGGCTAAGGGACATATTAGGGGAGACTTCGGAAAGGCTGACGAGGCACACGTGGCTAATTGCAGACTCGACTGAACTCAAGGGGCTTGTCAGCGAGGAGGACCTGGATGCTGTCGATAGGGATACCAAGAGGGCCCTGATAGAGTTCGACGACCTCCTAAGGAAGAGCACGCCTGACAGTAAGCACAGGAGACTGGAAAAGGAGGAGCAACTGGAAGACCTTAGGCAAGCAGGGATCACGGAGGAAATCGTGCAGGAAATCGAAAGGCAGATTTCTGAGAAGGAAAGAAAGGGCCTTCTGCTGGAGGAAGAGGCTTGGCGCACAACAGCGATGGTCATTGAATCATCCGGCTGCTAAAAGGCGACAGAGTTTTCTGCGTGACGGGCCTGAAAGAAGGTCGCCGCGGTGGAAAACTGCCTCATGAGGAAGGGTTAGATGCCTTGAGGCTGATTTTAAAGCCGTTTGGCCTAAGGAGGTGCCGGCGCGAGGCGTGAGTTTTTGGAGCGGAATTGTGGAGCTGATGTTGTGGAGCTGATGTTGTGGAGCTGATGTTGTGGAGTTGATGTTGTGGAGTTGATGGTGTGGAGCTGATTTTGTGGAGCTGATTTGGCGTTTTGTTGTGCCTTGGGATGCTATGATGAAGCAATTATAATTGTAGGGTAGGGATAACCTTATTTTTCTTCTTGTACAGGTGGCTCAAATCGGAAATCCAAGATAGTGACATTTTTGGAGCCAAGATAGGCGACGGCTAGTGGCTTGCCAACTTATGGCTAGCATAATCGCTTAATTTAAATTTAATTTGATTTGGTTTTGGCGACTATCCAGGACTGCAGCATCTCTAGGCTTTAATACTCTATCATTGCTGGGATAATTTACTTGGTCCACTTAATAAAAATATTCAACAGAAAAGTTTTCGCTCAGGATATATCAAAAATTCGAATGGCGCCATGGTTTTGATTATAACTATCCATTCACACAAATAACTGTTTTAGACTCAGCTACTGAGAGTGTATAAGCGCATGTAGCATTAGGAGAATAGATACCAATAAATAAAGAATTTTCGTCATATTCATCAGGGTATAGAATTAAATTGTGGGATTTTGAGGCTAAGTATCAGTCGTCGCGGTCAATTTGGTCACAATCAAAATCTTTCCCTGAATTTGTAGGAATGTCTCCACTTTTAGTCATAAGGACTGCGTTTTCTCCAACAGCAAATATTGCTTTGATTGAGAGATAAGAAGAGGAGGAAGATAAGCCTTGAACCTGAAAATATTGCCAATCAGCAGATTGAGACTTGGAAATGGCTTGGTTAGTGCACCCCTTAATTAGTAAGCAGGTTTTCTTGCTCTAGAAAATAATTTAATTTAAAAATTCCAATTGAAATATTTATAAGGAAAACTCTTATTTAATTTAGAAAATATTTTAAATGCAAACTGTCTTAAATTTAATAGATGCATCTAGAGATTTCATTCTCATAATTTTTAATTATATATCAAAATATTTTTATTAAAGTAAGACATTTTCAAAAGATGAAGAGTAAGAACTATTATGTCGATGCTTTGAGAAGCTCCAAGACATGATACAATTAGCAATAAAAATTTTCAAAATAATCGTCTGGTTGGAGCAAGAAAAATTACCATTTTAACTGTTTCTAATTGTTTTAACAAAGGAGAGCTTATTCTCTTTATCTTATCCTTGCTAAGATACTAATTTACTATTTGCGCCAAAAATATAAAATAAACCTTTAAGTATTTCTTTACTAAAAATGCTAATTTTTATATCATTTACTATAAATTATTTATTATCAAGAGCCAGCCCTGCCAAACTTCTATCCTTCATAATTTTTGTAACGATATTAGAAAGTACTCTTTTCGCCCCTACCTCCGTAAACATATTGGACCCATTTGACAGCACAAATTCCATTCCTCTCAAAAACATCGCAGGATTTGTAATATTATCAACCAAACTTTGCTTAATTTCTTGCGGATCAGTGAATCCTTTAGAATGCGTATTTGAAATGACCGGAATTTGTGAAGGCTTTACATCCATCTTGTCAAGCTCTTCTTTTACTCTATCAGCAGCTGGTTTCATAAGTCTACAGTGAAATGGTGCAGACACATTTAAAGATTTCACAGGAATTTCATATTTTTCTAATAGATAATTAGTGACTGTATCCACACTGTCACGGGTCCCACTCAGGACGACTTGTTTGTCATGGTTAACTCCTGCGATTTCACATATTCCATCGATTTTTATTTCATTTAATGTATTTCTTACAGTTTCTTCTGAAGCTGCTACTGCAGTCATTCTGATTGCTAGACCTTCGACTGACTCTTGCATAGCTTTTCCTCGTATATAAGCAATTTTTACACCTTGCTCAATTGTTAAAGCTCCGCTTATGACACAAGCGGAGTATTCGCCTAGAGAATGGCCTAATGCGTATGCAAAATCTGTTGGTTTGATGCCATGGGCTTGGTTTAAGTAGTTTCAATGGAGGATTGATGAGACCATGATTGCTGGCTGGGCGAACTCAGTTAAGTTTAATTCAGATTCAGGGCCTTCTTTCATCAATTTTGAAAGCTAATTAGAAAATACTGGAAGACCAAGAGCTTCGTCTACATGGGCTAAGATTTCACTACACCATGGATATTGTTCGAACTGCTCAACCATGCCAACAAATTGGATATAGAGTTTTCCTTAGGGTTGCCTTGCTAGCCATAAGCCATTTATATAGCTGAGTGATTTATAGGAAATGTCTATACCTTGTCCTGGGAGTAAAAGAACACGCTTTATCATACAAAATATCCGTTTCCTAAAAAATGGCTTGAAAAAGAAACGAACACATACAAATTTTCATATTAATTTACCCTAAAACTTGAAATTCACTGACATATTGAAAATAAAAAATGTGATTATGTTAGGGTTCTAGAATTTTCCAATTAATCACTTTAAAAGTTATCCTAAAAACTATAAAACTTAAAGCAAAAAAATCGATTTAAAATTAGAATATTTTGATGCAATTTTTTTTCTAAATCACATTAATCAATAATAAACAAAGTTTAGTACATATTAATATATATCTATAGACCTCTTTCGCACAATCGGCACACTTCCATTCAATTTTTTATAAAGCGACGCACACGTATCAAGATAAACCATCTCCATCCCATCTACCTTCTTAATATCCAATATAAAGCTCTCATTGAACTAAATATATTTTACCTTGTATATTTTTATATCAAATTTTACTCCTTTTCCTACATATTTCGGTAAATCTTCACCTACTTTTTGCTCCTCAAACCCAACTGACCTTACCCGAATCTCAAATTCAGACAAAAATTTCCATTCCATATTCAGAGATTTCAAAGACTCGAAAAGATGAATTACCAGTCTTATCGCAGAAATTGCACATCGAAAGCCAAAAACCCAGTTGTGAGGCATTGGGTGGTTGCTTTTTTCTGATTCAGTGGACGAAGTACAATCAGAGCTGACAATAGTTTCGTCATCTGGGATCATAAAAATTCCAACTTTTTTCTGAAAAATTGGCTCCACATTGATTTCGCTTTGGTTAAGGAGTTTTCTTTTGACTTTTAAAGTAGAGTCTAAAAGAATATGATAAGTGACTGTAAATTTAATTAAATTAAGAGTCTTGATGCTTCCGCATGCTTGCGACCGCCGGACACTTGCTTACTAGGGTAGCATTGGTTACCCAAGCCCCATCAATAGCAGTCTTATCCTAGGAGTAGGGCTTGCACTACGTCCCTGAGTTTCGATGGATTAGGAAGACCCCTCTGCACTGTATGTCTTATGGTCCTATGGAGGTAAAGGTTAGCACAATACCAATCTCGGCCAACTTAAGGAAGGGTGACACCTAGGAAAAAAGGACATCAATATTTGGACTGAAATGACCATCAGCTGATTCCCAAAGCCACCTACCCCATACAACAGCTATACAGCGTGCTTAGATTAAAATCAAAGGGCCTGAGCCTTTGCTTACGTCATAAAGCCATTTTAGCGCCCAAAGTGATACATTATTGATAAGGATATATTTTTGTCGCCACCACCATATTAATTATTAACTGTAAAAGTGTATACATTAAAATGGCATGGCAATCCAACCTTCTCTCCTAAACCCTGCAGCTGAGGCAACCCGAGGACCTTATGAAAGGAAGTACAGCTATCGAAATGTGCATCCGCAGGATTTGCCTGTTTTGGTAAAGCGCAATGTCAGGTTTGGCGGTTGCATGCTCATATCCAGATCAGAGTTTTATCTCGAGTGGAGCAGTCCTTCGGAGTTGGAAAGGGAAAGCATTTTTGAAAAATTGGGCAATTACCCAGTGCGATTTCTGGCGGTAAGTCCAAAGCTGCAAGCTCTGTCTAGATCGGACGAAAGTGGAAGAATTCACTGCTCACGCGGCGATGCTGGGAGCCTCTCAATAATGCTATTTTAACTTTATCTTTAACTTGACTGTAAAAGAGTCTTGCTTTTTTGCTAAAACTTGTTGTTTAAGCTGTTCTTTTTGAAGTCCTTGAAATTCTGGAAACTCTAAACACTTATTAAAGATTTCTTCAAAAATTTCTTTTCGACTTCTGTTAGCTTGTAAAGCTCCTAAACAGTCTACAATTCTGTCATGATCTACAATAGCTTCAGTATATTTCAAATGCAATGGAATATTTGCTTTATACCATGGATGCTCCATTATCTGTTTTATCGTAATTCTTGATACCGGATCAGTGTTCAGCATCCTTCTAATTAAATCTCTTGCCCCTACAGAAAAATAATGAGGGACATTAAATCTCCCAGCTGTATATTTTTTACCTTTAATTTTTGCAAAAAGAGCTGGAATATTGTTTTCATCAAAAGGCAGATATGCGGCCAACAAAGTGTATAATAAAACTCCAACGCTCCAGACATCGACTTGTGGCCCACAGTATTGTTCTCCAGATATGATTTCTGGGGCTGCATAATTAGGTGATCCACACGAAGTTTTAAGGAAAATTCCGTCTCTTATAAAATTTGACAGTCCAAAATCTCCGAGCTTTAAAAAAGATTGTTCGTCAATTAGGATATTTTCTGGCTTAATATCTCTATGAACCACTTTACGCTCATGGCAGTATGATAAAGCTGATATTACTTGCTGGAAATATTCTCTGGCTTGCTTTTCAGGGATTCTGCCATTTCTTTCAATTAAGCTGTAGAGCTCTCCTCCTGGGACGTATTCCATAACTAGTAATATTTCGCGTTCAGTTTCTATGAATTCATAACTAATTAGAAAATACAGTCGTATTATATGAGGGTGATGGAAGCCTTGAAGGATTTTAATTTCTCTTTCAATTTTGCGAAGACTGTTCTCATCTTGCACTTTATTGCGCTTGATTATTTTTATAGCAACTTTCTGTTTGGTTATATTGTGCTCAGCGACTGAGTGAAAATTACGCACTACTTTTGCAAAGGATCCACTTCCAAGCGGCCTGATGATTTTGTAGTGAGTGAGAGTTGACATTTATGTCGGATTTTCTGGTGGAGAATATTTTTACTGGCAGAATAATATGCGATTTAATTGATTTTTTTATTACAAGTCTAAATTAAAACTCCGAAATATAAATTTTTAAATATAACAATGTTTTTAATGTCGGCAAGTCAGATAAATATTTATAATATTTTGCGACAAAAGTAAGTTTTGCATACAATTAGGAAAATAAGCAATTAATAATATTAGAAACTGCCAAATTTATTATTATTAATCTATTGGTAATCTATAATTTAAATTAGCAAAATTGAATGATTAATTTGTCTGACTATCCAAATTTGGTTTTTAATACCAGATAATTTAAATTTAACAAATTATTATTCAAAACACAATAATTTATAACAATGCTAATGATTTAAAATCTATTAAATATTAAATTTATTAAAATCATCATTTTAAAACTTGATGAATCATATAATTGTAAAAGCTCAATTAATTATTAGAATTTATATTAATTCCATCCCTTGACTATAATAAACTCCCTCCAATCTTAGCATATACATTAAAATGGCGACATGTGTCGACCTGCCTTCTTGGCGCAGCAGTCCAGACTTATGGCTACGGCGAACTGGGACGGACTCCGAGCCGAGAATCTAGTGCAGGCTCAAGAGGTGTGTATCCGGGTAGGTTTTGGATGCTTTACTGTGGTTGGAAATGGAAGTGCTCAACAACGTCCTTTGGATCCGAGGACCCATGGGTATTCCTCTACCAAGAAACTGGGGGTTCGGCCTAGGCCACAGGGAACAGTCTTTTTCCTGTAGCTGTCGAAGAAAGGCACTTCGACACCGATAGACTCCAAGGATCCTTGGAATCAATCTACTCCAATCACCCGTAGCAGGGCTGCAAAATCCTTAAGCCGCCCACTCTCAAGACTGAAGCCTCAAGGCAAGGAGGAGACAGAAGGTACTGGAAGGGCACTCGTAAGAGGGATAAACCCTCTGGGCTGGAGTCGATAAGCGGTAGAACCTCCCATACGGGAGGTCTTTGGTGACTGCGTCACCAATATGGCTAGCACCTGACTTTAATAATCCTAATCCTAATCCCTCCAAGTCTCAGCACCTTATTACATATAGAGCTTTTTCTTTAATAGCGCGATAAGGCGCATTCCTAGGTTTTACCGGAGGGTCTCGGACATAAAAACCTGCTATTCCTTATTCATGGGGGCGACAAACAGCCTAAATAAAGAATTCTGCCTAATCAATCTCGAGAACTTGAAGAGAGGCTGTGTGGAAAATTTACATTTTGGTTCGTCAAATGAATCTGATGAGCCATTTCTGGCCAGTACTTGAAATAAAAAGTGATAGTTGCCAGAATTTTATTAATTTTTCTGATCAAGAGTATGATCAGAATTTTAATGATTCCTTTTGACAGTAAAATTCAAAATCCAAACTTTTAATAGAAGATTTAAAGAGATAATTTAAGCATAAAGATAACGTAATGAATACTTTTTGCTGCCTTAGGGAGACGATGCCAGTAATGATTTTTATAATTTGACTTTTTTCATAGTGCCTTAACCATCTTAATAATTTTTTTAAAATTTCAAAATTCAAACTTTTAATAGAAGATTTAAAGAGATAATTAAATCGTTAAGATAACGTAATGAATACTCTTTACTGCCTTAGGGAGACGATGCCAGTAATGATTTTTAAAATTTGACTTTTTTCATAGTGACTTAATTAATTACTTGATCCTGTGCCATTTATTAAAGTTCTGATCATACTCTTGATCAGAAAAATTAATAAAATTCTGGCAACTATCATTTTTTATTTCAAGTACTGGCCAGAAATGGCTCATCAGATTCATTTGACGAACCAAAATGTAAATTTTCCACACAGCCTCTCTTCAAGTTCTCGAGATTGATTAGGCAGAATTCTTTATTTAGGCTGTTTGTCGCCCCCATGAATAAGGAATAGCAGGTTTTCATATGTCCAAGGCCCTCCGGTAAAACCTAGGAATGCGCCTTATCGCGCTATTGAAGAAAAAGTTCTATACTCTAAACATCAATCACATATGAATTCCAAATAATCAATTATGGCCTATTTCGCCAGCACAAGAAGAGGGGAAATTGCTGAGCTTCAAGAAGAATTGAACTCCAACAAGCCTGACAGGAAAAAAGAAGCAGTTAAAAAAGTGATCGCCGCAATGACCGTTGGCAAAGATGTATCATCTCTATTTCCTCATGTTATAAAATCCATGGAAACTACGAACATCGACCTAAAGAAGCTAGTTTATCTCTACATTATCAACTATGCAAAAACTCAGCCAGATCTTGCAATTCTCGCAGTAAATTCCTTCAGAAAAGACGCAAGAAATCCAAGCAACCCTTTAATCCGAGCCCTTGCAGTCAGAACTATGGGCTGTATTCGAGTTGAAAAAATCACTGAATATCTGTGTGAGCCTCTTAAAGATGCTTTAGGTGACGACGACCCTTATGTCAGAAAAACAGCTGCCATATGTGTCGCTAAACTCTATGACATTTCCCCTTATCTCGTAGAAGATGATTTTCTTCAAATTCTTGACGGTCTGCTTAGTGATGGAAACGCTATGGTCGTCGCTAACACTGTTGCTGCTTTATTAGAAATCACTGATATGAAAGGGAAGCCAGCAATACGGCTAAACTCTAATTCAATAAGCAGAATTCTTGCAGCACTTCCAGAATGCACAGAATGGGGGCAGGTTTCAATTTTAGATTATTTGGTGACCTATACACCTATAGATATCCCAGAAGCTGAAAGTATCATTGAAAGAGTCGTCCCAAGGCTTGCCCATTCCAATGCTGCAGTTGTAATTTCTACTGTAAAAGTCCTAATGAAATATATGGATTTCGTCACAAATTCTGAACTTATCAGAAGCCTTTGCAGAAAACTTGGGCCTATTTTGGTTTCACTTTTAGGAGCAGAAAACGAGATGCAGTATGTCGCCCTTAAATGTATAAATTTAGTAGTCCAGAAACGTGGGAATATTTTGGATAGAGACATAAGAGTGTTTTTCTGCAAGTATAATGACCCTATATATGTGAAGCTAGAAAAGCTTGAAATTATGGTGCAACTATCAGATTTAAAAAATATAGATCAGGTGCTATATGAGCTGAAAGAGTACGCAACTGAAGTTGACGTAGAATTTGTGAGGAAAAGCGTCAGAGCTATAGGAAGATGTGCGATAAAGCTTGAAAGAGCTGTAGACCGCTGCATTTCGTGTCTGCTTGATTTAATCAGCCTGAAAGTAAACTTTGTGGTCCAAGAAGCTGTCATTGTGATTAGAGACATTTTTAGAAAATACCCAAATCGATATGAAATGATCATTAAAAATTTATTTGAAAATTTAGAAAATCTGGATGACCCTGAAGCAAAAGCGTCAATGATATGGATTTTAGGGGAATATTCAGACAGAATTGATGACGCCACAGCTCAAATTGCCCATTTCATTGAAACGTATATGGACGAACCTCCACAAGTCCAGCTGCAGCTTCTGACTGCGACTGTAAAACTTTTCCTTAAAAAACCTGACGAAAGTGAAGGTCTTATAACTGACTTGCTAAAGCAATCAACTGAATCTGCCTCAAACCCTGACTTAAGAGACAGGGCTTATATCTATTGGAGACTGTTGTCCTCAGACCCTGAAGCTGCTAAAGATATCATTTTTGGGGAAAAGCCTACCATATCTGACGATACTTTGGCTTTGGACGCGACTTTACTTGACAGACTTATAGAAGACCTAGGAAGACTGTCTACTATTTACAGAAAACCTGCAGAAGCAATCACAAATAAGAAAAGGGAAAGGCAAATTGAGAAGCAGGAATATGAAGAAGAAGTCCTTGAATATGACTCTTCAGGACAAAGAATAGGAGAAGCTGTAGCAACTTATAGTGGCGACTTATTAGGAATTGATGCTGAGCCTAGCAAAAGATTTGCGAGAATTCCGCTGCAGAATGTACTTAATGCCCAGACACCAGGGGTGAATGGGAATATGGGGCTTTCTATTGATATGGCATTTCAGAGGATCAATGGGGAAATCCTGCTTGATTGTAGGTTTACGAATTCTTCACAAGCACTTTTGAGTGACTGGGCAATGCAATTTAATGTAAACCACTTTGGGTTGGCGATGGGAGAAGCATTAGCGTTGCCAGATCTGCATCCTGGAGCCTCAAAAAATACCAAGATTTCTATCGTGACAACGGGCAAGCCTGACTCAAACCCTCCAGGTGTTCCAATTATAATCCAAATTACATTTATATAAAATGGCTGGTGACAAGTGATCCGTCCTCCTGTAGCGGGGTGCCCTTATGTATATCTGGACATGGTTTTTGGTGCATAGAGCTATCCAAGAGCTGGCTTAGCTTTAATCGAGAGGTCCAGCTCTATTTCCGCAGATTAGTGGTCTGATTCGAGTGCCAGTTTTTTGCCAGCAGCCCAGGTCCAGAATGGATGTTCGATGAAGGTAGGGTGACTTACCTACCTAAGCTGCTTCTTTTTTGTAATGAAAGATTTAAAATATCATAAATGTTTTGGATTAGAAATTATTGAATGAAGTAATGAAAGAATTATTGAATATGTATCGATTATTATTGATTATTTAAAATTATTATTGAATGACAGAAATTATGAAAATATTAACTCCCCCCCCCCCCCTCCGTGAGCGAACAAAAAAATTTTGTTCGCTCACGGAGGGGGGTTATTTTTTTTTTTTTAAAAAAAATTTATATATAAATTTTATAAAAAAATATTTTTTTCGAAATTTAAAAAAATCCTAATTTGCAAAAATTGGGAAGCAAATATTAATTTAATTTGCAAAATTTATGTTTTAAAACGCAATTTGTTTAAAATTAAACAGAATTAGCTCTAGATTTTCATTATACTAATTATCACTTATATATCAAAATTTTTTTTCCATTAAAATTTTTTCTATTAAAAAAATTTTTGTTCGCTCACGGAGGGTGGGTTTTTGGTCAAAAAATGGCGATTTTTCTAATGGTTTTGTTCGCTCACGGAGGGGGGGGGGGAGTAAGAGTATTATTATTTTTGCAAAATAAAGAGAGGAGTAAGGCTTTTAACTAATTAAAATTAAGCTGCTTCTTCATCTATTGCCCAGCAAAGTCCGTATGGCCTGGATCAAAAGTATTGCGTACTACCGAGAAATTGAGGGTTTCTGTCCGGTTCTAAGGAATTTAGACTGCAACCCTATGGAGAGCGCATGGTGCTAATAGAAGTGAGGACTTAAAATGCACTATCCTAATCTAATTAATAATCCAAATTGCCATAAAATGCTCATTAGATATCTATTATTTCCAAATCCCTTGCATGTATACAGTCCTACTCAGCGAGAGCGGGCTTTTATCAAAAGAAGAATTCAAGCAAACATGGACCGGAGTGTCAGATCCTTCTGAATTTACTCATACCTTGCAAGCCATTGATCCTTCATATTCAACCTATCAACTGATTCAAGACAGACTTGAAGCAAATCACATCTTTTTCGTCGCTGGAAAATCTACCGAAACTGGTCAAGTATCATACTTTTCTACCAAAAATTCCAAAGACCAGGTCGTTCTTTGTGAAATCCGAGTCTCAAACCCAGTTTCTGCTGTACAAGTGACATGTAAGACTCCTCACCCAGCTCTGGCTCCTCTTTTTATCCAAGGTATTAATTTCTTATTATCAACGGCATCATAATTAAGATATTTTAATAAGGAAATTAAGACTAATTAAGTTAGTTCAGCTGTAACAATGTTGGAAAAAATCATTGGAATGCAGAAAACTATCATCATGCAGCAGAGGATTAAACAGATGGATAAGCAAATTTTGGCTTTAAATTCAGGCCCACACATTTGAGAGATTAAGGATAGAGGATTCCACGACCATTTAAATCTGCCTGTAGGCTCAGGCAAAAAGGGGTCAACGTTAGGGTCTGATCTGCCTTCTCCTACTGGATTGTTTAAGGCAGCATCTTTTGGCACCAATTCAAAACTGATTTTTATTTTTCCTGCCTCAGATACTTTTCCTTTCTTGTCAACCTTAGACAAATTGATCCAAAAGCAGTCAGACTGTTTTTTGCTTAATGAAGCTAGCATTCCTGAGTCGGCTTCTCCATACTTTTTTGTCCTTTTCCCGGCTTCCCACGCTTCTTTGGCTAAATCTTCAAAATCAAAGGCTGAGGATGCAATAAAATCGTTTCTTGATAGCATATCTCTGTCCCAAATCTGCAAGGTCAGCCTATAATTGGTTTCTTCTTGGGATACAGTCAATGGAAATTTCATTCTCCAATTCCAGCAGCCTCTTCCACTTTGAGCTCTATAATGAGTATCAGTTTCTTTTTCTTTGCCTTGCTTGATCCAAGCTCTGACATACAGATCGCTGACACCTTCAAAGTCCATATTTTCTATATCTTCGCATTCCCAGACAATAAGCCTGGCTTCAAATTCAGCTGGAGGACGAGGCTGAATTTCAAATATTGGAGGCTGGGATTTGCCAGCTATTACGTCAACCCATAATCTTATGGATCCTTGAGGCCTTCTGCTTGATTTATGGTATAGTCTGCGGGTTTCTATAGGCTTTTCAGGGAGTTTTTTCCATTTGCTGGAGAAAAATCGGTCTTCTAAATCTATGCGAGTTTCGCCGATTTTTTCATCACTGAAGACGTCGTTGTGGTCCCATACTTGAATTTTTAATAAAGAAGCACCAGGTAAGGTGGTTTCAAAGGAGAAAAACTTGTAAAATTTTGGATTGGAAATATCACTTTGGTACTCGTCCTTTAGATTATACTCTTCTTTTCCTAACGACACCTTAAGATATGGATCTGATGCAGAAAATCTATCTTTTTGTTCCAAATCAAAAGCATCAATAATATAAACTCGCACAGTAACAGGAGTTTTCACAAGCAGCTGCCTCGTGATTTCATCGAACTCTCTATCTTTTTCTAGCATTCCCCCTAGCAGCGTCATAGAATTTGATAAATTTAACCCTCCATTTGCAATGATTTTAATTTTTTCTTTATAATCAAGGTACTTTCTTGGAGTAATCCTCACCAGTCCTTTAAATTTTCCTACACATTTTAAATTGGTTTTTTGGCCTGATATATCTAATCTGTCAGCTTTATCAAAAATGCTTTCATCAAGACCTCTTGACTGGCCTTTAAGAAGCTCATACTCGCAGAATGGAGATTCTCCATAATACTCAGAGTTTTCCAGTTCAGTATCTAAATAAAGCCTATAATGTCTATGCCCATCATCAGGAGCGCGGTTATACCCTAGCGACATATAGAATTTAGGGTCTGGGATCTTTATTTCAGTCATTTTATTCGTCTTTGAACTTGTTTTATATAGAGGCAGTCTAACCACATGTCCTTGGATAGCTTCATCTATCGTTAATTTTCTATCTGCATCAGGAAGATTAAGCTGTTTTGCAGACTGTTGTAAAGCAATACTTATCCCTCTTGCTATATACGTATTATCAACTTCTTCTAATAAAGGCTTTTCTTCTTTGCTTTTTTTCTTGTTTTCTTTTTTAAATAGACCTTTAAAGCTTAAAGCAAATTTTCTGGGTTTTTGGTCTGGGTTGGATTTTGTTTCGATTTTTTCTTCTTCTCTGTGGTCTTCAGTTTTGGTTTCTAAGCTGGCATTTGTATTGGTGTCAGCGATTTCTTTGATAGAAATTTCGCTTTGAGGAGCTTGACCTAGTGAGTTAAAGATTTTTGCAAGCTCAGTGATTGAGTTGCGGAATGGGTTTTGGATCTCGACGACTTTTTCAACTTCATTTTTCACACTTTTTACGCTTGTTTTGGATTTTTGGATGATGTCGCCGAGGTATAAGCTGAAAGTGCCGATTAAGGGTTGATAGAGGCCTGCGAATAAATTATCGTGGACTGTGCAGGTGAGTGTTGGGCAGTATAGTGGGTCTTTAGGTAGTTTACAAGTAAAAGAAAGGACTGTGTTAACATTTGGATTCATCCCTGGGTCTCCTGGCTGTGTTTGCAGCTCTTTTTTAATCAAAGAACCACCAGTGAGTCTTAATGAATTAAGGTCAAACTTCACAAAAGCTTTATTTACTGGCATAAACCCTACAGCTGGATGTAGATCTCTCATTCCTAAAATGCTGATTTCTATGCTAACATCGTCATACTCAGGAATGATTTCATATTCTACAACTTGGCCAACATCATATAGGTTATAAGAAATCAAAATTTCCCCCATCTCACTACCAACACGACCCATATTTAAGCTTTTCCATTTAGGAGGAGTTGGAGTTCGAGAGTTTATAGTCGCTTCAGTTATCTAAATTACTATATTTTTTTTATTTAAATATTTATTTTAATAGTCTATTTAGATATCAACTTAATACATAATGATATTTATATTACATCTGTTATGGTCATTCCAATTAAATCATCACCTCCTATACGATCCCAATCCCAGACATAACAAATAATAGGAGGGACTGCTTCAAATGCTCCTATAGAAAGTTCAATAGGAATTGTACGGTACCAAGTCTATATAAATTATACAGGATTCAGCGTTCTTTCTTGAGGCTCATTTTGTGTAGATCCAAGGGCGCCTGCACAGTAGATCTTTACATAAGGGTCAGCCAGGCCATTCTTATCAGCTGCAGGGAGATTTCTGCATTGGTACAAGTTGCAGACCAGGATTTTTTTTGACTCTTGAGGAGGCATAGGCGGCTTATCCCAGCCTCCAACTGTAAGATCATCATTATCTTCATCATAAGGCCCAACATAAATCCTTATCCTCAAAAACCCAGCATCCCACTCGTTTTTCACTTCCCCTATTGATTTATCAGCCGCAAACCTAATCCAAAACGGCTTCCCATTTACATCTGCAAGATCTTTTGCCCTAATCCTATGGAAACAAATCGATTTTTTGTCCTTTACTAAATATATAAAAACATCAGGCAAGTTGTTTTCAGCACCATGCGGTATCAGTGAAGTCTTTCTTTTGCATGACTCATATCAGTCAATTCTATTATTCGCTGCTTTTTTAACTGAAGTTGAGGTAGAAACGCCACTAAATGACACTTTGACTGCGTATTCTCCTTTTTCTTTAGGCAAAGCTGCACTATTGAAGACTTGGGCTCGCAGTTCGTAGTCTTTTCCAACTTCGTATTCATCGCGAATTTTTACTGGAAGATTTGGGTCTTTTATTTTTTCGACTTTTAGCTCTGAGTTGTTGTTTTTTTCTGAAGTTATGCTTAAGAGGACTCTTCCTCGCCAATGAGAAGCAAGCTCTTCTATCATATTCATTCGGTTAGCTTCTTCATTATCAATTAATGCTGGAGCTCCATACAGGTTTGACCAGCGATTTTGCGAAAAACGCCCATTCTCGACAATTCGCCAGGGTATTGAAATACTGCCGACAAGGTCGTCTTTTGGACACATCAGATCTCGGTCATAAAAAGTTAGGATTATGTTATTAGTCAAGCATGGCTCCATAACTGGCAAATATAATTCCTCATACCAATATGCTGACAAAGTAGCTTTATCGGCCACTTTTACACTAGAAACCACTTTAGATCCTCCTATTTTTGCAACGCAAAAAGCATCCAAACTATCAGTCAACGTATCTAATACTGGCAAGCTTTCTGCTTTCAGCAATCTAATCTTAACTTGTTTAGTAGAAGGCCTAATCTGTGGAGGTAGCAGTATGTCTTCATCTTTTTTGGACACATCTTCTCTTATCGTTAAATCTACCGTTTTATCAGTCTCATGTAGTACAGAAATCCCAACCTTCAAATACCCTCTAACTTTTTCAAAATCTGAGTCTTTAGGGTTTGACAGCAAAATCCAACGATGTATAAACGCATGATCAGACTGATGATAAACAGAGGACATGTCCATGTAAAATTGCCCTACCAAGGAGTCTTTTCATAAGGTGTTGTGGTCTCTTACTTCAAACATAATAGAAGAGTTAGCCATTTCTTCAGCTGTAATGTTTTCACGTGTGAAGAAGAAATGCTCGTTTCATACTAAATTAATGGAGCCTCCTTGGTCTGATACTCGTTTTGTGCATTTATCTTTGTTTCAGACTTTCATGACGACTATTGGGTCTATTGCAGAACTGTTTAGGAATTACTCTGAATTTGCTGCTAAAAGGGCTCGGCATTCTTCTAAATCGCCACTTCAGTTAGAGAACAAAAGGGTTTAATTTTTTTTAAGATTTTATAGTAATATTTTTTTAACTAAATTTAAGAAAATCACAGACCTCAAAAGACGGAAAGCTGAAGTTAATTTAATAATAAAATTTATGTTTTAAAATGCGAGCTGTTTAAAATTCAACAGAACTAGCCCGAGAATTCATTATTATAATAATCACTTTATATATTTTGTTTGTTCACAGAGGGCGAAAATTCCAATGGCTTTGTTCGCTCACGGAGAGAGCAGTAAATAGATGTGGACTGTATAGTCGCCTTTTTTAAAAGTAACAGGGTCAGGCGCTATTGGAGCAGAATCTCCTTTGTCTTCGTTTTCTTCTTTTTCTTTTGAGTCCTTTTCAGGCTCTTCTTTCTTTTGCTCTTCTTTTCGCCCAGCCATTTATAACTTTACACTAATCGTTATATACATTTTGTTTTTACAGTTTAAATTTGTATCGGAAACAATAAAAGAAACTACAGCGATTTGCATAAAAAACAATATACAATTAATACCAGCTCTTCATTAGAATTAGCCTTTGCTGATGTCTTTGTCATCGAAATAAACTATTTTGTTTTATTATTCATAAATTTTTAACTAATTTATAATCTATTTTTGCGATTTTAATCGATTAATTAATTAAAATCTGTTATATCTCATAATGGAAAAAACAAAAATTAATAAGCAGCTATAAATGTTCATAGAAGATCATATATTTCCAAATTGGGGAAGACTACGTATTCCACCCAAGCTAGAATTCACTTCAAGTGAAGTAAAAGAAATCCGCCGAAAGATAAAAGATACCCCTTACAAAGAACTTTTCGATAAGTTTCCTCGGTTTTTTTCTCCCTGTGCAGCATCAAAATTCCTAGAGCAGCCACCTCTTATCGCAGAACCTATCCTAGAAGAAGGCATTAAAGACAAAGTTGCATTTAAAGGAAAGGACGGGAACGCTTATACCGGACAAGTAGACGAGAAAAATAGACGAAATGGCTGAGGTTATTTGCTATTTGTTGATGGAACTATGCATCAGGGCTTTTTTTATGCAGGCGATATCAGAGGAAGAGGCAGAAGATTTGACCTCAATGGAGTTGTGCTACAAGGAGATTGAAAAGGCAATGTTTTAAAAGGAGAAGGGATGATTATTTGGCCGAATGGAGTTTCATATGAAGGCTATATAGAAGATGGGATGCCTCATGGAGACGGTGTAGAAACTACTGACTCTCCCCTTTAAATTGGAACAAAATATAGGTAGCATTTTAAAACAATTTTTTTAATTTTTTATAGGAGAAAATATACTAAATTCCTGGGGATAGCGCGGAATACGCTATCCCCAGGAATTTTCTATATTTATTTTTATAAAATTAGCTTTGCTTAATTTAATGGAAAAAGACAATTAAAATATTATTTAAACAGCTTTCATGTTAATCGCTTAAATTTTAAAATTAATTCTTCATAAAAATATAAATAATCTCAAAAAATTGTGTCAATTTTTATTCAAAAATGTTTTTTACAAAATTTAACATAAAAATTACCCTCCTTTAATAGGAGCAGGAATTTTTGTTCCAATTTAAGGGGCGATAGTGAGGAATACACTTATAATGGAAATTTTATTAGAGGAGAAAAAGATGGGTATGGGGAATTATTTTGGAAAGATGGGTCTTGGTATAAAGGAATGTTTAATATACAAAAAATCGAGGGGGAAGGGACTTATCATTGGGCAAATGGAAATGAGTATGAAGGAGAATGATTTAGAAATAAAATGCATGGCAAAGGAGTTTTCAAATGGGCTGATGGAAGAGTTTATAAAGGAAATTTTGCACATGGATATAGAGAAGGTCATGGAAAACTAGAATGGCCCAGTGGGAGGAGATATGAAGGGTATTGGGAAAAAGGGTTTTATGATGGGATTGGGATGGAAGTTAGGGAAGATGGCACAACTTCTGAAGGAGTCTTTGTTTCTGGGCAGCTAGCACAGAATTTCGACCCAGTTATACCTGGATCTGATGAAGAATTAAGCGATGATCAGATTGACACAAAAGAGCTATTTAAGCAAGTAGCTCCTTCTTATGAAGACCTGCTAAAGAAAGCCAATATATTATAAATTAAATTAAGATTCTTGTAGTCTTCCAGATTTGCTGCCTCCAATACTTTCGACCAACGCCAACCTTCTTTCCGGGTGGAATTCAGCCGCTATTTGGAACAATCATCTCAAGGAGCAGGGCTTGCACTGTAATCCCTAAGGGTCTCTGCCAGCTAGAATGACACCCTGTCAGTACGTCACCGGGTTAAAGGTTAGCCTGATACCTCCTCGCGACCTTTGGGAGAGGTAGCAGGAAAAAAGAACCACTGCCCTCCGAATCTGAGGAAAAAGACCCTGACCCAAAAATCATCGGATATCAATGCTTGGACTGGATGACCACCAGCTGACTCCCAAGGTCACCCACCCCAGACAGCCACAAATAACAAGCTTAGGTTAGAATCAAGGTAGTTTGAACCTTGATTTAGGATATAAAGCTATTTTGACGCACAGTGGTACGTTGTCAGTAAGGACAAATTTTGTCGCTACCACAATATTAATTATATCCAATATTATAAGGAAAATTAAGAAGCAGCCTTTATCTGATATTTCTGGAAGCTTTCTAGAAGTAACTGAAGAAGACTTTACTGTAGAAGCTAAAAAAGAAAGAAAACAGAAGCTCATTAAAGAAATAAAAGAGAAAAAAACACAACAAAGAGACAAAAGACTTAAATTAAGAAAATGGGAAACTGAAGACCCCAGAAAAGCATGTTTATGGGACTTAGAAAGCCCTTTAATTGACCATCCTATATTTTTTAAAGCATATTCCCTCCACAATGAATTGCCTCCATTTGAGTATGAAGACCCTGACTATGAAATGCCTTTTGATTTAAATTTCAATGAAGACTGAAAAGATTTAGGAGCAGGAAAACTCTATAAAGGCCAAATGGACGACAATGAGCAAGCCCAAGGTATGGGGGTTCTTTTACATAAAGGCAGAATATATGAAGGATTTTGAAGAGATAATAAAAGGTGTGGATATGGCCGACAAATAGGCCCAAAGGGAGATGTATATCATGGGTATTGATATGATAACATGAGGAGTGGATTTGGCACATATGAAATTAAAGAAAAAAATTATTCATATATTGGAGACTGGGAAAATGATATTTTCCATGGCAGAGGGCTACTGGTAACTGAGGAAGCTGCTTATGAAGGAGATTGAAAAGAAAATAAACAGCATGGAGCAGGATCACTGGTCTATGATGATGGAAGAGTTTATAATGGCTCGTTCAAAGATGGAGTTATTGAAGGATATGGGTCTTTAATCTGGCCAAATGGAAAAGGATATGCAGGACAGTGGAAAAATGGAGAAATGATTGGAATTGGGACAAAAGTGACACGAAAAATAAAATCATTGTACGCAAATGGACTAGAAGAATTTGCTGCAAAACACAGTTTTCAAGAAAATTCAATTCCAGAGTCAGTTGTCTCTGAACGTGACATTCCTTATGAAGGAACTACTGCTACAGGAGGCCCAACAACTTATATTGATAATTATTAATTTAATTTAATAGCTGATAGATATTATAAAAGGTAATTTACAAAAATCTCAAAGCCAATTATACTTATTATTTATCATAAAAGCTAATTACAAATGAAAACACTATTCACATTGTATTCACATAAAAGAGTCTTAATGCTAGCTCAAAAACTTTTAATTCTTAATAGGATTCGGCCTCTCCACCTTTGGTCTTCTTTCAGGCAATCTTGTTTCAATAATTACAGGCTCAGCCGATATCACGGACGCAGTTTCAGTTTTATTACCGCTAGCAACCATTGTGTATATTTTATAAATTGTATACATCCCAGACGCAGCCACACTCGCCCATAGTCCATAAGTCATCATCTGCATGACTACATCCCCTGGCGTAATATTTTTCTCTTTAAAGTTCCCTTGTTCTTCATTTTTTCCAAATCCTCCTCCAGACCATGAGCTTTCTTTCTTTTTATTCTGAAATGACTGTGATTTATAGTTTTGTGCAGAGCTGTGCTCTTGATGATTTTTCGCTGAAGAATAATTGTCCTTTGTCACCTCTACTTTTGAAGCTTTATTTCTTGCTTTTGTGTGTTTCGAGTCATATATTAAGCGTTTATCAGCATTTCCTAGATTTTCATATGCTTCAGCTACAAGTTTAAACTTGTGCTCATCTCCAGTTGGCATGTCTGGATGCAGCTTTTTTGCAAGCAAAATATAAGCAGCTTTTATTTCAGCTTGGGAAGCAGAACTGGGAAGGTTAAGAATGGCGTAATAGTCATTAGGGTTGCTGAATTGTGAGAAGCTTCTTATTAGGATTTTTCTCAGCATTTCATATTAGGAGATATTTAAAGAATTTATTTACGCTATAAATTACAGTTCTAGCTCTGATTTTTTCTTCATTGCTTTAAGAATAGATTTTGTGAGACCTGGAAGGGCCATTGCAGTCATTTTTTTAATCATTCTTTTTGGTAGCGAGCCTCCAAAGTCTCCTTTTGTGATGTTGAAAACTTTGCTTTTCATCCCATCTGTGGTTTCTGTGATACTTTGTATGAAATATCCACCTAGTTCGATATTCATCCTCACAAATTCTTCTTTTTCAGGGAATTCTTGGTTTTCCATGCTTTTGCTTACTAATAAAATCCCATCATTTGTTTCAAAGACAGCTGAAGTTAGTATAAGGTCTCTTGGCGATATTGTAAGAACTTTTTTAAAAGTTGTATAAGTGGTATTTATGTACTGAGATGGCTGGCTTATTATTTTTATTTGGGAAATATTTGTGTCTCATTTTGGACGCTCTTCGATGTCTTGGAAAAAGTCGATAAATTCTTTTCCTGTATAAGGAATCATTCATTCGGCTTTTAGTAAAAATCCTCCTGGCAAATCTTTGCCGTACACAATGCAGCTATCCTTGTTGACTAATTCTTCGCAGCCATCATGGCTTAGAGGTATAGCTTTTTGGGCACATTTGCTTTGAAAGCAATAAGAGTTGAAATAGAGGGCAAGGTTTATTTCCAAGGCAGAACGATGTAAAAGAAGCAAAGAACAATTTATTCAGTATTTTAATTGAACAGATTAATAACTGATGAAGTGTTTATTTTTTATGAATTATTTAATTCTCTGTGCTCATGCTCAATGCTCTAGCTTCATAAGAGTAGCTGTCCTGAAGCTCAAAATATTGAAATCTGCAATATGGGCTTACTCTGATTGACTCATGGCAGCAATACTGATGCATGGACTGAGAATAGCAGACACGAACCTAAGTCATAGCCTTCTTGCGAAGCAGATATTAGCTTAAGACAGAAGCTGAGGGTCTTCAGCAGCTGCAAGAGATCCTGATTCCAAGAATAAGCTAGGAAAGCTTCTTCAATGTTTTGTGCCAGGAACCTCTCACAGTACCACTTTTCTTAGCTCTAGGCAAAAGAGTAGTCCAAGTAGGCCAGTCAGTGATAATTTTAAATTCTCACTTATTGTTTCGATGACAGCTCGTTTGCCTAGTTTTAAGAAAAGTGGCACTGTAAGAGGTTCCTGGCAGAAAACATTGAAGAAGTTTTTGCTAGCTTATCCTTGGAATCAGGATCTCTTGCAGCTGTTGAAAATCCTCGACTCCTGCCTTGCATTATCGGACTTAGGTGCATAATCTGCTGTTCTCAGCCTATGCATCAGTATTGCTGCCATTAGTCAATCAGAGCATGTCCATATTGCAGATTTCCCTATTTTGAGCTTTAGTACAGCTACTCTTATAAACTAGAGCATTGTGCATGAGGCAGAGAATTAAAAACTCATAAAGAAATAAACACTTTATCGGCTCTTAAATAGATTTAAATTATTAATCTGTTCAATTAAAATACTGAATAAATTGCTCTTTGCTTCTTTTACATAGTTCTGCCTTGGAAATAAACCTTGCCCTCGATTTCAACTCTCATTGCTTTCAAAGCAAATGTGCAAAAAAAGCTATACACGAGTATAAGCTAAAAATTCTTCTTTCGCTAAACTCATTATATCGAGTATGCCTATTTGCAATAAATAAAAGCAATCAATTTATAATAAAAATAGAAATGGTAACTAATAAAGTTATGCTATTCATTTCTAATGAGCATAGTAGATTCAACTCATTTGAATTATCATTTGACTCCACAGTTTCCTGAACTTCATCGATAGGAGTCTTAGAAAAGAAGCAGTCCTCATCTTGAGAAGATTTGGGAGTATCAGACATCATTGGCTGAACATCTTCTTCTTGGAGCTTTACAGTGGAAAATCGCTTATAGAAGGGCATAAGGCATTCAGCACATAGCTTTGATGAGACTTTTCCCATTTATTAAATGTTGAGAGTAATAATAAGCCAAGAAATTTATGGTTAATAATCGGAAGCGAGTATTTTTGGTAGGAAAAATTGAAATGATACTGATGGGATTTAATTCTAAATTAATTAGAGCCATATTTTGTAAAAGTTGCTTTATATGCTATATAAAATATTTTGAGAGAGGAGATATTATAATGGTTATTTAGTTTAAATTTAATAGGAGGTTTTGGTAAAATTAATTTAATTTTAATGTTTAAATTAGATTTAAAATAATTAATTATATATGCAGAAACTTCAGTTAACTTTTGTATAATTTAGCAAAGTATTTAGGCATATAGCTTGGCAGCGGACTTTCTGTGTCAATAGAAGACAAAACTTCTGAATCTTTTATGTTTTTTTCAATATGGTAAAGATCTTCAATAGAAAATAAGCAAATTAGCTTAATTTAACTATCTTCTAGTTCTGCCTCTAGTTGCTCAGTGTGTTTTTCTCCGTCTTTTAGCTACTCTTGGACTCACAGTCTGGCTCGCTTCTCCTAATTACCATGAAGCCATTTGGGAACCAGAAGTACCATAAAATTAGTAACTTGGCCTATATATCAGCAGAGGTAAGAGGTAAATAAGATACACAATATGGATTAGTATATAATCCCTCGCCATTTTTTCCCTATTGTGCAGATATCCACATATAAAGACCTAACCCCATATTTGGGCGAGTAAAATGAATTCACCGTATGAATTGCCTTTTTATTCGAAGCCATTTTATTATTATCAAGATTCTCAATAACAAAATTATACTTGCTTTCATAATCTTTATCTTGTAGCTTTGAAATCCCTTGGAAGTTTAGAAATGGAGCTTCATTTTCATTATTTGCTTCGCTTGAGTTAGATATGCCTCTTAATGTTAATGGAACTGGTCTGAGCCCTTCAATAATCATTGGCTGCTCATAATCCAAGTTCTTTCTTTTACTCATCAATCCTAAGTTTAGCTTCAATTTTGCAGGATAATAGTCATTTTGATTATTGGGAATTTTAGAGTTCGCTGATCTAGTTGCTCTCTCAGTATTTTCTATATTTTTAACCAGATTTGGGCTTTTAATTCACATCATTTGATTATTCGAATGAAGCAGATTATTAAAATCCCCTGATTCTGCTCTTCTTTTCTTTGGCTTCAACTTTGGAAGGTAGCCTACTGGGGATCTTTCACGATTTCTTTCAATGTTGCCCACATCTCTAAGAATAACTTTAAATAAAGAAGAATGCTTTTTGTGATTATGCTCTTGCTGGGTTCTTATGCTAAACATAATTTTAACAGCCATTTTGAGTTATTTGAGATATTGAAGTAAAATTATTTAAGTTTAAAAGCACTAAAGAATAATATTTTCTGGTAGGAAACAGTAATTTGGAATAAATGAGAGCTTGATATTCTGAAATCTCTTACGAATAATATGCAATTTCAGTGTTGTAGCATTTAATCCAAAAATGTCAATTCATCGAAATGGAGAGCTACTTATAAGTATTATTATGAGATTGCATATCCATGTGGATTTTAAACATACTTATATACGAAATCATCATTTTATAGCTAACTCCCCTCTTTATTGGAAAATTCCTATTTTTTGATCAAAAACCCAACCTCCATATCTGAGCAAAATTTTTTGAAAAATATTTTTATATATAAGTGATAATTACTCTAAATTCGGAAAATTTTTTTTTTAAAAAATATTGTAAGCGAACAAAAATATTTTGTTTGCTTACGGATAGGGGAGTAAAGAATTGTTCAATGCAGCAATTATAAAAAATTAATGATTTCTATAATAATTATTGGATTAGTTAAATATCATAGCATATAACTTATCTTAGATTGCCTCCTGAAAATTGTGAGTTCTTATGAAATTATGTGGAATAGCTTCTTTAAATATTTTATGCCACTATAAATTTTTCTTATTTCAAATTAGTAAATATTACTCTTGGAGGAATGCTATTTATTTAAAAGCTAGTCTGTTTATTTGTTATCTCAAGTTGTATTCCTCAATTTCGCATAATAAAATATATCTTTTTATCGATCCATAGTTGACTAAAATCCTTTTCTGGTGTTTTTAGTTATGGAAATTCGTTGTCAATTTCCTTGCTTCCTATTTTCATTTAATAATCTTTTATTTATTTCTAACTGCTTAAAAGGGTCAAGGTGGAAACGTCACCATTTTTCTTGGCTGCCTGGTCAAGCATAGGTAGCAACCAGACACCCCCCCCCCCCAATAAAGGAACCCCCCACCCCCCCTAAAAATGGCACCCCAAACCCCCTTTTCACAGATTGCACCCCCACCCCCCCCTCTCGCGTTTATCCTATAGAAGCAATTGATAGGAAACAAGAAGAATAATTTAAATATAATCTAATTTAAACACTATATTGATAAATTAAGTTCACAAATTACTTTATATTTATGATTAATTAATAAATTTAAATTAATTAAAAATTAATTAGAAAATATATTAAATTTGCTTTTTATATTTATAAATATAATGTCAAAGATATAGATAATGGCATTAGTTATTAAGTGAGCCAAGCACAATACAATAACTTGCGTTAAATTTATTGATTCATAAATTAAAGCTAATCTGATGACCATTGTACAAGGATTGCAGGACTGAATTGGTAACAGGATTCAATAGTGGTAATAAAAATAGTATTTGCTATTGCTAGTTTGACTTTTGGATCTATAATTCGCCTCTTTAGCCATTGTTCCACAAAGTTCATAAATATATGCAGTATATACTGCTAATTAATACTAAAGATCATTATTATGCTTGCTAACAAATTTTTTTCAGATTTGGTGTGATTACTAGTTATAGGGAAATTCTCACACCATTCCATCTACTCCTTAATCGATTGTGCTACGCTATGTGGATATTATATAAATCAGTAATTTTTGAATATTTAAAATAATAATTTATTTATTACGTCTGCTCTAAATTGGCATTTGTCATATATTTTATGCTATATTAAGGGGGGTGGGGGTGCCATCTGTGAAAGGGGGGGTGGGGTTGCCAATTTTTAGGGAGGGTGGGGGGTGGGGGTACCATTTTTTAGGAGGGGTGGGGGTACCACTTTTAGGGGGTGGGGGGGTGTAGGGTTGCTACCTGTGCTTGACCAGCTGCCATATTTATTTTCATCTTATCATTTTGACTTACTTTATTATTTTGTAATTTCTTTTTATTTTCTCATAGAAAAATCTAACATTGTTAAAATTTTTTTTTTATATATTCGGATAATTTATACTTTATTTGGTATTTAAAATATATTTTTATCTAGACAATAATTTTTCTTGACTTATAAAAAGAATAAAAACTCTTTCTATAAGATGAAGGAATTAGTAATTTTTCTAAAAATGGCTCCATAGCA